ATAATATTAATAATAATATTAATAATAATAATATTGAAACACAATTACATCTTCAAACCTACATGCAGATGGATCCAAACTACCAGAATGTCCAATTCTCATTCGTTTATCCAAATCAAATTTCTTTTTAAATTCAATAATAAATGATTGTGAAGAGATTCCTCTAGGTTTATACATTGGAATCACACATGACATATTCTCATCATATAAATAATTTCTAAATTCATTCACTGATGTGAAATATTTTGAATGATTCAATAATGCACAATCGACCATGGGTGTCTTGATCCAATCAATTTCAGTGTAATGAGAGGCATGTTTTTGAAGAAAGGAGGATGATTGAAAGAGAGAATGAGCATTACGAGCTGGTCCTTTATATATTTTGAGTGTGTTTTTGATCTTTTCATGTTGTTGAACATGTTGTTGATGATGATGAGGACAAGGATTGAGACTAGTCGATAAATGAAGGGAAGTGGATGAATCTCGAGTTGAATATGATTCATCCTCCTGATTGAGATGTGCTAAACCAGTGAATCGTATGGTCTTTGTCATGGTCCGAGTACGTCGTTGTGTTGCCAATGGGGTCTGTCGTTGGAGACATAATTTCGAGCCTTTCGATTGGAAATTCATTTTTTTTTCGAAGAGTCAATAAATTCATTGAAACCTCATAGAGCATGGAGAGTAAATAAATAATAATAAGGGAAACCATTTCAATACGTTGAAAATGCATTTGGATTATTATATTTCAAAAGATAGCCATATGTAACTCTACAACTCTACTTTAATCAGCTCTTTCTTTTTCTTATGAGCACCTTCCAAATCGAGGGATTTGACATCAAATCTTCTTCTCCGTTTCCCGTAATGAAAGGATGACAATGCATAGGACTTGGAACAAAATGAGACAAGTTTTCAAAAATCAAAAGCGCAATGAAAGTTTACAGTCCGCACAGGTGTGTTGCCAACAAATTCGATGAGAGAGATTTTCGAAGTGGCGAGAGTCAAACGAAACTGTGAGATCACTGTCACAACTTTCTCAGATTTCAAAAAAACACACAAATCCATTGTCTCTCTCAATCCTCTTAAATCTCTCATCGGCACTGAAACACTTACAAACCATCTCTTACCCATTCCTAAGACGAATTTTAATGTATCCATCATGATGACAAACTCTAATGAACTGCAAGAGAAGAGATGCATTGAAATCATGCATCATTCAGAGTTGCCAACCACCAACACTCATTCATTGCCCATCCAATTATCCAATGAATCAAATCATGTACAACAAGAACAAATGGAACAACACGAATCCTCTCCAACCCCCATGATGAATTCATCACAAGTCATACAGAACCCATCAATATTAGCACAACCACCAAATTCCGAGACTATGGTAAGTTTCGTATCATCTCAGGAACAGAACACCATCATGATCAGCCAGCACCATCAGCAGCACCCTCAACAACAACACTTTCAACATGTGGTACCACATTCTCCTACTTCACCTGTTGTTCACCACACCACCAAAAGAGCCTCAAAAAAGTTGAGTAGTGTCGTCATGACGACGAGTCAAGCTGCTGAATTGAAATCAAGTACGTTCCGAGTACGAGTTCCAACCTCATGGTTAAGTTGTTGTGGTTTGATTCAATCAATCCAAATGCATCTCAAAAGAAATCTCAAGCCTTACTACTACAATTGAACATGATGAGAATTGTTTCCATGATAGGTCTATCGATATCCATTCTAGCCATTCTCATTATTGCAATCATGACCATCTATTCTTTTATTATTACAAGTTTCCCTGTTGTATTTACTCTCAAATTGTATGGTAATAGTGTAAAACAATACAATGAAATGGTCATGTCTGAATATTTGATGGTATTTGCAAGAGATCGTTCCATGATTCAAGTCTTTAATGAATCGAGACAAGACTTACAACACTCATTGAATCAATTATTTCAATTAATGCCTCAATCAGCAATGGAAGCCTTTGGCAATGAGAGTATTGATCAAATGAAATTATGGCCTCTCCAAAATGTGGTTCTCGATCAAGTCATGGCAGGGAATGCAACGAATGCTGTTCGTTCCTTTTTGAATGTCACTCATTATGGAACGTTATTGGATTTCTTGGCAAATTTCAATGTCTTTATTCGTGATGTGAAGAATATTAGTTATGCACAGGAACAAGTGATTATATCCAATTCAACCTCCTATCTCATTGTCATTGTCGTGTGTTTGGCCATTACCTTACCCATTGTTATTGTCATTTTGTGAGTGCCATTCGAATGGAACACGAATCGAGAAACAAATTATTGAAAGCAAAAACCATTCAAGTATTGAATACGTTGGGTGAATCTGTCGTGCAACGATCACTTTTTCGACAATGGGTCATGTCTATTGGTACTAGTACTACGATCAGTCAGGGTGGCAGTGCTAGTGGTTATAAGGGTAATGTTCATACGAATGGTCACACTGGAAATGAAGTTATTGGATGGAAACAACAAATCATGATGAACTACAAATCATCCACAGTGGAACAAGAATTATTGAATCGAGTGGATTTATTAGAAGATATTCAATTATTCAAACAACCTGCTAAACAAGAATTGAATATGATGAGAAGTTTATTAGAAGAATTGAGAGAATATTCAGATGATTCAACTTCATCATCCACTATGATTGAACAAGATGCACTCTCTTCCACACTTTCCTATCGATCCAGTGGTGATACATTCTCTGTGGCTGGTTCTGTTGCATCCAGTGTAGTTGTAAATTCAAGAAAGAATACCATCTCTCAATTGATCTCCATTTATGAAAAGTATTTGAATCCATCGAGTGCCACTCATCCAGTGAAATGTAAGGGTCATCAAAAAATTGCAAATTACTTGAGAGAGTGTCATGACAAATCTCTCAATCATCCAAAGGATGCAACAACCACCCAAATGGAATTGAACCTATTGGATGAAATTCAAGTGGAAGTGGCTCGACAATTAATTCCCATATTTGAACACTTTCAAAAAACAATTCCAGAAGGAAAGGATGTTGAAGAATCTTCTGATACACTCTTTAAACATTCTGTGCTGACTCATTCAGAGCTGATTTCCAAATGTATTTGAAGGATTTTAAAAAGAATCATTTAAAGAAGTAAAGTACTTGACAAATTTTCACTTGTCCTTCCATTCATGATGAAATAATACCATGAACACCTATTTGGGGTTAGATACCATCTCACAAATGAGACTTGTGCACATTATGACAATGTTAGCCTTTCATGGATGTATTGAATAAAAGAAATTATTAGACTCTAAAAATGAAATGTCCAAAACAACTCCATTGAGACTCACCCTAACTGTTATTTCACGATTGAAATGAGACAATAATTTACTGAGATTTAATAATACAATTATTACACTTGAGTGATAGGAGGTTGTTTTGTATCGGTCTCTGAAGATTATGACTCATAAATTCTTCTTGCATGTCTGTACTAGTCGCATCATCCAAGTGTTGCAACTTGGAAAGTTGAGGAGATTGACACAAGTAAGATGATTTGAAATTCAAATGTGTCAATGACAAGGCATCACTTAATTCTCGTTCTAACGAATCTAATAAATGTGGAGGTAAAATATCAATCTCTTCAAACAAGTCTTGTCTATTGTTGTATTGATCATAGACTTGGCAAATTTCTTCAAGTATTCGAGTACTTATTCCGAATGTTGAATTTGCTGAGGATCAATATGTTGAGATTCAAGAGTTCCAACCTTTGACAGGATGGAATGGTCTTGACTTTGATCAATAATCTCAAATACGAGTTGAGATTTTAAGCATTCTTGATGAATGATTTTCTTATCTGCTTCATTGGATATTTTGAATATGAATAATGCTTTTCGATCTTCTCCACTCGCGAATTGCATTTGAGAGGAATTGAGAGACTTGTTGATAGTCCTGTTACCACTACTGCTAGTCGTATGGATCATGTTCATTCCAATAGACGTTTCACTCTTCTTTTGTTTTTCTTCCTTGTGTTGTTTCACATAGTCATGTGTCAATTCAAAGACTTTCATTTGAATGGAATGTGAAATTTTACAATGTTCCTTATATTGCATGACTTTTTCAAGAATATTCATGGTAGATTCTAAACCTCGTTCTTTACAATACAATTTGAATGCACTTCTCAAAGCTGGATCTAATAATGTCTCTTTCAATAAATGTTGAGAAGTATGATTCAATAATTTTTCATTTTGAGAATCTCTTTTCATGATAAACATCAAGACAAGTATCATGACTGGAATCACGACAAGGAAACAAAATCCAAGAACACTCAAGGTAACAATATACGATGAACGAGCAGTATCTTCAATTCTTGTACAATATTGTGTTAAATTTCCAATGAAACTATCAAAGAGAGATTCATAGGATTGAACATGTTGAGCATATTCAGGTGAAGCATAGGTTTTTTTGCAATATTCATGGCAGTAGTATTTAAAAAGGTTCGAACACGAGTTTGATTTGTCGTTGCATTGAAAGTAAAGGTTTGAAATATGGTTGGACCAACGAGAACTTGATCCCATAATTTAACAAGGGGATAATTAAATGGTGCATTTGAATCACGGTTAGTAGTACTGGTAGTAGTAGTAGTAGTTGTAGAATTATTTTGATTGGATCATTTAAAAATTCATGTTGAAAATCATTTGGTAAAATCATGGTCAAATTCACCATAGATGAATTCATTAAACTCTTGTAATAATAATACGAAGAATAAGTGGAAGCAGGTGAGTAGAGAGCAGTGAAATTATTGGTCACGTGTAGTCTTGCAAATCCTCTCATACCAACATATCTAGCAAGAATGGCTGCTCTTGAAGTCATTAAATTCACATAGGGTTTCGTGGTAACATCTTGATAAGGTAATGTGACCATGATCCATATAATGATAAGTGCAGAAATGGTCAAGAGAATGGATGAAATGGACATGCATGGAATGAGTTGAGATTTCAATTTTGGATTCTTGTTTTTTACAGAACAACACACTGGTAGTAACGGAAACTTGGAAAGGATTTCATTCAAACGATGAAATAGTGAGGAGGTTGGAGAAGAAGAGAACTTGGAGTGGTTCCACCATGATGAAGATGGAGTGTGGTGGATGGCTCTTCGTGCGGTTGGGGTGCATTTACTTTGGGTGGTGATTGTTGTAATTGAGAGGAAAAAGGCTCTGCTTCCAAATTCTTGGTATTATTAATATTATTATCATTTGGATGGATCATCTTTGATTCCTCCATCATATACGTAGGTGCACTTGTTAAGACTCCATTTGACGTGGTTGGAGGATGAGGAGTAAATACGATATCATCATCATCATATTCATCTTCAGCGAGAATACTCAACTGATCATTGATCGAAGAAGAAGAAGAATTCGATTCTGCATCATCAAGTTGGTCTTCTTGAACACATATTTGAGTACTAGCATTGATGCGAGGAATTGGAGATGATTGAGAGTTTGATGCATTTAATTCAACATGTCGAAGAAGTAACTGTTCTGTGCTCTCAATGCACACTGCATGGTTGGAAGAAGTCATGGTTCGAGAGAGTTGTCAGTGACTGACTTGAAAATCTCTTGGTATAGCAACAACGGCTCTATAAGCTGTTGTTGTTTTGTTTCTCACTTTGAAAACCTTCTAGAGATTTGCCACACTTTGATGTCTCATTCATTTTCCAAGGTTACACTTGTCTTTTATGGATTTGAGATTGTTTTGTTGATATGTCTTACACGAAATCTCTTGCCTGTGTACGCGCACCAACGTCGACAATGACAAATTCAAATCCCAAAGTCTTCATGAACAATTGCACAAACGAAATAATCCAAAACACGAGAGAGATATTTTGGATTTCCTCAATTATGAGAGCACCTTGGTCAAAGCGAGAACAGGAGAATATACATTCATTAGTTTCATCTATTTGCCTCAATAGGTTCAACTTGAGAATGTACACCTTTGTTTTACTGTTTGGTTGAAGGAACGGAACGACGAGGAGCAAACACTCAGAATCGGGTGCAATATTTTGTTGGATGTCAAATATTTGTTTGAATTACCTGGCGATATTTTTGATTAAAAAAAATGTCCAAAGACGAAGTTGAAATCATTGAAGTGGTTGATTCAAAACTATCGGCATCAGAGGCTAAGCCTATGAGCAGCTCGTAGTACCAACTGAAGAAAAGAAGGCTCATCATCATCATGGAGAGCATAATGATGATGCTCTCTCAAGCACATCATCTAGAAGAAGTAGAGTTACCACTCGTACAACAACTACCAACGCTTCTCGTCGTGCAGCAAAAAAGAAAGATGTTCCGAATGTCCTATGTTGTTTGTGTGGTGTGAGCACTCCTCCCAACCCAGCAAATATGTGTTTGAATTGTATCAAATCTCAAGTTGATATCACTGATGGAATTACAAAAAGTGAGACCATCTTCTTTTGCAGAGAATGCGAGCGTTACCTTCAACCACCAAAATATTGGATAAAATGTGATTTGGAAAGCAAAGAGTTGTTAACTTTATGCTTGAAACGCATCCACGGTTTAAATAGAGTCAAATTAATCGACGCTAAATTTTTGTGGACCGAACCTCACAGCAAGCGTTTGAAAGTTAAAGTTACAATTCAAAAAGAAGTATTAGGAAATGGAACCGTTCTTCAACAATCGTTCGTCGTGGAATTTATTGTTAGAAATCAACAATGTGAAGTGTGTCAAAAATCCCATACTCTTTATACTTGGAATGCTGTCGTTCAAGTAAGACAAAAACTTGATCACAAAAGAACGTTCCTCTTCTTAGAACAACTGATTTTAAAGCATAACGTTCATGAGAAGGCTATCAACATTAAGGAAGAAGCTGATGGTTTGGACTTTTTCTTCTCTGAGAAATCCCATGCCAAAAAGCTCGTTGACTTTTTACAGAGCGTTTCTCCAATCAAATTGAAAACTGGAGAACGTTTGGTGACTCATGATGCCAAATCCAACACATTCAATTTTAAATATTCATTTTCGTTGGAAATTGCACCAATTTGCAGAGAGGATTTGATTTGTTTACCAAAGAGATTGAGTACATCCATGGGTGGTATTGGACCTTTAGTATTATGCACAAAGGTGAATAAGAATTTATTCTTTATTGATCCAACTACTTTACAAACAAGCGAATTGGATGGATCTTTGTATTGGAGACAACCATTCACATCGACACTAACAAGCAGACAACTCTCAGAATTCACTGTTATTGATGTAGAATTGTTGGACTATTCATATTTCGCAAAAAATAACAATAACAATATGCCAGCAGCTAATGGAAAGTATGTCCTTTGTGAAGTTCAAATTGTGAGAAGTGATGAAATGAACATGGATCCAATATTCGTTAAATCTCATTTGGGCAACTTGCTACATCCAGGTGATACTGTGTTGTGTTATGATTTGAGAAAAGCACAATATGACGAAGGAGTGTTATCCGAGTACAAGAACTCACAAACTGAAAAACTTCCAGAAGCTATTATTGTGAAGAAAGTTTACAAGAAGAGAAGAGATAGAAATTGGGAGCTCAAGACTTTGGCCTCAGAAAAGAACTTTAACAATCCAAATGTTAAAGATGAAGGACCACAAGGAGATGATGTTGTCATGAAGAAGAAGTCAGCCAATAAGAAGGCTGAGAAATTGTCAGGAAATGAGAAACTCGATCAGAAGAGAAAAGAAAAGGATGTTGAAGAATTTTATCAAGAATTGGAAGAAGATAAAGAAATGAGATCCAAAATTAATATTTTCAAATCAAAGAAGAAGCAAACAAGTACAACCAATGCTGTCCCTAGTTCTACACTCAATCAAGATGAGAATGATGAAAGCAGTGATAGTGAAGATGAATTTGCTCCAGGAATTGCTGACGAGGAACTTTTAGATGAAGAAGAGTATAACAAGATGAGAGCAGCCAACAAATTAGAAGAAGAGGATGATCAAGATGATATCAACAACAACAATAGCACTACTGATGAAACACTTTCTGAATCCTCCAATGCTAAACATGAAGAGGTGAAAATTATTCAACAGTAAATAATAATAACACATTTCAACAGCATAGTATGTTCACGCAGCATCCGAATAGAACTTTCACGCACTCTTCAAAAAAAATGTTTCGAGACAAATTCAGTCGGTTTAGCGTACCCATCTTCCTGAACCCAAATTTATACTCCACTCAATGCTACTCGATACCTTCTCGTATATATCCATGCTCTAAAAAACACTTGACATCAACTTTCAAGGTTGGAAAGACATTTCATTCGAGCCGAACATTCTCGACAAGTCCATCCACTGTCATTCCCTCGTCAACACACTCATCGGAAATGATATGGTCTAACAAAAATTTTAAAAAGACACTCATGAACAACAAACAACACAATGATTCAAAATCAAATTTAATTATTTCAAATTTTAACAGAGTACTAAGCAAAAAATTTTCGTATTCACGACTTGATCAACAAAGAGAACCCTCTTTGACTCCTCACGAAACTTGTTCAAATTTACCAATGACTCAAATTCTCTCCATTGAAACAAGTTGCGATGATACAGCAGTTGCCATTTTACAACAAGATGGTATTTCAAAATTGTCTCCAAAAATATTATTTGAAAAGGTCATCACTCATCATGAATTAGTTGAACATTTTGGAGGAGTTCATCCAACAGAAATGGCAAATATGCACAAAAAAACTCTAGATGGAATGATCGAACAAGCCTTAAATTTTGTAAAATGTGAAAATGAAAATGTTAAAATTGATGCTATTGCTGTAACTATTGGACCTGGTTTACCTCCTTGTTTATCTGTTGGAGTTGAAACAGCAACAATATGGAGCCAAAAGATGAACATTCCATGTATACCCATACATCACTTGGAAGCTCATTTACTCATGCCCTTAATGTTTTCTAATACAGATATTCAATTTCCATATTTAGCATTGTTGGCAAGCGGAGGACATTGTATGATTGTGTTTAGTAAAGGAATTGGAGATTATGAAATTATTGGATCTACTGAAGATGACTCTATTGGAGAGGCTTTTGATAAAACTGCAAGATTATTGAAAGAGAGTGTTCATGGAGATTTAACTGATTATGCTTTGAATATTTTGAAAAATTCAACAAGTTGTTACGAACAGAGTGGTACACTAATGAATAATGTGTCAAGTGGTCATGTACCAAACAAGACGCATTTAAGTGGAGGAGCGTTGATTGAAATACTTGCCATGAAAGGACAAGCTGATAAATATCGTTTTGCAATTCCATTAAGGAAAGGTAAACGACATGAAGAAATTACTTTTTCTTTTAGTGGATTGAAAACTGAGGTATTAAAGGTAGTCAGGTCAGAACAAAATAATGGAGTTTCAAAAAGAGAGCTTCATCGCATGCTCAGCAAGCTGAGGAATACTACAGTTTCAGATGTGGGAAATGAGGCAAACGCTTCCTCTACCAAAATATCCATGGAAACTGCCTGTGACATTGCAGCCTCCATGCAACAAGCTGCATTCACTCATTTAATGGAAAAGTTACAATTAGCAATATTTAGATACAGATCCTACACCAACGAGTATCCAAACACATTGATTGTGAGTGGTGGTGTTTCCGCCAACGAATATTTTAGAAAACAATTGATTGAGCTGACAGAAAAGAATGAATACTCACTCAAGATTGCTCCTCTCAAATATTGTACAGACAATGCCGTAATGATTGGATTTGCTGCTTTGAAACGTTTGGCTAATAAGTGCCATGAGCCTTGCGGGACATTTGATAAAGAAAAGTATTTACCGAGGTGGACCATCACCTCATTAGACCAATTTTATAAAAGGCACTGAAGTGATGATGTGGCAGGTCGATCCTGTGACGAAGGTAAAAACGAACCGTTTTTGAGTGTATTCATCAATCCTTAGATTTTTTGAGCCATCTGATAATTGCAAATGTGATCAAGCCAAAGCCAGACACCACACCAATAACTTTCAAAGTTCTCTTAACCAGTGACTCCTTTTTATAAAGGTCGCCACCATCTGAGTCATCATCAACTTGATTGTCGTTAATTTCGTCAATATCACACATGGACCATTTTGGAAGGCATCCAGAGTCTTCAGGATTCAAAGCAACTTCCAACAAATCAGAGAAAAGAGTCTTGATATTGTTAAGTCCTTGAGAGGAAACTAAAGAGCACAAATATGGAGGCCATATCAAGGAGAGAGCTTCACAAAATTGCTTTGGAGTGACATCTCCCATATTTTCCTGCTCGACAATTTCCAGATCGTGTTTCGTCAGCATGTAAACACATGGAATACTTGGATCTAATCCTCTTTGAATGTGTTCAAGAAAACTGAATGAGTATCTATCATTTCCATCAAATAGTAAGAGGGCAACATCACACTTTCCCATAATTTCTTCTGACTTCAATACCACAGGTATTTCTTTATCTTCAAACTCTGTAATGATGAGATGATATTCCTTATTTTGCAGGTTAATACGATCAACAACAGAGTATTGGACTGATTTGATGTGAACATCTCCATTGAGTGGTTTCTTACCAATGAAATGTCTCAATATTGAAGTCTTTCCACAATTTGAGGCTCCAAAGACGTAACAGTGAAGAACGCTTGGATAATCTGATGAAGTTTGTCTGAACAATCTCTTCCTACCCATTCGATAATTGTTATAATGTTTGGGATGAAAGGTGTACATTCCAATACTTACTTTTTGATCTCAATTAATTTATCAATTTCAGAATATCCCCATTCAAATAGCAATGAATGTATCTGTAGCAGTTTGTAGTGGCGATCAATTGCCAAAGGAAATCCATGCATGAATATCAATTTGTTTTTCTCCAACGGTTCTACACGAATCAAAATAATTTGTAGACATTTCATGGAATGGACAAACTGAGGTCAAACTGAATGCTTCATCAATATCTTCTTCATCTAATAGCCCGTCATTGTCCTTATCAAATCTGCGGAAAATGTGAGAAAGGACTTGTTTCCCTTCCTCGCTTAATGTAATGACATCTTCGTGTGAAATGTCAGGAGAAGCCTCAGAGCTAATATGGATCAGTTCCAAAACATTTTGAGATTATTGGCCAATTACTGTAGAAACTTACATAAAATCGTCAATATCAAGCACCAGTCTGTCGTTATAGTTAAATTTCTGTACCATATTCCAAACCAAATGTTCGTGCCTGGTCAGGATTAAGGTCACCATAAACCCTAGAAATGATTCTAAACTCATGGTCTTTTCATCCTCGTCAAAGGATACTTGGTCCTCTTCAGAAACTCCCAATAGAGATTTTAAATTCTCAACTTGAATCTGTCCACTGTTATGTTCATCAATTAACCAAAATATTCTTCGCAATGCTTTGTGACATTGACTTGTCAGTCTTTCCTCAGAAAAGTTGTATAAATAGTCCGCAGAAAAGAAAAATAATTTCGATAAATTAAAAAGCAAAACTTCAATATTTTCTCTCGTCTTGGAGCTATACTCGAACACTCCTTGAAATCTGACGTACTTTTCCACTTCTGAACAATTAAATGACTCAATCGTTTCAACAGTGTCCACCTTGGATTGAATAATGTAGAGCATCTTTTTACTTCTCACTATGTAAGGAAGCCATTCATCATGAAATCGTTGTACAGCTTGTGAGTTGTTGGTTTCAATCACAAAGATTATTAATTCTGAGCTAAGAAGAGGAACTGTGGAAAATATTGTTTCAATACTTTTTGAGGAATCTGTATCAATAAAGTTGAAAGTAATTTCTTGATTTTTTAAAGGAAAAGAAAATTCTTGAGGTGGAAGAACACTCGGAAGCTATTGGTATTACATAAATCATTCGTATCATCATTGCACGATTAGTTATATTTTTATAATACATTCACAAATGCAATTCAATCAAAATTAGAATATTTTCATTGGTGTGTTATAAACGAAATGCTTTGAACTTGTTGTGCTCAAAACATACCTCTCCTGAATCCCCTCTATTAGGATCAAAAACAATAGAGTCAATGAGCCGAGTCTTTCCGCTACTCTTGTCTCCGATGACGATCAGGTTGTGGTAATTGTTCATTTGCTTTATTTTTTCAATGTGGCGCGAAGACTAGCATTTGGTCTCATTGTAAACAACAAAAACCAAGTTGACCAAATTCATTAAAAATTCTTGTTGAAAAAAATACGTCAAAATCGCACATTGTAAGTGTTGCTCTTATTTTTTCTTCACGATATTTAGAATGTTGCTTCTTTGAACAATTGTGATTTTAATTTTTTATTGACAATAGAAACAATGACCGGCGGACCAACATTTAGATTGCAAAAGAGACTCGCTGCTGACATTTTGAACTGCGGCAAGGGAAGAGTGTGGGTTGATCCAAACGAATTGTCAGAGGTCTCCCAAGCTACTTCCAGAAACACCATCAGAAAGTTGGTCAAGGATGGTATCATCATTAGAAAGCCAGTCGAAGTTAGATCCAGATATAGATGGAGAAAGAGAAGAGCAGCCAAACTCGAAGGTAGACACATGGGTATTGGTAAGAGATTCGGTACAAAGGATGCTCGTAACCCATCTAAACTCCAATGGTTGAAGAGAATGAGAGTCGAAAGAAAGTTGTTGAAGAAGTACAGAGAAAATGGAAAGATTGACAAGACCTTGTATCGTGAATTGTATCTCAAGGTTAAGGGTAACGTCTTCAAAAGTAAGAGAATTTTGATGGAACACATTTTCAAGGCTAAGGCTGAAATTGATCGTGAACAAAGAATCAAGGAACAACTCAAGGTCAAGAAGGAAAAGCAAGAAAAGATCAAGTCCAAGAGAGCTGAAAAGTCTGAGTCCAAGAAGAAGAAGCAACTTGAACAAGCCGAACAAGCTGCTCAACAGGCTCAACAAAAGTAAATTACTATCCTTACCCACTAATAAAACCCCAAAATTATTAAATATTTGAAAATTACCCAAACTAATGCTTCAGCAACAATTTGGTCAGTTCCGACCTGGCAAACAATTGAAGGCAAAATCAGAGCAAGTTTTATTGTTCTGTACTCCGCTCTATGTTTTATACATGAAGAAACGTTTTTATGATTTTTTGAGACGGCGATGCCAAGTGTGTCATTAGGTGTGTAAAAACAAATGCGCACTAGAATCATCACGATAATAAATTATTCAATGTAACCGGATCTAGCATTGTTGAAGATTTGTACAAGAGCAGATCCAACAACCACAAACAAAAGGAAGGCCAACACTAGTGGACCAACTTGCGAAGATTCCTTGTTTTCAAGCTCCTTTCTTCTTTCCTTCTCTTCCGCAGTGAGCTTTCCTTTCTTCTCCCATTCCTTGCTCTTGATCTTTGCGATGGCTGGATTCACTCTTGATGGCATTTTATTTTGTTGTTGATTTTTGTTTCTTCAGTCTTTCACTATGACGTCAACACTTGGCCGTCTCAGTTGATGGATAGATTCAGTCTTTGCAACGCGTTAAAACAATTGGCAAGAAAACTGAAAGAGATTCAATTCATCACCTACAATAATGAGAGTCGAATTGCAGCAAAGTTTTGCGCCAAATGTTGTCGTTAGAAGTTGTTCGAGAAAACGCTGGATGCCAAACGTAAAAAATTGCCTGGTTCTCAAGTGCACTGGACGTTTGCCTTGGCTCGGAACGCACGACAATTATTATTGTTCGGAAACAATATTCAGTCAAATTTTACTTACTTTATAGTATGAATGAATGTATTTGCCTCTCAAGTGATGATGAAGACGAAGCAATACAGGAATCACCCCAAGTGGTTTTTGTAAAATCATCCTCTCGTGCCTTCACTTCATCAACAGCAAGCAATTTTTCAAATACTTCCGATCAGAATTTGACACAACCAAGGCCTATCATTGAGAATCACCTTTCACAAGAGGATGTTTGCATGATATTGAGCGACGATGAGGAAACCATGGCGTACACTTCTCCTCCTAAAAAAGATGAAGCAAATGAAATTGCCAACAACGCCAATGATGAGCCTGGTTTTTCTAACACCCTATCATCACCACCGATCTTTTTTACAAAATCATCTATCACCTCTTCAATTCCTCCTTTTCTGATGATGAACAACAATCTATTAAGCGATGATGAGGAAGAGGAGGAATATCAATACAAGCTTCCTTCTCCTCCAATTTCAATGACTGAAAATCAACCCATCAGAGAAAGTGAACGTTCATTGTCTCAACATGAATATTCACAAACATTTTCAAATCACACAATACTTACATCTCAATCAATGGAATATAGCGATTCTCAAAACAGCTCCCAATATTATGAAAGCCAATCTCAATCTTTTGGCTCTTGCTCTCAACTAAGTTTTTCGGCCAGCAGAAAAGGCACGTTTAAGAAAATTGCAATAGGAAAATTTGCTGCATCAGAAATTGTGACAATGTTTGATGAAAATTTGCAATCTAGCGTTGGAGGTGAAGACATAATTTCTGATTTTACTCAATACATTGCTAGATCAGATACAAGCTTAGTTAATATCACAAAATTGCCAATTGCTCACTCCATTCAATGGAAAAGAAGACTTGCGTTGGATTATGTATTATTTGTTTTTCAAAAGCAGAAAAGAGATCCAGGCAATTCTATTCGATATGATTCTTCTAACATGGAAAATCAAACGGTCGAATTTTTTATTCCATCAATCGCCATTAGAATGACTGGTTCATCGTTTCTCAAAATTTATACTGCTTCAAAAGAGAGCAACACAAATGTACTGCACAAATACCTAACCGATGTCATTCATAGATTGGATTGTGAGGAGGGTAAAATTCTCATGCAGGAACATATTTATCCTCATTTAAATGGAGCAAAATTCAAAATTATTCTTATCATTGAAGGACTCAATGAATGCATTAAGAAGTATGAGAATGAACAATACCAAAATTCTTTGCAATCTTCCAAGAAAAAAAAGAAGCCAAACAACTCACTACCACAAGAACAACCTAAACGGAGGTCATTTCAAAAGGAAGATATTGAGAAATTCAAGTTGAAAACATTATTTACATTAGAGAGGGTACAAATTGTAGAGACAAAAAATCTAACTCACACAGCATCTATTTTGAAAGGAGTAACCAATCGTTTTCAAATAGCTCCTTACAAGAAAATTACATCTGCTGTCGATTTTATTCAAAAGCCATCAGGAGGATTGAATTCTATCGACTCGTGGACAATGCAACTTATTCAAATTCCAAAGATATCTGAAAAAGCTGCCAAAGCAATCGCCCAACAGTATCCATCATATTCGAGCTTGATGAAGGCCTACAAGAAGTGTAAAAGTGAAACAGAAAAGAGACTTCTAATATCTAGCATCAAGAATGGAGAAAAGAGGTTGGGAGACTCAGTTTCTAGGGCTCTCTATAACTTTTATTGCATGGACAATGAAGACAATGAAGGAACGGAGCACAATATTTCAGAAGAAAGCAACTCTCAAAGAGGTGGTGACACACAAGAGTTGCAAAAAAAGAAAACTCAACAACCTAGAAAGAAGAAAAAGACAACTTCAACAACATCATCCAGCACTGAACACTCTCGTTCTTCAGATAGACCTAGGGATGAGAGTGAGAGTATTCTTTTTGAGGAATTGTTGTAATCTCAAGTCTGTTAGTGTTTTTGCAAAATAATTAACGAAAAATATATTTGTCTGATGTGTTTTGACTTCCATCTAAATATGTGTTGATTTCTTGTGGTGTGTCTCTGTATGTATTTTCAACAAACTAATATAATTCAGAAGCACACAACAATTTGTCAACAAATTCAATGCAGGTTCATACAACACATCTTGAATACAATGAAGAACCACACTTCCATACAACTGAATTAAAAAATTGGTACATTGTCACAATCCGAATTTGTTGTTGATATGGACTTGCCATTTGTTTGTGATTGTTGTCATGAACTAGTTAATTCAAAAAGTTGTAGAGAACAAGGGTGCCAAGGTGGATATCAGTTTCTCTGTGGCTGTGGCGAAATTATTGATGTGAATTCAATTAGAAGTCATAAATGTAGTGACAAGAACATCAAAGGCAAGGGCAGGAAAGAGTTCCAATTTTCTAATGATAAAGCTGATGCTAAAGGGGTGATTATCTATATATTGGAAGCAATAATGGATTAACTCAAGTGAATTGTAGCACAGTTGGGAAGAAAAGAACAAAATCAGCAAAAATTGGGGTTGAAGAGAGTTTCAGGTTGTGTTTTAGCATACTTCTCTGAAAGGCAAAAAGTGGATGTTGGATTGTTTCACAAATATTTCAATCAACATACCAGGTCTCATTGCATTGCTCAGTCATCTGTCACCAAATATCAAAGAGCCTTGTGTTTGTATGAAGAACTCTCCCAAGTTACAATTAATACTCAAATAGATAACCACAACATATTGCATGTTGCTACTCCAATAGCTGAATGTTGGTTCAGCATTGATGGGTCAAACAATCTTGTCACTAATCTCAAGAAATGCTCTTCACATATTGTTGCATTATAATAGAAAAAATATCACTTTGGAAGATCTAGCTTTGAAGGATGTAGAAATATGCTCTGATGCAAGTCATGTCATTCCAGGAATTTTTGATAGGCTCAAACAAAAACTTTCAGATGAAAAAGGGTTCAAGCTTGACATTTTCGTTAATAATGCTAAAAAAATTCTGGGTCATAATGTTTCTTTGGGTATGATATCACATAGTGATTAGAAGTTCCTGTTGCTGCATGGATGTGATTTGTTTGGAAAAATGTTGCCTAAAGATTATGGACAAAATTTGTCTCAAGATACTTCTTGTGGAAATGATATCTCCAATTCTCATCCATTTGATGTGAACAAACCAAGTATTTTAGATGGTCATGTTAATGTAACCTATGAGCACCGTTTTTCACACTTAATCAGTAGTGGAATTACCTCAAAGGTTCCAGATGTGGAAGACAATTCCAATAATAGAGTTGTAAAACAATCAATTGGTAATCTGTTATGGATGTTGACAATGCTGCAAATAATAACAGCAATATCTGTAATATCAGAGAATACCTTCAAAAAAAAGAAAACTGATTACCAACTTGCATTTCATATATGCACCTTTTTGTTAGGCATGTTATGTGTAGAAAGGTTTGGGCCTGAAATGCACACTCTATATTTGCATGAATTGATGTATCATCTTACAAAGCAATTAGAAAAACGTAGGCTAACTCTTTCCGGAACTGATAAATTTGAAGGGTTTTTCGCACCATTGAAAAAGCAATACCAAAAAGGGTGTAGAAAAGATGAGGCTGATCGTCATGTTACTATCAAACGAAATGGTCAATCTCAGCTTGGATTATTGCTTCCACAATTTGTAAAAAGTAACAATAATTCCAAAATTTCAGAGTGGCTGGAAACTTTTGAACTGAAAAATATTTTCATACCAAAAGAGTTAATAGTATCATCTGATATTCATAAGAAGAGCTTTGAAGCTAAATTGAAAGAGCTATATCAGGTATTTCCAACAACAAAGTTCCTTGGAGAAAAATCCATCTCTGACATAGTTGTAATTAGAGAGGATGGAATTCTATTTAAATTCTCTGCCAAGCCTGAAATTTACCTGAATAATATTACACCATGTTGCTCTCGAATGGAACAAGATTATTCCTCAAAATCTTGTTCCAATGATGGCTGTTCCAATATGAAAGCTGCTTCATGTGTTATTCATATATGTGTATCATGTTCGTAATGGATGTGTTAAGGATGCACATATTTGCACTTACCATAAGAAGAGCAAATTGTACTCTAAGAATGCAAATCTAAATATTGACACTCAAAATCCTCAGAGAAAAACAGCTGTAAAATCTAAAGCTCCACAAGGATCGAAAAGTATAGTACGACCTGTGTTTGGGGAGGTTCAATTCATAAATGCAACAGTTGAAAGGAATAACCAACACTATCTCCCAACAGGTTCTACTTTGACATGGGTGCCAGAATATGGTAATAATATCAATAATTCGACAACAAATCCACTGGCCAAAATTAATCCTCCATCAAAAATTGCTCACTTCACACAAAATCAAAGACTAGATAATCAACAACCAAAAGACTCTCTTACACAAACATCAGTGTACAATATTGGAACACAAAATGTCAACCCAATAACTCGATCATTCTCTCAACAAGTAGAGGATCAATCATCTCAACAAATAATTAGAAATGGAGAATCAGTAATATCGGAGAGAATTGCTAGTTCAAGACCATCATCACAATATTCTCTATCTAACCCACCTTATACCACAATAATGGGACAAAGATGTAGCTCGGACATAACACAACTAATTGCAATTCCATGTCAGTCCTTTGACAATATTACAACCTCGAAAAGAATTGTAAATAATTCAAGATCCAACACACTCAAACAATTCAATACCGGAATGACAAGACAAGGTGAGAATTCAATAACTCAATTGTACTCTCAACCAACAAGAAATCAGTTCTCATCTCAATTACTATTGGATCAAGTGTCACCATCGCTGCTCCAACCACAAACAGTTAAAAAATCTTACTATCCATTCGAAGAAAGTAATTGTCAACAATTTGTCAGCCCTGGAATATTACATCCATTCAGTGGAATTACAGAATGTGCATCATATTCAATGCAACTTCCAGAGTGTACATTCAGCAGTGAAACGACACTACAAACTCTCTCTCAGTCAATAGAAAATCAATCATCATCTCAGCTAATGGGCAGTAATCCGAGAACAACATTACACTCAAGCCATGAAATTTCGGAAAATGCACAACATTCATCAAAGAGTTGTAACATCAATCGTATTGCCACAAGCCTATCCCGTTTGTCATCAACTCACAATCGTGTAGAACCATATCCAAGGAACCCACAACAAAACCGAATCGGAGCGCAAAGCCAATTCCAACAAAATTGTTTTGAATTTTCTATGAATACACCTTCTACGGTAAGTGTTTGATTAACGTTGGAATGATAATTATTATTGCCATCAGAATACTACGAACAAATGTAAGAGAAAAGAGAACTATACCTCTGCTAAAAAGAACAAATAACTTCACACAGGGCAGTGGCTGTATTTTTTTGATGTTTCTGTTGGCTCAACTGACAATTATCACTACAAAAACAACCAACAACGAACAACAGTGAATGATTGAAAGCATTGTAGATAATTCTATTGAATCTATCTCGTTTTATTAATTAATTATTAAACCAAAAGGCTTTCTTATTGTTTTACACGATTAAAAGTGAATTAATACACAGCAACATCGGTACAACAGCAAGTTTTTTGTGTGAGATGTCTTGTGACAGCTCTCTCGGAACAAGTTTGTGCAGAGAGAGTCCATCAACATGCTTATTTATAAAGTTCAAACACTAACATACTTGAGATGTCACTCATGCTCGAAGTCATCCATATTTGCGTCAATTCATCATATTTGGAAAGTGACTTGTTTGAAACAATATCTTTTCAAAAACAATGAAACAAAGATCACTGCAGTGGGCATCAAGTAATTTATTCAAACGAAATATTAATTTTATCAAGAAGCCGCTCTTGGGAAAGGAAGCAACAAGTCAATCCAAAATTCAAAGCACTATTGCCATCCACTCTGATTTCTCAATTCATTCATCCTTCTCATTTCACACACATTCTACTTTATTTGCTTTCCCTTTGAAGGCAACCGCCAATCCAAATACAACTTCTACTCAACCCAAAGAGACTCATCAGTTAGACGTACAACATGGAGCAGAAATTCAACAAATTATTACCGAACACTACAATGCCCACACTCCTTTGTTTGTGTCAACAGGTAGAAATATCGAACATGGTCCATATTTGGATACCAAACAATTGGAATCAAATTATATAACGGAAAGAAAACCATTGAAAGGTTTCTCTGAATATTTGGCTTATTCCATTGTCAGATGTATTAAGGGTATTATTCATGCGTTTTTTGGCAAGAGTATGTAGTTGATATCTCTTACGTGGAGTTTATGATTCTTGTCAGATTATATTCATCATGCTTTATGCTTGGAGGCAATTGCCAGCATACCAGGAGTTGTTATGGGAACCATCAAACATTATGCCTTTATTATTAGATTGAGGAGAACAGTCTCTGTTGATTCCAGTGTTATGTTTGATGAAGCAGAAAACGAGAGTATGTTGTTAATACGATATCAATATTGTACTTATTTAAATGATTGAAGATATGCACCTAATGATTTGGACACAGATAACATCTCCAACATTTGTGGAACGTATTTTGGTGGTGAGCTAGCTTTCTCATTTCGAGAAGATTTGTGCATAAATTTCTATCATTTCTGGAAGAAGAAGCAATTCAGTCCTATACTCAATTGTTGGAGGACATTGATTCAGATATTTCTCGCTATTCCTCTATTCACATACCTGAAGTAGCCCTAAAATATTATAATTTAGATCCAGTTAAATCTGAATTGAGAGATTTAGTGTTGGCAATTAGAGCCGATGAATGCCATCATAGAGATTTCCATCGATTGAAGTCTTATTGGAAAGAAGACTTGCAAAAGTTCTCCGTTTGAAACTTACTGTCGTTCATGGGCGCAGTGGAAAACATTTTAAAAAAAATAATAACATTTGACAGCTCTGGCTATTTCGTATCATCGGTCGATCATGCCCATTGTTGCTCACTTTTAATGAAACACAACTTTCATCAACTCTCCTTCTTTTTGACAAGATTAAAACATTTTCATCAACATGTATTATAGTACCAATAGCCCTCAAAACTCAACACCACATCATCATACCAATTCTACAACATGTCCGTCCATCACAACAAATTCCGAAGAAATTTCATCTCCAGTCAAAACTATTAAATCATCGTCTCCACAAAATAATTTGATACAAAATATAGCCTCACATGTCATTCAAGAGGATTTGGAACTCTATGATGGAACAAAAAGTAGATCTATTTCAAATGCTTCTTCAGTTGCATCAACAACTCGATTAATCGAAATGCACGAGAAGAATGTAATATCATCATCCGCAAGATATATTGATTTTAGTACTGCTTTTGATTACTTTGTAAATCAGAAAAAAGAATTGGACATCAATAACACTGTAAAATTTACAATGAAGGAGGGTGAATGGACCAATGTTTCAGAAAATTGTTGCTTTTGCATGACACGAAGAAGAAGAGTTCTTTTCGAGTCTTTGAATAGTGATTTATTGGAAGAACTACGAACTTATTTAGCATTAATGACAGTACCATTCAGTAATTCAAATTCAATTCACACAGATATGTGTCAAGAGGTTTTTTACTCGATCATGGGAAGGGAGATTAGTACCAAGGACAACCTGGCTACGGTTGATGTTGGAAATTCACAACCCAATACAATGATTACTAAGGGTAAGTGTTGACTCGTATTTGATTATAATATGATAGATAATACTACAAATGTTGCACAATTAGAATGGGAGCTGATAGGTTTTTTAGGACCAAATCTCGAAGAGGAATTTCGAGGTTTTGGTGTACTGGGTGCTTTAATGTTATTATATTTCTGTACGCATCACAAAGAATTGGCTCAAAAGATTTATGCTCTTTCTCTCCATGAAAAAAAACACTTCCCATTTGCTATTTCAGTACTACATTTACTAAAAATTGGTAAGTCGTTGTAGTATTATGCCTCTCGTTCATGAAATTCAACATCATGAAATGTTCGTAACGATTGAACATTTGAACATTTCAGCGATTGATCTCATTAAGGGAAGGAGGTTTAACAAGTTTATCAATGAAAATCATAGTGTCATGCGAACAATGCAAATAGTACATGCAGATATTTGTAGAGAGTTTCTAAAACTGTGGTCAAGCAAGTCATACACGGAATTGGATTTTCATCACATCATTGAGTCCTACAATTTTGAGATTGTACACAAGGAAAGTTATGCAAAGAAATTATTACTTTCAGATTGTACACAGCACATGTTTCATCGTGGTCATGACTCTCCAATATCACAAGAAAGATCACCTGCTTCACCTTCTTCATCTTCACAACAAACAACTCTCAAGAATAGAAACGTTTTCAAGTAGATTTCAAGTTCATGAACTGTGTCCTTGCAAAATTGTCGTGATTGCCACACTTCATGGACAAAACAGTTTGGAACAATAACAACTTTGTGTTTGCCTTTGCAGTTGGTAGCAAACGAGCTTCTTCGATCGAGGGGTCACATTTCAATGGGCTTTGTATGGTGTGGCGTTTTGTAATTTTTGAAATGCCATCCCGCTTCTTATTCTTTCGCACCACTGTTGGGCATTTTAACGAGAGTACCATCAAAAAAAAATAGCAACATTGACGATCAATTATTTCGCGTTAAAATTGACGAATCATCATCAATTATTATTATCAATAATTGCGGAAAACATCAACAGCAACAAGACCAGCTATACAATACAACATATAAATTTTTATTAAATATATTGATTGACATTCTTGTGCATTGGAATGTGGAAAGTCTGATTATGTTTCGGAGAGTATACCGAAACACAGGGGACAAGCTTATTCTTGTGTGGCACATACTTAAGAGAGTGATCATCCAAGTTCTCTAACTCCAAACTGTGTTGAGTTGATTTTTTGATTTTGAAGAAAGAGGTTTTGGGCTCAGACTCAGTAGAGTCATCAGTTTGGGCAACAACATCAGTATTAGTCTTCAGTACATAATTGCCACAAACACACTCTGATTGTCTTAGTGTGCTCAATTCATAAATGTCACATAATTGTGCCATATCAAAGAACATTATGGCGTATCTTGCCGAGTTGGAGGATATGAATGCTTTGGTTAAGGTGAAGTTAAGAATTTCTCCCAAAAAAGCTGAATTATGGACTAACGGACCAAATAATTCGGCACTATTACCCAACTCAGAAGCTATATGGAAATTTTGGGTGGTTTTAGCAATTCCTGCTTCCTGTTGATATTCTTCCAACACTTGCCACAATTCATTAATGATAACTGGTAAATCTGCGGTGCGAAAACAATCATGTAATTTGTCTAAAACGTTGACAAATCTTTTCAACATGCTGACATGTTTTGATATTTCCTCAAAACCTTCAATTTCGTAGAACAAGTCTAGATAATAATGTACTATCATATATACCTCTATAGCTTTGAGATGACCTAGATTTTTAGTGATAGATCGTGGATGTCTATGTAAGAATGATGGAAATTTTTGTTGGAGATATAATTTGTCGAACTTCTCCCAACAAGGTATTTGAATTAATGACATCATGTCACGCAAAATTCCTTCGTATAGACAATGCATTGAATCATATGATCCCATATCTGTTGGTGTAGGATTCCAATTCTGTTTCAAAATGGGAGAGTACTCAGATGATGTCATTCCATATTGTGTTTCAAGATTTTCACCTTTTACGATGTTCCAAAAATCAATATCACGAAAACAGTGAACAATCCTTTGATTGCTTGGAATCACTCTTCGTAATGGATATCTAATAGCAGTTGTTGATTTGGAATTGACTTCTACACTCTCTCCAGGAATGGCACATAAGTGACAAAAGTAGTATCCTGATGCTTTGAAGAACAAAATTTCAGATCTTGCCGGTAAGTCTGCCAGCACTCTATCAATTCTCATCTCAAACTTTTCATAATTTCCGTTAAAATAGTTCAAATCATCCATTAGTATTTGTAGACATAATTTTATCATGTCATGATTAGGTTTAACAGGTATTACCATCCACAATATATTGTTCTTCCTCTTTTTCCTTAAATGAGGTGGTAATTCGTTCAAGCTAATAGAAAATTGGTAAAAGCTTTGTTGACTGGATTGAAATGGTGAAACTCCATCTCCATATAATGTCGATGTTTTACCACCATCAGCCACAAATTGTTCATGCTTTGTTTTATAGATTTTACCGTCACATCTATCTTGGATAATACCTTCAGGAGACTTTTCTAATTTAAATTGACTAAGGAAATTAGGATCTCTCCATGCACGTTCTTCAAATTGAAATTTGAGAGGTCTAAGAAAACAATGATCTTTCATTGATTTCCAAGCTTTTCCACAAGTTGGACAATTTTTATGAGTGACATCTTTTTGATATTGTTGACATTCTAGGCACATTGGAACTTTTCTTGTTTTAGATGATAACATGAAATGATTATAGTATCCAGATAGTGAGAGGTGGTCAATTGCATATTCTCTATCAGCATCACTTTTACATAATTGAAGTGCTTCTTTAACAATTTCAATCACTTGCTTTAAACAATTCTCAGAGAGAGATGCTGTGACTGTAAACCTCAATATCTTTTTTAACAATGCATCAAAATTCTCGTTTGTAGCGATATTAGATTTTACACTTGAAAATGAATGTTGTGTTAGAATATCTTCATCACAGATAGTTCCACCTTCATCGTTATAAAAGGAACTCAAGAATTCTTTCAATATGTCATCCATACCAGAGACTTTTGGTAGAGAGTCCAATAATTCTTGATCATCATTAACACCATGTGTAGAAGTATCAACAGGAGTGTAATCATAATCTGTTCCTAAATAACAGCTATCATGATTGCAACACGATTGGCCGTCACCACATTTTGCTTTTTTATGACATTGAATACTATTGGATGGAATGTTGCGAATGTCTATATCGGCAGTGGTACGTTTATTATTTTGAACAAGGGGAGAAGAGTATTGGGATGCCTTATTATTTAAAAAGTTTACCCCTTCAATAATCTTATTAGAAATGGAGTGATGTGATATAGTATCAGAATGATGAATATTTGGCTTTTTCCTTGAGTATTGTAATTGAGCCATTTTTTTTAAAGAATTTTACAGTGCAAGATCGAATCGACTCTCGTTACCCTGTTTTAAAACTGATTACAAAAGTTTTGATCCATGTTAACATCACATCCATGTTAACGGTTTTGCAACAGTAAATAAAGGCGGTACCATTCACTAATCCCACCCAAAGCAAAGTTTTAAAAAAATGGCAGGAAAACCAAAATCATCTAGCAATAGTAACACTAATACTCAAAAGAAACCCAGTAGTAGCTCTGATGTTGTGCATGAGGAGAACTCTCCCAAGATATTTGAGTTTAAGGAAAGAACACCAAATTCCTCGGAAACCATAGAGAAGAATGCAACTCAGTCGTTGCAGGAAGCTGAGGTCCATTTATTTTCCATGCTTAAGTTTTGCAATAACTTGCTTCTAAATACAGAGCTGAAAGATATGAAGAAATGTGATGCTCAGGGAGCTACATATATTTTGCTTTCAATTGTTTTACAATATAAGAAGCACAAAGTTTTTACAGGTTTTCAAGGCAAGAATGGAACTCCATCTAATCTCAAAGCCAATTTCCTTAAGCATTATGACAATGAGTTTCTCAAGAAATTAGTTTCCGAGGCTGTAAGAAAGATTTCCATTGCTCTTTTGAAGCTAAAAGGGTTTGAGATCGAAGAATTTGTATCTGAGGAGTCCGAATTGAAAGTTGGTGACAATGTTGAGATGTTAACACAAATAGATGACAGCACTTTCAGAATAGCTAAAGGAACGGTGGCTACAACTCTTGATTCAGAGGAATTTCTAATCGAAAATACTCAAATGTTCGTTGAGTCGTTTGACTTGGATCTTTCTAAACCATTCAGCAGGCAGAAGTTGCTGAAAATTCAAGACAAATCAGCTTCTCCTCCATTAATTGTAACTCCCTTCTCTAAGGTACACAGAGGTTTAAGCTCTTCCCAACTCTGTTCTGTGTCTAAAGAAGATACCATGTCCTCATTAAACAAGAATACAGAGAAAAGAAGAAGAGAAGAGGACAACAATGAGAAAGATTGTGAGGAAGCAAATGAGACACCAATAAAGAATAAGGTGAATGACAACGACGAGGAAAGTTTGCAAGACAGAGGAACAAACGATGATAACAAGGATCAACAATCTGTTGTGAAAAAGAAGAAGGTAATTGACCTTGCTCATGATGATAGTGACGAGGGTGAAATGACATTCCGTTCTTACAAGAAACAGAAGAAAGTAATAGACTTGGAAGAAGATTGGGAAGAATGGAATACATTCCAACTTTATAAAAAGGAAAAGGCAAAGAACAAGTTGCTCAAAGAGGAGGTGCAAGAGCTGACCTCTCTCCTTGCGCAACTAAACAAACCCCTTGGGATGATGGTGAGTCTACAACTACAGCACCCAGAGTTGCTGCCTTCTCAATCCGTCAATGTAACACTGGGATCAAGAACGGAAATCATTCCAGCTGGCATGATACAGCAATTGGTAAGCGCAAACAGGACGGAAAGGATGAAGATGATGAGCCTATATCTGTTCCGAAAGGACTACCTTGAACTGAACAATGAAGAGAAAAATTTATTGATAAACACTATCGTGGAATGCACAGCAAAGACGGGCGACAACAAGACTGTGCAAAAATATAAAGCATTGTATCGTACCATTAAATCGAAGGATAAGAAGTCCAAGAACGAGAAGGAAGAAGAAAGAGATGAGTAAAAGGGGTAATCGTAATAAACCGTACAATTAATTTTATAAAAAAATTTCCTCAACGTTGAAAGGGAGGACTATACTAACTACAAGTTTAATATCATTGATTCACCATCAAATTGAAATCCAATAACTATTAATCTTTAGTTGGACATAATACAGATCAATTCGTCTTGGAACACTCATTCTATGTAAGTAATTTGCTTCCAAATTTATGCGAATAAGACCTGGGCTTACCACTGTGCAAACCTACAAAGAAACAAAGTATAAATTGAGAATGATGTTATTCCGTTAATCTGCCTTACAAAATAATCCGTCTATCTGTGTTCAGGAATTTTGTTTTGAAAGTGTTGAAGATTCTATCAACAAACCACAGTTAACAGAATTTGCTATGATCATCGTCCGTGGTTCTATTATTCTTTACTCTCATATTCAACCATATCATCTCATCAACGATACCACATATAACATCAACTCAAATAGCTGTCATCACGTGAAATATGTTCTTGTTGTCTAACAACTCCATTCATCAATTATTCACCACGGAACTCTTTTTTCTCCCGAGCCAACGACAACTTCGAATTTGATTATTTTCAATTTGGGTTCCACACTTTAACATCGAACTCCCTTAGCTTTAGTACCTACAGCATTAACGTAATCTTAGCAATCGAGATGAATAGCTCTTCCATTGGAGTATCAACTACATTCGTTCTCAGCACTTGCCTATTTATTTATTTATTTTAATATTAATTCGGAATTGTTGATATACATTCCGAACGTTATAGCATTCTCAACGTGAACTGACCAAACCATGATAATATCTAATCTCTTCACAGAAATATCGTCATCCTATTCAGAAATTATGAAGAAAGTGTTGAACGATTGAACTAGTTTGCTGGATCTTGAGACGTAAATTTTGTGGAAAGAATCACATTAGATTGGATTCCAAACGATATTTCAACACCATTCCAGTTTTTTCCTCAGAGTGAAACAATCTCAAAACGATAAGAAGAGCAATGGACAATATCAAGTTGCAACAAGTAATCCATAACATTGGTCAACATGTAATCCTTTATCACGACAGACCAAGCACACAAGTTGCTGTAGTGATTTTGAAGTGATTGAACAATATTCTTTGACATCAAGTTAAAAAAGGACTGTGTGGCTGAGACAAGATTTCATCATAGTTTGTTTGTTTCGTTGTGACAACAACTGTCACTTGACGAACTTAATTGGGAATACTAATTAATCATTAATGCTTTTGATGATGAGAAGTTTGGCGTCATCATAGTACTATGAGTCCTTGACACAACCTTGAAAATCTTCCTCTTGCAATTGCCACTGATGCCTTAAATGTCAAACGAGGATTTCTTGTCATACTCTACTGATAGCCACAATCACCAAGACTCACGATTCGACCAATATCCGTGAGCCAGAATAGGAGTGGTAAAAGATGTACAAATATATTGAAGATGGTGAGTGTTTCAAATTTAAAGCCATGAATACCTGTTTTTTAATCTTTAGTTGAACGTAATAGGACAGTGATTCAAATCAACCCATGAACATTTGATACACTCACATTCTCTGTAAGTATCGCCTTTACATTGAAACATGGTTGTGAACTATATAGGAATTGAAGTTAGATCCTTGACATAAGCATTATGCCTCGCTACAAAGATACGGTATGTTTCTACATTGTTAACAACAACACGAGTTTGGAATTAATTGGAGGAAAACTAATGGGGTTTGAAACTCGCCAAACAACCATCCTTAGGATTGGTGTTTGAGGGATTTTCTGCATATTTTGTCATTAGACTTTATTGAGCAGATCAAATCACTGTTCACATAGTAGAAGGTAAGCGCTTATATTTGAGCCTTTTTCAATATTTCATTCAAAACATTTCTCAGTTCTCTATGAGCTCCTCTCTATTTCTATTTGTTAGTTCTTGTTCAGAGTATTGGAATCATATGTATGTTCATGTTAAATTTTGCGTACATGACAATGAGATTAGAACAAGTATATACTCCACTATTTAAATCGCACCATGTAAGTTATTTCGAGTATTGTTGATGCATCTGCTGTACTGAAATGTTATTTTCATTGTTGAATTTGAGAAGAAGGGAAAAGGCGTTTTTATTTGGAGTTGATTTATCTATTGGTGATTCTTTTGATGTAAAATTTAAAGGTAAGTTATGGAGGATGAGCTGGTAGTTTTTGAATGAACGAATTGTCAAACAAATTCACTTTTTACTGTGATCATAAGTGTAGACTGATGATGTAAGTAATTACTTTGAATTAGCAATCTCGTGGTCACTAAATAGTACCGCCTTATTTCAGAGCTCTATATATTTAATTTGTTGAGGATTGAGGGAATGAAAATATTTATTGTATTAATGTAACTGTAATTGATGTATTTAATTGAATGAGGAATTGATATATGGTGATACTGTGTGTTGAATGAAAGAATGTGGAACAATATGAATGAAGTGTCAGTGGAAGTGTGGAGAAATTGGAAAAGCGAAACAAGTAACAGAAAATTGTGAAAAATTAACAACAGGAAAAACGAAACTAGTAACAGCAATAATTGACGAAAAAACGAAACTAGTGACAGCAATAATTGACGAAAAAACGAAACTAGTGACAGCAATAATTGATATTTCTGCATCAATTTTCTACGTCAATTTCGAGCGTCAATTTGACGGCGCAATTTCTAAAACGTTAATAGGGATTTTTGACGTTTTTTATTGACGAGAAAACATTAATTTGTTACGTTTTTAAAATGTGAATAAAAATTTTTTCATCAACTTTGCGACATTAATTGTTTACGAATTTTTAAAAATAATTAACGTCAGCAAAGGGGTGCGGGATGACATTATAAAAAGAAATGAAAAATGCCGCTCACAACACTACTGTGGTGGGTCCTTTTACGGAACATCAGCTCCCGATGAAAGTCAACGACGTTCAAACATTAGCTAATTCTTACCTCCTGATGGATATGAGCCGAGACAACATTCATGAAATATTTACTCAACAACATAGGAATCATCATTTTGAACCAAAACCATTATTAATGTCTAAAGCCTCAACTGCACAGCTTCAACAGGCTTTTGAAAAAGCTCGGAAAGTCCAGCACCATCATCAAGATCCTGGTGCCTCCCACAACTATGAAGAAGTAAAATTAGAAGGAAAAGGATATTCCGTTGCTTTTAAAATTCCAAAGGGAGGTTGGAGAGATCAACAAAACGAGGATTACGAGAAGAGCACTTCTGTTGATGCTTATGCAACAAAGGCTACAGAAATTATTGGAGCTGGGTTGCCATCACGAATTGTTGATATTGATGTCAAGGAGTTTGATCGATTGATGCAAGGGGAGACAGGAATTACATTTACTAACAAACTAAACTCTTGTCAAATACCCTTTGATTCCATGAAAGAACGAGATAAAGCCATTCATCATGCTCTTGAAACGCACAAGGCAAAAGTAATAAGCAAAATGAGGCAAAAATATAAAAGAATGACAAAGAGAGGAATTTTTGATGATGAAACAAACAGAATACGAGTCGAAAATATGTTAAGATGCTCATTCTCAAGGTTAGTACGCAATTATTCTGAAAATTTCTGACGTGATAATGACGATCCTTGAATAGGTTTGATCCAGCAAAAATTCATGATATTCTTTTGCAAGATTCAGGGTTTGACCATGAAATTTTAAATAGAGTAAGAGGAATAGGAGGTGGTGGTGGTGGCACACCGAGACATGGTAAATCGAAAGCTGAAAACTCGTATGCATTTCTATCTGGATTATATAATGATTCTGACAATACTAATGAGAACGATCAAAAACGCCCCGACAACCCAAATGCAATTCTTTCAAAAATTCCAGCAGCTTCTGAAAAGAAAATTCACAAGAACGCTGAAGAAACGAGTCCTGTCGATTTTTTAGACAAAATTCTCTCGTTTAACATGACGCCTATCACACCACTATCAAGAAATCCTTTTCTGTCAGAAGATGTAAAAATGGTTCTCGATAGAGATCTTGGAGATGTTGGAATGGATGGACCTAGGCACAGATTTTCAAGAAATGCTACAGCCATTAGAATATTATTGCCAAAGAAGAGAGAAAAAGAGAGTAAAGAAAAGCTATCGGCAAGAGGAAAAAACTCGGATTCCAAAAAGAAAAAATTCACATCTCCCAACACACAAGAAAAAACTGAAAGCGAGGAAATTATTCTAACAAGCAAACAGATCAAAGAAATGATAAAATATGACCCCTCAAAGTCAGGAGAAAAACTCTTGTCAGAAGTCATGCCTTCCATTGAATACAGTGTTGCTGAAATGCTCGAACGAATTTTGGAAGATGAAGAAAAACAGCAAGAAGAGGAACAGATGCAGGCAATATCGTCCATTTCAGCATCCAAAACTGACTCTCGAGGATCAAAATTAGTCTTTGATGCGAGAGACACTTTTTTCTATGAAACTGTGGACTCTACTGCTGAAATGGAGAGAGTGGTGCAAAGAGAAGCGTTCATTAACAAAGAGTTCCAAGAATTTAAACCAAAAGAAATTGAGAGGCAAAAAGAACAGCTTACTAATGCTAACATGAAAAAAGCAAAACTGACTATCCACAACTTGCAAAATATACATATGAACAGTGAATTTCAAGAATTACTTTCTCCAAAAAGTAAAACTATGCATGACGATGAATGGAAAAAGAGAGACAAAGAAATTTCAGATCTTTGTGATACCTTGGAAAAGTTGATTATTGATATTTGCAGAGAGATGAAACAATTTAATGAAAGCAAACTAAATAGCTCTATTATTCCTCAGCATCAAGAAATAGAGAGAATATCAGATACTCTCATTACATGTTTGAAAAGAATACCGTTTGACTGGAATTCGAGAACAAAACGAGAATGGGCTCAAGGTGCCGAAGTATTGTTAATGTGGCAAATGAAGCTATCTTCTCCTTTAAACATCAACAAGGAGGACCATATTAAGGATCTAGCCCGATTTTACGTAAGAATATTTTACGAAAACGATGTCCTGATGAAAAATTTATTTCTTCATTACAAGGAAGCTGTGATAGACGAAATTAAGAACGGAGAAGGTTACAAAAAGATGAAAGCAGGAAATCATGAAGATATAACGCTTCCCAAAATTAATGCATTTACAGTTTGGAGCGACGGCGCGAAAAATTCAGAAGTTGACGACCTTGACCTATTTTCTTACCCTCAATCGTTTGATCAGCAACGTCAAAGAGTTTCAAATATCAAGAAGATGTTATTTATCATTATTAACTATGTTAACCATTGCAACTCATACACAAAGGATGTGTTTGGAGACCTTGTCTTATTTGAGAAAGATAGGTATCAAAAAAAGGTTCTTATTCGAAAGGCAACTTTAAAAGAGAGTGGAAAGAAGAAAGAAGTACAGTCCATGATCGAAGAAAGGGGCCTAAGCACGTTTGCAGGTTTTTTATCATCTACAAATTGGGAAAATATTCCGCGATCTGTTGAAAAGCATGAGGAAGAGCTTGACTCTGAGGTTTACGTTCATAGGGAACGAGATTTTTATACTTCAATTTTTAGTAAGGACGTTGAGAAAATTGTTAACAACATTAGAGAAAGTAAGGAATCAATGAAGCTCGTGCATGGAGACCTATCTCAACACAAAATTGAACCTGTTTCCTTAACCAAGACCGCAAATAACCAAAACGATGTTATTCATCTTCACAAAACGTCATTTGTCAACGACGAACAACTGCTTGAAGAGTCTCTTGAATATCAACGATCATACTTGTACCAACCTCCCAACTTAAAAATGTCATCAAAAAGCCCTTCTCTGCCCGCTCACGAGAAGAAAATAAGTCCCCACGTGACAGAAGAAATTCAACAAAGTCTCATTCCTAAATTAATGGAAGAAAAAGAAACTAGCAATTTTCATAATTCATTTATGTTTACTCCAAGTGAACCAAGTTTTCGTGATCAAACAGAAAATACTCCAATTATTACAACTGAAGAGACAAGCAAAATAGAGAGTGGAAAAACTCAATATATAATTCAACAGAGCCGTGCTCCTAACGGCAATATTCTGGAACAGGCCAATAATTCTATCACTATGGACACTTTGGATGATTCATTCCATAAAGAAATAATGGAAGATATGTTTGGAAAAGATGAGAGAAAGGTGTTACTGAGCTCACAGCCTGAATCTCCCGAGGAAGTTATAAATCCAGTGTCGTCAATAATCAGTCCAATCACTAGTGATCATGTGAGTCTTCACTCACTTGAGTCCTCAACTGGAAGAAGCACTACTACTAGATTGGTTTCTCCAATATTGGAACTTCCTGAGCAGAGAACAGGTCACACCGATACAAGAAGATATACGCCCAGTATTACTCCACAAAAACTCAAACCAGAGCTCCAAGAAGGCCCAGTCTATACGCTGAGATCTACAGATGCAACTCCACAGAAAGTTGTATCAGAATCATTCGTAAAAAAGGAACCTACTGTTGTTGAGTCCGTTGTGGCCATCAACACAAAAGAACACAAAAAACCGCAAGAACCAGCAACACAAAACATACAAAACCAATCGGTGTTGTCATTAAGCGAACCACTAACTCCAAACGAAGAAAAAAAAGAAGTTACAAATGTCAACAAAAGTGGAAGAAAATCATCACAGAAGGGACCCAAATGGGTGACTCCGGAGGTGACATCCATTCATGAAACCAAATCAAGAAATTTAAGGAAATACTCTAGGCAAAGAAAAAAACTCGTACCAAGCGTGGAGAGTACGGACAATGACAGCACCAAGTCTTCTACAAACATTAGTGTACAGGATTTCACTCCATCAAGGGCTACATCTCCTATTTCAGCTGCTGATTTACATCAATTAACAATTTCGCTAGCACATCTTGACGATAGTGTTCGAATGGTATCGTCCAGATCATCCAACTATGTTGCCCTCAAAGACGACAGTCCAAAGAGTACACGATCAACTATTAGCGTGGACAAAAAGAATAAGCATTCAGGAAAGTGGATGTTGAAATCGACCGTGTTCCAAAGCTTCTTCGATTCTCCTCTTTATGTTTCTGAAGATGTGCAAGATACTAAGAAGAAAGATGAAGTCTCCTATGATAAGTTTGACAGCGTCACCTTGTTGGAGAAGCTGGAACAAACTTGGGATGATTTACTAATCCCTGCAGCCACTAAAATGAAGCTCTATCAAAAATACAGCTCGTCAAAGTACATTGGTAATGTGAATTTAATGAAAGATGCAGCAAAAACATGGAAATTGGGAGCCTCTTCGATCATTGCCAGAGAATCTGTGTTACTGCAAATGAATGAATATGAGAAAAGTTTAGCACAATCAGCTTCTAAACTACCGTCATTCTCAGATAAGGTTCAAGAACAAAAATTGAGGTCCAATCTTTTTAAGAGGCTCAGTGTTATTGCTTCAGAATGTGAAAAATATAACAGAAAGCTGAAGAAAGATCATGATGACCAATTGATGTATAAGAGTTCTAACCCATACGTGGAAAAGATGAAAACTGACTACCTGTCGATTGTGGCTGGCATTGAAAATCTAGCTGAGGAAATTCGGCCCGTGGATTTTGATGTTGTATCGCCGCGTTCCTTAAATACCGCCAAGAAAAATGCATCTGTGACTGTATGTAGTACGAATTTAATGTTATTGCTGTATTTACAATTATTGAATCAATAGAAAGTAGACCTCATTCTCAGTTATGATAAGAATAGATGAGAATGAATTTTATCACGTTTCAGCATTAAAACACCAATATTTGCCGCATACCAGTACAGAAAGATGTAGAAGAATGAATAATCAATCTTATGAGGTTTGTCTAGTTTTAAGCCCAGCATGCACCAAAATGTTTCGTAGAGAAGTAAACATCCAATAAACATTATAAATTGGCGTGTGATAAATTTGTGATCTCTTTTGAATGCAAGCCAGTGACTCTTTTGAAGTTGATGGAAGTTTTGTATGCAATAGATTAAACCAAATAAATATGCAGGTGTAAATGCCAGGGTCCATGTCAAATGCATCACAATATCTCCGAAGATATAACGCAACACTAGCATTTTGTCTAACTTGAAGCAAATAAGGCTAACCTGGAAAAGCAATGCTGTATTTACAGAACGTAGAGTCTGCATGGTGATTATTGGTGAGTGATTGTTATTCAACAGACAGTAAACTTACCTCCCATTTCTTTCTTTTTAGAATTTTCTCGCGTTGAACCTCATAAATAAAGTAGAAAAACTTTTGAACCATGATGGTAATGACTACAGGTATCATGCTGACTGTGTGACCCCAATCAAAAATATGCATAATGATGGGTATGCAAAATACCAATGGAATTGAGCAAAGTAGTTGCGTTTCAAAAGTCACATCTAAAAGAAAACTTGTGACAGTTGTCATTGAAAAAATCAATAGTCTCTCGTTTTGATCATGGTATGAAAGATTAACGTGTGTACGGTATACATAATAGCAAAATGCCAAACAGCAAGCATGGCTAAAGAAGACTGGTCCATAACATATAATGACATAGGTGCTATAGTACTTTCCTAAATATTCTATTTCTTTGAGATGGCCATTGTTTTCTAACAAAAGGGGAAGAATCAATGAGAATATTAAAATTCCAATGCTAAAGAATAAATAACAGATTTTCTTGAGCATTGGTAAATATTGAACAAATTTGTTCAAAGTATTGTACATTTCAATGAGGTCCTTCTTTCGTAACTTTTTCTTATATTTGTGAACTGCCTTGTTCAAGAATAATGACCTATAGCTTGGCGTATTGTCTGCTTCTGATTTTTCAGTGAAAGACGTTTTTTCGCACGATTCATTGTCTTGTGCTTCTCGTTCTTGTAACATCCATGATAAATATTCTTCTGATAAATGTTGTTGTCTTGGAACCAGAGCTATTCCATCTTTATCATAAATTGTAAAATCATTCACTGTTAGCCCTCCACTGCTATGAGATTCTCCACGGATCTGATCACATACAATATTTGTCAGAGATTTTGTGCAGACCATGTGCCCATAAAACGGATACCAAATTTCCGTTCTCGTTGCAAAGTCATACCATTGTTTGGATATCAATTGGCAAGTGAGCAATGTCTTAAAATCAACAAATGTTAAAATTAAATAATGAATTTCGGGAGGTAACAATCGAATGAGTTCCGACGCTCGATGGTTCTTGAAATTCCAATCATCAAAATTTGACTCTTCAGAAAAATGAGAAGAAGGAATGATTAGTTGTTTCTCAACGTTGGCAATTTCATCCTCATCAAACAAGCCTTTGATTTTAATTTCCTCTTCATCCGTTAAATCATCATCAAAAAGATTTCTAATTTTCATTTCATCCGTCTCGTCCAAGGATCGATCCCACCGATCATTCATTTTCGGTCGTGGAAGATTTTTTAGTGTGTTGTTGTTTGTCAACGTTCGAATTTTGTAAACCCTGGCTGTTAGTACGATTCAATTTCGTACAAAAGTCAAAAATCACAAGCTCCATGTGACCAAGAATCAGTTCTTGAATGTTCACATGTAAAGAGAGGTTCTCATATATGTATGTGACCCATCGTAATTTCATGTGTGGAATTAACAATTACAAATGTAGTATAACGTTCGAACCTCAAAATGGAATAATATCAGTTCAGCGGAAATTGCGCCATTTGAAACGACACAACGCTTGATTTGACACATTTTTTGATCGTTCGGATGTATGGGCAAATGCTTAGTGCACACTATTTTTTGCCTTAATGGGTGTTGAGCATTTAGCAAAAAAGAATGACTCTCGCGAACAGTACAAAACTGTTGTATTTAGGAGTGTGTGTTTGTGTATGGATACTTCTTGGCGTTGTTCAAGTACAAGGCTCTCAGTATGAGTTGTATATGGAGACTTTGTTTGGATCGGTAAGTATAGTGGCATGCTGAGCTGTTAAGATTACTTGAATATTCTGTTATATATCCTTAAAAATGTATATCCTTAATACAATGAAATCCGACAACAGTCGGTCGATGGTTATGCAGGAGAAAATCTTCCAAGCAATCAGGCAGGGATGAGAGGAGGTAATGTGCTATTAATCGATCCAAACGGAACACCATTTATTATACGGATGAGATGAGAGTCAGAAAGGTGGACTTGATCAACAATATTGTTTCAACAGTGTTTGGTACAGGTTATAGTGAATACAGGTGAGTACAATTACGTATGATCAGAGGTGTTTCTTGATCAGTTATATCTGTCCCTTAAAGTATTTCTACCCCAGGTTTAGCAGTGTCAAAATCTACATTCTTGTCCCCTACAGCATTAGCGTGGTGGAAAGGAAAACTACTTGTAGGTGAATCTTATGCGATCAGACAAATTGACATGACCACAGGAATCGTTAGCTTTTTGGCTGGTAGGTTCTTTCTTAAAATTCTATTGTAATATGAAAACGTTCTGTTAGGAAGTACAAACTCCATGCATTTGGACGATCCTGATCCTTCTCTTGCAAGATTTAGTAACATTCTTTGTTTGCATGTGGCCTCTAATGACGATATTTATGTATGCGATCGCAACGTAATTCGTAAAATAGATGGTCGACTTTGGCGGTTTCAACTGTAGCTGGAAGTGGAACTTTTGGGTCGGTGGTTGTCGAAGGTAGTCAAGCTGCAAGCACAGACTTTGGCATGTTGTGGGACTTGGCAATTGTAAGTTGTAAGATTGCGTCATTCAACAAGAGCAACTCTATACATCGTTAGGACCATCAAGGAAATATTTTAGCATTAGACCAATCACACTCAAGAGTACGCAAAATCACAAACAACAATGGAGTGTTCACGACAGTCAATACGTTGGTTGGTGTTGGTGGAGTCGGAAACTTGATGCAACCATACAAAATGTCCTATACTAGCAATGGAGATTTATACATTACACAGTAAGTGGTAATTTCAAAGATTCAACAACATATTCTCAACATCTACACAAGTCAGTTCTACATTTCCAAATATTCTGGAGGTGTTCTCTCAGATGTTGTTGGTAACGGTCAATATGTTGCAACGGGTAAGATTATTATTGTGTTGTTGTTATTGATTACAAATTTTTAAAGACGATGGCACCTATTCATCTGGAACCTCTGTGGGAGTGTCTTTTCCCACTGGAATTTCAGTAGACAGCAATGGAGCCATTTATTTCGTAGAGGCCTTCGGTTCTAAGATAAGAAAATTTAATGGTACCTCTCTCAGTTCTATCATCGATTCGTCTAAAATTTATGTCAACATGAATCCTGCTAATCGATCCTTTGTCAGCGGTGTTAGAGGAAAAGTCATGACAAAGAAGGAAATATTTATTATAGTGAAGGTAATGCCTATTGCATCAAGCTCTACAACATGTCAAGACAAACCATCACAACTGTAGCAGGTATGAACAAAAAAAACAGAAATTATTGAAAATAATGTTCTTGTTTTGGACGATCAGGGCAGTGTAATGTTGCTAATTACATAGCACCTGCAGGAGCTGATGGCCTTAATGGCCCAGCAGTACTAGCAAGGTTCGTTTATTTAACGAAGATTATGATATCAACTTACTTTGAACTAGATTTAATGGTGTTGCAAACGTGGCCTTAGATGATAATGGAGATTTGTATATCGCAGAATCGGGACATTATTCGATTAAAAAAGTAACAATAAGTACTGGAGTGTTGACTCTGGTTGCTGGAGATGGCAGTTTTTCGAATTGCCCAGATGGAACAAGTCCTTTGTCATGTGGACTGAACGTATGTACATTTGTTTACATCGATATTCAAACTTTTCACAACAATTTTCATAGTTCCCTCGTACACTTGCTTTCTATAACGAAGAGTTATATTTCTCAGTGAATAATTTAATCAGAAAAATTTCAAGAACCGACAACAAGGTGTACACAGTCGTTGGAGGCGGGTCATCCACTGCTGAGAATATTAATGGAACTCAATTACTTGTAAGTATATTGTGTATAACCTTATTAATTTAACTCATCAAAACAATAGATCGGAATCATTGGTAAGTTGAATTTTTTTAGCCTTGAAGTACGAAAGCCTGTCGTTACATAAGGATCTACTCTTGAAATAACATCGAACGGCTTGTTATATTTTGTGGACAACTTGAGTAATAGAATTAAAGTTTATGACATCAACACTCAAAAAGTTAATACCTTTGCAAACACAGCTTCGGTAAGTAGCATTACAGCACTTGTTACATTCTCATAATTCATGAGATCAGTACACTGCCTATAACTGGGCCTTACTCATAGGAAATGATATGTATTTTGGCACTACGAGCCTTGATTTTATCTCCAAAATTGCAGCAGATGGGTCCGTAACCAATGTTGCAGGTTCTTATGGAACTTCTCGTAAGTATTTCTTTCACAAATTTATTGAAAAGATGCCTAACAATCGTTAAGGACAAGAAAATTCCAAAGCAACAGAAACTCCACTGAGCGGGGTTCAAGGTATTTTATGGTCTCCTCAAAGGCAGGAATTCATCACTTTTGAAGAAACGAGGATTAGAAGAATGTATTCTGTTTGTGCGACTGGATGGACTGGCCCATTTTGCGACATTCCTATTTGTTGGAACAAATTAGCAACCAACTCGAGTGTGTGTTCTGGTCATGGAAATTGTACAGCTCCAAACACCTGCTCATGTATACAGGGTTATAGTTCACTGGAATGTACTGATTATACATGTTATGGACTTAGAAGTACAGATACCAACGTTTGTTCAGGAAATGGAGACTGCTCTTCACCAGACAATTGTACTTGCAGACCAAAATATATGGGAGATAGATGTCAAGAATACACTTGTTTTGGTTTGAGCATGTTGGATCACGCAAACGTTTGCAACGGTAAAGGTTTTTGTTTGACCACGGACGTGTGTCTTTGCAGTCCTGGTTACTCTGGATTGAATTGTTCAAACTGCACTAATTGTGGAACTTCTCCAAACCAACCTGTCACACCTCCTATCGTTCAATGTTTTGGAATTAATTCAACAGAAGGTCATGTGTGTTCTGGTCACGGCAACTGTTCTAGCTCTGATAATTGCACATGTGAAACCAATTTCTATGGAAGCAACTGCTCCGTTACGTTATGTTTCGGAGTATTCAGCAATGAAAGCTCAACAGTTTGCTCAGGTAATGGTACATGTAACGAATTCAATTCTTGTACATGCCATTCCAATAATTACGGTAACAGGTGTGAATATTACTTCGTTCATACTGGAAATAACTCTACACAAATCAACCCACCCAATCCATCTCAATCTCTAACATTTTTGTGGTTCATTTTACCTTTAGGATTGATTTTGATTGGCATTGCAGTAATTTGTTGTTTGGTTGTAATTGTGTTAAAACTGAAGAAGATGAGAAATGCAAAGAGAAAAGATCATGATTCCAAAGAGAAGGAACTGAATACTGTGATACCAAATTGTTGAATTTGGGCACGTCCTTTTCTTCCTTAACAAATGTCTATAAATGAACAGTAAATTTACACATGACCACATTTGGACAAAAACAAGTTGCAAAAAAAATATTGACAGCTGTCTTTTGCACCAACACACTCCGAGCTCGGGTTCTGTCATATATTTAGGCAGGACAATACCTACAACGGACTGCTCTGTTCATTCATTTATTCGTTGACTCATATATACGCACGATGCATCAACAACACTCTTCGCATCATCACACATACAAAGTTGGAGATTTTCTAGAGAACCCATCGTCGTGTGTCATTAAACAAGGAGCATTCAAACAAAAGAATAGTCTTTTTTCAACATGGAAAGTTCATTCCTACATGTTTGACGGACATTGTTTGTACCGTGTGAAACATCATACTCAAGGTTTGTGTTGAGACTTGTTTTGCAAAGAAAATGACCTTCATTGCAACCAGGAGTGGAAGTAAGAGAAATTTTTCCATTGAACACTCCTCTCAATGCCAGCAGATATGACATTTTAGTGACACAAATCATTTCAGCAGAAGATATAACTGGCAAGAAAAACACCATTGGATTCTTTTTTGATGAAAATAAGCAGAAATATGGAAATCATCATTTGGGAGAACATGCTGCAAAAATTATCGCAGAAATGGATGAATTACTCGATGAAAAGAATGTAAATTCGAAAAGTCATGAAACCATGTCAGCAAGTGAACGAAAAAAGTTATTGGCTCCTAAATTTTTAATGGCCAGTTCCGCAGAGGAGAAGAAACTTTGGATGAATATTCTGACTCAACATTTGCAACAAGTGGTGGAAATGAATAATAATTCAAACTCTGCACAAGTGAGTGCAATATTGTCAACGATTGAGGCAATGATTGATATTGTTGTCGTGAGTGATGCATTTGGAACCATAACAGCATACAATACACAAGCAGAGAGTTTTTTTGGATATAAAAAGAAAGATGTGATTGGTAAAGATATTAAAATTTTAATGCCATTTGAGGTGGCGAAGAATCATGATGAATTTATGCAACGATTTAGAAAAACAGGTAAGTGTGAATTTCAATTTGATCATATCGAATGAATTCCACGACATCAAATGAACTACTATTAATCATGACCAATCAAATGAACCATATTCTCTGAATGAACTCATGACATCAAATGAACCATTCTCACTGATCAAATATATATATTCAAAACAAATTATTTTAATAGGAAACAAACATTTAATAGGAAAACCTCGTGCACTCCCTGCCAAGTTATCCAATGGTCAAGTTCAAGAAGTGAGGTTATCTTTGGGAGAAATTCCAGGAAGCACTGATCGAGATAAATATCGATTCATGGCAGTCATGAGAAGACAGTCCTCTTCTGTAACGTCGTCTTCTCCCAAATCCAACACATCATCTACAACAACGTCACCATGGCAAACGTTAACCACTCAAACAACAAACCATACAACGAATCCATCCATTCATAATTCCTCATCCATACCCAATCTATCTCTACATTCATCAAAATCAGGCCCTAAATTACTCTCACCTCAAAGCTCTAACTCTCTACATGGCTCATTCATGAACTCGGATCATTTTGATGTGATTGCTCAAAGATTAAATGTTCCATACTCGGTAGAAGAAGTCAAAGTTTCAAAGAATCAACACATTAATCAAGAAATATTTGAAGCTCACCATCACATTTATGATTTGTACAAATCCATTCATTCTACTCTCAACAAGTATGGTCACAGTGTCAATCAAAGTTTTAAGAAAGATTACTCTACATTGGAAAAGAAATTCCATCAACTTGAAGAGAAAATCAAACATTTGGAAATATCCAATGCCCACATGCTTGCCAATATTCAACATCAGAAAAAGGTCATTGACTTTTTGGAAACAAAAACAGATGCCATGTACAAGGAAAAACATTCTGTCCAAGTGAAAACAGACATGGCAGATAGGTCGCACAAACAACAATTCCTCAAGTCACCCAATCTCGAAACCTTGGGCCTTGATCCACAACAACTTGTCGCATCACCAAGATCTACACACTTTTTAACAAGTCTTTCAAATTTAGTGAAAGATCAAGCAGAATTTACAGATGTTCTGCAGAATGATTATGCTCTCAAATACTTTATGAAATTCTGTGCACAAGAATTATCTCTTGAAAATGTTAAATTGTATTTATATTTAACCAGATTTTATTTACCTGAAGCTAAGAAAGATCTTAAAAAAGCAAAGATCATGCGACAATACGTCATTGACACATTTATTGTACATGGTGCACCTTTTGAAGTTAATTTATCTTCATTGAACCGAAAGAAGCTGTTAGAAAAATACTATAAATTGAGAGACTATGAAATGGAAAAGGAATTGGAAGAAAAACAACACATGGAAGATTACATTCATAGAACATTTAATAGTGAAAATACAACAAGACACAGTCATTCACAACATGATGAAGAAGACACTCTTTCAGATGGTAGTAGTGAAAATTCAGAAATGGAATTACTCTTTATCGATCACGAGCACTCAAAATCCAAAATTTCACATCCACACCATGCCCATCGATCACAATCTGTGAGTAGTGGAAGTGACGACTCGAAATCGTGCACCGGTGAAGAAAAACAACTTGGAAGTGATCATGACTCTGCCACTACCACTACCACAACAACTTCAGGATCTGTTGATGGAGATGATTTGGCCACGATTCATGATGGATGTGAAGAGGAGGAAGATGGAATGGATGAAAATACAATTATACATGAACACTCGAGGCGAACTACTGAACAAGATGATCATTCATCTCAAACTGTTCTTGCAAGTTATATCAAGCAAATGAGAAGAAAGAGTGACTCATTTCTAAATGTATCGACAACAACCACGTCAGACCCTTCGACCACACCTTCTGCATTGGATTCCAACAATGTTAGTAATCGAAGAGGTGGTACTGGTGGCACTTCTTCCATGGAAAGAACCATTCCTAACATTGCCACTCTCATATACGACTTGGAAGAAGGTGAAAAATTCTTTGATGATTTGTTAATTCAAATTAAGGGAGTCATGATGGATACATTTATGAGATTTATTAGATCTGAAGAGTATATTGAAATGAAAGAAGAAATTAGAAGAGTTCACAAAGCAGAAATGGAGTTGATTCAAATGAAATTGAATTCCTCAATCAAGGTGTAAAACATGAATTGCATAACCTGACACTAGTGATTTTTTAGGATACTTTTAAGAGGTTTTAGTATGGTTACTTTCATTAGTGACACACATGCGATGGGTCATGCATTGTAGCCATGTATGTTATGTGCTTGTCAAAGAATTGTTTTGATCAATCATGCCAATTTCGTTTTGACCTTCCACGTGCAGTTCCAGTTTTTCCAAAGTTTGAAAACCAACTTCAAAAAAACCAAATTTTAAAACACAAAAAAATACGCAACCACTTGTTCTCACACATCTCTTCTTGATTCATGACTCCGAACAAAGAAGAATCAGTTCATCTCATTACAAATAATTATCAAGAACAATTAGTAGGAATACTATGCCAAGTAAAATCAGTTGTAACAGAATCACCAACACAAAAAAAACAAATAGCTGTGCTTTGTCATGGATTAGCTTGTCATAAAAATTATTTTATTTTCCCAAGAATGGAGAGTGAAGATTATGATACTTTTAGATTTGATTTTTCTGGTAATGGAGAGAGTGATGGTGAATTCTCGTATGCTAATTATGCTAAGGAGGTTGAAGATTTACACTGTGTTATGAATTACCTTAAAGAGAAATTAGGTTACTTTAAAATTTCAATTATTGGACATTCAAAAGGTGGAAATGTAGTATTGCAATATGCTAGCAAATATCCCAAAGAGTTGCAACATGGAATTGTGGTAAACATTTCTGGAAGATTTGACATGAGCAAAACGCCATTACATCGATTTACAGAGAGTGAAAGATATCAATTGGAAAATGAAGGACAATTCCTATGGAAGATTTTAACAATAGATCGATCACTTTGTGTCAAGAATGTCTCAAACGACAAGACAGGACAAGACAATCATGAAGATGGCGAAATAACAAGAAGGTGCTATGTGACAAAAGAAGCGCTCAAAGAAAGAGAGTTATTGGACACAAAAATTGAATTGAATCCTCAGTATCCATTAAACATCTATTCTGTGCACGGGGATGAAGACGATGTTATTCCTTTTCAAGATAGTCAAGACTTGAATGAATACTTGTTGAAACAGATGAGAGAAAAGAATTTAGCAAATGGTTTTTCGCATCAAGTAATTGGTGTTACTGGAGCAAATCATTTCTTTACTGGTCAACAGGAAACGTTAATCAGAATTTTGAGAGACCTTTTGAGCCAAAACCATGAAGGAACAGCTGACAGTTGAAAAATAAACACAAAAAAATGAGTTTTATGGTAACAGCAACAAAGGAAGACTGGAAGACGAGAGACTACATCGAGGACGTCTCGTTATGTATTTTACAAGTGACAGAATTTCTCAACAAATTCGGTACGTACTCATCCTTTGGCTCACATCCCGTTGCTATAAAAACCCATCATCACAATTTTTTCTAATTTGAATTTCGGATCAACAGAAAAGAATATGAGAGTTAAACTTCTTGAATTGAATGAAAAATTAAACGATTTGGAAAGAAAGATGCAATATGTGGAAGCTGCAGTCAACTCGATCGAACAAAACTCGCACTAGGATGATTAACGACAATGTGCATGTAAAATACATTTCACAACGTTTATATTTACTTCTTCTTTTTGGATGGTCTGCCATTTTTCAAATCCTTGCCAAACGAGAAAATAGCATCTAATTCTTTCACTTGAGCCTCTATCTCTGCCTCCAAAGACTTTAGGCTTTTTCCTTCATTCAATACCTTCATCATTGAATCTTTGAATTTATCTAAATCTTCATCAGTTTTTGCTCCAAACATATCTTTCAGCGCTTTTCGCATTTCTGGATTTTCAAAATCCTGGGCTACAGTATTGGCATCAAAATCCAGGTTCATATTAAAGTCATCCGAAGTGATCTGTTTCTTTTTCCTTGTTGACGAAGCAGATGATGAATTTGGTGATGCTTGTGTTGTGTTTGTTGCTGGATGTTGGGTTGTGTGTTGTTGTTGAGCGTTTGAAGCTGTTCTTGAAGATGCCTGAGAGCTAGCTGAGGTAGCACCAACTGCTCCAACCATGTTAGCTAAATTTGACATATCAAAACCTGTTTTACCATCTGCTTGAGTCTTGATAAAATCAAAAAGTGCTGGCTTATCGAATTCGTTCTTCAAAGATTTTAGATAATTCTCACCAAACATCTTGTATGCTTTCTTAGTTTCGTGGTCCATATCAGCTTCGTCCCAATTTTCGCTTGCTCCTTTCAATTTTCCCTCTTCCATGGAGTCAAGCATGTCCTTGTATTGATCCCATCTTCCTTTAAGTCCCATATCCTGCAACATTTGTTGCATTTCCTTTTCCTCAAATCCCATTTGTTCTGCAAATTTAGATGAGGAAGCTGCTGCACCAAAAGCCGAGGCGCCTGCTTGTGCTGCTTTTGTGCTTGGTGGAGTTTGTGGTTGAGATTTGCTGGTTGCTGATTTTGTACTTGAGGGTGTCTGTACTGTAGTTTTCTTTCGCTGTGGGGTTAGGATTTCTTCATCTTCTAACAAAGCTTGTAATTCATCAATTTCTTCTTGTTCTTTCGTACTCATTTTGGAATTAGTGGTTGTTGTGCTAGCCGGTGCTGCTTTAGTCTTGTTCTTTGATTGGAGAATGTGAGAAATGCCTCCATCTTTCCGAGCACCTTGAAAATGTATCATGGTACGATGTACATTTCTGATAGTGTTTTGCTGTGTCAATACAACCAATGTATTCTTTGAATTGGATGACAAAGAGCGAGAAACACCTGAGTGAATCAAACAATAACGAAGTACCGAATTTTGAAACATTTTTTAATTTTTAGTTTTCTTCAAACAACTCTCTGATGATGAATTGGTGATGATTCGGGTTTTGGATGGTTTCACTCGTTTCAATTATTTGAAGAAATGGACTGCAACAATTTCAAATTATGTTTTTAAATTTGCAAATATATTCGCCTCATGAATAAGTGTATCGTTCGGGATGATTGGCCATTGCCAAATATAATGCAAAGGATGTTGGAACGGCTAATGCAAGTCTTCTGAGATGAAGTCTGTTGATCTGAAAGAAGGCTGTGATTGCATTCTTCTTTCCGACAAATCGCTTGAAGCTCACCACCTTTGATTTCTGATTAGGTTGAGGTGCTTCTTTATTCATACTGATTGTTTAAATAATTTTTAATTCTGTTCCCGACTGTCTTCAGAGTCCAATTGTCGTGTCAACTTGGGCAAGTCTTTAGTATCAGGACAGTCACTTCTCTCCCGTAACCCTCAAAACTAAAAGTAATAAACCACAAATAACACTGTCTTCATAACAAACTTGCAATTTTACCTTATCTGTGAAAGCAGCCATAAATAATTTGAATGGTTGTTTTCAAATATTCGCGCTCAAATCAAACTTAAAAAAATTCGTTGATTTCTTTGTAATTTATTTATTGAAAACCTTTTTAAAACGTTGGTCGGGATCATGACTTCAAAAACACCTCTTTCCATTAACGTGGATGAGTTTATTGATGAGGAGGTCGAGGAGGAAGACCTTGCAGAAGAAGTAGTTTCAGCTAGGTCTCAACCCGCCGTCGAAATTACAGATGATCAAATTGTTGCGGATTTGTGGGAAGTGTTTAATTCAATTGACAAAAACCAGGATGGAGTTATAACTTTCATGGAGCTCAAAATAATGTTGAAGAGGTTAGGTCAATACAATTCCGATGCTGAAGTTCTCTCCATGATCAAAAACATTGCTGGTGACAATGATTTGGTAGACTTTTCCAGCTTTTTGCGAGCATTTATGGATTCTTATAGGGACAGCGTTTTGAATGGAAGCGATGAAGAGATGGACCGAAAAGTGTTTGAAATTTTTGACGTAAATAAGGATGGAATGATTGAGGTAAGTAAAACACCAAAAACAGGATTGCTCGCAACTTGATGCTTTTGAGGACAGATTGAGGTACGTGCTTCCTTTTTTATTGCTTAACAATGTCCTAATATAGAACTAAGGAAATCAAAGAGATAATCCATGAGTACTGTATGGGAGATTTGGCAGAAGATTTTACTGAGGACCGTATTGTGGAGTAAGTGTAGTGTTGTTGAGTAATTCGCTCTAATGAATTCACTACAACAATCCTTTTTCAAAATGGACAGCATGCTTCATTTGTTGGATACAAACTTTGATGGAGTGATTGATTTTAAGGTAAGTAAACTATTCCTTATCCACCCAATGTACTTAAATGGAGAATTGCAGGAATTCCGTAATTTGGCAAGGAGCAAAATTGCCTAACCATTTTGTGCTGCATATAACACATTGTGTCAATAATATACCTGAGGCCAAATTGTTGTTGGCGGATAAAATTGTATGTGAGATTTGGAGGTTTCATCTGGCAACCCATTAATACAGAAAAAAACATTCATCGCATAGCTGAATAAACACAACTCTCAGATTCTCAAGATCCATTCGTATCTGGTCTGATATCAAGGATGATGATTTTCAGCAACAAACGAGTTAAGGAGAAAGCATCAGAAACTCTAATGTCAAGAGTGGGCTCTAATGATCATGGACGAGCCAATAGAAGGAGATTAAGCGTGTGTGTGGACCCCTCGGCAAACAATGTCGACTCGAATCATGAAATGTTGAGAAACATCTTCAAAATATTCGACCGTGATGATGATGGCGTGATAAGGTAAGAGATTTGAATTTGTTGTGTGCTCTGTTTTCTAAGCCTTAGTAAAGACATGGCGAATTAAAATTATTACTCAATGATCTTGGATACAAAATATCAATGCAAGAAGTGGACGAAATTATTAATCATTCAGGATCCAACGGCCACATTACGTTTGAAGAATTTATTGACTTGATGATGATGGACGAAGCAAAATCTGAAAGCGATGAAGAGGATCAAAATACCAAAGTCTTTGGTATTGATGAACACATCCCGTTCATCGTTACCGACCAAGTTCATGACTCGTCCCTCGAGAATGGTTTTGTATTTCCTGCCTACGTCGAAGACGATGAAATTTCACATGAAACTTTTCACCGAACAAGTTGCAAGAGTGCCAATGAAAAGAATCGAATGATTGATAAGAGTTATTCGAAGCGAGCACTTTCAAAGAAGAGTATTCTTTTAGAGAATCAAGATGCGCCATCAGCATACTCATCACCAACCAGCAATATAACAGTACCTTCCTCACATTCAACCATTTCAACAACGCCTACAGCATCCCCGACCAACAAGTCCAAGAATTGTCTCTTTCCAGATATCTCACCACCTAGAAATATTGTTCACAATAGTAGTAATAGCACTCCAAAGTCATCCTCTCCTCGCTCGAACGAGTGTCATGTATTGGATCAGGTCTTTGTTTCACAACCATCGTCACCAACTAGACCTAGATCCATTTCGACTGGTGGATCCAGTCCAACCCCTCGCTCTCCAACAAGAGAGAATGAATTGTACAAGGCCAGTTTGGTCACTCGCTTGCCAGCAATTCCTTCTAACAATGACCAGCAGGGAAAAGGTTCCAATTTGTTGGATGCTTTAAAAAAACGACTTTCAATCTTTAGTAATAACAACAACAGCAACAATCGATTGGATGTGTTGAGCACACCCCATTCCAAGTTACCACCAATATTGGATGTTAGTACTAGAGCAAGAAGAAATAGCTCTCCCGTAGTACCACTTGGTGCTAATGAAAAGCCTAACGGAAAACTCATGCCACTGGCATCCACAAGAAACAGAAAGGCATCGAGTCAGAATGGTATTGATCCAAAAAAGCAATATTCGTCCTCGCTTAATACTAGTAGCTACTTTTCTCAAAGGTACAGCTCAACAGACTACGGAACCTTACATACAAGGGAGCAATTAAGGGAGGCGTTTCAGCTCTTTGACAGCAACAATGATGGCTTAGTGAGTAAGGAAGAAATGAAGATTGTATTTTCAAAGATTGGACTCGTCACAATCATGAGCGATGAAGAATTGGATCAGCTATTTAAAATTGTAGATAGTGATAATGATAGCAACATTAACTTTGATGAATTTGTAGAATTATTCCTATTGTAAAATAACATAAAAAAGTAAATAATCATCTCTTGCTAAAGCTTGCTAATGTTTTGGACGGTAATGAACTTGTGGAAGGTGTGATCGATTTGTTCCATTTTTCTTTGCGTTCCTTTTCAATCTCTAATTGATTGGCTCGCTTATTGTTGTAAAATTTGCCTACAGCCTCCATTGCATTTCCTACACTGTGAAAAGTCACAATATCTTTTCGTATCCATTTCGAAAGTTTGTTAATGAGCCTCTGCTGTTGATACCTCTTATCAAGGAGTAACACAGTTGCATAATCTTTTCCATGTCTGATGGCTCTTCCAATCGATTGATTGACACCGTTCATACAAATATTATCTAAATATTCATTCTTATTGCATTGTTGGGTATGTTGTTCAAAAAACTTTTGTTGTTCAATGAGCTCAATATCATTTGGATTGGGATAAGGTAATCCAATCACTACTACCAATCTTCCATATCCATCACTAAAGTTAATTCCTTCTGAAAGTTTACCTCCAACTACACATGACAAGACACTTCCATTATAGCGTTGAAGAGTATTTGAGCTTCCTCCCATTGCAGAAGTAATAGGGCTGTTGCTTGTTCCAAAATTATGATCAATAATTTTCTTATATTCTTGTAAAATTCTATCCAAGGTCATGTTAGGATCTTCATTGGCAGAAGCTTCACGAAGAAATTTCTTCTTCTTTTCAATAGAATCAATAATACCATTGGATTTCCAATATTGAAAAACAGTCTTTTCAAATTGATAAGATGGAAAGAATAAAACAATACCATCTGGTACAATATTACACATATTAACAATTGTACGTCCAAGAGATTTGATTAAATCCTGATTATTTTGTCTATTCTGAAATCTAAAATCAAATTCAATGTCTCCAACCCCTTTCGTTAGTACAATGGGTAGAAAATGATTTGGAGGTACAATATGTTTTTCACATTGATAAATATGAATTTTAGAAGAAGGTATGTTTGGAAATACTTGTTGAATCAAAGCATGAATGGGTTCCATAGTACCACCAGTCAAAATAATCGATCGAGCTTCTTTCACAATCGATTGAAAGTAAACACTTGGATTCAAAAGTAAGAATTTGATATGTGAATTGGGTTTGATAAAAAGTTTACCATCCTTATCCACATTCATGAGAGCTAACAACATGGAGACAACGTTATTGATCGCATTATTACTTGTCGTTGGAGTGTTGGAAAGATCAATTTTGTGGTTACCATTATTCGTCGTACTATTGGAATAGTGAATATAGTTAGCAGTATGATGAGCACGTTTCACAGTATTGTTATTGTGAATAATTACCAAATCATGATTGTGTTCCTCTTGTCTCTCCATAAACATGTTCAATTTTTTAGTCAAGTCTGATTTTTCAATAAATTCTGCAACTTGAAACAAGTTAATATTGTCCATTTTGGTTTTAAAGAGTAAATCAGTGATGGAGATAATAAATCCATTTTCTACCTTATTGGAGTCTGATATATTTTCTGTAGTTAGAAATGTCATTAATCCTTGAATAATATTTAACAATCTCTTAATATTTGTTTGATTCGTAGTAGAGAGTCTATTCTTAAATTTGTTGAAATAATTGAGTAATGTATCATGTACCATAGTTAATTGATGAATATCAATCTCATTGGAATGCATTTGATGAATAGCAGAAACCAAATTATGTGCCTCATCAATAATAACGACACAGTCTTTGAGAGAGGTGACGCCGAGAGATTTTCTTGTTTGTTCATGTACTAGAGAGTTATAGGGCATGCATACCAATTCAGCAGAATGCATGGCTTTTCTAGTTCCATAGTACGAACAAATCTTTAACTTTTTTCCAAGATCTAATAATTCTTCAATGTCATGAACTTTTAGAACCATATAGTCTTTAAATAAGGAAGGATCATTGTCATATTCACATAACTTCTTATCTCTTAAATATTGACATTGCTCATTCATTCGATTGAGGCTATTCTGAACTTTTCCATTTTTAGTACTTCTATAGAGCACATGCTCATTGATACAAAGTACTTGACGAGATGCCAAATTGGATACCTTTACCTTCTTTGAAAATTCTGTTTTTCTTAATTCTTGAATGAATTGATTGATTTGAGAGTGTGTTCGTGTGCAATATAAAATCTTTGGAGTTTCAAACCGATCTTCATTATCCATTCGAGTGCTGTATCCTGATGAAAAAATTGGTCGATCATGATCATCGTCATCACTATCTTCGTCATACAAATCCTTTAATAAATTATTATTGATACCAATCTTATTGAAAATACAATCATCCACTTCATTCAGGAGGAGATCATTGTCATCCTCGTGTGTGTTCTCAACTTTCAAAATAGATTCTAAAAATTGCTTTCGTCGGTCATCATACTTTTTCACATTCTTTTTACTCTTTTCCAATTGCTCTCTTCTTGCAGTTTCTTCTTCTTCTTTTTTTCTTTTCATTGTTTGTTCAATGACCCAAGCTGGCTCTTCATCGGAAGAAGAATCATTTTCTTTGTTTTTTCGTTTGAGTGCTGATGATGATGATCCAATTCTATCATGATCCTCGATTCGTATGGTACCATCACGTTGTGCATAATAGGACATGAGCCAAGAAAGAGCTCCACAAATGAGAGAAAGTGATTTTCCACTTCCTGTTGGAGATTCGAAAATACCAATTTTTTCATCTTGTATTGTATTGAATAATTGTTCCATGTATTGGAGTTGAATATCATAGGGTTTTTCATAGGGAAATGAGAAATTGTTTGGTGTGCCAGAAGTGAGTGATGAAGATTTCATTTTTTTTGAACTACTCAACGTTCACTTTTGGCGGCAACGAACGAAAAAAAACGTTAAAAAATGAAATCATTTGCAACGTTGCCCTTTGATGTCGTTTCTGAAATTCTCTCATTTTTCAATATTGAAGAATTAATATTTGTGATTGGATTTACTTGTACAAAGTGGAGAACAAATGTTGCATTTCCCATCATTTCCAAACACGTTTCCGAAAATTATAACATTGATTTACATAATTTTGATGATTTATTTAGAACACGAGATGGTCGAAATGTTGTACGACATATTCTAAGACGTTGCGTTAAATATTATGCAAATATTTTAAGCAAATACTCGAAAGACGATAGTGGTCAAACAATTACTCATCCTCCAAATTTAATGGAAATATTGAGTATACTGAAATATTACTTTTCCTTTTTTAAGTGTCCATACGCACAAGCTAAAAAACCACAAACTTCCCATCCATCAAGCAAGAAAGGTATATTTGGAAATTTCTTAGGCTCACTATTTGGAAAAAAACATTCCAATGACACAAGTAATGAGCCATGCTTCACAACTATCATTAACTTGAACGATCCAAAGGATGTGAAACATGTGCAACTGAACACTACTGAGCATCCAAAAGCAAACCTGGATCATTTATCGAAAATTGCACTCGATGGAAATGCTAAAGTTGGAAAAACAGCATTTCTATTATGCTCCATGGATGGTGTAGTAACAAATCCTTTGGATCCATATTTGACTACAATTGGAATTGACTTTAGAGCCAAGACATTTGTGATTGGAGACAATATCTTCTCAGAAAAGTTACAAGTGTGGGATAAACAATCAAATTTGAATTGGTTACCAGAATCATACATTTCGAACGCAACATTTATATTCGAAATGTTTTCTTTAACAGATAGGAATACTTTTGATTCATTGGTTGAAACAGCGAACAACTTGGACAGATTTACAAAAAAAGAAATAATACTGCTTGGAACTGGATCCGACATGCACCATCTTAGATGTGTAACTTCGCAAGAAGCATCTAAATTTGCATTTGAGAGGTTGAATGGGGCGTTGTATCAAGATATTTCATTATTAGAAACTTGTGAAGCCAAATCTATTGTGTGGTATGCATGTCTTCTTCAGTATTGCCTGCGAGAGAAATAAATGTTGGTATCAGTTTATTAGGTTGGATGATTGGATTTGCATTGAAATTTATGATCCGCTGATACCAAACAATGATGAGCGATACCACTACAGATCTAAGGCTCAAGACTAATACAAACCTGTTAATTGTTGTCAGTGAGCTGTCAACATCATTTGAGCTCTTGGAATCATTTCACCCAAACACAGCCGGTAAATCCCAAAATTTCCACACTTTACAACAAAACATATCACACATTTGACAAGTTTTTAAAACGTAACGGAAATCACAAAAAAAACAACACTTTTATTTTCAACATGGGAAACGTGAACGTTTCATCACTCCAATCCTACTCACAAAATGTTGGACATGCTTTATTGGATGTCAACAATTACACACCATGGCTCTGGATTGCAAATTGTGGGTTCATGGCATTGGCAACCATCGCACCTCGTACACTAACCAAATGGCAAAGTAAGTAAACAACAACACCCGAAACGATTCAGTGATGAAACAATCATGTTCATACCATGTGTGTCGCGACTACATGTATAATTTCAATACAATTTTTATCATGATGAAATTCACTCATGGCTCATAATGTATTTTCATGAATTTTTTACTCACAATCAACCAAATGAACATACGATACAATGATCATCCTATTCAACACAGGTGATGCCTACACTTCACAACCCTTGAGAAACTATGGACCACAAAACTTTTTAATGCAATCTGTAACTGTATGTTGTTTGTGTTGTTGTTGTTGACAACCTTTCGAATATTTTAATTGTTGTTGATCTGATGTTTCATTGATGAATCATCGACATTGTGAACACATGATGATGATGACCATAGGGATACATTTATCATCAAGTACCTTACAATATTTGGACTCACATCTTAACCTTCCCATTTGATTTAACTTGGTAAGTGAAACAACAACAACAAGATGAAATTTTTTTCGACACTTCATTCTTCATCATCGTACTGTCTCTCTTTGAAAATTGAATCAAATTGCATTCACTCTACTACTGGAACATATTCACACAACAACAACAACAACAGGTGGGGTTATTACTTTGCATACTTTGGAAACTTATGGACAGGACATCCAGGTTATTTCTATTGGGCTCACTATGCTCTCAGTATTGCTCAATTAATCACTTATTGTGTAGGTCCTGCCACTGCTCAAGGTGAGAAGTGTGTTGTGAAAAAGTTCGATCCTGCTGCTCAGATCGATTTGGCAGATAAGAAAAATTGGCCTCTTGTCGAAGTTGAAGTTTGTAAAAAGAAGCATCCAAAGAGACACTTTTATTGGCTTCAATTTATTATCACTAGTGCATTCTTCACTTTCTGGTATTCATTAGTACCTTATTTATTGCCAGGTCCAAAAGAAATTTCAAAAATGTTGACCCCAGCATTTATTTGGAATCGTATTCCAGAAGTGTTGAAAGATTCAGACATGTTCTGGATTAATGCCTTCTTATTGCACAACTCGATTATTCGTGTGACGTAAGTAGTTTTGTTATTGTTCTCTCTCTTTCGTTTTAAACAAATTCACATAAAACCATGAATTACATGTTTCAACATGTGTGACATGAAATTCCAACAATTTCCAATGGCTTTGAAAACTATTCGAATAACATTTCAAAGTGGACACATGGCTGATTACTTACCTCCAATCATGTTCGACCCAGAACATCATGATGCTGGTTTCACAGACTTGGGTAAAGGATTCATTGCTTACTTCAAATACTTTTCTTGGAAATGGATGGTTCAAACTCCATTAGGAATTCTTTCAGAGTTGTGTGCTGGTTATCCAGGAAGACTTTACGTTTGGAGACTTGTGGCCAATTTGAGACGTGTTTTGAATTTTGTTGGTGTTCCAGATAACAAACAAACATTCTTCACAATGAATTGGAGTGAAGTTGAACAGGCTAAGAAGACCATCAATCAATCAGGTTGGAACGCATGGCCATTGACAGCTAAATTGTTTGAATGGGCTAAGGTTGAAGATGTCGATGATGACCAAGACGATGACAACAACAAGGAAAAAGAAGAATAAAATTATTATTGCATGTTTCGCGTAATATTTATACTCGCATCACAAATAATTGAAATGTCAAAGGTTTCTTGTATGATTGTCACATTGATTTGGCAGAGAAGGCAAAGTTCAATTAATAATTATTTATTTAAAAAAAAAATGACCAAACACAGCAAGAATGCATCATGTCGAGTCTTTTATTCAAATCAAGAGAAGGATCGTTTGAGACAAGGAACACAACAATCGAGGCTCGGAAGCGAGTCGATGAGGCCATTTGATGCTTGTTGTTTGTGCAATCAGCCAGTGTACAAACCTGCTGTGTCTAAAAGCGGATTTTTATATTGCTACGAATGTATTCTTGAGAATTTGGTGCAGCAAAAGAAAGAAAATGAAAGAAAAAAATTAGAGATGGAAGAAAAGGAAATAGAGGAGCAAATTAAACAAATTAAAGAATCTGAAGAGAAGCAATATTTACAACTGGAGAGGAAATTGGATATTTTACAAAATAGTGTAGTATCTAGTGCATCATCATCGACCAATTCAACTCCGATATCATCAAGCAGCACTCCAACAAGCGAGATTAACAAGAAGAAGAAGAAGAAAATTAAAAAATTAAAAACTACGGATCCAATGAATCCAAAGGAAACGCTCAAGATGAAGGATCTAGTTAGAGTTAACTTCAAGCTAACAACAAAAGCTGAAGAAGAGGGAGAATTAATACCTGAATTTAATGTTAGATATGAATGCCCATGTTGCTTCAAGGTATTCAATAATGCTTGTAAAGGAGCGTATGTAGTGAGAGAATGTGGTCATGTGATGTGTGTGACATGTTTTGATAAGTTTTGCAAAGATAGCAATGAATGCTTTGTCTGTCAAGGAAAGGTTAAGAAGAAACCAATCCGTTTAGTATGTGCAAATCTCGGCTTTGCGCATAACGACGAACATAGAGAGAGCGTAGTCGCCACCACTTGGACACCAACTATGAATATATCGTAACAATTAAAAACTTCTAGAGATGTAACAAAATTTGTGACATTTACATGACTGTAATTAAGGCAAAAGTGGCATACACCAATCCAACAGGGTAAGACACAAGCATTCTTTGATGTGCCATTCCGAGTGCTGCAACAAACATTGTACTTGCACCATAACTGCTCCAAAATATGGCCAACCAGCTCAGTACTAATCCTAAGATTGGGAATGGCAAAAATGTTGTGAAGAGACCAAGAAATACCATGGGTAGTAAACCATAACCCATGATTGAAATACAATGTTGAAGTTCGATATGTCTCTTGAGTGGACACATCAAGTTTAACAATACATATATAGATAAGCATCCAATTACTACAACTCCATAAATATAATTAAAGTGAATCTTTCCTTTCAAAAGAAGAGTAAATCCAAGCGCAATACAGAACATGAGAGGCCCTGCTAAGTCCATATCTTTCAATAAATGTTGAACAGATGCCTCTTCACTATTTAGCCTACTTTGTTGGAAGCTTGGATTATTTGCGTTCATCATTGAATTAAGAGCTCTCCTTCTTTCATTGGAGAATGGGTTCAAAACAAACAAACTTCTATTCCAAATATCTCTAAAATTAATTCCGAGCTCTTCCAACAATGGAATCTCATCAATCACTGGTTCGAGACTATTTTGTTTGTTTTTTTGTGAGGGAATTTGATTCATCATCATCAGAGGAGATGTACTCCTACCTGTTGTTGCTGTTATTGGTGAAGTTGGCCTACTATTTCCTGTACTTCCTCCGCTATTATAATTAATATCCACCATGTCAAAAGAGGTGTTCCTAGCGTGACTTGCTCTTCTTCCGAAAAACTCGTCATCACTTGTTCGGATCGGCTGAAATGTATATTCTCCCATGTTGTTCATTGGTGCTGAAGATCCATCCATGTTTGTGCTATTGAATGGAGTAATATTGTTTCCGTAAAACGGATCTTGGTCGCTGCTCCACAGGACAGATTGTCTTTCGTTGTTGAAGTTGGCTTGCATTTTTTTTAATTTAATTTTTTTCAATCCTACGTGTCGATTTGCATCGTTATCCCTTTACTAATGCATGACATCATGTAAAGGTGGCTGTTTTTGTTCATAGGAATGTTCGAGAAGGAATGACTGTGCCAATTGAATTTAAATTTAGGAAAAAAATTCTAACGACTTATCCTTCCTGTTGCAACACTTCTAACTGCTGAGTCGTCAATTTCCGATCAAATACTACTTCGTTGTACAATATTGTACTACTAAACAATAATAATGGTTACTGCAAGAATTGATAGTTTTTCTGGATCCTGGTACTCGGATGAAGAAGAGGCTCTCTCTCAAGAAATTACTCAGTATTTGGAGAAGACAAAGCCTGTCATTCAGAATTATGTTGGTAAGAAAGTCAAGGCCGTTGTTGCACCTCATGCTGGATTTAGATATTCTGCTCCAACTGCTGCTCATGGTTATGGATGTATTCGGAATGCCTCTAATTTTGATTCAATCACCACAGTTTTTGTTCTAGGCCCATGCCATCGAGTCTATTTGGATGATCAATGTGCCTTGTCCAAATGTGACCAGTGCAACACACCACTTGGTGCTTTGAAAGTCAATCAGAAAATTCAAAATGAATTGTTGAAACTCCATCCTGATACTTTTTTCTTGTTCAAAGACAAGAAAAACGAAGAGGATGAACATTCTCTTGAATTACAATTTCCCTTCATTTCATATTTATTCAAGGGCCGTTTGAATCAAATTCAAATTGTCCCCATCATGGTTGGAAGTTTATCAAAGGAGACTTTACAACAAGTTGGAAAAGCATTATCGAACTACATGGATGATGAGTCGTCACTCTTTGTAATTTCAAGTGATTTCTGCCATTGGGGAAAACGTTTCAGCTATCAGTTCGTTGTTAATAAGGACGTACCTCTTCACAAGTCTATTGAACAGTTGGATATGATGGCTGTAGAACTGATCACAAAGAGCTCAAAACAACCTGATGAATTTTATTCGTATATGAAAAAGTATAAGAACACCATTTGTGGTAAACATCCAATATTAATCATGCTCTATGCCCTTCAAAATTCTAATAATTGGAAAGATGATCATGACATGGTCTTTTTGAAATATTCTCAGTCAAATGCAGCCAAATCTATGGATGACAGTAGTGTGAGTTATGTCTCGATTGCTCTCATGAAATAGACATTATTTTTTCACATCTACCACTTGTAAATACTTAACAACACATCGTTCCACCATAAGCTGAATGTAGCCAAACACAGCAACAAGTATGTAATAAATTCAGTTTATTTAATTTTACCGCCATTTTTTTGCGCGTGCAAACTACACACAACTTCAAAATTTCAAAAAAAATTCAAAAACCAACTTGTCAGTTTTGGCCACACAATGATAAATACAACCCAAGAAGAGGTGGATATAAACCCAGAAACAGACATAAAGAGAAAGAAGAAAGTGTTGAAGAAGAAAACCAAGTCATCCTCGCACCATAATGATGGCGAATATGTAGAATATAAACGCTCTGGGTCATCGGAAAGACATCAATCTCCTCCTGTGTATTATCCACCACCACCCCCAAATTATCAAATTCCTTACTATCCTCCGCATCCATCGTCGCCTTATGGATATTATCCTCCAAGTCAAGTTCCATTCGATTACAACAGAGGATTTGTAAATCCAGTTCTTTCCAACCCACAAACCTCTTCATCAGCTGATGATTATATTTATGATCAAAATAGTGGAAAGTTTTATTTCAAGCCTCGTAGAGAGGCATTAAATTGGAGAGTTCTTCTGCAGCTAGACATTGACAAGATCATGGATCAAGTGGATATTGATACCCTAGAAAGCGTAACCAAGAATGTGACATTTTCGAGAATTGACTATAATGATCTGAGGTATTTTAACGAAACCAATTTTGTACAGGTCTTTAGAATTTCTCAATTAATTATTGAGTACTTGTTATACGTTCAAAATTATTTATCCACCAAAAAGTAAGTGATTGTGTTGAGAGTTGGTCAATGTAACGCTTGTACAAGAAAAGAAATAGAAGCGAATGTGAAAACAATCATCCAAGATTTTGAGGAGGCTAAACTGAGCTTAGTGAAAAAGTCGGAGGAAGTAGCATATTTAAAGAAAGAACTGAAACGAAAAAAGAAAGCGCTTTATGCTTATGAATGTGTGTTCGGAACCAATCCGGAAAAAGCCAGAATTTTATTGATGTCACAAAGCAATCCAAGTCAACCCTTACCTCAAACACAACCTCAACAATCGAGTTCTCGGTCTGAAAGAGAAGAAACTTTTGGTGAACTACGGGGTGATATTAAACGTATGCAAGAAGCGTTATTCTCACAACTAGAAAACACAATAGAGAAAAAACAAAGTCAGCTTGAAAAAGAAAATCAAAAGAAGGTAAGTGCTGAACGGTTAGAAATAATCGATCACTTTATTGGTTTCAGTTGGACTATTTTCAAAACGAGTTTGAAAAATTTACAGAAAGCTTTAAAAAGCAACAAGAAAATTTATACTCTACCATAGCAAAGTCCGTGACTAAGTTTACAGAAAGTGACACCTCCCAAAATGCTGATTCAGCGAGTAGAGATGAATTTCTTCAACTGTCTACTCATATTCAAAACCTTATTCAACAAAACAATCAACAAATGCTCACCTCTTTCGAAAGAAAACTGAACGATCTCTCTGCATCTACCAAGCAAGTGAAGAAAGCTGAAAATGATCTTGAAGTTGTGGAACTAAAGAAAAAGTTGGACACGGTGATGAACGTATTGCAAGCCAAGCAAATGGAACAAGTAAAACCGGTAGAGGTTGTGGTAAACAAAATGAGTCGAGTGGAATCGACCCCAGCACAAGAAGAAACAATCGTTGTTAAGGCCAAGCCAAAACATGAAATTGTGAAAAAAGAGGAGCCCGTCGTTGTTGCAGTTCAAAGAAAGGAAGAGCCTCCCAAGAAAGAAAAAGTAGATTTTAAACCAAAAGAGCCAAAGAAAGAGCCAATGAAGGAACCAGTCAAAGCCCAACCTATGGAAGTTTCAAAACCAAAGGATGAACAAAAAGACCCTCCTAAATCAAGTGTAAGATCGACATCTCCACCAACGAAAAATGCAACGATAGTGGAGAGCAGTTCAAGATCTTCTGTCGTCATTGAACAACCTAAAGCGGTGAATGCTCAACCCGTTTCAGTTCCAAAGCCACTAGAAGATCCAAAACCACAACCACCCATATCACATCCATCAGAAGACGAAAACGATCATGATCAAAGTTACACAACAACAACAACAAGTGAGACATCAGAGACAACCAATACCACGGCAACGAGCATTGATGTTAGCACCCTAGGTCTTAAAGAGAGAATTTACAGAGATATTGAGCTTGGGAAAGTATTTGAAGAATTTGATGACAACATTGCATATCAACATGAAGAGGACAAACCCTGGCTTACTTCCAAATTTAAACAAAATCCAATCTTTAGAGATTTACAAAAAACAGAAACACAAACGCTGGTTGATCACGAATTACATGTCAGAGGAATTGATTCCGATCAAAAAGGCATGTCTGAATCAGAATATGCTCGTGGTTTAAAGTCACTCCAAAAAGAACGTGATTCTGTAGTTAAAAACAATCCCGATCATTTGGTAATTATGAATGCTTTGAGAGAAAAAGTCGACAATATTGTGGCTGAATCAAGCAAGAGTATTCATCCTCAAGTGGCTTTCAGTCAACACATTGATGACATTATCAACAAGATACAAAAGATGAATACTTTTGATGAAGAGAAGAGAAAACTTCCATTAGAAACTCCAAAGACACCTCAATCACCATTCCCAGTAGTAGGAGTCAAAGACGATTCTGAGGACGACGAAAAGGACACACCCACTGTTAAAATACCTCAAAAACGTAATACTGATATTCACAAGTCAGAGAATGTTGTAAAAACAATGGCGGGTGCCTTAATGCAGGAAGCTCTCAAAAAGAAGAAGGAAATGGATGAAAAGAAGGAAAAACCAGTCACTGCGCTCGATGCATCCAATAGTAAACAGAACCAAATTGAAGAACAGAAAGAGCGGAGAGTGGACCAACAAACTACTCTCAAATCGATGGATTTCACAAAGAACGTTAGTGATGACGAGCAAGAGGAAGCTAAGAGTGTGAACAATACAAAAATTATTGAAGCTGAATTTGAGGATGAACTCATTGAGGATGATCATGAGATCATTGGCTCGACGGTGTATGAGGAAGTAGGACATGGAGATGAAGATGACTCCCAATACACGTATGAATATGAAACTGCAACGGAACAAGATCCAAATGAAACCAAGCGAGGGGATGTTACAGTTCAGGAGGAGGAAATGGATGAATCTTTTGTAAAATCTTTGAAGAATAAGGATACCATTCAGACCTTCTCAGCTGTCGACGAAGATTCTGATATTTCTGAAGCACGTGTTGGCGGCAATCAGCAGCCATTTAAGAGCGCACCCAACCTACAGAAAGCTAGTACCCACTTGGAACCAGAAGAAGAGAGCACAGTTACGAAAGTGGTAAGCAAAGTTTCAAAGCTGAAAGCTCACTCCAGTGATGAAGACGACAGCGATGATGACGACTTACCATTCACAAAAGGAAGTTCATCTCTGACCAACGCTGCTCTTGGCAACAAGTTTAAAAGTTTGAACAACATGTGGGAAGACATGAACAAGAAGAAGAATGTATCGGTGGATGACAGTTTGGATTTACCTGGGTCTGACGACTTTGATATTTCGTCATTCAAGCAACAGGTTCCTACTTCCAAAAACACTGCACGTGCTGGCGCCTCAATGCTTTCGTCAGATGTTTCTGGTTTTATTAAAACGCTTAAAGAGGAGGAGGACGATTTAGACACCGAAGAGCTGTAGCTCGTACGAATAAAAAAAGCATATTGCAGAATTTGCACAAATATTTACTTTTTCCTTTTCAAGTTGAGCTGCACCCACCCATAAAATACGTTCCAAAATTGAAAATACATTCAAAAGAAATGAAATCTCTTCCCTTCATCGTAAAATCGATCTTGATATTTGTGTTTGTGATCATTCTTGCTTCGATTTTCTCTACTGTTTCGTGCCAACGTGCAATGAAGCAGGAAGAGTTGATTAAGCAAGTCAAGCAAGAAGGAAAAGAATTGCCAACTAAACCAAATCTACCTCGTCATATTATGGATTGTCCATTAAACCTGGAACACTTTCCTGAATACAAAAAATGTTACAACACTCCCCTACACTTTTAAAATTTGTGTTGTTGTAAAATCAAGAAATAAATAAGATTTTGTGCCATGGATTTGAATGTTACCATTTTCTCAAACTTCCATTCATGTTACACTGAAACCTATCGCTAATCAACAATTTTATAGCTCTCATGTATATTTGGTGTTCCTACTCGGAATTCTAGAGGCCCATTATACATTAAGAGCCGATCCGCATCGTTATCCCAATTGAATAAAGCCGGTCCACAATTGTCTCCAAAAGCGTTGAGTTCGATAATTTTCACTAGTCTCTGCTCTAAATTCAAAACAACAAAATCCACACAACAATCATCCAATGGAAGAATTTTCGAAAATTGATTGTCAAACCTCTCAACAATAATATCCTTAATTTTTTTCCATTCATCCATTGTAACTTGAGGAAAATAAGATGTACTAAAATACTGAGACATTGTAGTTATTTTTCGGTTCCTCACAAATGTTCGCACCTCCCTCCATATTGGTAAATCAGTCCATTCTCTAACCACAATTTGTATCGGCATTTCATCTGGAATGTGGCCACTTTCGGAAATGCTTTGCAACATGATTGATAAATCAACATGAGATCTATAACTTGTGCTCATTAAATTAATGAATTCCTTTCCAGAAGTTACTTTCATACATTTTTGAGCACATATTTGTGAGATGGCGGATTGATACTTGTTATTCTTGATCTTCAAGTCTCCATTTTCTTGATTTTCCATTTCCAAGTTGTATTTTTCATGAAACTCTAATACCATTTCATGGACCATTCCTTCATAGTTTTTAGCTCTAAATGCAGCGTCTTTAGGAGATCTATGACTGAGTTTCACGAATGCAGAGCCTAAAAACGTATTGCTATGAATAATTCTGTCAATTTTTTCTGATAGTCTATTAAGTGTTTCTTCATCGTCCTCATTGACAGTACTTGATCCAAAAAACCATCGCTCATACTCTTTAACAACAGCTTTCGCCTCATTAAAGGTCAAAGATAGAAATTTTGTTTTAAAAGTATGATCACCTAGCTGGGTCATCCAGTTTTTACAATCTGTCAATTCTATATAGATGGATAAACTATCTGTAACAAATTGTTTTTTGTCTATCGTCACAAACCAATTATCATTATTGCTTGACTGTTGAGAATAATCTTGTGCCAGGTATGGGAATGGAATCATTATCTTCAACAATGTAAAAGTTGCGTCTCTCAGTGGATAAAAATAAGAAAATAATAAATACATTATAAAAGGAAGGAACCAGTCCAACTCTAATAGCTTGGCTTTGATTGAGCATAGATCAATTAGTCTAAATTCAGAAAATATGGAAACAAAAAGGAGTATGAAATCTGTCAATAACCTGAGCTGGTCAAGGGAAGGATTAAAATAAATGTCCAAAAATTCTTCCATGACCTGATGAATCCAAAATTGTTGTTCATGGTCATGCTTTTCTCCGGTAATTTCACACAAATGAATAAATGGTGAATTAGAGCGTGGTTTTGTGGTGATGTGCTGAATAAAACACATAACCGTGATGTTTTTCTCGTGTTCGTCTGAAAGTGAATTAATATCTCTCCAAACTTTGAGTACATCCCCAAGATCTGACATATTATCTATAGATGTGTTTTGGTAACATTGAAACTCTCCAAGCCTGTATTTAATTGGATACTTCGGAGATGGTGTCTGAGTTTCTTCTAACGTTGATGATTGATCCAATGTGTCCTCTTCCTTGCCAAGAGACAATTCTGGAAGAAAATCGAATAAATCTCCTGTTTTTCCACTAGAATTGCTATTGGCAACTTGTTGAAATTGGGAAGCATCAAGACTCCTTAATTCTTGGATCATTTCTTTCCATCCAGGTCTGAAAGAATACTCTCCATCTCCATCCGAGAAGTGTAATTTCATAAAATCCTTCATAAACTTTTCATAAACAATCATTTGATCCAATCCCATATGGGGAGAGATCAGTAACCGAGTCATCCAATGAAAGGCTTGATCGTTCCTGAAAAGAAAATATTTCGTTGAGCGATGATGATGGACGCAGCTAGGATGATGGTACGGGCACATTTTTTCATCATGGAAGCCTTTCCTGCAGGCAAAATAGCAATCCTCTCGAGAGGGCAGTGTAATGGAAAGACGGATCATCAGAAGATCAAGTAGTAGCTCACTCTCGGGTGCATTCTCTGACAGCAGAAATGTCTTGTAACAAACTCCCAGAAAAATAACAACACATGTTACTTCTACTAACCCATCATAGAAGAATCCATGATGAGCATGATGCACGTGTGTGTGATTCAAAAACAAAATCACTCGTGACATTCTCACATTCACATTGGATGTATGGTTGTTTGAATCCATTGTCATCTGGACCACATGTCCACAAGCAACCTTATGGATCCTCCTCCTATTCCATCATCCTTTCAAAAATTAATATTCTCCTATCGGGATTATTATACCTGATCATTTGGATGCCAATACTTTCATTATATCTTCACAGACATCAAGATACAGAAAATTATCATTTTCGAAGGTCCGTCGGCAATGATTCATGGTGGAGTAGCGGCAGTAGTAGTAACAATGTTTTTGCTTTGGTACAGTCAAATGTGGACTGGAACCAAGCAAGTGATAATGGTGGTGGACCTTTCAACAGAACCATGATGATCCATTCATCAACGACTCGTCGAAAAACAACCTCCAAACAACAGCAACAACAACTCTCTCATTTCGCTTGTTACCGTGACAATTTTACAAATTTTGACCTTGTCTTTCATGTCGGAAATAATGAAACTGTCGAAAAAAAAGGACATTTTCACACAATGACTGGCCTCTTTCAATACATCTCATATATCATGTTGGAGGATTCAGACCAATATACATGTCTCAGGTATAACATGACAGTTTTTATTACAAGTGATATTGTAGAAGAACTAAATCATCGAAACACAGTGTGTGGAAATACCATTCCCAGTTTTGATGCTTCAAAAAGTATTGTCAGAGTATTTATGAATATTAGAAGTGAAAATTCTGAGGACAAGAAAGTATTGCAATGTTCAAGTGATAATCCAGTATTTCTCTTTGATTCAGCAAGTATTGCATTTTTAACCTTCTCTCACATGAGTCTCAAGGAAATGATGATTCGACCTGTAACAATCACCAATTCCATAATTACGAGCTCGGTCATTCAACTGTTACATGGTATTGATGAAGCTGGAATTTCAGATACCAAGCTTGTAATTACTCAAACAAAAGCGTCTGAGGTTGGAATTTTAACATTACATAATGTCACCATGCATTCTGGATCCATGTCTATAAGTAATTGTGCTAAAATTCATTTTGAATTTTTTTATTTCCGTGAAGATGTCACACTAGACGTGATACCCATTTTAAAAGTCTCAAACTCTGAGACCTTTTACGTGGCATGGTCCACATTCATATTTGGAGACTATTTTTCTATTCAAATGGAAGCAGTCATTGAGGCAATATTTTTCAGCTGTAAATTTGATTTTATTCATTCACCGAATTCTCCTTTAATTTCTTCATCCGAGTATGGAATGGTGGGAAATTTATTATTTAGGTTTTATTTAATTGGGTGTTCTTTCAACAACAGAAATCATGATCATGGATGGCTCAAGATCATTAGTGCAGGAGTGACAAATATTGAAAATGTCCATGTTGCAAATAATACGTGCAGCAAGGCTGAAGGAATTTTTTATTTTTATTTATGCCAAACCATTTACATATCAGATTCCTTATTCACGAATAATACGGCCAAGCACAGTGGTAGTTTGTTATTCCTAAGCTCTAAAACGTTCCATGTTTTGAATACTAAATTTATTGACAATAACTCTGTAAAAAGTGGTGGAGCAGTGACCGTGCTAGAATGTCACAATTCTGCACAATTAACATTTAAGAGGACGTTATTCATTCGTAACGCGGCAAATAATGGAAATGGAGGAGGCATTGCTATCATTGATACGAAATCATTTGTCATCATTTCAGATGTAATCATGTCACAGAATAGAGCTACTCTTGGAGGTGGTGCTATTTATTGCAACAATGTCACCTACCTCTACATTTCGAAATCTCAATTTGATTACAATGTTGCTCATCACCATGACAATGACGAAAAGTGTATCACAACGTCATTTTTATCAGGTGGAAGCGGAGGAGCCATGTCTTTGTTTCAAACCCCTTTGGAAATGACTGACGTCAAACTGATAGCAAATAAGGCAACTAGGGGTGGAGCACTTTTTGCAACTTCTAAAGCCCTGATGTACGTTACTGAATTTACAAATAATGTGGCATTGGTTGCAGGAGGTGCATGTTTCTTTGTCAAAAATTCCTCACAAGTATATCAATGGGACGTATTCATGCAAAACAATCAGGCCACAGTTTATGGACAAAATACTGCAACTCCCATCTCCACTTTTTCTCAAGAGGTGCTGGAACCAATGGCGAACAATGGGAAACTAGTGTTGTATCCTGGAGCAACATTGGTGTTAAAATTTACGGACATGTACGACCGTAACAATAATTTCATACCGATCATGTATGAATGTCCAATATCCTCCATTTCAGATAGCCGTTTTTATCTTGTGAGCAATAATTCACATTTTGAAAGTAATGTGATTTATTTCACATTAAGGATTGCGAGTCGTGTTGAAATTAATATAGATGAACATCCTGTTGATACTGAAATTTTGATCAGTTTCACAGAATCAGAAACGACTAATATCAGCGTGACCATTGGCCCTTGTCCCATGGATTATATCATTAATGATGGACAGTGTGAAATGGGGTTTCCACTTTCCAAAGTCATTCCTGGAATAGTTGTTGGCTCCATTCTACTCTTATTGGTTGGAATTATATTAGGTTCATGTATGTGCTCTGCATGTGCTTTCAGTGTTTGGAGAATTTTTAAAAACGCCAGAAGCTTGTACGTGAGACAACAGTCAGAAAGGGAAATTGAAGAAAAATTACTCAATTACGATGTTTCATTCTCTCATTATGGATCTCTAAATTCTGATACATCTTCTACCATTGAAAAGAATACTCATTATGTCATTCCTGTGACTGAGTTGAAAATTGAAAAGAAAATTGGAGAAGGAGCAAGTGGAAGGTTTGTAATTGAATGTTGTTTGAGAAACAGATGAATTCCAAAACTATTCTACAAAATTAGTGTGTACAAAGCAAAATATAACATGATGGATGTTGCAGTGAAAACGATCATTAGGAAAGATGATACTCATCAAGATTTTGAAAAAGAAGTAATGCTACTGGTTAAGCTTAGACATCCAAACATTATTTGTTTTTATGGAATTTGTATTTCAGAAAGCCAACTCTGTATTGTGGTCGAGTTAGGTCAAAATGGAAGTTTAGAACAAATGATAAAAGATATACGAAAAGGAAAAATTAAGAAGAAGTTTAGGGACAAACTCAAAATATTGATTGGTGTTGCAAATGGAATGAAATATTTGCACGGACTGCAACCTCACTATTTAATCCATAGAGATTTGAAACCTGCTAATATTATTTTAGATCAATCCTACACACCAAAGGTATGTCTACAAAAATGTTGATCATGAAACATGTCATATTGATCGATCAATATTTGTATTTAAGGTTTGTGACTTTGGGTAAGTGTCTATTTTCATTATCAAGACTTGTTGTACATTGACCATTATAATGAATACTAAAGATTGAGTCGTGTTGTATCCATGAATACACAAACAAATTCCTTGACAGGAAATGTTGGTACCCTACTCTACATGTAAGTCTTCTTTTTTCATTGAATTCAATCTTTTAATTTTTACACACACTTCATGAAAAGGAGTCCTGTAAGTGTTGAAACTCACCATTAATGAACTGCTATAACAACAATTTCTTTAATAATGATAGGAATTAATCTTGGAAGAAGATTCTGAAACGAACAAGCTTGCACGAGAAAATGCAACAAAAATTGATGTCTACTCCTATGCCATTATCATGTACGAATTATTCTTTGAGGAAACTCCTTACTGGAATGAAGATAGTGAAAAAATTAATTACTTTCATCATTGCAATAGCGATCAAAAGAAAGTGAAAGCATTCAATCTTTTATATCAAGTTGCTAATCATGAAAAACGTCCTCTCATTCCATTCAAAGATCATGAAGAAATGAAACAGTGGTGTGAAAAATTTATGGTCCATGACAACACTTCTAATGAAGACGTGTTCATTGGAGTGGACATGTATGTGAAACTCATGCAACAATGTTGGTCCTCAAATCCCACAGAAAGACCTTCATTCGAGAGAATTATGCACAAGTTGACAGAGATTTATAATTTGGAATTTTAGAAGAAGTGTTTGCGTGCCAATACCTTCAATACCAGCTGTTCAAATATTTGTTAAAAAAAAGATAAAAAAAATTCCTTCTTTTATCATACATTCAATCGGCCATGTCCTCTTCAACGAGCAGTAGTAGTAGCGGCAACAACATGAGTAGCTACTCAAGTGCAGACAATTATTTACACCTCCTTACATCTGTAAATCCAACCGATTTCATCTGCACATCGGAACGTGCTTCTCAAATTGTAAAATTATTTTCGGAACACTATCTACCACTTCCCTTCTCCTCCAATGAAGACAAGTCTGATCTAACAGAAGAAACCACTCTAATCCTGCTTGTTCCATATTTTATTGGTTTGGCAACATTACAAATTAGGCAAGAACGAAGTCCTAATCAACCCTTCGATATGGAAGCACACAAAAGGATTCGGACTATTCAACTGAAACAAGCCAAACAGCAATTTATCCATTTTTTAAATTTAGTGGTACAATATGAACAACTGAATGATGAATATTTATCTTGGGTTCTTCCTTTCACAATGCATGATGATGACGAGGAGGAGTTACAACAAGTCAAGAAAAAACAAGACGAATTTCAAAAATTAATGAGTGACAGAAATCAAATGATACTGAGAATGAAATCAAAAACCTTTCTCGAGAATAATTTATTTTTAAATTGTGAAGCATTATCAGATATGGAAATTTCAAATTTATTGACGGAGCAAACAGATGAAATCACCAATGAACACAAGCATCAAGTTTCTGATAAAATCAAAAAAAGAATGCTTCCTATCAGAGAATACATTCAATTTTGCGTATTGGACACTATTGAACAGCTTTCATCCATCAACAGAGAAGAACAAATGCTAGCGGCTACATCACAGGCCCAACAACAACTTAACAGACCATCACAACAAGTCAATAGCAGTGGTAGTAGTGGAATTTCACACCTTAAAGCAACTTCTATCAATGATATTTTGTCCAATAGGTCACAACTTTCGCAAATGGGGTACAACATGGTACTTTTACCGAATGCCTCAAGTGATAAAGCCCAGAAGCAACACAAGCAAGGAAATAATTATTTACAACGTACTGCCGCTTCAAATTCGGCGTCACAAGGTGTGGCTAGCTCTGCATTCAGCTCATACAATACACAAAGAACAATCCGAGAGAACATGAAGGATAAGGTTTTCGGTAGCTATGTTCCACCTCCAACCATGTCCATTGAAGAATTCGCTAGACAAGAAATGGAAGAGCTACATCAAAGACATGAACGAGAAAAACTGCAAGCTCAACAACAAACCAAAAAGAAGGAAGACGACGAAACAGAAGAGGATGAAGAAGAGCTCAAGAAAAAGAGAGCATGGGATGACTGGAAAGATGATCATGTCAAAGGATCTGGTAATATGAGAGATTAAAATAACTTGTTCTATTCTGTGTGTCAACTTAATTCTCAATCTGACTTTTAGGTTCTGATTGAATAGAATATGGATCGATCCATTGAATTTCACATTTAAGCATTGGTTCGTCACAAACAAAGCACTCACTTGGGAAAGAAAGCTGAACTTCAGAGTCTTGTTGAGGGATGATACTCTCTTGTGCAACTTGCACGCTAGAAGAAACAATTGATAGAGGCTGAAAATGGTCACACGAAAAGTAAATGAGGTTGCTTGAATACGTGGAATCGTGAGTGTAATTGGAAATGAATTTAAATTCATCTCCGGTAATAATTCTGTAAGGACTAGTAAACCCAAATCTACTAGTGATAAACTTGTGAAGAATTGTGTCCTTGTTGTTGACGCCAATGTTTCCACAAAGTGTTATTCCAAGTCTTAGTTTAGGTTGCTGTTGTACTCGGGTAGCAATGTAATTTGTAAAACATTTAAATATGGCAACCAATTGGGTAAGCAAAAATTTGGTTTCCAGGTCAAAATTCTTTTCTAATTGAATCCTTTCGTCAACATCTGAAAGTGAATGCAAAGCAAAGTTAATGACCAAGACATTCAACTGATCGAACAAAATTTGCGACCGTAATCTTGTAGTCCTTCTATCCTCCAGTAACTCATGATTAAACACTTTTAACAGCTCTGCATTGTCCTTCATTTCAAACTCGGCTATGCTGCAGAGAGACGGCAGAGTATTGTTTCGAATCTTTTCTTGTTGAGTTTCACATAGCAGTTTCAGTTGTGTAATGTCAACTTCTTCATTCGAGGACTCCCCAAAATTTCTTAAAGTTTGTTGCAGTGTTTTAAAAACAGAATCATCATATTCAAGCTCAACAACTTTTGTATCTGCAAATCTGCTAAACTTGCTTCTCTTGTAAAAAATACAATTTCCAGCATTGGAGCTATCTAGAATGTGGGATACATTTGAATAGCCAATTTTTGAGAGATCTAAATTCCAGTCGTTATATTCCGTGAGTGTGACATTTTGCAGAGACAGCATGTCAATATCTGACTGAATGATTTCTCTATAAATCAATCTCTTTCTATAAATTGAGTATGAAATAAAGTCCAAGTCTGGTAGTGTACGATTTTTTACGCCTCTATAATCCAACGTATAGCTTCCAACAGAAAAAACAAAATCTGGTTTGTAATATGTCAATAAAAGTCTCGTCTTTTGTCTGTAATCCAAGATATTTTCATCCATAGTCGAAATAATTGTTCTGCGTGGTATAGATGTTGGCATTTGAATTACTGGTTTTGTTATAATGTCTTTACAAAAACATTTTCCTGTCTTTAAATAAAATTCGTCATCAAATAGCACTACTCTTAACCGTAGTCTATAATTTAAATCATCACTTGTGGGAACATAGCTTAAACCATTGTACAAGGAAATGCTACTTGTTTCATCTTTTTTGTATGTTTTTGTGGGATCGCTATTTGTTTCTCGGAACCATTCAATGATACAAGTTCCCAAATTTTTAATATACAAGGTCGGAGCCATGTCTACTCCAACGATCGGTGTAGGAAATTCAAAGGATATTTTGATAATGTCTTTCTCTTCCAAGAAGGAAATGGATCGTTGCTGAAACTGTTGTGCAGAATTTGAATTGCCCATGTTGATATCGCAATTTAGTAAAAGAGATAAATTAAAATAGATGATGCGGAAATTGTTGTCAATAACAATATCGGGTTTGCCTCCTTTGAAGTAGGAGTCCAATGTACAAATGACAACTTTGTTGAATTGTTGTTTCAGAAGAGAACACCAGGTGCTACCCAGCGAGAGCAGATTTGCTGTCAATGATGTGATTATTTTTTTCAAAATTTTTATTTGAATTGTTGTTCAATAGTTTTCAAATTCCGTTATCCACCCGCATTGGAATAACATGATGCTATTCGGTCCAATTTAAACATGTTTCAAAGAGCACGTTCTCAAAGAAAATACAACATTGAGTGCAGTCCGTATGATTCTTTAAACTTTAAGCCTCAAATACGTTTATCAACTATTTAATTGGATGGCATGAGTCGTTGCGCTGTCTATCATAAATGTTGAAAACAACCAGTTCGTGGTGGAAAAGATTTTGTTGTAATAATTTTCAAAATTGTTTTTTTAATTTGAAGCACAATTTGGATTGTCTAAGAAGACAATGGCTAGGGAAGCATCAGATTATTACTTGTTTTAGATCACTGTACAATATTATTTTCACTCTAGAATGTCATTCGAATGACTGTCAGATATTGTTGTTGTATTCTTGATCTTTGATACAATAATTAAATTATGAATAATGATTCTACGTTTGAAATTATTTGCTGCTATGCGTATTCATAGGTGTAACAGGAAAAGCAATATCTAGTGTTTTTGCTGGAGCGTGAGCAGGTATAGACTTTCGCTTATTCGTACCCGTGTTAGTATGTTGAGCCTTTGAAATACTGGATAAAAATTCTCCAAAGGAAGCCTTTGGTTTTTCTTTCTTGTAAAGAACGGAATCATGATGAACATCAGCTTCGTAGCCATATATTTTAGCTAATGTTTCTTCCTTCTTTTGAAGCTCCGAGAACGAGCGTCCGATGGAAGGTTGATGCGAAGTGGACGAAGAGGACATTTTTTGTTTGATTCAAATATTTATTGTTCATATTTTAAAATTAAAATTATTCATTTACAATTGGCGCAGTTAGAGCCTTTGCTGTTCATGTGATTTGCAAAATATACTTTGTCTTCATCTATGAACACAGCAATGGTCTTCTAAAGTTTCGAATTGATTTCTAACCCAGTTTGTTTGATGATCAAGGCAGATTCGAGTTCGAAATAAATATTATGCGGTAACGTGATGATAAAATCAGAAGAAAAATGAATCCACAACATTCCCTTCCTCCATTGCCATCCAAGCCAACAACAACCACACAGCAAATCGTGAAGCAACCTCAGCAACAAATAAGACCTATAACTCCTGTTGTGGTGATCCCACAATATAACACAAGCACAACACCCATCACAGACTATTCGGGGAGTACTCTTCATTGGAATGGATCGGGAGATCATCATGCAGCAGGAAATAATCCTATGTTGGTCATGAATGATAATTACGGAAATAATTGGCAACAACAACCAGTACTGATCTATCAGCAACCACCTTCAGATTCAATCTATGGAGGAGAATCTAATAATTGTAATACTTCGGGATATATGTATAATGCCAATTCTATTCCACAACAAAATTATGTCACAACCAACAAGGGACCTCAAAACGCTTTCAACAAGAATATTTATATGAATAGCCTGAATAATGGTCAACAGCTTCATGTACCAATAGATCAACATACTGCTCCAAAAAGAAATAGTCCACATCCTTTGGACTCTAACAAGACATCTAATCCGACAACCTCATCCTCTCCCTCTGTTTTGGATCAGTATTCATCTGCAACTAACAACAATTATCAACAATCTCTCACTACAAGCCACAATAATTCACATTACTCTTCCCCAATGTCACAGTCGTCTCACGATACACAACCATTCTTGCAATCAAATATTACAACTAACAACAACTTGCCCACTGGACTTAACTCAACCATTAACAACAACTTTCAGACAGTGGATTTAAGCCAAGGTCACAATAATATCGCATCTCAAAACAAACCCACAAAACTTCCAGTTCCTAGTAGTAAGAAACCTGTTTACACGGACAACCCAATTAACAAAATTGCTAATGTTGTTGAAGATTTTATTGACAAAATTGTTCCAGGTGACAAAGGTACCAGGGTTGACCTTACTGAGCCAAAACCGGTAAAAGGTCTTTCTAACAACATTGGAGAGTACAACTGCTTTTTAAATGTTGTTATTCAAAGCTTATGGAATGCTCGACCATTCAGAGACTTGTTTTTATCTATTGACAAAGACAGTCATTTTCACAAAGATCCCCAATCTTGTGTGTTTTGTGCTTTGAAAACACTGTTTACGTCTTATGAAACGGATGCTCGCTCCGTAATTGAGCCGAACGACGTAAGAACGAGTCTCTCATTTGCTCACAACAAAGACTCTAAATTTCAGTTAAGGCGTATGGATGATGCCTCAGAAGCATTTGTAAGTTTGTTTTACCTTCTTCAAAGTTTTCCAAATAACTTTAAACAGCAAGCCATTTTGGAGGACGTCAACAATTCTCTGAAATATGATCAAATTCCAATTTTTGATTTTAATGTGACTGACTTTTATGTGTGTCGTAATTGTAATTCATATTCTGAACCTCACAACTACACTACTAACAATTGGTGCATATCCAGCAGTGAATTCGTCACCAACAAAAGAAGAGATCCTAACATGTCGTTCGAGCAAGCAATTAGATCATCTGTTGAGAGTTTCCATAAAACATGTGAGAATTGCAAAGGCACCTCAGACTCTCAAAAGCACATTTTTCAAACCTTTCCAGCAGTGTGTACAATATCCTTCTCTTGGGAGGCAGATGTTATTTCAGAAGATTCAATTTTGGAATTTATGTCCTACTTCAAAATTAAGAATATTAATTTACATGACATTTTTAGATTGTACTGCAACGGAAATGATATTGAAGTGATTGGAAATGTATCATCTATTATATGCTATTATGGAAGACATTACATTGTAAGTAGTAGGTGATATCGAACTTTTGAAGCATCGAATCTGATAATACTTACGTAGTGCATTGTTTATGACAAGAAAACAAACAAATGGTTTGGAATTGACGATAGTAGAGTAAGAGAAATACCTGAAGTAGAACTAGCTCATTTCATCATTTCTTCAAAATTTCAACCTTGTGTTGTATTAATTGAAGTTGAAAAAAGCAAAGGAAATATTGAAATTGAACGTACGGTCAAGCAAAAGGCCTCTGTTGCCGAAATTGAACTCATTTCTCCATTGAAGAAAAAGACTTCTGTGAGCAACTTGTCGAGCATTCAAACAAACTCTGGAGAAATACAGCCGAGCACTTCAAATTTCATTGTGGAGAATCATCAAATTGGATTGATTATTGATGGATATGGACCTGTTTCTGACTTCTTTGTATGGAGACAAACAACAAATAATTCGAATATTTATACTCGTACTGCAACCATTTCAAAAGATCACATGAATAGTGTTTCAGGCTCTAACCAGCTTAATATTTGTTTGTTTTTAGATCAGATTGAACTTGAAGAGAAGGAAGCTGTCACTGTTAAAATTTGCTTTGCACCAACAGGTGGAACACGCACCTTTAAATGGTTAGACATTGGTAAGCTTGATAAGAATAAGAGAAGCTTATTCTCGTCTATTCCCGTTGGTTTTATAATGACAGATGGAGGCTTATCAAAGTCCTATGACCTATATTTCACTCTTAAAAAAGAAAAGACTCATTAAAACCTTCACAGGTATATACTCTTGAGTGGTGTGAACATGTTTCACTAAAACTCTTAAGATCTGTGTTAATTCTCAAACAGTGGTTTAAACATCGCACAATTTACACATAAAAAATGGAAAAACTATTGCAGAGTTTGCTTAACAATGAAAAATGTGCTTCGAGCCTGTCCAATTTCAATTTTGAAGCAGATTGTTTGAAATTATTGCTCTCCAAGCTTTTAGGTACATTGGTAATTCTCGGATCTGTGTTGTATAAGGTTCCACAAATTATTACCATTTGTAAGAAGTCTTCCGTAGAGGGTTTATCTGCATTGATGTTTATTTTGGAAATTTATGGGTAGGTAAGAATGGTGAATGATGTGTTTGATGACGATGATCGCGATCATGATGAATAACTGCATCGTCATCGAAAATTATTTTAAATCGTCTTTCGTGATGAATATAATATTCAGACAAGTGATTACTTTGGGATACAATATTCGTGGAGGCAATCCATTCAGTACCTATGGAGAATATGTGTTTATGATTGTACAAAGTAAGTGGTGATTTCCGAAATATTTCCGATGAGTGAAATTCTGCTTAGACGTCATCATTCTCTTGCTCTTTTTCATTTATTCCAAGAACAATGATTTTGTTTTCTCTCTCTCAAGTATTGTATTCCCGGTCTTCTTTTATTTTACAGTTTTTGATACCATCTATGTTACTGAACAAGTGATGAAAACTCTGTTCGCTCTTACTGTTCCAATTTTCATTTTCTCTCGTGTACCACAAATTATCAAGAACTTTTCTCAAGGAGGTGTTGGTGCATTGAGCTTTACAACTACTTTCATGCAGGTTGCAGGATCAGCTGCCCGTTTGTTCACTACTTTACAAGAAGTTGACGACAAACTTATTTTGTTTACAACCATTTTAGCTGTAGGATTGAACGGTATTCTAATGCTGCAAATTATTTATTATGACATGATTGTTGGAAAGAAAAAGAGTGACACTGTAACAACCGCTCCATCAGCAAGCTCTGAAGCCTCCACTCCAAAGAAGAGAAAGTCCGTAAAAACTGAGTGAATAACTTAGATGACAATCCATGTCTTGCCACCTTTATAAAACCAATCAATTAATTTCTGTTATTTTCTAGATCAACAGTTGTAATTGGGTCACCATGTCACTTTAGTTTTGTAGCCGTCGGTATTTAGAGTTTTTCGATGACTTGAGAAATTCTGTTAAAGTGTTCCTTCTTTCTAGCTTGAAGGATTGTTGTAGAGGTGCTGGGAGAGATTTCAAGTTGCAAAATTTCGCGTTCTCTCATAAGAAACTTTTCAATTAATAGCAATAAATCTTGATATTCTAATTCAGAGCGAAGCTGTCGTTTTCCAAATGAACGTGCACATAAAATTTCCAAAAAATCCTTAGTATTGATTTCAGAAAGCATATAAGATGTTGATATAATGGATCCATTGCCAAGATTGTCATAACGTTTTAGAATTTTGAAAGGTCTGAAGATAATTTCGTCCTTTTCTGAACTACTTGCTGTTTCTTTGTTCGTGATATCTTCTGATGAGAAGACATTCGTGTTTTCAATGTTATCTGAAGTTATTAATTGGTTTGACAAATTTCCCTCGTTTTCTCTATCGGCTGGTTGAGTGATCATTGTGTTCACTACACTCTCAATATTATCAAAAATATTAAAATTATTTCCGATGGACCGGCCATATTTGTACACATATCGAAGTTGTTGCTCTGGAGTTTCCATAAAAACTCCATCAGGTTCATTTCTAAAAAAGAGAGGTATTTCTGTAAATTCTGAAGATGATCCATGCCAATGAATAAGTGATTGTTGAGGACTGGATAAATTCGAATGTGTGACCTCTGAATCCTTCATATTTCTATGGACGTTTCTCATAACGGTGTTATTGATAAATCGAATGGGATTCAAGTGTTTAAATAAATGGGCTCTATCATATTGGCTCGTTACATGTCCATATTGTTGAGAATACGTAGTGATTGCTTGTTCTCTTTCTCTAAAATAATAATATTGGTCGTTATTCTTGAGAGGTGTTTTCAAAAAAGAATTGCCTTTTCCTTTCATCTGTCTAGAAAGAATACAATGTTCCTCAATCTCGTCACTATCTTGAATGCCAGAATTTTCTTCACTAATATTGGACTCTTCAAGCTTTACTTTGATTTCCCTAGCTTTTCGCTTGTGTCCTCTACGTTTACCTCTTTCAGAATTAGTACTAGGATTATCCGACCTACTTGACTTGCTGCTGTTACTAAAAGATTTGGAGCTCGTTTTCAAATACTGTGCTCTCGTTACCTTTTCTACCTTTGTGTTAGTGTTCTTAAAATCTTTTTGTACTGGTATAGGAGGTTGACCATCAAGACGAACCAATCTAAACTTGAAAACTTTGGCCCCTAGCGTTCCATTTTTCAGGACTTGTTTCTCTTTCCAATAATTTGTAACCCAATACAAACCATCATATCTGTACCCACTTTTTGGGGCATATTTAGTTTGTAATTGATAACCTCTCACAACACGTACTGGTATTTTCTTTGTCATATTCAAAGTTAAGCTCTTATTGACACTGTTAAGCTTTTGATCTTGCGTTTCAGAGCCTCCCTGCCCTGTGTAAATTAAAATATCTCCATAATCCTCATCACCATATCCACCCATAGAGGATGCACAAATTGATTCTGCTGCTTCATCGTTGTTACCGTTTCCAAAAATTCCACACTATCGTAATTTCGTTTCATAGAGTCAAATAATAAAATATCATTGATAACAACCTACCTGGGGAGGTCTATGAGTTTTTGATTGCGAACAGTCTATTCTCTTGTCATATGTTGTGAGTACTCCTTCAACATGTCCATAAATTCTTTTGTTCTTGACCAAAAAATTGGCATTGGTAACACCCTTCCATTTAGACGCGTCACCAAAGTGTTCCTTATCCTGTTCAGTAATTCGAGGAGATCTATTAGGGCAGTTGGTTTTTAATATTTCGTTATTTTCACTGCCTTCGTTGTCAGACTTTTCGCTTTCTGATAACTCGATCACAGTTTTTTTCTGAATTTTCTTGTTTGTTCTTTTTAGTTTCGTTTGCTTTATCTCTTTTCTGTTGATCCTTAGGTTATTGACACAAGGAATTTCAGTGACATCAGAATCATAATTTTCATTTTGACTTGATTTATGTGATAGTTCGTCACCACCATAAAAATCTCTAAAAGATGGGAGTGAGATTGGGGAAGATGGAATAAAGTCTGTACCTAGGGAGCTTGATTGGACTGTAATGTTAAAAATGTCACTGCTCCTAAGAGTAGCAATACTTTTGTTGAAAACAATGGACTCTTCGTCCTCCATAGTGTTTGTATCGTCACCAGTAATAGGCGATGATGGTATTGAATGGTTAGCTTGGTGAATATGAGGTAGAGCGTGTTCCATTTGTAATTCCTGTTGAGAGTATGTAGTTGTATTGGGTGGACAAGAAACTAATTGTTGACAGTGTTTTTGTTGATTGGAGTTGCATTTTTCTTTGACCTCCTGTGTCGGCTCGCCCACATGTTGATTGACGTTTTCATTGTCATCACTACAAAACATGCTGTCCATAAAGTCCATAGTCAATGACTCCTCATGTTCCGACGTCGTAGGTGTTGGAGCAAAAACTTTGATACGATCACAGACCAGATTCAAGTCTTCAGTCAAATCTAACAGAAAGCTACCATCATCAGAGAAGTCTTCTTGTTGTGCTATCCTTCTTATGTTATGATCATCGGAGTGGTTGGCCTCCAATGTTGGATCGGTTACCATCCGAACCATGATGTTGTTGAGAAAGAAAGGCTTATTTTTTAAACGGAATTTGAAATAAAATGGCGCATTAATTAAAATCATCAAAACTGACAAAACGCTGGCCTTTCATCTGAGCACCTTGTGTGCTTTGGTCGTAACACTAAGTGAGAGTGGAGGCCAGGAAAGGAACCAACGCACACAAGGATCTCAAAAACTTGTTCTATGAGTAGTAAGAAATCGAATGAAAATATACAGAAATTCTTTATTGATGTTCAATAATAATTTAACGGCAGTTTGTTGCATGTTTATTGCGTCACTTGAGTACAGTTATGAATACGATTGCTAATGTAACCAACGTTTGCCTTAATCTGTTTCCTCTGTACCATGCTCAAACGTATTGCAACAACAGGCTCCACGGATAAAGTTTTTATTCGAATATGTTTTCCTTTTGTGAATCGACAGTACCAGTTCTGACAATACGTATCTGATAGATGTCACCCAGATGCGAATGAAGTTCAACTGGTGGCTTTTTTAGCAGATGTGAAAGATAACGGGAAAAATCCAAACACCGTTATGTCAAGTGGCCTTCCGTTATGGCATGGACCTTGCAGTTGATGTGGATGCATCCTTGCCGTCATCATCTCTTGCACTGGTTCACTTCAAAGCATTGGTCTCTGAACAACAAAAGCTTTTTCTCACACAAAACAAATATAATCAATGGTCATGTCGTTGTCAAAACAGATGTCGTTGTCGAATCCCGTTCTTCCTCTTGTTGAAGAGTTAATTCTCGCAAACACTACCAACACAACATCATCAACAACCTCTCTATTTGGTGAATACAACATTTTAGTGGTGGCATTGGTTGCACCATTCATTGTTGTGTTTGCCGTGTTGTTCGTCATTAGTTGTGTTAGCTTTTTCCTCCAAAGAGCCAAAATGAAACGAAAACAATTCCTCTTGTTTACATTGCTGTTGGTGCTCTGTTTGTCCGCAACCTTCTCGAACATGTTCAGAATTAGCTCCGAGCTCGCATACTTGCATCCAATTCCTGAGCAAGCAATGCTTTTGAATAATGGCATCAAAACTGTTGATAGATTCCTTGTGTCTGTATTAATTTATGTACAAATTCTAATACTTGCATTGATTTGTTCGGTGTTGTAAGTAATTCATGATTTAACATTCACTTCTAATGCATGTAATTTAACTGTTCTGATTAAAGTATGGAAACGACAAAAGCAACAGGATTTGTTACTAAACCCGTGTACAGAGCATCCTATTTTGCTCTTTTTGGCATTCTAGTTGCACTTTTTGTCATTCTACTGTTGAATAACATTGCGATTTTCACATTTCATGGATTAAGAGGATCACCTGTCCAAATATTAGATGCTTCTCAAACGAACGAGTTCCAGAAATCGATTTTCATTGCACCTTGTATTATTTTCTTTCTTTCATTCTTTGCTATATCAGCAATCCTTAATGTACGTAGTAATTGTTTTGTTCAATCAACCCAAATTCACAACTTTTATAATCTTCTATGATCATGTGCAGGTGTATGGATTCAAATTGTATCATTCTCTACAAAAAAGTAAGGCAAAGCTCATCAAAATATTCGTTAAGCAACAACAGGCTTTTCAGGGCATTGCTGAATCTCTTTCTCCCCTGCCTTTACAAAGTATGGACTCACTCACAACCGATTCTCCCAGAAAGAGTATTCCCAACAGTACAAGTAACAGCACGACGAATGACAGCTCCCAAAGTACATTGTCACCCATGACAATGCCATCCACTCCAACAGTCTCTGTGGACGATTTGAAGTTTTCAGCTGAACAAGAAAAAATCTATGAGTTCAAGAAGGCAGCTTTGCGAAGAGCTCTTATCATTCAACTAGGGTTGAGTGCATGTTTATTTGTGCAGTCCATTGGTGTCTTGTTCATTTCCGTTGGAGTTCTTTGGAGATACTTGCTGCTCTTCTTTTACATGTTTATGAATCTTGGAATGTGTTTCTTTGTGATTTTACTTCTTGTAATTTATAGTCCTTTGAGAGAAGTTCAAAGGCTCGTAAGAACACCAAGCGACCAAAACTTAGCAAAACAAACTACTTCAAAAACTGTTGTGTAACAAGAGCTTACAACACGCCACGACATCGATGGTTAGGTTTGATTATTAAAAAAATATTTATTCATCCTTTGCTGGCCATCACTTCAAGACAACATGCAACGAATCAAGTCCAGAAAATCGGGAGGTGTGTCCCAACAACGAATTGCTCTCACCGGTAGTGATCACGGCTCAATCATGAAGACATATTTTGGTGAAGATGATGCACCAGGTATTAAAGTGTAAGTGATGGTGTACTGTTTAAACAGACCAACAAAATGACTCATACTCCTCTGATGATTTAATTCAAATGACCTGCATAACGACATCAATTATTCAAATCATCTATATTGGAATCATCGATCGATATTTCATCAATACAGGTCCCCAACAACTGTTCTCGTTGGCAGCTTGGTTTTCATCTTCTCAGTAATTGTTCTTCACTTCTGGGGAAGATTCTTCAGCTAAATCTATTTGTATTTTAAATATTACTCAACCTTACAGCAAGACATTACTAGTACTCAACACCAAAGAGAAGAGGCTGCTTCCTAGGTCCTTCTCCATCAAATAAAAACAAAAATTATTTCTTCAAAACAAAAAATGGATTGTGTGGTGGAACTTGCAGCCCTCGAAATTGCCCTGGAAGGCTTGCGAGGATGCTCGTTTGATCGGTTGGTAACTTTGATGCAAGAATATCATCCCGATATTGTTATGGATGAGGATATGCAAAGGGCTGTGTGGATGAACCTCTTGAGATGCCCAAAGTTATTGATTTATAGGGTGTCGGACAACACTTCCGATGAAACAACTGGTGATGCTTCTGCTCCCTCAACATCTAAAACTCAAAAAAACAAAAAAGCACCACAAAAGAATGATTATCAGTATACAACTGAAGGATTTGCAGAATATGCAGAAAGCAAGAATGGTTTTGATAAAAGGTTTGCAAAAAAACGAGATTTCATACAAGATGTTACTACCATTCATCAGTCATTGGAGACATCATTTAATTCCAGGAATTATTCTGACATTTGTTTAGTAGGCAATTTTGAGTACAGGAAGTATGCTTTGGGTATGGACGTTAGATCTGATGTAGAAATTAGCGAAATTCAATTTTGTTTGCTAGAGGAAGTTGGAAGATCTAGATACACTGGAAAATATCAAAGCGACCTTACCAAGTATTTAAACATTGATTCACGATCAACACTGTACCACTTAAAACGATTGTATGGTCTCAATTTGATGTTTAAAAAGTCTGCATACGATCCACGATTGAAAACAAATTCTAATTTGGTACGGCTATTCAGATTTGCTGACGCTAAGAAACAACAACTTTTTGTCAAAAAAACGAGCGAAGTTGTCCAAGCAGAGGGAATGTATGAAAAGTTTTCACAGGTAAAGGACTCCGTTGTGGACACTGTGGTGGGCATGCTACAGAAAGCCAAGGGAAACGTTTTAATCGATTACGAGATTCGAAAAAAGCTATTGGACTTTATTGAAGACGACACAACTCAAAAACATAAATGGGACAGGTTAAAAGCCATTCTACAGGCCAGTGGAAAAGTTGAATACTTCAAAGCAATGGTAGACAATAGATTGACCTACTGTGTCCGATTAGTAGGCGACGCTCAAAATTTAACAAACAGGTCGTCAGCTCGTCAAGTAGATTTATCAGAGGACGAACGTCTACTGATGCCTGGATTTGATATGGAGCGACCTCAACTTTATCAAATGTTTGATTATATCGGCAAGATGGGAGGTAACAATGGCTTGATTCACAACGAAATTTATCAACATTTCATGATGACTGCAAAGCTAAGCGGAAACTTGTGCAATGATTTGAGAAAAGAGTTTGGGGTTACCTCTATGGCGGAAAAGTCAGACAAGCAAATGACGTATAGATTTGTTGTACCTTATTCATCAGAGAATATTTCTCATGATACGACATCTGTAGAGGGTCATACAAGCAAGGCAGATGTTGACAAAGAACCACAGGTATTATTCCCTACTAGATTGAACATCACCACCAAACCTAGGAAGAGAAATCAACGTGAAAAAATTGATGAAGAAGTAGCTTCAGACTACAGTGAAACAAGCTCTCAACAGAGTGACGAAGATATAGAAGAGATTGATACTAAGTCCACCACTTCTGAAAATGTCACTGCACCTGTTCCCACACCCTATATCAGAAATAATAGCAAAACTGAAGGCCCTAGAAAAGAAGTTATTACGAAAGAATTCTCGGATAGATGTAAATTAGCTCTTGAATTCATCAAAGAAAAACAATGTGTTGCTCGTTTTCAGTTGATAGAACACTTTAAACAAAATAATACAAGTTACGAAAGTAAGACCATGTCAAGATTGATACGGTATCTAGAGAATAACAAACTGGCAAAGAAGATTCATATCACAGTCCCAAATCTTTTTGGCACAACAACAAAAGAGCATGTTTGTTTGATAGATTATTCTCTTGATCTTCAGTCTGATGTTGTTCAAGAATTTACCAAGAGTCTTTATTCCAGCGAAGTTCAAACTAATTCCAAAGAAAAAGTTGATAGAAGTACATTAGAATCATTTGAAGCTATTGATCACATTGAACCCAAGAAGGCAGCAAAAAGATCGTCGAACACCTCTTCGTTCCACTTATTGCTAAATGGCTACATTAACGCCAAAATGGTCAGAGTGAAAATATTTCACAAGTATTTATGGAAACAAGCCTTCACTGGAGCAATTAACTGTGAGAGACTACGCCTTTTTGATATTTACAAGAATATGAGCGTATTATTATTTTGTGAGCTCGTTGGTTGTATTAGCAGTGTTATTGTAACTCCTGAAAATAAGGGAATTCTACAAAATACTACCATTAATGATGCCCAAGAGGATATTAAAAAGGCAATAGAATCATCTGTGGTGGGAAGACGTTCAGTAGCTCTCTCAAAAGTAGAACAATTTATTGATATACTCAACAAGTTGGGGTTAGTAGAGATTTTACCTGAGGAATCAGCATCTAAAGTATTCAACCTTGTGAAGACGGTAGAGTTTCCCTTTCCACAACAGCTTCCCTCAACGGAATATAGAAAAGTTACGTTCAACACGTTGGACGATATTGATGAATATTGGGATGACCTCGAGATGTGTAGCATAAACATGGAAAATATTAGGAACGAAAATGATGACGATCAACAAACAGAAACATCAATATTCTCCAAAATACCTGATCTTGGGAAAAGAACTGGCTGGTCAGAATTACGACATTTTACTCTGCGTCATTTGAGAATATTGGAAGCCTCCTACAAGGACAATAAGCGCCCTTCTCCTGAGGAGTGCTCTAGCATTGCAAAACAATTAAGACATCCAATAGAGCAAGTTATTCTTTATTTCTATAGATACAGAACGGAGATACTGACAAATAGAATTGATGGTGATTCATCCATTAGAAATTCAAGAAAACGAAGAATTGCTAAAGATAATGATTTTATTGTAAATGATGATGAGATTGAATATGAAGACGAGCAAACAGGCAACAAAGGAGAATCTAATAAGCAACAGAAATCAACAGCAACGCGACTTGGATATGTGTCTAGACTATTTATTGATAAGGCATCAGAAACAGTAAAACGGAAAAAAAGAAAGAAAAAGCCCAAAGAAAAGACATTGCCAACCCGAGACCAAAAGTGGACAAGCGATCAAGATTTAAAATTGTTAGACGGTTTGTCAAAGGTTAGAGAACTTGATCCTGCAACTGGAACCTTTTTAACGAAACCAATTAAATGGCAACAGATTGCCGATTCTATTGGAGGAGGAATGACAGCAAACAGATGTAGGTTAAGATGGACTAATGTCCTACGAAAGCTTCCTTGGTGTCGTCGTGCTCTTGAACTTGCCGTAGGCCATAGAGAATTGATGAAAAGCAACCCTCATATTGAAAATATATCAATTACAGACCTTGTTCAAAGCTGTAAAGACCAATATAAGATGGGATCAACGGTATCTCAAAGCCCCTTGTTGAATATTGATCTACCAAAACACATAGAAGATGTAAATAGACATTTTAAGATTATTAGGTTCGAAGGAATCAAAAACGAAGACTTACCTTCCACAGATGTTTCCGAAAATATCGTGTCGATTGAGAGTCATCTAAGAAATGCGTCATTAGAAAATCTTTTCAAGATTATTCTGCTGACACCGGATGAATGTTATGACGTTAAGATGGCGAACAGACTTGTTAAGAGGTTCAAGCCTAAAGAAATAAGTCAATGTTTCTCAAATCTACGAAAGAAGTCAATAATTTCAAAGTCAAAAAGAGGTCTTCGTATGAAAGGATATCATCTAAATGTTAACTTTTCAACAAGAATGACATCAGCCTATTTTCCAACAGAGGTTTTTGAAGACGCACCCAAATTTAAAAAAGCAGCACTGATGCTCGATACGGAACAGGATTCTGATAACGAAGATGAATTTGAGGCTAAACAGGTAATATTCTCAAAAGATGGACCTTGCTTCAACCCACAGGCTTCTGGAGGTTCTGTTGCAGCCTGTATGAGTCTTGTAATACTCAATGAGATAAAACTAGTTCCACAGGTCACACCTTTAACAGACGAAGAACGAAATCAATCAGGAAGAAACGATAAAGAACTGGCAGAGGAAGATGGAGGAGGAGTAAGCAATCACCTACTTAGAGTTGGTGCTATCAGACATGGCGAACACGACTCGCATTTTATTGCTGAAGGTATGAACATTAAGAGCTCTCAAGGAGCATTGCAACTGCCAGAATGGAATATTAGTATTACCCCTGTTATAGAGGCTGATCTTTTCAACACACTTGGAGAGGAACACCAAACTTTGGCTAAGAGAACAATTGCTGAATATGGCGCAATCATGTCAGACATTGAATACTCAATTGAACTTTCTGGTCAAAATAAGAGAAAGCTTGACGATTTCTCAGAGGATGATGACCAAGAAGAAAATCCTTTAAAAAAGCAAAAAGATGACCATGCTCCAACTCAATCCGAAATTACTGCATATTTGCAAACTTTTGCAGCTCAACACTCTTTACCAAGACAATTCTCTGAACAAGATTTGCATGTACTTGAAAATCTTGAGCATCAACAGTTGAAACCTATTGTGGAATATTTATTGATGGCCAAACACGAAAATTGTACATTCTGGATTGACTCTACCATTTCTATCTACAAGTTTATTGCTGACAAATCAAGCGTAGGAGCTTCCATGAACGAATTGAAGAAAGAATTTTCATCACTATTTGCCTATGATGATGAAGTGGAGTTTTCCATTCAGGAAATAGTTCAACAGCTAATTAATTTTGACTGTATTATGGAAATTAACTCGGAAGAAGAATCCAGATTTATGATTTCACAGGAGGCGAGATTACATACCATTCCATACAACGACAATGGTGTGACATTGCAAAGACCAATCTCAGTGTTTCTTCAACTTAATGGCGAGCTTAATGATAACTTGTTGCAAAATTTTAAACGGTGCCTTGTTTCTAGAATAATGAGACATCCTGGTATCTTGGAGAAATCGCTCATCTCTTCAATTGGAGTAATTTCATCTCATGATATCAGAACAGTGCTAAAGATGCTTGAATCAGAAAACATTATCACATCTACGTATTTCCAAGCATCATCAAAGTACAAACTTGCATCAAAAAACACCTTATTCATGACAGAAGAAGAAATAGAAGAACATCATTGCGAGCCTCAATATGATAGAGCACTTTTTGTGACTCCACGCTATGTATTCCTTGCCCAACAATCACTATGCTGACTGCGCCTTAAGCACAAAAAATAAAACGGAATGAACGCCGAGAACCATCCAAGAAAATCATCGTCAGGAGAGGGTGATAGTATTATTGTATCGAGTCATTCCGTAAATGTAATCGTTGATTCATCATCACACAATATACTCTCACAACAACCCTCCATTGTGGTTGAAGGCTCTTCAGAATCCAATGAGCTGAATCATCATCATCGACAAAGCACTTCTTCCAACCCCGAAAACAAACAAACAATCCATAACAACCACATCATTCCTCCACATTCTATATCATATTCGGAACCAATCTCGCCCACAGAATCTCATCATGTTACAGGTTTTTTAGAAACTCCTACTGGAAGAAGAAACCCAGTTTCCGTTCTTCGAAGCGCTCGTGGAAACTTTGGCAGTACTTCTTCTATCATGGCAACACGAGGAAAATCTGTCGCTTCACAAATTGGGGCAAACACAACGAAAAGTACTGATGTAATTTCTCATAATACTTCCGAACCTATTCTCACCATTAATGTAGAAGTTTATGATAATATTTCCCTATTATCAAAATATGCCCAAAGCCATCTAGGAGGAATAACAACAGCAGAGGCAAAACAGTAAGTAATGAAATTATGAATTATTGAAAATATTTTAATATTAATCTTCGAAACAATTCTTTTATCAGAATATTATTTCAATCGCTAGAAGAAACAATATTTAGGATAGAAAGTCGCACAGGTAATTCTGTACATTCTTCTGTACTGGATGTACTTTTTCGAAAAAGTCCTATTAGAGGCGGAATGCTTTTTCTTCTAGTTTTATTTTCATGTTTACTTTTATATCTATCTGGTATTCTCAAATTTTCTGGAATACCATTCTATGACCAATATGGTGCAATTAGATTGGTGGTAGAGGCGTCCATATTAACTTTTAGTTTGCTCTTCTTTTTTGTGGTCACCGTTGTGTCACATTACCGAAGGGTAAGTTCTTTTAAAAAGATATCATTTTGATTCATATTTTCAAAATTTCATTTGCTAGAATCGAGTAGTCATTAGTTTACTCAAACATAAATTTTCGAACCTAAAGAAACACGATTTTAACTTTTCAATGAAAAGCAAGGATGGAAATATATTTGAGGGTATGTTTGTGGAAAATCAAAAATTTCTTTAATGAACCATTAACAAAATTAGGAATTAACATGATCCCCTATAAAATGATATTCGTTCTGAGAGATAAAGCATGGAGCAAGATGCCTCATGTACTGCTTGTGAAAGGTGATTTAATTTATACAGCCAATACAAAAAGGGATCTAGAAGAAAGTCATATCAAATATGAACTGGTGGATAGAGTTGGGCTCTATCGAGTTTTAGAAACACCAATGAGCCAATACATTGAAGACTCTTACACCGACTACAGAAATCAACAAGAAAAAATGCCTTTGAAAATTAAGCTTAATAACTTGATATCCGTCCTAACCATTGTTGCATATATCGGCTTTGTTCTCACAGTAATATGCAATGTGATACGGATTGGTGTGGAGGGTGGATCCTATGATTGGATTACTCTCGGTTTGGTTCAACCTGTCTATGTGAGCTTAGTAGCCTTACCGATTGCATTTCCAGGTTATTGGCTGCTTTGTCTGTCTGCCTCAAACTCTCGATTATTATCGTTATTCGAAATTTTAATGAAACCATTGAAGAATGAAACAAGTTCGGGTCATCAAAAGCGAGTGCAAATAACAGAAGAAAATAGACACAAACCCATGAAGATTCCTATTGGAACGCAATTGAAAAATTTTTTCAAAGTCATTACCACTGCAAACGCTAGATATTATGACAATTTGACAGTACTTGGAACCATTACTGCATTATGCTTTATTAACAGAACAGGACTTTTAGCAGATTTGTTATATGCACCTGAAAAAATTTTGTTTATGAAAGGAGAGGATGATGGCAGACACATGGCTGGAGATATAGGTGCAGTCAGTGGAATGGACATTTCTGAAGATCAATATTCTGAGATTAATCCACAAACATCATCGAAATATCCACAGAGAGAACGAAGAAACAGCACACCAAGTCAAGCAGCTTCAGTTTATAATAATCCAGAAGACTCCACCGATTTAGCAAGTGAAATTGAGCTGAAAGAAACTGATAAAAATTTCAAAAGCCAAGGAAATTTAGGAATGGGTGATGAGGTGGATGAAATGGTTGGAAATGTTGCTAATGATGAAGTCCTTCCTTCAGAGCCAGCAATTCCTGAGCGGATCGAAGAAAACACCAATACTATTGCCGCTACTAAAAAGACTGAAAAGCCAGTTGATAGCCTTCCCAAAGATGAATTATCATCACACGAAAACCCATCTGGAATACTAGTGACTGATGTAACCTCTCATCATGCCATTCACACGGAAAAACCAGAGGAAATCATTACTTTAGACGTACTGTTCGATAGAACTGCTTCAAGAGAAGTGGACGTTATTCGATTTTCTGATCCAAATTGGATGTCTCATACCAATTCCTTAAAACCGCTTGGTTTAAGTCTTTTGGTGACTGGCTCATCACCATTACCTGATTTTGACAAAACGGAGGGAATGCTAGACGCAAAATCCCATCTGTGGAAAAAGTATGCTTACTTGCTTGGAAAAGAAATCGGTTTTTCTGATAGTGTGATTGAGTCATTTAGCTTTAAGAAACGTCTTCATACACAATCAGCAAAAGGTGAAATGAGTTCTATTATTGTGGAATATGACAAACAAGAAAAGCAATTGCATTCATTTGGAGATCCAGAATTGCTAATTGAATACTGTTCTGACTATTACTCAGGAACTGATATTAGACCTCTCAACAAGCATTTGAAAGACAACATTTTAGAAACGGTAAAGAACTGGAGAGAACGAAGAGATTTATATTGCTTGGCCATTTCTTACACACCTATTGACCAGAAATATGAGCATATAGTGAATGGAAAAGGAGATATCATCAACATTTCACGAAAAGAGACTACTACGACTGTAAATATTTCTCATGCTTTGTCTCCGTCTGCAACACCACTTGATGAACATTCTGAAGGTGATATATTCGACAGTGAAAAATACATCAATGCTGCAGAGCATATGCAACGAGGACAGATTTTGTTAGGAGTGGCTGCTTTTAGGCAACAACCGAAGAGAGACTTGGCTGAATTTGTTCGAGATTTACAAGAAAATTGTGGAATTAGGTTCATCCACTTTTCTCAGTACAATACGCAAAAAACCAAAGCATTTGGCTCAAAAATTGGAATGGAAGTCGATTGGAATTGTTGCATTTCTTTAAACGAAAAAGAAGTAGAATTGGATTTAGAAGATTTGAAGGCAAAGCTGCCACATGGTATTGAAAACATTAGAGATCATTTGAAAACTGTTGATGATGTACCCTTACTAGTTTCTCTCTTTTCAGACAGCACACCTGTCTCAACCAAAGAAATGATTGAGGTACTACAGGAGAATCATGAAGTTGTATGTTGTGTTGGATCGTCAATCAATATTAACAACTCGAGATCGTTCAACCAAGCAAATATTTCTGTTGCTGTAGATCCAAGTACTCAACAACATTTAAGGCCTATGGATTTTGATAATCTTCAAGAGGAAGTTTCAGATTTACAGGAAGATATCTCTCCATTCCTATCATATCCTTGTGCTCTTCATATTACTACTCATCAGTCAGAAACTCCAATTTCATCCTTCTCGGTCATTTACCATCTCATTAAGGAAGGTAGAAAAATGGTGCACAACATTAGACAATCTCTTGCTTTCCTTTTTGCATCATGTATGTGTCTGTTTTTCATTCAACTTTTATCAGTGGTGATGGCACTTCCTTCTACACTTTTTACTGGAATTCAATTTCTTTGGCTCATACTTGTGATCATTCCGCTCATGTCCTTCTCACTGTTGGGGACTCCTATGGAACCAAAAATTATGGATTTAATTTCTTCCAAGAACGAATTCAAGAGAAGCAAGTATATTTGGAAGTTATTGTTAACCATGTTAAGATTCTGCTTTCCTATACCAGCTGCCTTTGTTGTTTACTTTTGGACCATCATGTGTATGAATGATACAGTTTCCATCTCAAGTGTTGGATTGATTTGGGGAGATCAAATTCAACCAGAAACTAGGCAAGGAGAGGCGTTCAACAGTGTTCTGACCTATGCTCAAACTATTACCATGTTTTGCCTTGTTTATTATTGGATTTTTCTTTCTATTGGAACTATGCATCGAGTATATTCAATCGTCACTGTGAAGTTCTTTTTGAATCCTTTATGGTGGTTTATAATTCCTATTTGTTTAATTTTACAAGCTCTCTATACATTTCTACACATCATTGCATCAAGGCCTTCGAACGTACAAACTTGGCCAAATTATCCTTTCTATGCTTACATCATTATTTTACTCTTTCCTTTTGTATTCATTGCCTTAGATGAGATTATCAAAATTAGAGTACGAAGAAAGTTCTTTAACAAGCAGCAAAAAGCAAAACTCATGTTTGACACAAAGCTTGGCATGTATTCACCAAAATGATGCCCTTTATCAGCAAAAACAGTGATCTTACGTTCTTCAACTCTAGGTTAAAGAAAACGACCCGCGGAAGATATTTTTTTACCAAACGAAAATCAACAAGGCACTCAGTTCGTTTTTGGTTTTGAACTTTAAATATGTGCCGCTACGAAAGCAAAAAAAAAAGCCATGTCAATTTCAGAACACATCAACTCGGCCTTCTTTCAGCAAGACGACAACATTCAAAAAGCTATGATCAAAACTGATTTGTACCGTGAATCAACGGTGACTTGCTACACACTAGAAAATTGTCTCACTCCCACTGAATGTCAAGAAATTATTCGTGTCATGAACGTCATGGGCTTTGACATTAAATTTTCGGGCAATAGATTGTGTTGTAGAAATGTGTTTAATGATGAAACGTTTGCCAATTTATTATTTGAACGAGTTAAAACTTTTTTGCCACAAACACACAAATACATGGGAATTGATCGTCATCTCTATGGATTAAATCCTCAATTCCGTGCCATTAAATACAAGGAAATGAAATCTGGACATAAATTTGGTCGTCACATTGATTTTTCCAATAGCGATGGATTTGGACGAAAGAGTTTTTATACATTCATGATATACTTGAACGATGATTTTGAGGGAGGTGAAACTTTATTCACAAAGAAAGGATTTGAGCTCACGTTAAAACCCAAAACAGGAATGGCCATCATCTTTGAGCAAGACATTAAGGAACTTGAGCATGAAGGTTTACCAGTGACAGGACCTTTGGAAACCTCTGAAAAGTATATCCTTCGTTCGGATGTATTTTACTCTCCAATGAACTAAAGGGTTGATTTTTGTTTAGCCCGGAGCCGTCGGGGCATCGCTGCCTCCGATGGTGTTTGTTTCAAAAAAAATGTTTAAACTCCTCATCGCTACCTTCCTTGTGTTGGGTGTTTTGATATGCACCACAACCGATATGGTTCTGTCAGACATTCCAGTTCATTGTCTCTACGAAAATGTTTACGGTATGTAAATACATTCATTTGGCGACGATGGAGCTAACGGATGTTCTCTCTCCGTAATAATTTTTTATTAACAACAAATAATATTGTACAACACAATTTATTCAAATTATTTAATATATTACAGGTGATTGGTAAGTCTTTCATGACGTACATTTCTCTTCTCACCGTGATGATGAAAAATTTTGATTGAATTTCTTGAATGCATTTCTGTTTTACCTGATCTATTACAGGACATTCTACAAGACTCCTCTCAACTATGATAACTCTGTCATTTACAACCAATGCTCGATTGACCAAAAGCAATTACCAACTACTCAACTCAGTATTATGAACGTTAGACTTGTTGAACCAAATATTGCTGTTTTGTTGGGTAAACCAACCATCAGAGGTCATTTCACCATGATTTATGTGAGTATTATTCAGTTCTTTCAATTCTGTAATGACTGTTATCATCACTGCAACTATGTGGTATTACCAATCGTGTAGGATCAAGGAATGGAAATTAGACTTGACAATATGAGATACTTTGCCTTCTTCAACTACACACAAGCCATTGTGAACAACCAAACTGTTGTGACCTCACACTGCGACCAAACCTTCGTTGGTACTTATCACGATAAGACCATTGCTGCCAAACAATGGGGTTGTTTTAAAGGATTCAAAACAGCAACTGAAAAGACCAAGACTGTTCAAGTATTCAACCATGCTGAGGAAAAGATTAAGAGAATTTATGAAGAGAACACTGTTTTTAGAAATAATGACAAGTACATTGCTGCTTTGAACAAGGCTCAAAACTTGTGGAAGGCTGCTCCTCAACCAAAGTTTGAAGGAATGACTTTTGCTGAGTTGAAGAGACTTTCTGGCGGTAGAAGAAGTACTCACAGACGAAATGCTTTGAAGATGCAAGCCAAGATGTTGCGAGCTCAAAAGGAAACAGGTATTGTTCACCTCTACAATCCAAGAACTGACTCCTATGAGGCAGTTGATGCTAAGAAGTTGAGAGCTTCACTTCCAGCTGAATTTGATTGGACCAATGTTAAGGGTCGCGATTATGTCGTTCCTGTCAGAAACCAAGAAAAATGTGGTTCCTGTTATGCCTTCTCTACATCAGGTAGGTTGAATTGTGGTTGACTTTTTTGCTGACGCATTCTACATAGACATGTTCGGTTCTCGTGTTAGAATTTTGACCAATCTTACTCAAACCCCATTCTACAGTCCTCAAGATATTGTGGATTGCAGCGCTTATTCTCAAGGATGTGATGGTGGTTTCCCATTCTTGGTTGGCAAGTACGCACAAGATTATGGTCTCACTTTGGAACAGTAAGTTTTGTGAATTTTTCAAATGGATGATTCTATCAATTCTCACTCTTTTAGATGTGATCCATACCAAGGACAAAATACTGGCAAGTGCAACAACAAACAATGCCCATCCTTCATGCAAAAGCGTCTCCATGCCACTAACTATTACTTTGTTGGTGGTTACTATGGTGCTCCAGATATGGTAAGTCTAAACTATGATTTCCATTAATTTATTGTTAAATAATTGTCATATTTTGATTTATTAGGAATTGCACATGATGCATGAGGTCTACACTAATGGACCTTTGGCAATTGGTTTTGAGGTGTATCCAGACTTGAGAAATTACAAGCATGGTGTCTATCGTCATGTCACATCAGAAGAATTGAAGGCAGCTGGTTTGAACGATGCTGAAATGCCACACTTTGAGGAAGTCAATCATGCAGTTTTGCTTGTTGGATGGGGTACTGAAAACGGTACACCATATTGGAGAATCAAGAATTCTTGGTCCACTGCTTGGGGTGACAATGGTTATTTCAAGATCCTCAGAGGTAGTGATGAATGCGGAGTGGAATCTGACGCTGAAGCGGGAGTGACCAATATTCACTATATTCCTTAAATAAAACAATAATACTACGATATCGAAATCTCTGATCATATTCAAATTCTCATTCATTCCAGTTCCCTGTCTTTTTATGATAGATCCTCAAAACACTCATCACAGATCGCACAACGATACATTTTGAAAATCTTGGAGACCATGGCATGCTTGAACCATCTCACCCATGTCGTCTCTTGCATCAGGTCCACAAGTTTGTGAAGGGGAAGAGGTTTCTTGGATTTCTTGAGTTACCATATTTGTGTTCATACTCTTGGTCACTCTAACTTTCATTACCTTAATAGATTCAATATTTCCCAAAAACGAGAACACACGTTTTGGAAGTTTGACAATGCAGGTGTGATTTTCCTTCACTGCATTTTCAACCAACGCTTGGTACACACGCCATCTTCCTCGAATGACATGTCTATTCCTCTCAGGGTTGATTGATACAAAACCGTTTCAAAAATATTGATTTATTGGCAATCCAGAGAGATCCGACTTGGCAATAGTCACTATATTCCTTAAATAAAACTAAACCAGATGTTTTCTTTGTGATGGAAGCAATCGTCTTGTGGTGTTTTGAATCTATTGGAATTTCAAAGTTCTGTTTTAAGAACACATGAGTAGTACTATTTACTTCTTGGAAATAGTGAATCAACACTTCCAAACAACTTTTCGTCCAAAAAGCGGATAAGGAAATAGATGATGCCAACTTGAACAACAAAACGCAGAAATCTTCCAACTCTAATGGCCATCTTTCCACGTTTGTAAAATTGTATAACCGTTGACACTTCCTTGTCATAGATATCGATAAATTTGAAAGATTTGCCATTCAGCATCTCTCTAATGTGAGTAATGGTGTCCTTAGCTTGAGTAGCAAATTGAAGTGCAAGCCCTCGCAGCAACGGAATGAACTCAGCCAGTGGAAGATGAGCGTCAAGTTTAAGATTTTGAGTATTGCTTAATACTACTTGGTCTGACACAATTTTAAAGTTTTGCACCACAAAATGGTGTACATCCGTTGGGTCTTCACATGTGAAATCATAATTTACCCCCAAATTAACTAAAAGGATATACTCTTTCAAAAATAGATACATGTACATGAGTGTTTGTAAAGAAATTACGTGTCTCGAAAGTATTTGGTTCTTTTCATAATTTGGATCGTTAGCGATCAATAGCTTGCATAAATGAGTTCCCAATGTTATATCTACATAAGCTCCAGATACTTGAAGAGTGGACATTTGCAACAGAGATCGTTTTTGAATCATGTCAGTAACAATAGTTAATTCTTCTTTGCTCATTTCTGACATGTTCGTCAGATTAATATTTTTCAGCTTTTCATCATGCTTCTTAAGATCTTTTGTCGTTTCAAGTAATCTGGCCTTATTTCTTAAAAACAAAAAAAGAGGATGATTTTTTTCTGTGTTAAGAATGCCATCATCCAGTGGATCGACGCCAGCCATTTCGTAAAATTTCGAAAGAATCGTGTTGATATTGGATGCATCCTGAAAAGATTCGTTGATGATATCATTGAACTGTTCATCCGTAAGGGCTGACGTTTCATCTGAATTGTCAGATCGTAAAAATTCATTGCAGCGATTTAATTGCTTGTTGATGTAGTAGCAGTATTGGTTGACCATTTCAATAACAGTATCGTGGTTAAACTTATCAGATACCATGCTCATTATTGTTTTAAATGAGGGTTTTTGTAGAGGAGGGTGAGTATTAAAGTCGCTCGCTAATTTCAGTATCGATATTAATTTGTCTCTACCAAATTTAAACTTGAAATGTTGATATTCTTTAAGCCTATCCGTTGATTTTTTTTCAAATCCTAAAAACAAAACATAATTGAGAACATTCTTTGTATCGTCCAATAAATCAATTAATTCTTGCTTGTCTTTGACTGTATCAGGAAGGAGCCTGTTATAATCCATTGTTGTTGGGAGTGCATAAACTTGGTGAGAATACATGATGATGTTATTCATTTCAAACACAGTGGGCTTCTCCTCTGAATGTTGTTTCGGAACGAGGCTTCGATGAAAATTTCGTTGTTGCCCAATACCATTGAAGAAGTAGAGGGAATGACCACGATCTGTGGCTTCATTCGTAGTCGTACGCCATTTGGTTTTGCTTGTTTGTAATGATGAAGAAAACTCCAGCAAGCCAACTTTCGGATGGAACGGAAATTGATTGGACAAGAGGTTGAATCGGCTTCTCGGAAGCAACAACACCTTTCTCATTTTTTAATCAAATGATTTGTCATAAAGCAATTATCTAATAATTTGAGACCCAATCAAATATTAAACCAAACTTGATGAAATTGTGAAAATCACAACTACAATCGCAAAAATCCCAAACCACGCAACTCTTGTTCTTGAGGATGAATTGACACCTCGACTCGTCGTTGCATTCTTTGAAGCACTCACCTTTGGTATTGGCGATGGTTTTGGTTGAGGAGATGAAGACACTGGAGGAGGATTTGGAGGCACTGGAGAATTACAATTCACATTTGGTATGAACACGGGTGCATTACTTGGCTGATACGACACACCTTTACATGTCTCTGGAGTGGTTGGTGTCCATCCTCTGGTCACAGTGCTGATACGACGAACGACTTCAAAAGCAGTACTTGGCACTCGTTTCAATTGAGATAAATCATCACTGTCCCAATTGTCATTAGGTTCTCCTGATAAATACCAATTAGATCCCTGTTCATTAAATGTGATCATATGACACAAGAGGATTGAATGAATTCTTGGAACCATTCAATGATTCCTTATCGACACTTACCTGATCTGCAAAAATCATTCCATACTTTTTCAACGCTTTCAACACCACCAAAGCTTGTCCTCTATAGCTCGATAAATCAAAAGATGCCTTCAACTTTAATCGAGTTCCATAGGGCATGATGGTTAAATCCGTGTTTGTTTTTGGACCAAAATGTTTTGCAGGGGCAATGTAACCATATTGTGCGTTTTGAACAGTGAATCGAATAGCATGTGTAATGTTTCCTGCTGCAACTTCAGAATACTTGACTAGTCCAGGATAGATTGGAAGACCTGCTGCGTCTGCACTGGTGACACTGGTCAATGAAGGATGTCTAAACATGCTCGCATTTCTCTTATTTAAATCAAACATGGCATTACTGTAACAATTCCAAACATTATTTTTCACATAAGAATAATACAATTCATAAAGTTTACAATTATCAGTGTCAAGTGCCAACACATGCATGTCACCATAACCATATTTTGCGGTATCATTGGGAAACTCAATGGGTGCAGTCAATGGAATGGGAGCACTTGTAAAATCGGATTCATCCCCATACCCATCAGGATCGAACTGTATACTTGTCCAAGGAATTGAATTTCCTTTGACATGAATAAATGGAATTCCTGCTCGAACCATAATTCCATAAGTACTTTCATAATAAGCTTCACTGAAATCTGCTTTTAAATTACCACCTCCTACTTTGGAAATGTAACAATCACTCATGAAATCAACTGGATCGTTGCTAACATCTCGGTTCCATTCGTCTTCAGGTGGAAAGATGGTGCATTTTCCAACTTTTGGAGGATTACACGCATGTATGGACACTGAGAGAGTCATCAGTGTTAGGACGATGGCCAGCAACAGCGTGTACGTTATCAACACACGTTTCTCAACAACGACAGGTGGGCGGATAATTGTGCGTCGTTTTGAAACGTTCATGTTCATTGGGTGTTTCTTTTTTTTTTTGATGTTGGTGGTGGATCTCGAAAGGTGATCTGCAAAGACAACCCGATCGCGATCTGAGGATTAATTCGTAAAGTCAACTACTTGAAAAAGGAGTGCGAAAAAGGTGATTGAAAGTGGTCTGACCTTTGTTGTATCCTGTGAGAAATATGTGGTTCGGGATTGGAAGCACCTTAGTCCATGGATTTGACAGCACTATTACTGTTTTACTACAGTTACAGCACCAAGCTCGAGATTGCCCAAATTTGTCCTTTAAAGATGATTACAATTTAAAGAAAAAATATTCAAATAACTGCCGTTTCACTCGAGCTCGTCATCATGAAACAACTAATTATTGTGTCCTTGTTTTTGGTTGTCGGATTGCTCCTTTATCAATCATCATCGGAAGCAAGAGTAGTTCCTGGTGGAAAATCATTGGAGAGAAACAAGCAAACCATCAAAGCTTTGGGTGAATTCTTGAATTCAAAATTGAGTACTACAAATGATTATTCTTCATACAGTGTTGAAAAAGTGATCAAAGTGGAGAGACAGGTGGTAGCCGGAGTTAATTATTTTGTTCGTGCCAAGATTCGTGCTTCCAGATCATCTCAACACTCAAAGATAATTGAAGCAAGGATTTTCGAGCCATTGCCATACATGATCAAACAAGGAGATGAGCCATACAAGTTGGTTTCCGTTTCTGAAAGAAGACAATAATTTTGACACAGAAATGATATTCTTTTTTCGATCGAATCGATAATTAACACGTGTTAATATTGTAATTAATTGAGATTATTTGTGACAAATACAAAATGTTATTCCTTATTTCGTATTTTGGAATTGTTTTTATGATACAGCAACATTCAATATTACAAGTTTAACAATCAATGTAATCAACTCTTCAACAATTCTCAACAAACAATACTTATTGTTTTTGAGATTGTATCCATTGCATGAGTGGTAGATATTGTTCTCGCTCGAATTCCATCTTTTTGGAGATGGCCCTAAGTTGCTCTTTGAGGTCTCTTGTCTCTTCCAATCTAAGAGCTTTTTCTTGCTCAAGTTGTCGCTTGAGATCATCCAAAGAGGAGTCTGTTGTTGATGGCGACGATCCTGCCGACTTGATGGTGCTGACACTACTGCTTCCAGCAGAACCTCCAACTGTTGGTTTGTTACCAGCAAGCAATGGGTTCACTGGCTTGGCAATCTTCTTTTGCTGTTCCTCCAACTTGCTTAACAAGCCATTCTTTTCAGTTTCAAATTCCAAAGTGAGTTTTCTGGAGGTTCTCTCCAATTCTTCGCTATGATCTTTCTTGAGCTTATCAATGGCCTTCTGATGTTCATCTTTGAGACGATTAATGGTATCGAGAAGATTGTTGATTTGTTTCACTTGTTCATTATTCGATTGAGAACCTTGATATTGTTTGAGCTTTTCAGCATTTTCAGTATTCACTTTCTCAAGAGCTTGATTCTTGGTTTTGAGTGTTGCAATTTCTTCTCTCAATTTTCCTAATTGATTTGTTAAATAGTCTGAGTTTTCCTTTTCAGTTTCAATTTGTTTCTTAAGAGCTTCATTTTCCTTTGTCAATTTTCCAAAATTATCAATACTCTTATCTTCATGCTTATCAGATGGTGTAGAACTAGAGTCTTTGGATTCGCCAGGAGTCACCGGTGTCGCCTTATCCTGAGGTGTAACAGGCGTTGTCTTGATGGGAAGACCTATTCCTCCCACTGGAATTCTTCCAGAAAGTGGATTGACAGCACCAACTGGAAGTTTTGGAGGAGTCGAAGGTATTGCTGTGGAATTTTGTGAAGAATTGTCGATTGATGCTGTGTGAATAAATGTTTTTCTAGGTTTTGAATCTGGTAGTTGAGGAGGTGGTTTGTTATCTGTTGCAGCACTACCTGTAGTAGTTGTTGTTGATGGTTCTTGAGTGGTTGTTGAAGTAGAGGTGGAAGACACAGTAGTACTAGTAGTACCTGCAATCTCTGAAACTTTCTTAAATGCAACTTCAACTTCAGGTGTGAAGCGACGAGGAGGTGGAGGAGGAAAGCTTGCAGCTTGAGATTGCTCTTCTTTACTGAGCTCATATGGAGGCATTTCAGGTGGCTTGGCTTTCGGGTCTATCATCATTGAAGATGTAAAAGTATAAAATTATACATTGATATTTTGATTACAAAAAAATTACTTACTCTTTCTATCAATTGCATTTTCAAACATTTCATGTTGCATTTCCGTAAGAGCCAAACTTTCTCTAATATTCTTTGCATTTCGATCTGGCAATCTTCTTGGAGCTGCAGCCTTCTTTTTCACGGTTTGATCTAAATCTTTTGGAATTTCTTTTTTTCGGAGCTCTTGAACAATGTGAGCAGGAACGAGACCTTGTTCATTCGAAGAATCTGTTTTTCTGATCAATGTAATACCTTGATTCTTGTAGGTTTCTAGAATTTCAACAATTTCATCCGTTTCTACTGTGGCTTCGAATTTGTTTTGAGAAACAAAAGGTTCCAAAATCTTGAAGAGTTTTCATTGCAATATTAGCCATTACATAATTTAACATGTGAAATGCTGATGTTACATACCTTTCCTTTAGCGAGAGCAATCTTGCAAGAATCTTTAACAGCACTAAGAATGTAGCTGTCACGAATAATGTCTCCATTGTCATCAATTTCTTCATTGATGTGTTTGACCTTAATGGTGAGCTTTGAACCAGCTTTTTGAGCTGCTCCAATAAATTCCAAAATTTCTGCCTTTTCTTTTGCTACCAACATGACGACGTCACCATCTAATTATTGTTCATCATTTTAAAAATTTTAATTCATTCATTACATAATTAGAACAACTCTGAGTGCCACTGTGTCAACTTACAATTTGTGAGAATATTAATTCTGTATCGACAAATAGCGTCCATGGCTTTTTCAGAATAAGCAGTTGGAATGAGCCACTTTTCATTTGTTTTTACAGAAATAATGGATGTAATTGGTGTCAAGAGTGCAGTATCTAATTGTTCCTCAGGAGAAACATTAGCTTTCTGTTTTATGGAGACTGGATCATAAAATACAGCTTCGGATTGTGAATAAATGGTAATGTCAGCATCATTGGTTGTGAATTTAGATACTTCTTTCTGTAGTTTGTACATACGTTTGTATGACATGATTGGCATTCAAATGTAAAATATTGAAAAGCTACTTACAGCATTTTCCTTACTGTAACATGTAACAATTCCAGTTTCATGTAACAGAACCATTCTAGGAATAAAAATCTTCTCCTTCTTGTCGTAAACAAATAAGAACCAGTTTCCAATGACAGGTGGATAGGATTTTGAAACAGAATTTTTAACATCTTTCAACCATTCATCAAATCCAAAAAGATCATTGAGATCAGTGCTAAATAAATGTTCTCTTGATTGATAGGGAGGTTGAATAGGATTTGCGCCATGAATAGCAAGCATATTCATCCAAGCTTTGTAATCGGAAGGTGATGCACAATTGAAATAATGGACCTTTTCTATTGTGTGTGCGTGTGTGCAAAAAGAGTGTAGGAGAGAAAATGTAAAAGTTCATGCAATGATTTGAAAAAAGTGACAACCATAAAATATCATTCATCATACACACAAAACGATTCCGATCCATCAAATTATTTCAAAATATAATTGTTTCATCATAGGATGATAGAGGATCAAAAAGTAATCGTCATCATCATCATCATCACGTATTTTGAAATAATTATCATATTTTCGTCAATTCTGCGATACTTACTCGATGATTCTTCAATCTTGAATGTGTCAACCTTTCTCGAAAAGTTATCACATCCTTCTGCCACGTATTTATCTTTAATTTTAATACTCATTTTCACATTCTTTTGACCCTCTTTTTCATACATATCTAAACGATCAGCTGTCAAAATACAGTAGTACTTTTGCCAGTACTGGTTTTTACGGAGAGAGGACTTCTCTTGTTTAAACAAGTATCCTTCCTTGACCATTTGTTAAATGCTGTGATGTCGTCGTTTGTTGTGAGAGTGATGGATACAAGGATCAATGATGATCAATTTTTCTGAAAAACAACAACAAGTGTGATGAACCAGTGAGTGCAGGATAATTGCAAAGTACAGAAATGGATTGTTTTTTTTTCGGTTGCATCGCTTATGTCAGCAGTCGTCTTCCAGTATGTTCTCTGCTAATGACGACTTGATTTTCACTTTGAGTCTTGTAAACTTTTTACCCGATCTGTAAAAACGATACCTTTCGCAATGACATGTGGTTATGGCTGAGAGCGTTGGGAAGGAATGATTTCTAATGCGTTATGGACAAGGTGCTGTGGATCAATTAGAAACAGAACTGGCATGTGCATGAACAACTGAGCTCAACACTTTCACCTGATCTTGGTGATTGGTGATCCTGAATCTTTTGAATTATTGTGAGCTTTCTCCAGTTTGTCTTGAAATTCAGTTGACTTCAGAACTGAAGACAAACACTGAAGCAGTCACTCATTGAACACCAAGCTGGTATCAAAAAAGCTAACAAACAACACAGAACGTATCATCTCTTATAAGAATGTTTGCGAGAGAGTGCAATAAAAGCAGTTTGATGACTGATTACAAACAACCCGAAAGACACCTCACCACTGAGTCACGATAAAAATCAACAAAAAAATGAGTCAAGGACCTTCCGCTTATTATATCCTCGATCTGAAGGGAAAGAATATTATTCATCGCGATTTTAGAGGAAACCTTCCACGGAACATAATCGATAAATTTGTGAGAAGAGTGATCAAGGAAGAGGATGAGAATATTCAGCCAGTGTTTGAAGAAGATGGATATTCATTTTGCTTTATTCAAAAGAAGGACTTGTATTGTAAGTGTACAAGAAGTGTTGGCATATTGTTGATTGATGAAAAACATGTGATTATTATTTTCGGATATTCATTTTCGATTGGAATACCATTAAACGATCATACTCAATGCTGGGACGTTTTCCGATTCTTTTACCATCATCACTTGATCTGAACACATAACGAAACAGTTGTCATGGTTGCAAATTGTAATTGCAATGCCATGGAAATGGTTTGTTTCCTCTATGAATCATACAAAGTATTTGAGGACTACTTTAAGGAAGTAGAAGAGGAGAGCATCAAGGACAATTTTGTTGTTGTTTACGAACTACTTGACGAGATGATGGACTTTGGATATCCACAATCAACAGAGCCAAAGATTTTGCAAGAATTTATCAAAAACGAATCTCACAAGCTACAACAAATGGATACATTCAAATTTTGGACCGAGTTGATGGGATTGGCAGTAGACAATGGAAACGGAGGACAAGCAATCAATCTTCAGCAATTAACAGCTGGCTTACAAACTGGTCTGTCTATGTTAACCAAACAATTACAAAACAACTTGGAGAGTATTACAAAAGGAAGTCATGATGTTGAAGAAAATACCTCCAAAATTACAATCCCAAGAAATTTCACACAAGCTATTTCTTGGCGTAAGGAAGGAATTCTCTACAAAAAAAACGAATGCTTTTTGGATGTGATTGAAAGCGTGAATATTTTAGTTTCCAACTCTGGTACTACGCTTCGTTCACAAATTGAAGGTCGGTTGAACATGAGAGTATTCTTGAGCGGAATGCCTGATTTGAAGCTCGGTCTAAATGATAAGGTTCTGTTCGAGAATTTAGGAAAAGCTTCAAAGCGATCGGTGGATTTGGAAGATGTAAAATTCCATCAATGCGTGCGATTGAACAAGTTCGAGACTGACAGAATCATTTCTTTTGTTCCTCCAGATGGTGAATTTGATTTGATGACCTATAGATTATCAACAAGAATCAAACCACTTATTTTGGTAGAGTGTCATGCGACCATGCACGGCTCTACACGTGTAGAATATAGCATTAAGGCGAAGGCTCAGTTTAAAAACAAGTCAACGGCCAACAATGTGAAAATATTTATACCTGTCCCTAAGGATGCTGACTCCCCCATTTTCAACAGTATGGTTGGCCATGGCGATTATGTACCAGAAGAGGATTGTATTTGCTGGACGATCAAACAATTTCCTGGTGGCAAAGAATTTACATGTCATGCCGAGGTTGGATTGCCAACAATGTCATCGGAAGAATCGCAAGCAGAATTGTCAGCATTGGCAAATACTTCTACTCGTTTTGCTGAGGCTCTTCACTTGGATAAGCAGTCTGAAGAGAGTGAATCTACTCCAAAGCTAAGAAGAAGCTTTGTAGAATCACGTAAACGTCCAATTCGTGTTGCATTTGAAATACCATATTTCACTGTCTCAGGTCTCCAAGTTCGATACTTGAAGATTATGGACAAGACTGGTTATTCTGCTCTTCCTTGGGTTAGGTATATCACCACAAGTGGAACCTATGAAATTAGACAATAATTTTGTATTACTCTAATTAATTTATTAAACGTTGAACTCAACACAACGAATCAGCTTTATTTCGCATCAGGATTGACATTGTACAATGTAAGGAGAACCATACAAGGGGAATATTCGATGCCTAGGAGAACACTTAAACATGTGACTGCAAGCTGCCAATTCACGGAACACGTTTTTGAGGTGTTAGGAGACACAACGATTCCTCGCGAAAAATAAACAAAAGGTTACAGCGAACGGGAATCGAACCCATGACCTTAAGCGTGTTAGGCTTACGATCTAACCAACTGATCTACCGCTGCTTACAATAACTAATAATCAACTCTATTTAACTACATATTGAAGCTTCATAGCTACAAATCCTATTGCCCTTCAAGATTTGAAGGAACAACCTTCGCAAATTCGAAAAGTGATTTTGAAATATTAGGTGATGACTGTGCTTATTTTTTTTAAAAAAGGCATCGATCAAAAAAAATATTTGCACTCCGACACATCATCATCGTTGAATGAATATTTAATTTTTTTCAACAACAACACTCATTAGATTTCAATCGGAGAGTTTTGACAATGAAAAATAATCATCCTCTCTCGTCTATGCCACATGGAGGAAGTGGAAATATAATGTCATCGTCGTTGCCTTCAAGTTCATTTATGAAAATGGCAGCATCCAATAGTGCCAGCAACAACAAAACAAATTCATCCTCCTCTTCTGATTTGACATTTGAAAGAAAAGAAATTAAATCCAATAGAGCAAGTATCATCAACAATACCAATAATGGAGATATGTTAATCACTCCAATCGCGTCATCATCGTCACAATCTCAAAATAGCTCTCCTAGTTCTATGACTCGAAAGAAAAGAGTTTTCACCATTGAAGGCGCGACATTTTGGAAAATCTTACTTGCAAACAAACAATATTTACATTCATGTATGGAGGCACAAAAAACTATTTGCATTCCTCCCGATGAAGAAGTGGAATATGTCTTTCATCATTTGAAATATCCTGCTTCAAAACTTCAAGCTTTTATTAGTAAGTAACACCGAATGGATTCTTTGAATGGTTTTGACACAACATTAATGATAAAACTCATAAATGATCGTGCTGCACGAATACTCTATAGAGGATCATATACTTTCAAATTCTCCATTATTTGTTGGAGAATTCATTACAGATCGAGGAAATCATCTCAGTGAAAATAAGGAAAAGTTTGAAATTTTAGAAAAAGAAAAACGAAAAACTTTAAATCTGTCTTCTCTCAGTCTCTCTAGTATTATGGAAGAAGCAGAAAAAGTTCAACCTGTAAATATATTACAAAGTGGAAAAGGATTTTCTAAACATTTTACTGTACAAGTATTGAAAGAAGAAACGTGTTACAATGATAATTTTAAACCCTACAAAGTTTTATTTATTGATAAATGTTTAAGTGATGTAGGTTGAAACATTTGTGTGAAATTCATATTTGTGAACTTGTTGTGAACGATTGTAATTCATATCATTAGGAATATCAACAAATCACCGTTGGAGCTTCGTTACAAGATCATCACTCTACCAAAGATTCATCAAAGAAGGATGACCGATCCATAGGAGGAAGCAAACAATGGTCTTCTACATCTCCCTCCAATATGGAAGAGTAAGTGCTCAAAAAAAGATTTTTCACACCACGTGATCACGAACTTGTATGCATTGGTATTAGCTATCACTTATTTTTACAAGATTGGAATTTTAAAGCATATAATGACAAACTCAAAAGATCGATTCAACATTTTAACTTTAATTATTTACTATTGAAAGGTTTTCATTCTGCTATTCCTGACAAAATTAGGGAATACTTTGATGTGATTTATGGTGAATTTGTTTCATCACAACAACGTATGTTACATTTACAATTTCTTACCAATCATTTTATCATTTCTGAAATTTCTAAAATAATTTATTAAAATAGCAACACCTGAGGAAGAGAAGGACTTGAAAAATTCAATTCATTGTGTCTTGATGGAGGGTATTTATGACAAATTATTTCCGTTTCTTGAAAAGTATGCGTTCAATGAAGAGGACAAGAACTTTTTGACCATGTGTGAAGTCATCGATGCAGCATGTTCCAAATCAGAAAATAATGAACCAGCAGAATTTGATCTCTATGAAATTTTAAACATCAGCAAAAGTTTTCAGTGTAACCAAACAGATTCCATTACCTATTTTTCAAAACATTTAAATTGTGCAAGAAATCCATTTGACAAGATGAAATGTCTCAAGCAAACGACAGATAAAATTGTTGCTTGTATCAATAGACAGCAATCAAATATGAAAACAGAATTTGTGACCACGGATGACATGATTCCACTCCTTGCCTATGTGGTAGTGAAATGTAAAATTCCAAATCTCATCACCAACTTTAATTTTATGCAAGATTATCAATTAGAAGAAGAACATGGATTATCAGAATACGGGTTTAGTGTCACAACCCTGAATGCTACCATCATGTTTTTGAAAACTGAAATTTATGCGAACAATGAGCACAAGTGGAAAAAGTACAAGAAAAAGGTCACAAACACAGATAGTAAGGTCGTGACACCCACAAAATCACAGAAACCCTTCAAATTAGATGTGGAACCTTACTTGTCACCAATTTCTCCGGTGAGTGGAACTACCTCTCCAAGTTTGGAACAAGTAGATCGCTCTCCATCCACAACATTACAAACTGTCAACAAATCCACCACGCTAGAGGAAGTAACAAAAACTCCCAGTACTCCTCAAGATGACCAACCACCACTTGTTGAATCTCACAATAATCTCTCTGGCTTGTTAAGCCCAAGAGACTCTCGTAGTTTGGCTTTGAAGCAGAAAAGACAAGAGGAGCGAGAAAAGCGCATGTCACTTCGAAAACAAGAATCAATAGCAGTGATCAAAAGTTTTGAAAACAAGGTACCAGAAAAGAAATCGTCATCTTCTTCATCAAGTTCTGGAACCCTTCCCAGACAAATGTCCTTACCTCAATTTTCCAAAAACTCTTATGATAAACTTTAATTTGCACTTTGGCAAGCGTGTAGAAACGTCTTTTGTCTGGAAAAACCAACTACTGAGAGGTATGGAAAGTCACAAATGCCTTATCCATGGTTTGCAAACGATCGTAATATTGTCCCTTAGTTCCGAAAGGATGCATTTCCATATTATGAGTTTGACGATGATGTCTCTTGGAATATAAGTTCCAACCTTATTGGTTCTGTCTTGGCAGCAACCACGAGTTGTCTTATGAAATCCTCAAATGTGTATTGTGTTCTCTCCACAAAGCATGAGAATTCTTTTGTGTCCTTGTCTTTCCAAAGCCTCTACTTCTCGAATCACTTGTTCATCCTTTCCTTATTGGATCCTCTATATCCACAATACAAGCAACAACCTAAACTATTAAGAATATCTGTCTGGAATATTCAACAACGTTGCAGTATCTTCGAGTGACAATTTCACAAGTATTGGCAGTAGTATCTGTGGAAGTGCCGTTTGCTGAATTCTTTTGTTTGTTTCGGATTAGTGGAGACTTGAGAAGAGCTTGATCTCTGAGATCAACAGCTGTTGAAACTCAGTTTTGTTGAGTTAACCCTTTCATTTTCGATTCAGGACTTGTCATTATTTTACAAACACAAAATCTATTCGCTCGCTGTTCCAGTTGAAAAATTGAATATAAAATCCAAAAGTTCGCATTTCCGTCAAATAGTCTTGCAATAATTTGTGCTTTGAATAATCAATAGATAGAAATTCTGTGCTCTTGAACCAATCCAACTGTTTGTTCAACGGTAGAGACTCTGCCAAATATTTCATTGTTTCCAAATTTTCAACTTCACAAATTTCCTGAACTTGGGCTGCTTTCTTCGTCTTCTTCTCAATTGAGAAGACTTGCTTTTTCCACCAATATTGATATCCTAAATATTTAAATTTGGTAAGTATTTCTTTTGCGAAAAATCCCTCTCCTCGATTCAAGTAATACCAACTTCCAACATATTCATTAAAGCCATTATTCATAAGCGCATTTTCTTCGCTAGCCCAAAACGGATTATCATCGTTGAGAGTTGTGTGTATTAAATGCTTTAACTGATTCACAAAATTTGAGTCATCCACCTCTGTTTTTGTGGAGCTCAACTTTTTCATGAGCTTTTTTGAATGTTTGTCCACAACAATTTCGTCTTCGAGTTCAATCCACTTGTTAATAATGACCTCAGTAGCACTAGAAACAAACAATCCCAGTGGACATAACAAAATATCAAATTCTAATTTTCCGTTGCAGTTTGATAGATAACCATTATTGGACACATGATCTTGTACAACTCCTATCATGTCCTCACTGTGATGTTTTTACATATATTATTTGTCTAATACACAAACCTTGATATCAAGTTCGAAATGTTGATCGGAAGTTGTGACTTGATGTCAACTTCAATGGGATGGCAATGGAATGTATAAGGAACATCGTCATGTACCTCACATAATGTGTATTCTTTGTGTTGTGTTCCGACCTTTCGATTTGCGACTTCATCCGTTGGTAATTCCAAAAGTAGAATGTTTTCATCTTCAACTCTTTCGGAATCATCATCATTCACAACAACAACCTTTCTCTTGTGCTTCTCTCCGTTTTCCGTTTGATCGTCGTCCACAAGCATCCGTGATGATAATATTCCTCCAACTTCTCTTTGAATTTCTAAGGATTGTAAGAACAATTGTCGGAGTTGTTGGAGGGTGTCAAATTCGATACGGAAGCGTTGGGTCATTTTTTATTGAATTTCCTTTTGGTGTGGTTGTTAATAACAAATGCATTCGATGGTTATTGACAAATATGCATTGGGATGAAATTACATTTCTCTTGCTCCACTTTCCCACAACATGTTCATAATTCTCTTTGCGAGAGCCATGTCAGTATGTAAAACAGCCCTGGAAGCAATAGAAAGACAAGTCCAATTTTCACAATCTCGATCATTGAGTGGAGCGTTTGCTTTAAGCAGAATTTTCACTGCCTCCTCATGGCCATATTGTACAGCGTTCATCAATAATGTTCGATCATTGCCATCACCCTTTAAATTAAGTCCTTTCTGAATCAGATAATGCATGGTGTCTATTTTATCGTTCCACATGGCATATTCAAATGAATCCTTGTTCACAATATTGAAAGATGGATGGTTCTTGATGAGAGTCTTCAATTTCTCTAATGAGCAACCTCCAGCAGCTCGATTCAGCTCGTCCAGAGAACTGACACTGGTCTTGTTTTCAAACTCCTTTTCTGACACTTTCATTGCTAATTCGATAAAGTCTAGCATTGCACTGTTCGACGCTAGCTCAATATCAGGAATTGTACTCACTGGACCATGTTTCAAATATACCACATTGGAATCATGTTCATAGATTTGATTCATTAACGAACCACGTTCTTGCTCGATTTCAGAAAGAGATGTCAAAAATTCAGAGACCTCTTCTTGTCCCAAGTGTAATTTCAAACAAGGGAAATCAAAACTATCAGCAAAGTTGATATAAAACCATTTTGCGGTTCCTAAATGCAGCTGACGTTCTTCTGGTGTGATTTCATCAAAAACGACAGCATCATTCGAAATGAATGGCAACACATGTTTCACTTTGGTTCCAGCTTGAATGGAATTTGGAGCGCTTTTGACAACCTCAGCCAAATAATTCAAGATTTTGCCAGTGAGTGAAAAGATGACTTGTTGACTTAGCTCATTGCCAACATCCATGGACAAGAGAAATTCAGTACATTCAGGATACCAATAATGAACACCAATTGTGTAGGCACGCTGAGTGTTCACTTCTTCTTGATCCATAATCAAGTACACAGTGTGCCCACCATCATGTAAATCCTGAAGAAAATCGACACACGACTTTAAGTGTCCTTGATCAGAGTAGTATTTCAAACGTTCTTCAAAATTTTGAGAGATTAATTCAAATCTCTTTGAAAGACCAGATGAAGATGGTTGTTCTTCGGAGTTCATGTTGGCATCCTTCAAATTCATGATGAACTGATGATATAGTTTCAGATCGTGCCAAGGAACAAAAAGAGGAGGAACCGTACATCGTTGCCATTGTGGATGAGAATAATAGGAAGCAAGTTCAGCTCGATACTCATTCACCGAAGCATTTCTTTGCTGAAGTTGAAGAAATATTTGGTGTTCTTCGCGAGAAACAGGAGGTTTAGACATTTTTTCTTGTTGTCTCTGGAAAATCGATTCTCCCAAAAAATCCTGGTTGTTGTCCTTTTAATGAGTTTCAACACTTTGTTCATCCTCTTTTTATATCATTTCTAATTCGCTAAGGCACCCAGGTTAGATTGGACAAGGTTACTACGTTATTTAGAAACGGACAGGGTACCAATAATGTTGAAGTTGTCTTTGAATGTCAAAAAAATGTATTGAGGTTTATGTACACAAGGTCCTTTGTCTTCAATCTTGGCAGAATAGTAGTATTTGTGGCATCTGACAACGAAGAGGGCTAACAGTACTTGGATTTCAGGCCAATGCATTTCAATAGCTGGGACCGTATCGCATCACTGTCTGGGAAACCGGAGCGACGGAAGCAGAAAATGGGACGATGGATTAAACCACGAATTCAATGTTAAAAAAATGTCATCGTCAACGAACAACACAGCCACTCAGCAAAAGCAACAACTCTACCTTGAAATGAAACATGCTTTGGAAGATCCCTCTAGAGGATTAGATGTTCACTTACAATCCCGTATTAAATTATTCTTAAAAGAGAGAATAGAGAAGGGATCGGAAGTGCAGAAGGAGAGTGTGGTGGTAGAGTTTGCTGAAGAATTATGGAAGGAATTTTCCAAAAACCCATCTCTGTCGTAGAATGAACATGCTCGTTCAAAGCGAGGCACACATTAGAAAATTATTTTAGATTTGAATGATGATACCACAATTTCGAAATTTCCAAAAAAAGAATGGCAGCTTCAAGGGAGAGGATACGATTTTCATTCAATCATTGTCGAACCTGAACGTCATTCTAATTCATCAAAATCAAATGAATAATTATTCTAGAATAATTAATTTCATTAAAAGCTGTTAACAACAAGCCTCTCTGCAACCATGCTACTAGAAGCCTCACCATATTACAAAAAAATTACAACAACATTAGATCTTTGCCTCAATTAATAACTGAAGTAATGTCCCCAGTACTCAGACGGAGGTGCTTAACGAGACCAAAGCCCAATCATTGTACGTCTACCAATCAGCATGGAAGTGATAGCCGCATTAGCCCAGATATGTATCAAGGTGATGTATCTGATGATTATGATCAAGGCTTGCACGGTAAACCATGTCAGAAAACTATTTTGAAACAGACCGTGAAGAATCGGAAATATCTGTATGACGACAAAGTTGAGCCTAACACGCTGAATGGCTTGATGTACAGCAAAGATATGTTTTTGTGTGTTGTAGAATATCTTGATATTGCTAGCATTAGTGAATTAATGAAATCATGTTCAACCATTTACAACTGCTTGAAGCCTATTAGAGAGAAATTTCATGTTAGAGCCTTACATTACTTGATTGTCCTTAACCAAAAAAGTAAGGCCTCTTTTGACATGGAATGTTTTGAGTGGCTACTTGGAATTGCCCACAAATATTTTTCAAAAGAAAATACTATTCTTTGGCAAAGGTTTTTTACCACATCTCTCGAACGACTGAACCTAGGCCACTGGCTAACTCTAACACAATCTATCAACGCGATATCCAAGCTTCTTGATTCGTATCCTTTATCATTGCTAAACATTTTAAGAGAATGTTTGAAATTTGAACAAACACGCCTGGACGTTATTCTTAGACATCCACAAGTAGTTCCATTAATCTCGAGCTTAATTCAGTCATATTGCTTCATGGTCTCTTGTAAAACATGCTCATGCTATTTTTTCTTTCACCCAAGTCTAGATTTAAGTCAGAAAAAGGCCTACCTACACAATTATCTCAAATGGTGCTACAACGAAGATGCTGACCCGTTATTGAGAGCCGTGATTGAAGACAATACTTTTGATAAGACAGAGTTTTCCTCTGCCTTCATCACACGCTTTTTAATGCAAAAGAAATGTGGAAAGGAAGAGCCTCTCCTTACTTTGTACCTTAAACAGTTTCCAAGCCAACAAAGATTAAGTCTTATCAGCAAGACAAATATAGATTTGTTTAGGGTACTCCATACAGGCTCTGCTGAAATTTGTATTTGGTACTTCCATAGATTCTCTGAAGACTTATCCCAACCGTTCAACGAGACAATTTCAACGTTATTAATTAGAAGAGATTTTCAACGTGTGCAAGCACTGTTGGAGAAGCGTGAGCAGCTTGGACTGTGTAACCATTTGGCTCTCGAGTTTACTGTACTTTTACAACTCATGAATTCTTTGTTTGATGAAGTTAGTGCTCATCCGCCCATGTACGCACATTTCAGTAATTTGATGCTGTTTATTATCAAACGGTCCAAGCATTCTTTCGACAATGATGAATTTTTGATGGACTTTGTTCACACCAAATTTAAGCCCTCCAGGTATGGTAGCTGTGAAATATTTGCTGACATTTTACGGAAGGTAATATTCGTGCTGAAATTGAGTGATGAATGTTGCCAAAAACTTGTAGAATTCATACTTGCCGATAATTCCAGACTGTTTATGTTGAACGTTGTATTGGAAGCCATTCCAACGAAAATCAATGATTGTGTTGGGTTGTATGAGTTGCTATGTTGTGCCATCTCGAGACATAAGCCAAGCATTATCCGGATACTTCTTCAGTACGAGCACAAATTACTGTCAACAGAGCAAATTTGGGGAATTATTGATCTAGCAGTACAAACAAAACACTTTAGTACTATTCGAATCGTCATGCTACATTACCAATTTTGTGCCCCTAAACAACGAAAAACTGTCGCTTTTGAGCATTTCAAAAAGATATGTGAGCAACTTGACATGTATTACATGGTGAGCTATATTCTTGAAGAAGTTGATAAGTGTATTGGATATAAGCATGGCTATAAGGATTTTTAAAGCTCCATGTTGTAGATATCAGTCAATTTTTGAAGAATTCTTTCAAATGAAGGCCTCTCGATTGGATTTGTTGACCAACACTGTTTCATTAGCTTGACATACATATCCATCCCAATCAGGAACTCATCGTTGGTTGGATCATCATTGATCATGAATTTTTCACACCAACTTCTCATCTCATCAACATTTAAAAACGGAACGAGCGGTCTCTTTTCGTTATTTGCAACATGATACAATAAATTGAACGCCTTCACTTTTTTCTCGGCATTGAGGTGATGAAAATAGTTCAATTTTTCACAATTTTCATTCCAGTAAGGTGTCTCTTCAAATAACAATTCGTACATGATGATCGCAAAAGAATAAACATCTATTTTTGTGGCGTTTTCTTTCATTAGATTATTGGGTCCATTATCAGAATCTTCCTCAAGGATGAGCTCCTGCAAGAGTAGTTATCAAATCATCTCAAAAATATTACCACACTTACGGGACTCCTATCACAGTCACGTTATTAAAAAAATTTTCGTTAACTTTAAACATCACTTACATGTAGATTAAAGTTCCAATGTTACCAGTCAGTGAATGCGTCTGAGTGTGAGTGGATATTTCACGACTCAATCTGTATTGAATAAACCACCAAGTCACAACATGTTAATTCTCCAATAGAACTTACCCAAAATCGCAAACCTACGACAAGGAGTTGTCAAACACCAAGTCAGTATTGTGATATTCGTTGAAATGTTGTTGTAAAAAGTACAAAACTTGACTTACCTTTGGAGTATTTGAATGATCCAAAATAATATTGGCAGGTTTCAAATCTCTATGAATCAAACATTTTGGTTGAATTCCATGAAGATATTTCATACCATTCGAAATTCCAATTAATATCTTTAACTTTTCTTTAAACTTTTTTTTCACTCTTCCTTTTTTCATTTCCTTAATCATTTCTTCTAAGCTTCCATTTTGACCCAATTCCACAACCATACACAATTGATTTTCAGAAATACAAATGCCATAAAAACTAATAATATTTGGATGTCGAAGTTGAACGAGAAGCATGACTTCCTTTTCAAAATTTTCATGAGCATCTTCCTTTTTGATAATCGTTTTCACAGCACAGTCCATCATGTTATATTTTGCTTTAAACACACTGAAATTGAGATTATAATGATCAAGAAGATGATGAGTGTGAAATATTTTCGAGAGAATTGACTTTGATTTACAAACCTTCCACTCGCTCCTTCTCCAATTTTCTTTTCAATTTTTAACTCACTAGCCGAAATGATATAATTACTGGCATTCTTTCCTAATAGAGAAGGTCTTTCTTCTGCACTGCTATTCATTGATCCATAATCCGAAATGGATAAATCATGAACCAATAACTTCTCTTCAATTTCCTTTTCGGAACGTTGTCTCAAGTAGACACCTCTTGCCACTCGATATATTTTCCAACTTGCAAAAGCACATCCTAAACATGAAAGAGATCCAAGAACGATTCCTAATAAGGTAGCCACCACAGTTCCTGCAATAATACCTGGAATGACTGTACTGAATGGGAAACCAATTTCACATTTTCCATTTTGAATCACAAAGTCGGTTGGGCATTCTTGGATGTAAATGGTTAAATTATGGACTTGTGTTTGAGAAAAACCAAGGTGTAGCGTCAAATTGATCATGTCTTCTCCAAATTCTAGATGCTCAATGGTTGGTTTGGCCAAAATACCAAGTTCCAATAAATTTTCTTTAAATTTTGAATCATTTCTCGTCAATGTGAAACGTGGGTCTGAGAGTGATACTGTAGGACATTCATACATGACTGAAATGATATTTCCTTTTCGATCTGTCATGTCCTTAAATTTGATCACTAACTGTTCGCCTAAATAAACTGATATTTTTCGATCGTTGAGTTTTGGCTCAATAATGGATTGAGTAAAAGCCATAGTTGGGCTTGCAGTGTCAAATCCATAAACACCTGCACGGTTATCTAAAAGCTCGACTTGGTTCAAGAGAGGAGGTTTGGTGACGAAAAATAAAGCTCCTCCACTAATGGAGGCAGAGTTCTCTGAAAAGGTTGAACGTTGCACGTTGCATGTTGATGTGGTAAAGATAGCACCTCCTCTTTTTGCATCATTCTTACTGAATGTAGTATTGGAAAAATAGGAGAGTGTGTTAAATAAAGAAACAGCGCCTCCAGTTCCAATGGGTGCTATTGAGGTTGTAATGCAACTGCAACCAGTTTCATAGGAATCGTTCAAATCAACACTTGATTTCACTTGATTGGACTCAAAATTAGAATTCCACAATGCAATATAGGTCGAGTTCACAGTATAGAGAGCTCCACCTGCTTCCCATGCATAATTCTCCACAAACGAGCAATTTTTAACATTGAGAGAACCACCAACTCCATTCGATAGATAAATAGCACCACCATAACGTGCCGAGTTCAATACAAATGTCGTATGTCGAATATCAAACCAATCCGCTAATTCCAGTAATGAAACTGCTCCTCCTCCACCCAATCTTGCTGTGTTATTAGTAAATTCAGATCCATAGATGGAAAATTCATTCACTCGTGAAGCCATAATTCCACCACCATGTGGCGCTTCATTATTCTTAAATGTAGATTCTATTATAGCAACATTTTCACAAAGGTAAAAGAAAAAGATACTTTCCGCTTTTGTGCACACATTGTCGAGTACATGCGACTGTTGAATCATGGCATAACCTCCACTAATTAACTTGAGCCATCCTTGTAGACTATTTCTCTTTTTGAATGTACTGTCAATGATGAAAAGTCTAATAAATAATTTGATAACAAGTCCATAATCTTCCTCTTCATATGGCTGCTCGTATTTGAGGTCACGATATATAAAAACTGTATTCTGAATATAAATATCAATAGCTATCGAAATGGTTACTTTTGATTTTCTACCTAATTCAAATTGACTTGAATTGAACACAAGCTTTTCCACATTTTGTATCTTAATGAATGGTTCACCAATACCATACACTATTTCATAGAATTCAAACTCCTCCAAGTATATATTGGAACAATCGGTCATGGTTAGTCCGCCTGAAACTGTCACATCATACATGTAGACTTGAGAAACCTGAAAAAAAGTAATTTCACTGTCCAGAATTTGCGCTTTCGTGATATTCACTTTTTCCAATTCAATAAAACTCACTCTTGTGTTGGTTAGAAATGAGTTATAAATTCTAACTGGAGAAAGTACCATACTATCCATCACAATATTCTCTAAATACAGTGAAGTAATTGATGAAGGATCTGTCACAAATGGTTCTCCATACATATAACTGCAACTCAGAGTATGTAGTTTTGTTGAACTGTCACTTGTGATGGTGAGAGAAAGCTTAACATCGTTTTTTGACTTGTCAATATTTACAATCTTATTTCCACATACAACACGTGTGTATAGTTGTCGTTCCATCATGTTATGCAACACAACAATGGTGATATTATAATTGAGACACTTGTAGTTGACACTATCTTGCATCATTCTTTCATTAATATAGTCAAAGACTTGTCCCATTTGTTCACATGGATTCTTTGAACTGTTGCCACACGTCTCATTAGGAGTGAAAATTCGATCCTGATGCATGGGAGTTAAAAAATTGGACTGTTGAGTGTTCGTCGTTCCAACATAAAATTTGAGAGTAAAATTTGTGTAAGAAGAACTACAATTTAGAATATTGTCACCACTTTGACTTTCCACTCTCCACATGGAATATTCTCCTGAATTTAAATTTTGCCTCTCGAGAGCATCAGCGCCTTGAGTATCATCTCTGTTCGATCGTGCTGAACGTACGTCTGATGATGGCCACGATGATGAATCTGTATGCAATGCCAATACTTGAGTTTGAATACCATATGGTGGTGGTTGGAATTTCCGAACATGATATGAAAGTGTATCTTGATGTCGTTGTAGAAATATGGAAAGCCAAAGCCATAGCATCACTACTACCACAACACATAGATGGCTCATCGCTTTCCATCCGAAACGATGGTGTTGAAGATGAGATGGTTCGGTTTTAGTTATGAAAAGATTTCTAATGAAGGAATTGATGAGAAATGTAGAGTAGCAAAATTGAGAATCTTGGTTGATAGTTGCTAGCTTGTTCATAGGTGTGGTTTCAACAATGTTTGTGTCATGCCACATTGTTTGTTGCATTTTTTTCTAAAATGGAAATTGAAACAGGTGTGACAACTGTGAATGCTGTGCAATATAGGTGATGAAGAGATAGGTTTTAATAAAAAATTCAACACAATGATCAATATGTATTATTAATCGTCTCACTAGTGACTTACTGCAATCCACCTTGAACAGCCTTAGCTTTGTAAGGCTCCTCAAGATATTTCAAATCGTCAGCACTGAGTTCAATATTCACTGCTGCGACATTCAAATCCACATTTTCCAATTTGGTCGCTCCAATTACTGGACTTGAAACTCCAGGCTTATGCAACACCCATGCAATAGCAAGTTGAGCAGGTGTTACATTCTTTTTCTTGGAAAGTTCAGAAACTCGTCTCAAAATTTCCTTATCACCCTCATTGACAGCATTCTCAAACATTTTCAAGAATGGATCTGTTCCTGAACGAACAGTAGTGCCTCTAAAATCATTGGTATTGACAAATTCATGAGCACGAGCCAAGATACCACGAGCAATTGGAGACCATGGTGTCACAGTAACTCCCAAATCACGACACAATGGAATCATGTCTCTTTCTTCTTCACGATAAATCAAATTGTACAAATTTTGCATGGAAACGAATTTTGTCCATCCTCTCTTCTCGGCAATGAATTGAGCTTTAGCGAATTGCCAAGCCCACATACTAGAGGCACCAATATATCTGACCTTTCCAGATTTCACAAGATCATGTAATGCTTCCATAGTTTCTTCAATTGGTGTGTTATTGTCCCAACGGTGAATAATGTACAAATCAATATCTTTGTAAAATCATTGTTTTGATCAAAACATTTAAAACGGTCAATACATTGTTCGAACAATGCCATCAATTGTCCATTATCGAGTAATGTTAGAAATTAATTTAAACTGACAAAGTGAAGCTTCTTACTACATACAGTCAGTTCCCAATCTTTGCAAGGAATCCTCAACAGCATGCATAATGTGCTTTCTGGAGAGTCCACTTGTGTTTGGAACCACCTTCTCTGGTTGGAAAAGCAAAGGTTTTTGTTCCCCACTTTTGTCCACAGGGAAAAACACTTTGGTTGCAATGACCACTTCTTCTCTTGGAATGTTATTTTGCTTGAGGAATTTTCCTAAAATTCTCTCGCTCTCACCATTGCTAATCGAAGAAACAGGATCATTGGATGTTTGGAAAAAGGCAAAAGAAAATGATTTCAAATGTTGAAGTTCCGGGATCTCTAACTTACCTATACATATCAGCAGTATCAAAAAAGTTAATTCCCAAATCATAGGCTCTCTTCAATAACTTCATAGACTCTTCTTCTTCCAAGACCCAATTTTGCCATTTTGATGATCCGAAACTCATACATCCTGTTAGTAATAATTGGAAATGATTATTGTAATATTCATTATCGGGTGAGATAATCAATTTTACAATATTGATCATCATCGGAATATATGGTGTTTTCTCTCACTTACCAAAACAAATTGGAGAGACTCGTAAGCCAGTATTTCCAAACTTTCTGTACTTGGAATAGGGAATTCTTTCAACAGTGTTATTAGTGTTCGACATTTTTTAATGTTTTACTCCTTTAACATGAAGAATGTGTTGCTGCTTTAATTCCGATCGTTTCGCCTGAACAGTGAAAAATTGCGCACGAAGGACAATAGAAACGCACAATGAAAAAAGTGTGCATTAAGATTGAGCACTCACGCCTGTGTATACGAAAAAAACACTTGGGGACACATCAAAACTGACCCCTGATCGGAGAGGGAATCTCCGCACCGTTTATTTATCGCTTTGAATCTTTTAAATATGAAATAGGCATTGTGGTGTCCTTGCATTGGTAATATTTTGTAACAAACTGGTACAGAGATTGGTTCACAGATGTGACATTGCTCAAAAGACAATTTCAAACAAAATACTTGGTGTCAAGTCATGTTTCATTCTGTTGGCGCCAATCTCTGAATCTTTCGTAAAAGAACGTTCTGGAACTCACACAAAATTTACAAATTCCAAAAGGATGAGAGATGAAAATCTCTTGACACCCATTGTATTCACACGTTTAATTAGTGCTGTGAGTTGTATCTCGTTGGAGAATCTATCGACCATCTTATGAAATGAAAGAGATTGAACACTAGAAAAAAATACCACTCTGCATTTGTATTCTTGACATGACCATCCACAACAAAGTTCAACCAGTGGCAGGTAATCGTATGGTGCCGACCTTGGACAGAAGCAATACTCATCAAACAACATTTGAAACTCTTTTTGATGACCACAATGACGATCAAGACAGTAACTTTCCTCTTCAAGACGACAAGAAGCGATCAGAAAAGAAGGCATTTCTTTCATTGAGATGGTTTGTGATTACTTCCATATGCTCTTTAATATTATTCTCTGCAATTTGTGTCTATTTGGCAGTATTTATTGGATTCAATCAAGCAGTGGATGAACTGTCTGAAAAAGTAATCCATGACTCGAAAAGCAAAATTGTCATTTATATTGACAAGGTTCTTTCTCAGATGAGCGTAATATCAAGATTGAGTGCAGAACAATATAATTATGGATTGGTGACCAATAACTTTTATAGAAACTTCTTTTATACTCCATACAAATTAGCAGAATTGAGTGTTGGTTTTGCGTTTGGTTATCCATCCGAAAGATACTCCTATACCATTGTTGGAAAGGAGGGTCAAGAAAGAATTGTTTATTCTTATCAGCCTCCTGGGTTTATTGGGTCGATTCGAGATGCGTATTTCCTTAATGGAACCATTCAAACTGTGAATGAAACCGTTGACTATACGGTTTATGAAGTGTCGCAAAAGGATTTTTACAATGCATCCATAAATGCAGCAAAATCATTGGGAGCAGAAGGAGCTTTCACGAATCCATACATTGTCACAAATGGATCACTTTCCATTGCGTATGGAGCCTTGTTATACGATCCTCATATTTTTGTCTCGAGCGGTGCTAAAGTGTTGAAAGGTATTTGCAGAACTGTGATGCCTCTCGCAAGTATTGTCAAGTTTATGAGAGAGAAAATCACTGTCCTCAAAAATGGTTACGTGCTGCTGCAAGAAACAGGAACAGATTTAGTAGTTGCTGGAAGTATTAATACCACTTCATTAGATGAAAAATCTCGTGTGAAAATGACTGATATTGTCGATAAGAATGCTGGACAGCTCATGAAGGACATTAAGGAAAGATTTGGAAGCTTCGAAAATACACCATACGAGTTCCACATTTCAAGTTTGGGAACGAATTATTTAATACTCTCGTCCATGTATACTTTTGAGAATATTCAATGGAGAATGTTTGTTGTAGTGTTTGAGAATGATGTGCAACTCACAACCACCATTAGTATTTCAGCTTCCGTTGGTGTAGCCCTTCTCGTCACGATCATTAGTTTGACTCTAGCACTGACTCTTACAGCCATTGTCCTGAGACCTGTAAAGAGATTGAAAGAGCAGTTCGAACTCATTAAGGTTTTCGATCTGGATAACGTTCCAAGAATAAGCTCAAGTTTTGTCGAATTGAATGACATTTACAACAATTTGAACAACACGGTTTCTTGGCTCAAAGAGATACGATCTTTCATACCTGACAAGGTTCTACTTCAATTACGGGAAGAAAAAGCTGAAGTAGTGGCACCCAATGATTTAGAATCCATGCCGTCCACTGCTCACCATCACTTACAACGTGCTCATGAAAGCTCAAGCTACGGGAAAACTGCTTCAGTATCAGAGGGTTCGACGTCTAAAAAACAATCTTCATCAGCAAGTTCGTCTAAAGAAGGCTCTTCAGTGTTCAAGATGGGCTATTCTTTGAAATATATTTCATTGTTACACATACGTTTGGGAAGTTACTTGGCAGATTTTACTCCTCATGAAATTTCTAAAACGTTTCCAAAAATTGTCAGCGTGCTTGCGAATGTGACAAAATTGTTGCAAGCTGAACTACAAATTACTTCTACAGATGAATTTATAATAATGATTGAAAGTAAGAAGAGAGGTTGCAGAGATGTCTCTCAAGAATGTGCGCTGAAAATTGTTAAAGCGTTCGAAATTGTGAATAGTCAGCTCAAAACTCATCACATGCCAGAAATTAATTTCTCAATTGGAATATCATCCAGTGAATCCAATGTTGGAAATATTGGAAATCACTCTATTAGGTACTATTCAGTACTGTCAGAATCTGTGAAGGTTTCTCAGCATTTAAGTCTGCTTGCCCTTAAGAATGGACTGAAAATCCTCATTGACGAGAAGACTCATGTTGGAACCGAAGACAAATACATTACCAGACCAGTAGATCGTATATTGAGCTCTCCAAACATCCATTCTGTTCCTTCAAGAATATTCAATGTTTATAGTCTCGAACGGGAGAATATTGTTCTGGAAGATGAATGGTTGTATGAACTCGAATCCAAAAATGCAATGGCAAAAATCCAAGAATTACATGGTATCATGCAAGTATTTTCATCGTCCAGTGAGACCTCCTCTTCAGATATAGGAGCGTTGATCTCGACAGGTCTGGCTAAACTTTCAAATTTCATGACAGAGTATCCTAATGATGTAGCTTGCAAAAAACTCTTCTTGCTTTTCGAAAAATTCCAAGACTTGTTGTCTAGGGACATCCATGCAACGGATCTTATCAAAAATTATCACTGTGTGATTGAACCAACTGTAAGGCCTTCAATAGAGACCCACACAGACTACCGAGTGTAGACATTATAATAAAGTTCCTTTTTCCACCAAGGCATAAACGACAACACCTCCGAGCTACATCAGTCAAATACGAATGGCGCCATTTTTTACAAGTGTGGTTTGCACAAAAAATAATACATCATCAACATGGACGATTTGAAACTGTCATTTGATGAGGAGTATAACCTGAGAGTGTTTGATCCCACAAAGTTTTCAACATCGGAGGCAGTGAGGCATAAATCAGAGGAATTTGCAACCAGTACGTGAAATGAGAAATTTTGAATTTCAAAATAACAATTTTTTCTCCTCTTTGATTTTATAAAGAAATAAAGGACTTTCAAAAGTTGGTTTCGGAAGTTATGCAAATATTAGAAAGCCAAGGAAAAACTATTGAAGATGAAAAATTAAAAGCAATCGGAATGAGAAATTTAGTGAAAGGGGAGGAAGATAGAAGAAAAAATCTTCTTCGAGAATACAATCAATTAATTGCTGACAAGCATACAGAATTGGAAAGATATGTCGATGAGCTTGAATCTTTAAAGAAAGTCGAGCAAGAACAGCGAAAGCTTATTGATAGACTGAGTAATAACGAACCTCCTGAGATGGATTAGTGTCAGCGATACATTAGAATGGCTCTGTAAATGATTATAATAGCAATCCATGTACATATTTACAACAACTATTACATTTCCAATATTTCCATCCATTGGTATTCTATAAATTATTAATGAAAAAACTCCTTCATAATATCCTCTCCTAGCTCTACATTTACAATATCAGTTGAATTAGTGTCTCTAGTTTTCTTTACGTTGTCCAAATTGTTGAGCCCGTTCATAACAAGAGATGAATCGATAGGTCTCGTTTGTTCCTCTTCTTCACGCTTTCTTTTCATTGTTGAAGATTTTTCCACATAAAAATCAGCAATAGAAGAGTCACTCTCTAGTAATGCAGATGATGCTGGCTCACCTCCTACAGTTCTCAAAAATTCCAATTCTTCCAAATTGACACTCGTTAATGTAGTATGAGCCTCTTTTAAGACTTTGTGGCAATATTGAATGCAATCACCTACACTCTCTGTGACTTCCCTTCGTCTCTTGAGTTGGTTTTGGAGGATTGTGATCATCTGTTCTCTCGCTTGGTGAGGTCTGTAATAATTCAGTATGAATGACATGTTGATAAAAATCAATTCAATTTGGTATAACTTCAATTCCCAACAATATTTAGTAGAAGCTTTAGATGAATCAAAATTTGTTACAGTTGACAATTCCTCAGTTTCGTTAACTTGAAGTGTTGGATGCTCTACAAGAAGATCCAACAGCTCTAAAAAGTTATACAGCAGAGAACGATTTAATTTTTTTAACTCTGCAACATGATCTATTGACTCAATAGATCGATCAGTATCGTAAAGCTTTTTCACAACCTCGTACCCTGGAGGAATCGGATTAAAATCAGGCTAAATATTTTTCATGAATTTCCATAATCAATGCCAAACAATATCAAGAATATTCGATTAAAGTAGCCATAATAATAATTGTTAATCAGGTGGAAATTTCCGAAAATCATCACACCAAACACCAAATTTTAATTCCAAAATGTTTTAAAAATACATACAATAGCCGTGAGAGTCTCTCCAAAAGATTGATATGTCTGCCCCTTCTTCAAAGGTTTTGGAGGCTCCGGAGCAATATATTCACTCTTGGAAGGGTGGTATAATTTATAAAATGTTGGTGGTGGAGGAAAGACGTCCACAAACTCTTGTTCTTCGCTGGTGTTTGGTTGTTGCATTTTTTGAATGTATTATTGTTGTGGAGTAGGGAATATGGTTGTCCAAACATCGATCAACATTAATGAATATCATTAGTTGTTTGTCATCTGTGCATAAGTTTCATCATTCAATTTGGATTTAGTTGAACATGAATCAAAGAACAAGAATTAACAAAAAAATGTCTTCAACAGCAGCGCTAGGAGCAGAGCCTCCACAAAAGACAGCCGAAGAATTAGAAAAGGAGGAAGAATTACTCTTTGAAAAAGGACCACTTTCATTGTTGTTAGAAAGTGTCCGAGAACAAACTCAAATTTTGATCAGTTGTAGGAACAATAGAAAATTACTGGCGAGAGTGAAAGCTTTCGACCGACATTGTAACATGGTATTGGAAAATGTTCAAGAAATGTGGACGGAGCAACCAAAGAGCGGAAAAGGAAGAAAGAAAGCAAAGCCAATCAACAAGACTAGGTTTACAAACAAGATGTTTCTAAGAGGAGATTCTGTAATTTTAGTTTTGCGAAATCCAAAGAGATGATCGGAAATAAAAAGATTTCCGTCGATTTATCATGTTATCATGCAAAGAACAACTGACAGCAGCATTTGAAGAATTATGTTTTTTAATATTTTATACTCCTTGACGAAGATAATTTATTGCTTCTTAGCAGTTTCCTTCTTATCTGGGAAGTTGATGAAGGTCTTCTTCAATGCAGGTGGCAATGCCTTCTCCAATTGTTGGGCCTTAACCTTGTTCTTCATCTTGAGGGTATAAAGGTATTGTCTTGTTCTGAGCTTGAACTTGTATGATCTGTTCTTGCTTTGCTTTGTTCTATAGATGGTGATTGATCCCTTTTCCTTGGCAGCAACAGCAAGATTGAGGAATTCCTTAACGTTCAAGATTTGCTTTGGCTGTTGATGTTACGAATGTAAGTAGAAAACAAAGTGTTCAATGTCGAAACGAAAAAAGCAAAAGTACGAACCATTGTGATTGTGGCGTATTTTTTTTCAACAAGAATTTTTTAAAAATGTTGGTCAACCAGTACAAAAAGTTTACAATAAAAAAGGCGTTTTGGCTTTGGCAAGTCTCGTTCAAAACTTCCACGGCTTCTTGTCAGATGCAGCTTTGGGTGTTGCTGAAGTTAACTTCCCGAAAGTTTTTAGATCTTCCTCTCGCCACTGACTGAATTTGTCAACAGCCCTGAACGCAGATTTATCAACAGGATCTGAATATTGTGGCCTGAATTCCAAAGCCATCAGCAATTTCAATATATTATCATAATTGATAGTACTTACTTGAATGCATCTTTGGTTGTGGACTGTACTGGTTCCGTTGGAATCACATAGCCAGGATTTATTCTCTTTGAAATGTTGGTTTACATGTATTTTGGAATCGATTCATCATTCAACAACAATCCATCCTTGTTGAAAATTAAATTTGATGAGCCACTTACCTTCCATATGGAAAACGACAATTCAGTTTGAGCCTTTATAGAGTTTTCATCCCGATGGGTGACTAATGGATCCACTTGACTCTCTTCTTTCTTGATGGGAGTAGAATTTTGTTGATGACTGGCCATTTCCTGTATTATTTTGATGAGCGCCAATAAGGAGGTATACCTTAACGAATTGAAATGAATTTACAAATGACGATTCAGTGTCTCCGATTGTGATAACAATGAATAGCAATACTCTTGATGCTCTTGATCTCAAATTTTATTTGATGAGGCCTGGTAAATTTTAATGCAAATTTACAGAACAGCACCTGAAAGCGAGATAGGCTTCAATAATATTGGGTTTGATGGGGGTTTGGTCTCGTGCTGTTTGAACATCAACATATCATATTGAACCAGGGCTCGAGGTGGATTGTTATTATGCCAAGACCTTTCGGCAGCGTTTTGGCATCATGTCTGGAGTTATAACACCATTCACCTGATGATTCCAACCAACTACACCATCAACTGAAAATTTACAGTTGATTTAATTCAAGTTGAAAAATTTTGGTGATTCAGGTCGCACAACACATACTTTAAGGCTATTTTCTGACTCAGCGGCTAGCCCACAAGAAATGTTTGAGCACAGAATACGTGATTACTACGCACATCATGTTGAGAGGTTGAGGCTTCAGTTAGAACGTGTCTGCACCATTCACAATCCGCTATGGAAGCCAACGGTATACCGTTGTTTACAGATGGAGGAAATAGGTTCCAATCGTGATTGGACGACACACCATTGGCAAGAAACGTCAGCCTTACATCAAGCAGGTATGTAGTAAGTTTCAAGTCAGATCAACTCTGACTTTCATCGTTCTTGTAGATATGAACGCCATGCAGTATATCGATTTGCTTCAGTTCGTACAAGACAATAACGGCCAGTTATTATCAGGACAAAACGGAACAGAACAGCTTCGAGAGTGCTTTGAACAGTTGAGTGAGAGTAATGGTAAAGCACATTATATTGACAGATATGAGGATTATTTGGACGCGTTTTCATATGATGAGAGGCCAGATGAAAACATTGGTAACGATATTCAATTGGAAGACTCCTTTTTGGACTTTGAAAGCCTTAATTCCTCAATGCAGTTTTTTGCAAAGGAGGTTTTGTCAAAGTTTGACGCTGAATATCATTCCGCCCTCAGAAAAGATCTTTTAGATCAGGTGGTTGGAGCCAAGTCCCCAATATCTAGCCTCGAAAATGAGATGTATGATAATAATTCAACAATTTCTCGGCATGACACCCTCACCGATTCCAAACACACCTTTCCGTCAGAATGCACACTGGACAATAGTGTTGATATATTTTCCAACCTCGAATGTGGCTTCTGTGACTTTTTACTGCCTGTTTGCGATCACCAATCAGAGTTAGAATGCTCGTTGTACTCCATTGTAGATATTTCTGGCAAGAGCATACTTGAGTTCGATGTTGAATTCATGTCTGCCTCGTATAAGCTTGTACAATGTGATACGTACAGAGATTATCTGAGGAAGGAGATGAGCGGCCGTCCTTATGACACGAAAGAAATAACCGACATCAATTCTCTTTTGCCATTCGAAGAGAAAATTGATCATGAGCAAATAAGTTCTGAAGTGCACGAAATTGAAAACATAAATTGTTCAGAGATTCTCGAAGAAAGGCCATCAAATATTTTCATTACGGAGCTTCAGAAAATTGCAATTCCAATAACACAAGAGCAAAAACGTATGCATGAGTTTTGGTGTCTAGATTCCAAAGACCAAGAAATTTATTATCAGCGAAACACTATCCATTTCATTGACACAATTATTAACACGGACGACGTCAAGACAATACCAAACCCACCCACAGAAGTTTTTCTTCCAAAATGTGACAACATTATTCCCATTGAGAAGTTAGCGAAACCAAAACCGACAACAAATATAGAGATTACTTTGTCTAGCTTGTGGCTTTCAGATAAGATTTACTTGTTTAGAAAGGAAATAGACAAGAAAGAATGCGCTGAACCATTGCCCGCAAGTACGGATGACACACTCTTCAAAACACCTGAAGAGTTTTCACCAGAGGTACAATATTCTCCTGATTTGCACGACATTTATTTGAATGTACCGAGTCGTTTGAGACCATCATCTGAATCACGATTAAGGACTGAAAGATTGGAGAAAGCTCTCTATAATCTTGAAATTGCTGAGAAAGAGTTCGAACACATAGATATCTTGTTCATACAGGAAATGTTCAAGCAAACATCATTGTACGCAAATACCGTTTCCCATTACAAAGACGATGGAAAAGGAGCCCTATATCAATACGAGTCGTTATTGGAGAATTTACTTACAATTGAGGAGTTCGAAGAGTATGGAAGGCCCAATAAGCAACAGACTGGGGCAAAAAGTCGTATCACAAAAAACCACTCCAAACTCGAGGAGCTTGTAGAGGAAAGCTTGGAGAGTTTTATGGTCCAAAAAAAAGCAAACACTTGTTCCACCACACAAAAACTATCATCAACTCTTGAAAAATCCGCATCAGTTGCTAATACTGAAGACTCACTGTTTATACCTGACGATATTAGAGTTTCCAAAGAGACCATTGATATAGTCACAGACATTCAAAGCCAAAATTCATTGCTGGTGCTACCTTCTTCATCGCTTAGACCGGTAATTGGGCTGTTACTTTTGCAAAAGCTCAAGAAATGTAGCACAAACTCTAATTTCATTTATGTAGATAGCAACGAAAAGCGCTTGGAAGACGATTTTAGATTTTATTCATCCTATCTCTGGAATCACACAAACAGTCTAATAATGGTGACAAAAGAGAATTTTACATTCCAGCTTGCCAAAATTAATACCAATTGCAAATTTTTGTTTTTGTCATCTCACATAATGGACAATTTTATACAACGATTTGAAAAGGTAGTATCGAACTGCAGTTTCATTTTCTATCAAGACTCAACAGTTGCAACCTTACCAGATAGTAATGAACCATCCACAGCTCAGGTCTCAATTTGCAAAGCACTTGAAAATATTTACGCAATTTCAAAGAAGACTGTACATTCGATTGTAGCATCATATATCCCAGCTAGAAGCGTCAACGATCTCATTAACTTGTTGGATTCCATAATTTCGAAGGTATGTATGAAATTGAACGATTAGGGACTAATTAAGAAAAGAGAGTAATTATCAAAGGAACATATAACGCTTCGTTTCATAAAGAGATGATAGTAGAATTGGATGGGCCAATATCAACATTCCTATGTGACCTCATAAAGATCGGAGAGTTTACGATGAGTGGAATTTCGGGTGTTAAAGGATATGAACTTGACACAATGAAATTCGTGGAGGTGGACTCAGAGTACATTAAGCATATTGTGGAAGATTTTGGAGCGGGCTTAAAAGTTGTTATTGCTTCCAATGATCATAGAAGAATCAGCGAAACGAAGTCTGTTTTCAAGAAGCTAGTGTGTCTCCACACTTTAAAGTGCTTATATGAGATTGTATTAGATGGTGGCGTGTTGGTAGGACTTTCATTTCTTGAAAAGATTAAACAAAGTGATACCTACAACACCATATTGGAAGGATCAATTTCGGATATTTTAATTCGTCTCAAGGCCTTACAAGAACAGTGTTCTCGATATGAATCAGATTCCCATATGGAGAAGTTCAAGACCATTGAAGATAACATTCTAGAAGCTTTAGAAGCCAAGAATAACGTAAAGATTTTGTTTATTACTAAGCACAACAAAGTGTTGACATTACTACGTCAACACTTACAAAGCAAGTTCAGTGATCGATACCAGATCAAGTTTTTCTCCTTAATAATTGGAGAAAAGGATACAATATTTATGCGTGACGCTGCTTTAGGAGCAGAGGAGCCAAAGCTTGGATTATCGGAGGAGTTGAGAAATAATTCACTGCAATTTCACTTTGTCACTTATTCCATGCTAGAAAAGATCAAAGAGCGGAGATCATTCGAAGTATTTTCCGGGTTTTTGACAATAGTTCAAGTGGAACCAGGAAATTTGCCACCAACTCTGTACTCATTAGTATCAAGGTGCATGGTCGAAAGTTGGGTAATTCATAATGTATTACCGTCTGTTATGGTATCTCAAGATCTTTTTAAACGGAAAAATTTTGTGGAAAAATGGTGTTTGGAGTTACAAGGAATGCTTAAAACTGACTCTTCCATAATAGAAATGGAGGACTTAACATCTGTAGCTCCAAGAATGAGGAATATTTCATTACTTACAGAGACAGACTGGCGGATAATTGCTGATAGCTATTTAAGAGTCACACCACCAAAGAGGAAATCAGCAATTAAGATAATTGCAACTGAGAAGTGTATTCAAAATAGCGATCTTATTTCAGAGCTGGAGGCAAGATTTTTAGTTTCTGTCGTGGAGAGAACTTTTGTCAATCATGCTCCAGCTGACATGATCATCAACGACAGACATTGCGCCCTTCTTGGTTCTTGTGAAAATTTGTCCACAGAGGACGCGCTTCGAGAGGAGACTATTAATTTGTTCTCCAAAGTCCTACATTTATCTCATCAATTTTCGTATTGCTGGATCATTTTAGAAAAGTACTTAGATTTTGATAATTATGAAAACGCATTGGGAGAAATAGACTCTATGGTATATTTAGCAACTTCTTTATTGTCTTTCACAAAATCGTTGAGCGGAATTGAGGTGAATGTTAAAATGAGCTATAGCATGGACCAGACAGCAGAGATCATTAGCACCATTTGTAATGATGTTAAAGAACAATCAAAGACTTTGAACAAGGATGTATTGTGGATTCGTGAACGTGAGACTGAACATGAGGGGTTTTTGGCTCAATTTCCATTTATTAGTTATTACTCTGCTCAAGCAATTCTTCAAAATTATACATTGAAACAAATAGCAAGCTTTAGAAACTATGACGAATTCGCTCATCATTTAGGGACCATGGTTCCTGAGCGAATTTTGGTAAGTCTTCGCTCATTCTTCAGTTTGATTACTAATTCAATCCATTTTAACTTAGCACAACTTCTACCAATGTTTCACCGAGCTTTTTGATGGATATGAGGAAAACGCCAACACTACGGCAGGTATGGATGACGATGAAATCGTCCAGACATCTCAAATTCTTGTTAATCAAGGTAGTCACACCGATCATTCTTTCCATATTAACAAGAAGCCTTTGTTTCATCAAGACCCTCGTATGGATCCTCTCAACCAGGCATTCATGACACCACCTGAGCCCGCATTTTCATATCCAGTCGTATTTGGAAAAAGTGACTCAAATTCTCTTTCACATTCCTTACAACCATACACCCACGTGAACTCTGCAATCGAAGAGCCACTTCATAAGAAGGCCAAGCCATCAACATTCCCCTCGAACCAACAGACACCTTACATCCATCATATCGAATTCCCACCTCCGTCTCCTCTCTTTCAGCAAAAAGAATTTGATAATTCATTTTCCAGTGCGACTTTGGTCAAACCTGGCTTTTTTCAAGGAGCGTGGGCAAGCCCAAATACACCACTCACAAGCTTTAAGAATATTGTTCAGCCTCATTACCCTCTTCACAACCAATTTTCGAACGGATCACCTACCATTCCTTTTAACTTCAATTCAAAGAAAATTCAAACACCACGTCCAGGGCAGAGTACCACTCACGAGCGAGGGATGAAATTCTTTCACAACAAACATGACATAACAACGCCTACAAGGGCATTGGGAGCAAGCAATAAGATGCCAAAAAATCATTTAGGTAGCTCAACAGTCAGCACTCCATCTTCTAATTTCAGATATTATTTGTAAGATCTCTTCCAATCATTCCTCAACTTTATCCAATCGAACACGAGAATGATTTACTTTGAAAAGTCCACTCATAAATGATACACGTCTCCATTAATCAACCCTAAATTAGTTGTAGAGCGATTATAATCTTGTTTGACATGTTTTAACTCGGGATGGAGAGTAGACCAAATCCACATTGTTAAATCGCACAAGTGTGAAAAAAATCCATGTCTTCCGCTCTCAGTGAGCCACTTATTGCCACGAACGCCACCGACGATCGTGAGAGGGAGCCCTTCGAAGTTGTGGGTCCACCTCATCATTCTCGCGTTAGTCAAACAGACAATGATGAAAACAATCCACCTTCTCTGGTTGGAAGCTATATAATTAAAGGAGGAGGAGGAGGTTATATTCAAGAAGTAGAAACAGATGGCCTGGAATATGATTCAAACGAAGATGATTCCGATGCTGAATATGATGACTATGATTTGTCACAACATGACTTTTCCAGAGGCCGTCAACCACATCGTTACAACAGAATGAGCATGGCACCAAAGCAAATGAAACGGTTCAAAGCCATCACAGGTATAGCCACACTTGTCATGATTTTTCTCATCATCATTGGTCTAGTCTTGTATCCACTCATCTATTTTGTGAACTTTTTAACACAACCCGAAAAGAGTGAAACTATATTCCTAACTCCATATGCTCCAAAGGCTAGTTTTATTCATCCCAATTTTGTTCCTCCTTACGTTCAAGCGATTGTTAACATTACAACACCTTTGAATGCTCGGTTTATGCTCTTTTCATTTTCCGCTAATGCCACTGTTCAAGCTGCTGTGATTCGAAAACAAGCAGTGTTTGAAACGTTTATGGATTTAGCAGAAAAAACTGCTCTTTCATTGAATCCCATGTCTTCGTTTATATTTGAGAAGCCTTTGGATCGATCGAATTTTGTAATATCTGCCGCACCATTTGGAACTCGATTCTTTTCAGTTCAAGTGTTAAATAATTCAGGAATGTATGACGAACCAGAGAAGGATTTTAATTTTACAACAAATTCGACTATTTCTAGAAACACTACAACGATTTACATGGTTTGGAGAAATACTGATAATTCTTTAGCTCCTATTGAATTTAAATATTGGTATTGGCTGGAATTTGATGACAATAGACATTTAAAAGCTTTTACAGGAGCAGCCATTTGCATTTCAATTGCAGTCATTCTCATTTCAATCGTTATTTTGAATACCAAGACGACAACACTTGTCATTTATTATCTTGTTCGAAGTTTAAGTCCGAGTGGAAGAAGACGATTTTTAAATGATATCAAACATTTGCCTACAACTTCACGAAGTGAACTCAAGGAGAGAGATGTATTGTGGACAAGAGGAGCTGACATCACCTATTTCAATTTAACCTTTACTTCATTCTCTGGAAAAACAATTTTACATCCAACTAGTGGAATTTTGCAATCAGGCAGATTCACAGCAATTATGGGTCCAAGTGGAAGCGGTAAATCGACATTTGTCAACTCGTTATGCAAGAGAGCTAGTAATGGAAAACAAAGTGGAAAAATTTTAATTGATAACAGAGAAATTACTGAGGAAACAAGCAAAATTATTGGATTTGTCACTCAAGATGACACAATGGCACCACACATGACCGTTCGAGAAACTTTGGAATTTAGTATCACATACCGAAAGAATCGAATGTTTAATAAGAAGGAAAGAATATCTGCCATTTTAGACCGATTAGGTTTATCCAAAGTTCAACACTCCTTAACAAAAGTATGCAGTGGAGGAGAAAAGAGAAGAACATCTATTGGCATTGAATTGTGTGCTGACACTCCTGTTCTCATTTTGGATGAGCCCACAAGGTAAGTTCATTATTTTGTAAAGTGTGAAACATTTGTAATGACTCTTCAACGTAGTGGACTCGATTCAGAAACGGCCCTCTCATTGTGTCAAACACTAAGAGAACTTGCTGAAAAGTGCAATTTGAATATCATTTGTGTCATCCATCAACCATCGTTAGAAATTTTAAAACAATTCCATGATATCATGTTATTCAGTGAAGGAAGAGTTCTCTTTCATGCTCCAGTTTCCACAGTTGTGAATGTTCTCAAGGAAAGTATCTCACCCAATGAAATTCGAAATAATCCAGCAGATGAAATTTTGAGAACTCTCATTGCACCACAAGGTGAATTCATTGTGGATGCAATTATTAGAAAAACACAGGAATATGTTCAAGAAAGACGTCCAAGTAGAAAGAAGAATTTATTTGAGTTGGTGGATGGAAATGATCATTCTCTCATGGAGAACTCTTCCAAACGTTATTCAACACGAGCTGTTTATTATAACAACAACAATACTCATGATTCGGATGCAGCCACGATGGCCATCAAAAACAACAAGTCCAAACACCATAATATTTCTGCGCAAGCTTATCGAACAGCTCCATTCTTTGTTCAATTTATTGTTTGCTTTTGGAGATGTTTCAAACAATTTTATAGAGATTGGGTGACGATCATTATTGAGAATGTGATTTGTCTTGGAATTGGAATTTTAATTGGTCAAATTTTCAAGGGACTTCATTTTGCAGGAGCGGTTCCTGAAAGTTTGTACATGCAATGTCCCATTTCTTTACGAGGAAATGCCATGATTCCTCAATCAGATATTATTTCTCCGTATGCCACTTTTTTTAACATTGCCATTTCTCTAGTTTCAATTATGAGAGGATTACTTGTTTTTGGAAATGATATGAACAACTTTAAAAGAGAATGCTATTCTGGTCTCAATAGTTGGATGTATTATTTAGCAAAAGATTTAGTTTCAATGATTGTAGTGCTCATTCTCTCGTTATCATTCACCATAGGTTTACAAGTGGCTTCTCCTCAAACGAATTTTGGTATTTTGTGGATGGTCATCTTTGCCACCATGTTGGCAAGCTTTCCAATTGGTTATATCATTTCATACTTTTTCACACCACACACAGCACAGTTAGCAGCTTCACTTGTGGTCATGATATTCTTTGCCATCTCAGGAAATCAGCCATCTATACCAGAAATGGAAACATATTCATTTCCATTCACGTATATTCATGTTATTTCATATTTGAAATATGTCAAGGGCTTAATTTTCATGATAGAACTTGAAACAAGAAGAGGAAAAGAGTCACTCAATGAAGTGTTGAAAATATATGGCTTTGAAATTGAAGCATTAAGCTATTACGTCTATGCTCTCATATTTTGGATTATTGTTTGGAGATTTATTTCTATTTATTGTTTATGGGCATGGAAACCAAGAAGTTTATTCAGTAAGGTTGTGTACTTCCTTAAATTCATTTTTGGAAATATTTATGGGCGTATCAGTAACGCAGGTTCAACGGTAAAGCTCACCATGAAAAGAAGAATGTCAAGCAAGATACTTCAAAATCCTGATGAAATGAATAGGTAACAATCACAGGTGCATCCAAGCATGAGTAGATTGACAATTTTAATAGATTTGAATATTACGTTCATTGCTGGCAGTAAGCAGTTCCATAAAATCAATATTGTTTTTAGCGAATTGTGAAGCAGCACTTCGAGGAGATCTTGGAGATCTAGGTGACCTCTTTTCATCATTCCCAATGACATGCAATTCTACCAACTTGGTAAGATATTTCGATTCACTGATCAGTCTAAATCCATCATTCTCGATTTTGTTATCAAGTAGTATTAAAATGTTGAGATTGTCAAAAGTTCCATGAGCAAGATAATGACATCCTCCACATCGAATATCGTTTGCCTCCAAATCCAAATATTCCAGTGATCGAGTAATCGATCCCTTACTCAAGTATCGACAACCTGAGGTTCCAACGGCATTTCTAGCTAGATATAAACGAGTTAGGTTGTGCATGGAGGCAATGTATTTACACGAAAGAGGACCCAACATGTTGGAGGTTAGATTCAAATGCGTTAAATTTGGAAGGTTCCTGCTCGATAAATTGGAACAACCTTCATCTTGAATTTTGTTGGACTTTAAATCGAGTTTCTCTAGTTTAGGTAAATTGCCATTCGTTAGATGCCATAATCCATCAGCTTCAATTTGACAGTTGGTTGCTCTTAGCTCTTTCAAATTGGGAAACGAGTTGGAACTTTGAGTTAGCATTCTACATCCTTCGTTTTGAATGGTGTTAAAGGATACATTTAAATAGGTCAGGCTCGTTAAATTGCCGCTTGCCAAGGCAGAACAAACTTCGCTGGAAATGTCACACACAGCTAGATTGAGAGAAACTAAATTGGAGAGTGCCTTACTTGTTCCAAAATATTTGGCTCCCTCCCCAACAAACAAATTATAGGACACATCTAAATGTGACAAGTTTGGTAAGTTTCCATTCACTAGAAACAAACAACCATTCGTGTCCACTCTGCAAGATTTCAATTCCAAGTTCGTTAAATTCCTCAAATTACCATTTGCTAAATATTTACAACCAGTTCCTTGAATTGGATTTCCACTCAAATTTAACTGAGTGAGTTGAGAAAGGTTTCCACTCGCTATAAATGTGCATCCTTCAGTATCAATCTTGTTAGTAACTTCATCACAACCGGAACCTAAACTGAGGTTTAAGGTTTTAAGGTTTGATATTTTTCCATTGGCAAGGTGTTGACAGCCGACAGCACTCACTGACCTTCGCGACGAGATAAAATCAATGGTTGTTAAATGTGGTAGTGAGGTTCCGCTTGTGATGTATTCACAAATATCTGCATAAGAGGTCATGTTCACTTCTCCTTTTTCAATATCAGTGCACACCAGCTTTTCTAGACTTGGAAAATGGTCCAAAAACGATTGTTCTGGAATCAATTTCTTTTTGGGAGAAGAATCAATATCCAAATTCCCAACAGACATACTCTCCTTTCTCAACTTCTTCAATTTACTAATCTTTTCCGCACTTTTACTCATCTTGGTTCTTGCTCCATAAAATTCATTGACCCTCTGCATTAAATAACACACATTTCTCATCTCTAACGATGTCACCATTGTATATTCCTTATTTTCACACTTTTTGAAAAATTCCAAAGTTTCATTCTCATCCGAAAAATCAATAACAACATTTCTAGGTGCCAACACAACGTTCGATGAGCACTCCTCTGAGAAATCTTGACTATGATTCAATGCAGCGAATGCATTGACAAGTAGTCTCATGGAATGTCTTGGCGAAAATGATTGAATTCTTTGACTCATTCTTCGAGTGGTTCTTGTTGTTGTGGGTGAACTCGCTGATGAAAATGATGTCGATAATGGATCTGAGTTCTCATTCATTGAGAGATTTGAGGATAAAGAACCTGCAGATTGAGAATGTTTTAAACTTTTTCGAGAAGGTGATGTCTCATTTCTGTCTTTCAGAGAGGATGACGATTTATACGATGAGAGGACATCTTCGTTGAATGATTCCTCTCGAGAAGATCGAAAAAATGGAATTTTCATGAAATTGTTGTAGTAGAAAAGGCTATTGAGATGTTGGATATGAAACACCAAGAGAATGGACAGGGTTGAAAGTTGGCGTTTTTTTAGAGTTAGTTGTGTAGTTTCATCAATATGAAATGACATGTTCATTGGAAAAAAAGTTTGTTTTGAGAAGACGTGTCATTTGTCAGTATTGGTTTTGGCAAAATACATTCGTTCAATAAGGAATCTCACACAGAATGGAATAAAGATGAATTGGGCTCAGCACTTTGTCCACTTTTTGCGACGCCCCTCCTAATCACAACAATTTAATTTTGGCCACTTTCACAAATTGCCAATCCCTCTCGCAGATTTTTCTAAAAATTTGTGCGCATCTCAAAAAAAATGCATTAAACTGCTTGTGCTTGGTGGCCCTGGCCACTTTAAAACAAAATTCGCAACTTCTCATCAGTAGTGTAGTATTTGCTCCTTCGTGATCATTGTCTTCATCACAGCAACCTAGTAATTCTCATCTATAACCTGAACGACTTTTCTTGTACATCGACTCGATTCAATAATAGTAATAATAGTAATAATAATCATCAATCATCATGGCCAAAACATCAAACAAACGTGTCAACAACAAGAGCAAAAGTACAACAAAAAAGAAACAAGCAACCAAAAACAAGAAGCAAACAACCAACGTTCGTGATCTACAATGGCTTGCGTATGATGGTAGTAATTCTTCATCATATAGAGATGTTTATCAAATCATGCCTCAAGCAAATCCAGTTGGAAGAGAGCGTATTAGGATGGCTGCTTGTTTGGCAATGTTTGCTCATTCTGCTGCTTTCTTTCTTGGTCATTCTTTAGATCCCTATTACACCAAGAGATACCAACGAGGAATCAAACTCGGTTGTTTGAATCCTGATTACTTTGTAAGATATTTTGGCAACTCTTCAGCAAGATATATCACCAAGCATCAGGTTTTGAATTTTGATAATCATACTCGTAGGATTGAATGTATTGGGTTTGCCTTCGATAATTTTGAAGATATGCCAGGATTGAATTGTGGGAAAACTTATGCTTTAAGAGGATTTGTTGCTCAAAATCCAGTTCGCGTCTTCGATCATGATATCAATCAATATGTGACAATGCATTTTGATTTTCAATATCGAATGTATTTCACAAAACTCGTCTTCTATTGTAATACTGAATCATGGATGGTCACTGTTGATTTTGATTGGACAATTGAAAGATATAACGAAATGAATGATACATGGGATTCGGTTTAATTTATTGATCACTTTCTCCTTCAAATTTTAATGGCACTATATATTTAAATAAATCACATTGAAGTTTAGTAATATCAACATTTGCAAATAGTTTTTTGAATCGACTGTGCTTGAAAACATCTTCATTAAGAAGCAGCAAATACAAATTATGTGCTGTCATATGTCTTGTTTTGTTTGACCAGCCAAAAAAAGGTTGAAGATAAGATATTTGTGAAGGCGTTAATGTGATGGTAAAATTTACATGTTCAACCATCATCTCCGATTGTCGTTTTTTCAAATAATGAACAAAAGATCGAGGATTTGAAAATAAAATATCGGAAAGCTCGCTGTTGGGTATATATAAACTTTCGAAAAACGTATCATCATCTAATGGATCATCAGGATGAAAGTAATAAATTAATTTCAGATCATACAGGTCCATGTTGAGCGTCGATTTTTTTTGCCACGTATGCAGTCACTTAAAATATTTATCGAACTTCAGTTTGGACGCACAAAAAATGACCCAACAGTCCGCACCTGAATCATCATCAAAAAAACAACCATCAATAAAACAACGTCAAGCCATCAAACAGCCTCGGAAGCAAAATAAACCATCAACACGCAAACCATTATCTGGAGGAATTAAAAAGCCACACAGATACAAACCTGGTACAGTAGCACTACGAGAAATAAGAAAATTTCAAAAAAATACGGAATGTCTAATCCCAAAAACAAATTTCAGACGACTTGTTCGTCAAATAGCATCGGATTATAAGCAAGATTTAAGATTCCAACTCAACGCTTTGAATGCTTTACAAGAAGGAGCAGAAGATTTTCTTGTTAGGATTATGCAGAATAGCAATGAATTGGCAATACATGCCAAAAGAGTTACTATCCAACAAAAAGATATCATTCTTGTTCAAAAATTGTTCAGTTATTAAAAAATGAGTTCAAACATCACCACATTCACTAACGTCAATCATTCCGACGGTTTGATTGAAATAATTTTAGGTAAATCTGTTGAAACAATTATTGTCAACAACGATTTCTATTATCGTTTTCAAGATCTCAAACACAAATATGAATCTTATTCCAAGTATTCCAAAAATAACGATGTCGTTAAAATTGGACGAAAAGGGCTTACCTATGTGTGTTTGGAGATCGCTCTAGATATTATAACAAAAGAGGACAATTATCGGTCCCATTTAATTAACTATCTCACCCAACAACAATTACAACGATTCCAAAACAATTCAGAAACGATGCAACAAACATCACAAACAAGTACTTCTTTTTCCAACATTTCACAAGACATTCCTAATGCTCCATCTACATCCTCTCCAACAAAAAGAAAACAAACTCTGCAAGAATTGGATAAACAAAACAAAACAAACGCAACACCATCTCTCTCTATCGCGAAGCCAAAAGTGTTGACTAAACGATCACGCAATACAGAACATGATATTAAAGAAATAACTAAAAAAAAAAAGGAAAGTAAAAGGATAAGAGAACAAGAAATTGACACCTATTTAAATAGACTGATAGAACAATATGATAAAGAAAAGAAAGACATTGTGAAATCCAATATATCAAAAGTCAATCTAGTGGCTGCTTCAGAAACACGAGATATATATAAAAGTCAGTAAGCAAAGCAAAGGGAGACGAAGTACTAGTATGCAGAAAATTTTTTGAGCATAAAAATAAATAATAAATAATAAAGTCTAATGACAAAATATGCAGAAAATCCCTCAAACACCAATCCTTTTCAAAGGATGGATGTTTGGCGAGTTACAAACCCATTAGTTTTCCTCCAATTAATTCCAAACTCTTGTTGTTGTTTACAATGTAGAAACACAGAGGCAATTCTTTCTCTTGCACAAGCAATAAGTTCTTCCAATCACGTCTCCGATAACGAAAAAGAAACATTTAGAAAGCTAAAACAAATGTCGTTAAAACCAGTCTCTTTAACCAAACAACTGAAGGTAAAAGATGAACTATGTTGCTCCAACAAAGCTTGGAAAGAGCATATTTTTTCGTTGGGACTCAACGATATTCTTAAGGCGGATCTTAAAGACATAGAAGGACAAGTAACGAATGCCTTAGTTGAATATTTTGGAATACAACATGTATTAAAAGGATTTGTGATGAAACTGGAACCTGTGATCATTGCAGCTGTAAAAAGTCACCTGCATACCGTGTTTCTAAGAAAACAACAACAACGTCCTGTAAATGAAGAGTTACCTGATTCTTTGGTAATCAAGATGAGTATGGATGGAAGAAAATTTGACGGACTTCAGACGGTGGTTGTAACTCTTTCAGTTTTAAATCTTACAACATTTGGAACTCAAGAGCGAAGAAATGTTTTTCCTGTCGCAATGTATATTGGTAATGAACAGGAAATTATGGATTATTGTAAAAACTTTGCACAACAAGTCGAAAAGATTTCGAAAGATGGTATACAAATAACGAAAAAACAAGCAGACGCTTCGTTAAACAAAGAAAATTTCAACATGAAAGTGACTATAATATGGGTTAGCGATTTAAAATCTCTGTCTTACGTGAGCGATTTATTAGAAGGCAATATGTTTTGTTTGAGATGCGCATGCTTGAAATGTAATAGCTTAAATGGAACCTCCATGCCAAGGTTTTTAAATCACAAGTTTGGTATTGATTCATCCAAAATTTATATTTGCATTCTCCACGCAGAAGAACGTATTACGGAGCATTTGGTAAAATGGTCCCTTACAAAAGAAGAATATGAAAAATTAGTGCTTGAAAGAGTAAGAAAACTACCATGTTTTTCATCTTCCTTTACATTTCATTCGACCCAAGTTAAAAATACATCAGACGCAGAAGAAGATCCAGTATTAGAAAACGAGGACTATAAATTCATGTTGACTGGAGGAATGGTTGAAGTTATCTCACAGCATTACAAGACAATTTTTGAAAATGTTGTTACGGATGAAATGATGGAAATTTGGGATCAGTGGATTATTGTTCGTCAATGGCTTAAAATGACAAATGATGAGCGAGCAAAGAAAACAGAGGAAGAGCTTTTAGAATTTTATCAATTATTAACTAAATGGCATATCAACATTGTAGAACTACGATCAAGCGTTGGAGTGCTTCCGTATTACATACACATTATTGTGCATCATGTAAAAGAATTTTTCGATGAAATTGGTTCTCTGGTTCCTGTTTCCAATGAAGCAGTAGAAGGTTCTCATCAACATGACCATTTTATAACAGAAAGAGCAACAGCAAAAGGTAAAAAGAAATACTTTTTCGATGAATATGTGAAAGATAGTAATACTGTGTGGAACGAGATGAGTATTTATACAGAGCCAGACTTGTCTATTGATGAGTTTAACAATATATTTAAATATGAAAAACATATTCCAAGAAAAGAAGACAAAAGAGAATGGAATCAATTGTTCCAAATTTTCCAACTGATTGTGAAAAAACTTAGAGTATTATTTCTCTCTTTCAGGTCTGATGAAGATACTACATTTGAAAGAATAGAAGAAAGAAGTGGTGACAAGGTTAAGGAGAGATGGAATAGCTTCAATGATCTGAAAATCAAGGATCGAGTAATAATTGAAAGTGATCAATCAACTGCTACTAATTTACAGTCTTCTCGTTCAGAATTAGAGAAATCTAAGCTGGATCTTTATTTACAGACAAATGTTCAACAGGAAGAAATGTTTCAGGACGAAATGAGTGATTTTGAAGATGATGATGGAGATGAAGAGATGACAAATAATGAACAGCTATTCGATGAACTAAGTGATTATGAAGACGGTGATGAAGAGATGGAGTTTGGAGAGGAAACTAGTATTCCTGACGACATAGTGGATTTTATTTTTTGACCGTCTAATTTGAAAAGGTAGAGAGTTGAGAAAATTTGCTGTTGAGCTTTGGAAATTCGACGGTCAAAATAAAGAGCCGGTTTTAATGAACGTTCAAAATTTAAAAATAAAAAAATATTTTTAAAACCTTGGAAATTCCACTTCCAAATTCTGGAAGCGCATGAATTGGCAATTTCGGGTCCTAAATTGTTGTGATTTGATCAATACTTTGTGCCCCACCAATTGATTTTTTTCGGTCACTTTCACAAGACATCATTTATTCATTCCATTCAATTTGAATATAAGGAAATGCCTTGTATTGAGTAAACAAGTCATTGAAAGAGTGATGATTAGAACCATTCTCTTTGAGATGATATTCTTGTTGTCTGTCTTGTCGTTTTTGTAATTCTTGAATGTTCCTTTCAATCACTTGTTGTTCAATTCCAATGCTTGACAAAAAGTTTTTCAATTTTTCATAATTCTTGTCCAATCCTTCTGTTTCCTCTAACCATTCTTGACACATTTCTTGAAAAAGACCATCCACTTGCATGTCACTGAAAAACTTTAAATTATGTTTGATAATGTCATTGGTAGATTCATTGTTTGAACAAGGATTGAATACAAGGGGAATACCACTCATTGGATCTGTGAAGAGAATGGCGGAAGGATCTTTTAAATTCGAAATCATTGGTGGATTTGAGGAGTGTTGATGAATGTGTTGGCGTTGAAACGAAATGTAAGAGTTGGAGAGTAGATAGGAAGAATTGAAGTTGTTGCAACAGTGACCGCTTGAATTGAAGAGTTGAATCAAATGTTTCAATCTTTGTCTTGTAAGCATTTTCTTTGAGTTTTTTCAACAACAAATTCCAGTAGCAGTAACTCTCAAAAAAGAAAATTTCCAAATCTAGAGTGTTACCGAATCATCAAGTTTACTACTGTTTTTACTTGTAGGATATAAGGGTTAATTACTTCTTTATCAAAAGGTAAGGCAGAGGAATTATCAAGTTGGTGAATGAAACCGTTAGTATCGTGGTTGTTAAAAATTCAACACATCCTCCCTTGCCTGAAATTGGACCAATGGAAACTGCTACGATTTGTGTTAAAAAGAACAGAGTTCAATATTTTGGCATTTGAATGACCCAGATCTCATACAAACACAGTTTCTGCCGAGTATTAAAAATCAAAAAAATGAAAAAACGAATCAATTTGCAACGATTCAAAGACACCATCGGTTTGGCTTCACCTTCTACATCAGCAGCAGAAAACGAAGCTGCCATCATTGCTGGAGAACAATCTTCAAACCACTCGACAACAACAATGACATCTTCAAATCGACGATTCATTCATTCTCAGCAAGTTTCGGATTTTCCTTCGGAGGATGATGATCAGATTTCATCATCGTCTCTCACTGCAAGTCCTCCAATTTTAAATTATCAAGTTGGAAACAATGGATTACCAACCAATTATAATGCTGAATATTTTCGAAGAACAACAACTTTCGGTGATGATTCTAATTCTCCGTTTGGAGAATATTACAGCAGCTCGAATAGTCCATCACCATCATCAGCTCAACATCGTCGTTTGACTGAAGATTTTCAAAAAGTGAAAAAGCCATTGATCAAGAAAAAAAAGAAAAATCCATTTTCGAGTGGAGTGTCTGCAGAAGTGATTGCCAATGGAATTCGTGCATTGAATGATGTTCTTGATGATGACGAAGAAGAAGTAGATGAAGAGATTGAATTTATAAACCCTCTGTTTAAACATGCCAACATGGATCAGGTCGATCCTAATCGAAGTAGTGAATGTGAGGTCATTCCAATAACTTCACAACAGTCCACATTATCACAATCTCTGTTAGAAATTAAAACAAAATTAGAAAAAGATTTGGAAACAGAATACATTTCAAAGAAAACTACTTTGGAAAATGAATTACAAATGACTCTTGAGCAAGAAAAAAATTTAGATCAAGACTGTAAAATACTTAAAGAAGAGATTGAAACACTCACATCCAAGCTTCACACCGAAAAAGGAAAATGGGCAGAAACGACTCTTCATAGAATCAAGTTGGAAAAGTCAACAAAACCTGTCACTCTCAATGCAGGAGGAAAACGAATGAAAGTCTCACTTTCAGTACTGATGGACACTACACGAGATCCAAATTCAGTTTTAGCAAAAATGTTCAATGGAGAATTTCCACTTCGAATGGGTAGTGATGGTTCATATTTTATTGATTGTGAAGAGAGTATGTTCAAACTCGTCTTGCATTGGCTTCGATATGGAAAGATGAATATTGATTGTGAAGTGACCAAAGAAAGATTAAGCCATGTGGCTGAATATTTTGGGCTTGATCGATTGAAGGCCATCTTGAAAGATGAAATTTATATTGCAAATTGTGATTCTAACTCTTCAGAATTACGAATTGATACAGACTCAAATATTTCTCAAGCTGAGTTTTCTCATCTTGTAAGCGTATCAAAGTATCAGAAGAAACCGTTGGTGATAACCAAAACTGATTTAACACAGCTTCAATTTGACAACATGACATTTACTGATGCAGAAATAGTAGATTGTAATTTATCTGGTATGGACATACGAGGTACTCACTTCAAAGGTTGCTCCTTTAAATCGTGTGACTTTACATTAACCAAATTCAAGTCATGTAATTTTGCAAGTTGTGACTTCTCTCAATCCAATTTCTCACAAGCAGAATTTTCAAATTCAACCCTTTCACATGCTAAACTCACAAGATGTCGCATCAACAAGGCCACATTCAAAAACACAAAATTTGATGGTACAGATCTGACGCAGGTCGCTCTCTCGAGTGGATATATAATTAATCAATGCTCTTTTTCAGGTTCAATATTTAACGAAGAAACGCTTCGACATGCTTCCAGTTTAAAAGGGAACAATTTCTCCAAATGCTCTCTCATTGGATTTAATTTATCAAATTTAGATTTTTCTGAATGCGATTTTTCACATGCCAACCTTTCAAACTGCAATTTCAACAAGACCAAATTATCTCAATGCAATTTAAGTCATGCCAATCTAACTTATTGTAAATTAGAAGGATGCTCCTTGAAAAAATCCAATCTCACTTCTACCGTACTTTTTGGATGTGATTTAAAGACTGTGTCTTATGATGGATTCAACATTTCTGGATGTAAACTTAATGGAGCCCTTTTTGACATTCATACGTTCCATGCTTCAGAAAGTGTGACAGGAATTGATTTTCGGGGATGTAATTTGGATGGATTTGATTTCTCTGACCTCGATCTCTCAAATTCATATTTTGAAGAAACCAAACTTGATGACACCAATTTCATGAACTGTACTTTGACGAATAGCACCTTTTTGAACTGCGATCTCAGAAATGCAAACTTACATCATGCCAATATTACATTTTGCAATTTTAATAAGTGTAAAAATTCACCATTGAGTTATTGAGATTTCACAAATTGGTGTGAACCTTGTTGTACAACAGATCTTGCACTGATCACAAGAACAATGACAATTTTTTTCTAATGTTTTGCTCTTAACTCAAATTTGTTCTTCAGAGAACTTAATTCTTTTTATGACTTGTTCATGAACGTTGACAAATGCATTTGAGGAACTGTCACTGCAAATACGAAACGAACCATGTTAGTGATTGACATTTTAGGACCGTCTTGTCGCATTTCGTTTGGGTATATTTTGAAAGCTCGGTCCCTGAACGTTTTGTTCATCCTAATGATGGAGCATGGTTGGAAACAATGAATTCTTTAATTTCACTTGGTAGAGCAACGATGTCAATGAACTCATTCACCTTAACCAAAACCTTCTTTTCATGAATCAAGGAAAAAGACCTTCCCAAAACGATGAGATTTTTTCATCAGGGTGGAAATGTCTCGACAAAAATGCTCGAAATCAACAATGTGTCACCTGTCAGTCGTGCTAAACTCCAGCACGTTTTTGTCAAAATTTCTCTCTTTCCGCACAACCAAACAGAAAAAATATATTGTCATCTCGAACACTGCCTTAACAATGCTGTCAGAGCCCTCTGCCACCCATCTCATCACAAACAACACCAACGAACATCCTTCCCTGAATCCAAATATCAAATCTCATCATATCAAAAACACTCTCAGTATCGATCCTAATAACATTCAATCACCCCAATTAGACCTTTCCTATCTATTAGAAGACAATGATGATGATGGAGATGATGGTCTTGAAGGCATGCATCAACACGGAACCACTGACTTGACAGAATTACAACAACAACAACAAACATCATCCAATTTTGCCACTTCTCTTCCTTCCCATTTAAATTCTTCTCTGAATTCAAGTTCATCATCATCAACCCCAACCTCTCCCTATGTCTCCATTGGAACCACACATGTCGTCAATAATAATCATCATCATCAACGAAGAGCACCACAAACGTCAACAACAATATTGAGCACCACTGATGTCACTCCAACATTATTGAGTCCAAATCTCGGAATGAACCATTCCAGCAGTTCATCTTTATCGGCTGATTCTAGTTCGGGAAAGCTTTCTTTGAATTCAGGTCAGCTTCATGCTCCACATTTGGCAGCTTCTTCTTCACTCGGAGGAATGACTACTACTAGTAGTTATTCTTCTTCTTCTGCAACAATTATGGAAAATAATTCCAACGTCACGACACAACAAAAAAATCAAAATCGACAATCAGGAAATTTTGATCCTCTCAATTATATGGTCATTTATGAAGAAGCAATTAAGGATAAAGAATTGAGAAGAGTGTTTTGTGAATTTTTGAAAAAGTGTCATGTGGAAGAACCAATTTTATTTATGAACATGTTTGATCAATACAAGGCAGATTTTGAAAAGAGTTTGAAAGAGTTGGGAGGATGGATAGGAGTGGTTCCACAAACACCAGTGACATCGAGATCTTCACTCGCTTCTCAAAATGCGCTTCTTGTTTCGACTGCTTTGGAAGTCTTTTCCAGAAATAGTATTAGTGAAAGAAGTGACAACTTGGGTGATGTGGCCTTGTCTCCAACTTCGATGAATAATGCGTTTGATATGATGGCAACTGCTTTGCAACTGTCAAATGCCACCTTACAATCATCACCATTGTACGGATTGACTGTGAAAAACATGAATAACATCAAACAAATGAAGAAACATATCAAACACTTGTTTGAACATTGCAAGAATTTGGTGCAGAATTTCCTTACCGTTGGATGTGACAAGGAATTGAATTTAGGAGCTACTCAAAAGCAAATTTTAGATCGATGGGAACTTTTATGTGAAAATTATGATCTCCTTTCGAACGTTGATGGATTTAGTGACGTGTCGAGTAATTCAGATGCTTCTGTTTCCAGTGCTGTTTCAAGTCCATCGACAGCATCTGCTGGTTCCTACTTGAGCTACTCAAAAGTTGGTTGCTTACCAGCATTTCTGAACACAATTTTGTTACAACTTGAGCCAGAATATATTTTTGGACAAGTTCTCTTCTCAGTGAACCTAGATTTAAAATTAGATCAATTCCCTAGATTTGTTCGTTCTGACATGTTGTACAAGTTCTTAAAAGAAAAAGGTGTCAAATACACACGAACTGTTGCTGTGGACATTTCAAAGGGATACAAAGTAGATTTGAGATTTAAGCCACAAGATTTGAAAAATAAGATTATTACAGATGATTACATTTATTTTGGATTCACCCTCGCAGAAGATACACCCGATTGGCAATGTATCTTGAATAAGGACAAGCCATATCTTACTCAAGCTTACATTTCAAAAACATCTTATTCCTTTGATGAAAGTTTAAAGGGCATGAAATTAGCGAAAATAGTAGTTCACATACCTCATCCTCTCGAAGTGATTTGGGGATGTTATTGCAATGCTGATTTTTCCAAGAAATTTGACAAGATGGCCAATACCAAACATGAAATGTACAAATTTGTTCCAGGATGTCGACAACCAACAGGAGTTGGCTCGAGTCAATGTCCCTATAATCCAGACAAACCACCTTTTTCTCTGCAATTTGCTTCGAATAGCTTGAATTTATTACCACTTCTTAAAAAGAGACAAGTTCCATATGTTTATACTGCGATCAAAGATCCTATTGGAATGTACATGTTTTTGGCTCACTCTGCTGAATTTGAGGAACAAGAAATTCCACATCACAAAGGAGAAGTTCAAGGAAAGGGCCTCTTTTATTACATGTTTTATAAGGTCAATGAAAATTTAACACGAATTGTGCATGTCGTGTACAGTGACATGATGCTTCCATTTAACCCAGAGCTAATGTTAAAAATGATTTTTAAGAAGCGTGCGAAAGAACATTATACTGGTTTTGAGAGAATTCTGAACGAATTATCCGAGAATGGTACGAAACCTGTTGACACTTCAAAGTTTGTGGATGGACAGAACACGAAAAAGTGTTGCGAAGACAATTGTAAACTATATCCAGGAAGATCGTGGTTTTATGAGTGGAGTTCTTTACGACCAAACTACGAGTATAATTAAACCGTTTTTCAAGACATTTATGTTTTATGAAAAATAAATAGTGATCATAATCTTAAAATTCCTGTTTCAATTTACAGATCCGAGCTTCCTTGTTTTGTAATTGGGAACTGAAATGTGCAAGTCTCTAACATTATATTCAATATTTTTGATACTGTTATCTTCAAACGATCCCTTTACACCAAAGAAAGATTGACTTTTCAGACCTGATTTAGTTGAATAATCAATGACGGTAAGACCTTGTGTGTTTCCTGAAATACAGAAACTTCTATCAAATGCTTTTAACAGCTTGAAGTCTATCTTTCCTTCCTCTGTGCTGAAATACTTCAAAGATTCAAGCCAGTAACAAAATAAGTCGATGCTTGCTCTGTCTGCAAACTCAATTTCTTTTCTTCCATAAAACTCCTTGTACTTTTCTGCTTTTGGATTTGAGTTCATGAATTGTTGAAGAGTATATGAATAGTAATATTTTCTCTTCGTAGTGCCGCTTTTTAAATCTTCGAAATACTTGTCAAACGAACCTCCAGAAGGTTTGTTAATGCCAAGGGAGTCTAAAATATCTTTCACAAAGTGCTGACAATTACAACTCATTTGGTGATACGTCTTGGTTGCGTTATAAATACAACAAATTTTAGCAATGCTTTCGAATGCATCCTTGATTTGATCTACTTGGTTCAAGTATCCTAAATCAATTACAGAAATTGAGTTTGATGCATTCATATTCGTCTTCACAGATACAATGGAGTTGTTGTACCAATCAAATTTCCATTCTCCAATTATGATCCCTGTATGTAAAATTCCAAATTCTGTATCTACAGCATTAGCAATAAGCTTTCTTGCTAATTTATGCACCGTGTTCCCTCCCAACTCTGAAATGACCAATTTGATAGCAATAAAGGGAGCATTTCTCGTATCTTTTCGTTTCTTGTTTGATAAAATTGGTTTTCCAAATGTTTTGTACATGAATCTATCTCTGCACACAGAATTTTGAGCATCCGCATCATAATTACCAGTGTATCCCACATCTGTTAGTTTAATCGACCATGATTTTTCGAATTCTTGTAGCTTTTTCTTAAACTCTGTAACCCCTTTTTTCTCCCAATCTGTTAAACTCGAATCAGGAAATACATCATCGTTCTTAAAATTGGAGTTTTCAACGATAGGGCCAGAGGTGCTTGCATCACTGACTAAAGAAACGGACTGAGGCATGATTGTTGCTCTATGTTTCTCATAAGTCGTTTCACTAGTGGTTACAAGATCCTGTGATTGTTGAATGTCTTGTTTAATTTTCTCTAATATGACCTCCTCTAAGAACGCATTTGCGACTGTTTTGGGAATTTTCAATTTGGTGGATAAGGAATTGATCAAATTTTCCTTCTCTTGTCTCTCTTTTTCTTTATCAACTACAGCCACCGCCTTTGCCAGTTCGGTAAATTCATACCCCTGCACATCATGAGTCTTGATCTTCTGGTCCATTGAATGCTCCGTGAGTTCAGAAAATTTGTAATGCTTCATCGTTGCAATCAAGTCTTGTGCCGAACACTTGTTCAGAGGTTTTGTTGTCCATTGATCCGAGGACACTGGACTTAAAACAAAATCAGAAGATGGAAGCCAGTATGATTGACCCATTTTTTTTTCTATTCTTATCCACCAAACATTACTCGAACACGTTTCGTGATTGTCTTCTATTGAACGGCTGTCGAAGGAAATCACCCGTTCGAATTCGAATATCAAAGCAACCAATTTAATTAAAGAAGCAAATTATTCTCATTGGTCTGAAAAGTCGGTCGAATGTTGTGATTTCGATGAAGTTCATTTTGGGGATCGTACTTGTTTTTAAGTTGAACAAGTCTTGCATAATTTTCTCCATAAAATCCTTCAGTATTTTTCGTTTGATGAGCTGTGTTAATATAGCCATTAATGTTACAAGAGTGTTTGGAAATTCTGTCAAAGAATTCTTGTTGAGCCCAATTTCTGAACAAGGAAATATCGAGACTGCTGTCTTCCCATGAACAAATGGAATGAATTTCATATAAAGCATCCCGTTGATAATATGCAGTATCAGTTGGGTGGACTTTTGAAATGGCTCCTCCCAAATGCATGACTTCGATGGTAGATGCATTTGGTCCTTTCTTGATCGCAGTTAATAAAGCTTGTTGTGTCTCCTCTGAGATTGATGTGTTAAAAAATAATGATTTCCAATAATAATGCTTTCCATGCTTATTTCCAATGTCAAACATGCTTTGAAGACATGTATAATTGTCAGTGAATGAAGTATAAATTGGATTAAAAGTAAATAATTTTTCAATTACTTTGTTCTTGTAAAATTCACACCTTTCTTCAGTGTCAATATTTTCCGTAATGTCACCTTCGTGATAGAGCGTCATCACTAAAACTTGTGTTGGTAACAAGAATAAATACAAGGTAATATTATCAGGGAGTGGATGAGGATTGTTGATAGGATTTGTCATTGAAAAATAGGTTTTCACAATTTCATGAGCATCTTCGATTGGATACACAAAAACTCCATGGTCCAATTTGGAAACCTTATATAATTTAAAAGTAAATGATGATACAATTCCAAAATTTCCTCCACCTCCTCGTAGCCCAAATAATAGATCAGAATTTTCCTCTTCAGTGACATTGCAAAACGATCCGTCTAATAACACAATACGAGCTCCTATCAATGAATCACATGTTAAACCATAAGCTCGGGATAGCCATCCAATACCACCGCCAAGACACAATCCACCCACTCCCGTATGGCTTACCATGCCTCCAGGTACAAACATGTGATAAGGATCGCATGCTTCGTCAACATGGCCCCATAAAGTTCCTCCACCAACAGTGACAGTTTTGAGTTCGGAATTTACAGTGACACACTTCATCAGGGACAAATCAATCAAAAGGCCACCATCACTGGCTGAAAATCCGCTCACTGAATGTCCACCTTTATGAATCAATCGTTTGAATTTCAAGATGACAAATTCATCTCACCAATATTACACTCACCTCCTCTGACCGATATTTCCAATTGATGAGTCTTTGCAAATTCCAAAGCATCTACAATATCATTTTCATTCTCACACTGCACAATGTATTTTGGATGTAAATTAATGCCTCCGTTCCAAACGTTCCGAAGACGATGGTATTCCTCAGGATTGTTGGTGGAATCTATGAACTGGAGCGGAGGCATTTTTTTGAAAAGATTCCACTTCAAAATTTGCCACTTAAATATAATTTGTGACGGTCTCCTTTAAAATGTACTTGAATTCGTCGGCCACAACTTCCTTTAAATGATGTGATAAGTATTTCTTTTCGAATTCTTTGGTGATGAATCTATATTCGAAGGTGTTATTTTCTGAGACTGACGTTTCGCTGGACAGTGATGCTGAATTTGGCATTGGTAAGATGTGTGTATCTTGTTTCCATGAAAACAAACATGTTCCAGTTGATTCTTCGTAGGGATTTAGTTCTATTAATTTGATGAACTCACCAGAAGATGCAGAACAGTCCTTTGCATGTACTCCTAATTTGATGCTGTCGAAAAAACTTGGGTAAATGACAAAATCTGCCACGTAGGTAGTGAAAAAATCCTTAAAGTAATGTTCTTGCAAATACTCGGTCGTATTGTGTATGAGCGTTCTAATTTCATTTTGATACTTCTCTAACTCTTCTACATAAATCACATGGTTATATTGACTACATGCTCTCAATTTAGAATTCACGACAAATGTTCTAAATTCAAATCTAATATCGATGGAAGGATCCCATTCGCGAAGAGCAATCCTGTTCTTTGTTGGAGACGAATCGTTCCAAAAATCAACATAAGTTTCAATTAAGTCTTGATATACTCTTGTTGAACGCAGCATTAATTCTAACACGTCATTTGAAGAGCTGATTTGTAACAATTTTGTAGCAGCTCGGGTGAACGATACAATTCTGTTTGAATTGTTATTCCTGTCCGATTCAATGGGGAAGTATTCTTTCAAATCTTTCTCAAATAAATCATCCACGTTCTTGTCATTCATTCGTGTCACATCTTTTGGAGATCTTGAAGATAATTTGAAAAAAAGAGGATTTCTTACTTCCTCCTTTTGTCCTTTCCATAATCTACAGTCATCGATTTTCTGCTGTAGTTTTTGAATAGAAAGGTCTTTTTTCATGGAATCAATTAATTGAATGACAAATTCTTTTTCGGAATGGAGTTCTCTATCCTTTTCATGTTTGCCTGAATTTTGATGAAAAAATTCAAATTTTTCATGATACTTGATGAATACCAAGGCAACATCTTTTTCAATATCAATAAATTCAGTATCAAAAGTCATTTGCGAGGGAATCAGAGGAACCCATTGATCCAGCTGAGCAAGAATTTGATTTTGTCGGTATTGAGAGAGTTTTTCCTTTTCAAGCTGAAACCACGATTTACCTGATGAAAAACACTTTTTGTAATCGAGTCCACTTTTTTCAGAAGGTTTTTCCACGTGTTTTAACTTGATGTTTGTGATTTCATTCGGATTGATCATTTTTTTTCGTGTAAAAGTTCATGACCTCCACTGCAAAGTTCTAAATTGAGCTCACGAGCACCTCAAGTTCTCCAGAGATACCAACAAGCAGGAACATGGAACTTAGACTTTTTTGTTTTTGTGATCTGTAAGTCAATTCATTGAGGAATACAACTCTGGAGCAACGTTTGTTCATTTCTGTGTGGGATATTAGTAAAAAAGAAAGTGAAAGCAGTGAATACTCTTTCGTTTTTATTTGTGAACGAAAGTTTAAGAATCATTGAAACAGTTAAACTGACTTGGATTGACTTTTGGCTGCCTCACTCATGGTTACCTTGTTGGATCCAATCAAAGAACGAGAGAGACGAATCCTTGCCCTGCTCCTAAAACAACCTGCAAGATCACTCATGTTCACATTTTCACCTTGAAAAAATGTTCCCAAAGCCTCTCTTCCATGTTGTGTGGCAAAAGCACTTCAATTCACTCCTGACAAGATGTAAAAAGGGCACACCCTTTTCATACTCTCTCCTCAAGAACCTGGTCACCTCTACTCAAACAAGGTCATTCAGTAAGCACTCAACTCGCTTTAAAGACCAACCACCCAAAGTTACGACCACTACCTCTTCGGCAGAGTTCACAATCGAATCCACCTCATTACCACACACCATTTGTAGTCAGTGTGGAAGAGCCACTTCTTTTTCAAATGAAAAAACTCAACAACAACTTCAAGAGTCATCCACCCCGTCCTTCACTGACGCTACAGTGTTAGCCAAATATTTGGGAAGAAAAGCAGCGAGAGAGCTTGTCATGAATGAGCCAGATAAACAACGACGATTTTATTTGAAATTGGCATCCTTGTTAGTTTGTGGATCTTTATGTGCGTATGCAATGATGTTCTATCCAGACCGAATGTTGTTTGTGATTGGAACCTTCGTCTTGGTGGCAATGTCTTTTGGTGCATAACAATCAAAAACAAATTCCGACTTGTAAATAAATTGAGTCTATTTCACTTCCTCTAATTGAATAATGATGAATTTTATTAGTATCCAGCTTCCCAAACCCTATCAGAAAACCCTTCTACTTTAGTTCCGAGTTCTTTCAAACATCAAACGGGAAAAGATGAATGTTCCCTCAAAACAAAAGCAGTATGCCTGTCGTTTCACTTTATTCATGAGTGTAGTGTAAAACACCTTCGACCTACTAAACTCCTCGTAGCCACTATTGATTTTTGAAACGCTTCCCGCCAACCCAAATAGCTGTTACTAAGTGGAAAAATGCGTGTTCACCCTTAAAAAAAATGTCCAGCTCCAATCCTTCAGCGGAACCTGCTTTGCAGCCTTCCACTCCTTTTGGACAGTTTATAAAACATAACCTCCACCAAGAGATGTTCTGCGAAACCAACAACCGCTTCACTGTGAAAGAAGTTCTAACACAGCAGGAGAAAACACAAGGAAAAAGAGTGGTTGTGGAAACTGCTCTCATTACAGAAATAGACAAGAAAAGAAGAAAGGTTCCTGGTTGTGATAAAGAGTTTGACGAACTAGCATTGATGTACCAAAAGGAGCTCGTTGAAGCGAAAGAAGTTGATCTACAGGACATTTCTGATAAGGCTGATGATTATTTTCGTTTCCACATGGAAGAGATGAAAAAGGAGATGGATGAGAAGATTTGTAGTATGAAGAAAGAGTGTGAGGACATGATCCGTAGTTTTAATAAAGAGTTTGAGATCAAGATTAGTGCTATTAAGCAACATTGTGATGAGATGATCAGGACAAATAAACAAGAGTTTGATGAGATGATTAGGAGCATGAAGAAAGAGTGTGATGAGATGATCAGGACAAATAAGCAAGAGATTGATAAGAAGATCAACGTTTTGGAACACATGCAACAAAACCATGCCAATGAACTCCAAGAACTGAAGTCAGATATGGGCCGTATGAAAGAGGAATTACACACTGTGGAAGGATGGTGTGGTTGCTTCTATTTAGGTGCAGGGAGACTGTCGTCACTTCGTCATGGAAAAATTGTGTCCGATTTGCTGCAGAAAGATTTCGACAACGTCCTGCCAAGTGTTTTAGGGACCAAACCTAATGCGTTGGATGTATCTCAGTGTTTCCAGATTAACGTTTGTACGGAAAACAATGCAGATGAGGTGAGAGGTAACGTGTTGAACGAACTTAAAACCAGGTTAGCTCCACTTCGAGATCATTTAATCAAGAGAAAAGAATAATAATCTTTTCTGTAAATAACGATTGTATTCTGCTCTAAATTTCGTTAAGACTGTTTGGTCGGTATTAATGGCTAATTTAGCTCTCTTATGAACGTTCCGTGAACCTCTACACTTAGTGTCAGTGCTCTTTGCATCTCCTTTTTGGGACTTCGAGCCATTGCAATCGGCACTAATGTGTAAGGTGTAAGGTGCTAAAGTGTATGTCCTCGAACCTCTACAGTATTTTGATTGTTTTAAATTCCATGTTGTTGAAAGAGTTGTTGTTGCTGCACAGCATCTATTTTTAAAAAAATTAAAATGGAGCAACAAACCAAAAGCCATCAAAAAGAAGAAAATCATTTAAATTCGGATAAACAACCAAGAGAGGCCATAATGCAGAAAATGCGAAATGAAGGGAGATTGATAACAGTACAATTATCACCAGAAGAAATAGAGGAGTATGATGAAATGTATCTATGATCCAATATCAAAGCAATAAGAACCAAGCTTTAGCCTCGGCATCGAATATTCCCCTTGTAGGGTTCTCCTTACATTTGGAATGTCAAACCTGATGTGAAATAAAGCTGCAACTAGTGTGTTCTGAATTAATTAATAATGGGAGAATGTCCCAAATCGACCTCACCTTATTGGAGGTGTTGGATTGGAAAATTCTCAAAAACATTCCAATAGCACTTCTCGATTGGTACGTTCATCGACAATCGTGAGTCTCAACCATCCATCTTTTAAATTCCCTCTGGTTTCACGACTCAAAATTCGTGAAATGAATGACGATCTCAAATATCGACTTCGATCACTAAAAGTACTGAACTCTCTCAAAATTACTACCTCGACTCATACAGAACCAATTACTGTCTTTTACCTTATATTTGAAATTGAATGTCGCTTTTGAAAAGAAAGTTAAGGAATTGAGCTCTTATATAAAACAATTGATAGAAATAGAGCTCATTCATCGTTCACATCCATAGAATTATCGATACTACAATGAAGCCCTTTTTCCAATTCCTTTGAATGACATCAGAGCCCTCAAAATTTTTTGAATAAAATTCACTGGTTGACGGTATCATGTCAGTAATGATAGAATCAATTAAAGAGGAATAACCACTCCAAGCACTGCCGCGGCTCCCGCTCCAATAAATACTACAATTGGAGGATAACAATCAAGCCAATTTAGAAGAGAAAAGGTCAAAAAAGATACGGCCCCCAATGGAACACTGGTACCCACCACAGAGATCCACAAAATCACAATATTGTTAATGAGATAACCCACACAAACAGCATTAATTCCAACCATTGCTTTTTGTACAATAGGTTTGCTCCTCAGTGCTCCCCATAATGGAACAACTCCTAATAGTAAAATAAATCCAGGTAAATGAAAGGCAATGCCAGCAAGCATACCGTAGAATATTGGTAAGAAATATCGTGTAAAGGTAGAATATTCAGTGGTTGTTGTTGTTGTTGTTGCAGTCAAAGACATGGTATCTTTTTGATCCAAGTTCTTTGATAATAACGACTGCTGTTGTTTCAAAATCATGGAGTCTACTGCAGTAGAATTATTGGAAGGAATTTGTGTGGAATTATTTCCAACAGCAGCATTCAGAAAATTACCTGCAATTATGGCACCAAAGTAAAATCCTAAACTAAAACGTGGACCTGGAGCAGCGTTGGTTAAGCTGTAACCGTTGATAAACTGTTCGTCGGTCACCCATTCTCGTTCGATCATTTCATCTCTGATGATGACCACGTTCACAACACCTCCACTGTAAATTAAGGAGCCACAACGATAAAAGAATGAGGTCATGATGATCCATTCGGTCCATACATTGATCTTTCTCACTTGATTGGTTGGTGTAGCATCAGAGGAGCCATTTTGATAGAGAACATGTGAAACTGTCGGTGGTACTAAGCTTGTTGTAGTTGCGCTCATGGTAGATCCTGTTGGAATACTCTCTACAATGAATGAGCTTGTCATAAATACTGCCAACATCACAAAATAGAGCACAACCAGAGAAATGCCAACTTTGTACGACGCGAAATGTTTGAAAGGATGTTTTCCATCATCACTAGTGTCTTGCTGTGGAGTGATGCTTGAATTCACACCCTCAATATGTTCATCTTCAAGCTCTGCTCGTTTTTGTTTCATTTCTCTTGAATACTTGGGAATAAACGTTTTGGAAAGCAGTAAAATAAATTCTAATTGATTTCGCCATGATAACTTGTTAAACTGTTTTTCTTTCACATTTAACATTTCATAGAGTGCAAAATGTGAAATTCTGTTTGAAAGTCTATCCTTAATTTCGGAATAAATTATTGAAAGAACAGATCCTATAGCTAATAAAACAGGTAGAAGCCAATTTCTTCGGTACAACATTGAAATGATGGCAACTATTGTCAAAATTATATACGGAAACAATTCGTTTGATTCTCCTTTGGCATCATTGTTCTTCTTTCCTTTTTTCTTGTCTGGACTTTCGAGTAGAGAAGAAAATCTTGCTACGGACTGAAGAGCAAATGCAATACCGCTGCAAGCTAAACCTTTTTGTGCATGAACGAACCACAGAGGAGCTGTCTTGCTGTCGTAATCATACATAAACAGTCCCATGGCAAGACACAAAATAAATCCAGGTATCGAGAAGAATAAATAAGACAACATTCCTCCAATCATTCCATATTTTGGTATTGCTAAGAACAGTTCATGCATTGTCGTAGCGTGTTGAATTTTCAGATTTAAAATATAATGTTCGTCTACTACTTGAACCTACCAACACCCATAGCTAAATCCTCATCAGGTAAATATTCCTCAATATTTCTCACACATCATCCATTGTTGAACATACCAATTTGTGATGGTTTAGCTCCTGGCACTAAATGTGACATACTATAGACTTCCATAAATTCTTCAATACTCAACCAATTCGTTTTTTTACTGCAAACTCTATTCATTACATTCGCCACACCTCCTCTAAATGATGTTGCTCCAACTATGGTCATATTCCATGCCACATCTTTTAACATGTTCCATTTGCTAATACGTTCTCGAGCATGGCCATGTTGTGATCCTTCTGATTCTTCTTCTTCGCCCCGATAGCCATCATCATCATGTAACATAATCTCATGAGATTCATCATCATCATTCGTTTTTTCTTTGGAATCCAACAAGGACGGCGGCGATGATGAACTCATGAAATTCTGTCCCAAAGATTGCTGATTCTCATCTTCTTTGTTGAAAGAGGTGGTTATTATCAATTCCGAATCGGTGCCATCGCCATTCTGCTGTTGCAATGAGTGATGGTGTGGTTGTTGTTGAGAAGAATTGTGTGATGAAGGAAAGAAGGACATTTTTTCTTTAGTGAGACGAACAAAAATTTGAACAAATCATTATAATAATTGGTATTTTGATTTGATAACCAATCATGTAAGGTTGAACGGATTGACTTTGCATCTCAATGGAGTGCGTGTTTGAAGTTTAATTACAAATGTCTAATAGGACAAAAAACAATGCGTTGTGTCTCATCCCCTTAGTTGTTTTCAACTTTCGTTCAATACGAATGAAATGATTTTTGATTGATTCAAACCAGACGCTTGATTGGTTTCTTTTCGAAAGTTGAAAACAAAGAACAAATCTGCATCGTGAACCTCAACTCCAATCTGATTTCCCTCTCGAGACACTGTGATTGGCCTGTGCGTAATACCGACCCAGAAGCCAGTTCTCTTTGATTTTGGTAATAATTGACGTTCTTTTTGTCCTCTCAAAAAAAACTCCTAATGACAACAAGCACAAACAGGTCAAAGCACACAGTAGCCAGTGGTGAAGATTCTTGTGAGACTCTCAGTACGCTCCATGTCAGTAGTGAACGAGAAGGAGAAATAGTACGGCACTTCATAAAGAGTCCACAAGTAGTAGAAACAATGTCAAGACTTTGTTCATCATGGTTATCTCTAAAAATTCGAATCGATATTACTACAACAACAAGAAGGACTGACTCGATGCTCTCTCAAATCAAAACAACTTTTGCCATCGTAATGATGATCATGATGTTTGTACTATTTTCCTCGCACCACACAATCGTGCATGCAGAATTGACGTCCCTCTCCATAGAGACAATTTCCATTGACGAATTGATGAAAATTACTGAAAAGGTTTTCAAAGAATCACCATCGTCTACCATCATGCCCTTTCATCTCATTCATATTCATTCTCCTCAACTGGCTCTCGTTCCAAAATTATTTAACACATACAATAGCACGAGTCGAGCATTGTCAGACATTACAGATACCAAAAGTTTAGTGGAATTTATGAATACCAATGGACATTTCGATTCAATGAGAGCATGTTGCACGGACTCTGCTCATTACATGATGGCATCTTGGAATTATACGGATTGGTATTTTGAGGAATGGCTCAATGGTGCAGAGGAAACCAAGTCTTCAATCAAAAAATTGAAACATGCTCGTTCCATCCTGTCAAAGAGTTTGAATATTCAGAAGAAAGATAGTTCTTCCATTGGATTCTATTCTAAACTTGAGAATGAACATTGGTTACTAGATACATTGTGGAGTTCTATACCAATCCTATCACTCTCAATGAATCATGTGGATCACTTGTTGTTGAATTTTAAGAATAATTTGTTGTTAAGTGATTACTCTTCTTCGAGTTATGATGCTTTAAAATTGGCAGATTATGCCCAACTATTGCCAACGAATGGAGTCTTGTCTGTCACAATTTTAAAAACTGAACCTCAAGTCAGCGAAGAAGAGCTGTTGTCACAGTTAACTGAAGCACAACAAAATCAAATTGTGGAAGCCCTGAAGAATGACATTCAAACAAGCATTTTGAATCCAATTCTACAATATCCTGCCATGCTTCAGTGCAACATTACAAACTCAACCATGCTTGGCCAAATGAGAGAATATCATTTGGCTCTTCTTCGAAAGAGCACAGGAATGGGATATATTTCCGCTCGACAATGGGTTACCCTTCAAGCATTCTTAGTTTATTCTCTTCCTATTGAATATGCTCCCGAAATACCTTATACCAATGAATTTCATTGGAGAGCACTAAAAGCTCTCTATGAACAAGAGACAAGCGACTTTAAAAAGATTCTTTCTGAGGAAGGATTTAACACTTCGAACGAGTTCAATGAGACACTTTTAATTGCAGAATTTGAGAAATATAAGCAAAATGCTCACTCTTATATTTCAAGCAGATTACTTGAATTGTCTTGTTACAGTTCTTTCAATAATTATTTGGGAATGTTTCATTACAACTTTTACGATGCCTATCAATATTTCATGTTCAAAGATGGCATATTATATTGTATTTCTGCTTTGTCCATTCTATTTTATGCTGGATTTATTGCAACTTTTATTGTGCGGTCTAGAACAAAGAACATTGTATTGAAAAGGAGACTTTTGCTGCCATACATTGGTCCACTTTGTTTACTCTTATTGCCTCTCTACTTTTTAGAGCCTATCTGGAATAGACAGTACATTGACATTTTTCACAAGAATACTGCGTTCGCTGCCACTGGTATCTATCCAAACTTGTTCATTTCTCTGTTCTTCTCCACGTATTGTGTGACTGTTTTGAGATTTTATCATTTGAAGAACTTGTATTGGATTATGAACAAATTTGCATCAAAGAAGTATGACATTAGTAATAGAGCTCTTCGAATCCACAAATTCCTGACATCGCGAGTTATGGCGTTTGTGTTCACTTTGGTCCTTACTGCAATAACATTTTTGCTTTGGGTTCCCTATTATGTGTCATGGTATGGCGATGCAGGAGCAATGATTTTCTCTGCCTACAATTTGCAAGTTGAGTTGCTGTTTCTCGTTCCATTTTCCTCACTTATTATTCTTCTATCCATTATTAGTTTGATTTGTTTGATTATTGACTTGATTGTCAATAGAAAGAAGATTAGACAAAAAGGTGTTCTGTATTACTTTATTTTCGACGATCCTTTTTTTTTGAGAATTGATTTGGTAATGATGTTACTCACTGCAGTTATTTCGACACTCATTTACATGTTATTTTCGAGTACGACCAACGTTGCGTCTAAAGTACTGTTTTTGGTGCTTTTTATTTTGTGTTATTTGGTAGCGGGAGGAAATGCCATAATTATTGAACTGTTTAAAGGAGCCATTGACAAGATTCGTGGCAGAAATCAAGAAGAGTCATCGTTTACCAAACTTATTAATGATTCCGATTTTAGAAATATTTTCAAAATCTATTCGATCAACGAACATTCTATTGAAAATTTAGTGCTTTACGAATTGTTGGAAACATTTTTGAAGAAGGGAGAACTTTTTGAAGACGAAATGCTTGAAATTGATCGTAATTTCTTGCGGCCATACGCTCCGTTCGAAATCAACATTTCTTCAGAAGGAAAAAAAAGATTTACTGAGCTTATGAAAAAGAATAAGGGCATGAAAACACCATACGCAAGCGTGGACGAGATTCTCATGAAAGAAATTTTGTTAAACATGATGGATACTCTTGCGAGATTCGAAGCAACAAACGAATACAGGGACTGGTTTTCGACCAAGCAGCTTAAAGGAGACATTGAGCTTGGTTTTGAGAATAAGTAAAGAGAACGTTTATTAATGACGTGATTTATGGCCCTTTTTCAAATCATCCACAAACTGACGACCAATGTTATGTGTTGATTCCATTGCAATATGTGTGGCGCTTCTTTCCATGTAATCCTTCGATTCGACATTACCAAGCTTGGCTAGCTCGCCAAACACAAACGAGTGACAGTCAAATAGGCACAAATGAAGAGGAGTCTGCAAATGGCAGTTAACATGGTTAACAAGACCCGGTGCTTTCTTGATTAATGCGAACAGCACATTGTAGTCTGTTTTGCTGCTCAACAGAAGATACAAGTGCAAAATTGTGTCACCCCGTTCATTCGCTCCAATAGAGTCAAATAGTTGCTGGTCCATGTTTTCTATTATTTTAACCATCAAGTAACTGTTACAATTGTTATCAAGTAGGAGTGTCATAATTGGAACAGTAACCACAAACTCTTTGTTTGAAGGAGCTGATCGCTTGATCTTTTTCACAAGTAAGCGATAAAGTAAATCTCTCTTTCTCTTTGAAAGGTAGTACACTAAATCATTCAAAACTTCAATCTTAGACTGGTAACAACAGTTCACCACAAGTGACTCAATGTCTTGCTCATCTACATGAAAATATTTGAGAGTGGAAACGATTATGGATGGAGCATTGGTGGTAAGAATAGCCAAAGGAAGGAAATGTCTGAGTTGAGTGGAAATGTTCCAACCATAGATTGCAGCGGTCAAAATCGTGTTCGAGCGAATAACATCCATATGTTTTTGAGCATTCATTAACATTCCACTCTGATATTCTTCACCAATATAAATCAAGTATTGTAGCAATGCATGTGATTTTGGACTTGTCATCAAAAAAATTGAACTCAAATTCAATGGAGTTAACAAATGGCCAAAGATGTGCTCTGCAATAGCTTTTGCTTTTAACATGTCTTGACTTTCGTTGTAAATGAGTTGGTGGATAATTTGGCATTCGTATAGCAAGTCAGCTCCAAAAAGATCAACCAATTCTTTTACATCTTGTAGCGTCAAATCACATGCAAGAATAATTAAAACATCTAAATCATGACCATGACCAGCAACCAAATTTTGAACAAGAGTTATTTCACTTCCTTTCTTGCGCTTAACATTGACATTTGCTGTATGAAACATGTGAAATACGGGAAAGGTAGTTGTAGTAGCATCTAATTGTGCCAACGGCTCAAAACTCAATTGTTTAAGGTTAGGCAAAAGCTGAGGATTCAGTATACTGGATATAAAACTATTTAAATATTAGTCATCTGGATAGACCATCTCAATATGGAACTTACCTCGTCCAATACATTGAATTATATTCCATTGAACTATTCAAAATGCGAATGTATTCTAGTGAATCGCTTTGTAAATTTAAATTGTAATTGAAGACAACATCTGTTGTTAAGAGCATGTCTAAACTTTTCAAAATCTTGCAACTTGAAACTAAAGAGTTCAAAAGAGTGCATGAATCTACATTGTCAACATAAATGGATATTCTTTCAATGGTGTGATTTTCAAATGTTTCAATGTTAGGATATCCATAATTGTAGTCCAGAACTTCTTTGTGCTCACATAATGCCTCTGAATAAAGGTTTTTTTCTTCTGTTATGTCCTTAAGAGGGAAGGTATGCAGTCCAGTTTCAGAGAAGGAGGTTGTATCATTTACTCCATTTGTGTGATTGGAACGATTTTGTTGATATCTTTCAAGCAATTCCTGTTCCAAATTTTCTTGATCTATTCTCGTGAAAATGTTCTCCACTGACTTCCCTTTTACTTCTTCGCAGACAGATCCCACATTCCCATTCACTGATTGCGATCTCCAATTACTATGCGTATTCATGTGCTGAAATGAGTTATATGTCGCACCTGGGTAAAAACCACTATCCCAAATATTCGTAACGTTTGAGGAATTCCCATCGTTTGATTCATAAAGATAGATTAGATCAATAGGTCGATTGTTGATGATATGGTCTTGTTGAGAATGCTGCAATTGCAACAATTGTATCAACTTGGGCCAATGTTGCTTCTTTAAAGGTCTACAGATGCGTAGATGCTTCAGGGTAAGTAGTCTTCTAACCATTCTTCGATTCATTTCCTTATTAATTGATCTCAATTTATGGTATGTGACAATCGGCTCATCAATTTTAAATTCAAGGTCGATGAATGAGTCTTTTACATTGCCATCACAAGGAGGATCAAATGTACTTCTTCTGGAATATGTAGGTAAAAAGCTCAAAATCTCATACTTGAGATCAAGGCTCAGCTTTTTCAAATCATGAATCAACACGGCTTGTGAGTTCCGAGTCAATATATCATTCAAAGAAGAAGGCATTCTCTTCTTTTTTAGGTCCATGTAAATCCAATATTTTACTAAATCATCCACTGGGCCATATTTTGTGTTGATATATTCCACCAAAAGTTGTTCATCGTTGTGGCCTTCCATCATGATTGACGATGAAAATTTCTCCTTCAGTTTCACCACGTTCTTGAGTCTCTCCGCAAGCTCTTCCATATCCAAATCATGATCCATGGATAGTACTGTGTCCATACCTTGCTGACCTCTGGTCTTCAATCCCTTTCTCGGTGCTTTGCCTCCGATGGATTTTCTGCAGGCTTGCCGAATCATTTTTTTTCTGGAAAATTCAATTGACACTTGTTTTGATCTACATCAAACACTTAGCAACAAGTTGGAACGCACTTTGGGGACTTCTTTGAATTCATTATTATGGATACTCTTCCTCAACACTTTTGTTTAAACTGCATTCGACACAACTCAATCATACTCTTGCAAGGCAAGTCAGATTCGTTGTTGATGGTATATTCTTCAAAGCCAAACAATGCTTTTTCAAAATTACCTGAGAAGTATTCTTTGCAAGCAGCATTGTAACCAGTCCACTCTTCATTCTTTTGTTTGTGCGCAAGTTCATATAGCCACTCATCGTCACAAACTTGTAAAGGAGGGCCAACCTCATGAACGTGTCGAGCTCCGACAAATTTAGTGGCTGACGTGTCGTCTTCCAAAAAGTCCACAAATCCTACAAATCTAATGTGATACAAAGAATGACATGTTTTGGCAATATTTTCATCACACACAATTCGAACGTTCATTTGAGAAGCGAACGTTGTCAATCGGGTGAGATTGGCTTGGATGGGTCCTAATATCTTAAATGACCTCACATCCGCTGTTCCAATATTACCACAAAGACTTTGATGTACATGTACAGCAAGTTTGAAATCAATACGCGAGGTAGCCAATTCTGAAAATTGAGACTTGGAACTATTTTTCCATTTTGAATTTTGCAATTCCCTTAATTTGTTGTTCAAATCTACACAGGTCTTGAGAGCTCTTTCTTCGTGCTTTGATTGATCCTTTGATGCATTAAATGCAATAGTCACACACTCGTCGTCAGTATGTTCCATCAAGCTGCTTGTTGACTTTGTTGAAAATTGAATCTTCTCAAAAGCGTCTTTCAACAATTCCACAATGTCAATAGGTGACATCTCATTCATAATGTGACTCAATCCTTGAATTTTAACTTGGATCATGGAAACTTTCTTCTTTTCAAGATAGAGAGAAAATCTAGATGCCAAGTCAACCTTGTTATGTTTTGAACTAGTTCTTAAGGCGCTACTAGCGTTACTGGTAGAGGTATGAGAGGGTGATTTTGGCTCTTCATCATTCGGTTCTGCATCTTCTTCCAATTGCACATAATCACCGTCGTCGCCATTATTACCTTCTATTTGGAGAAGCACATGAGCAGGAATGAAGCTCTTGTACATTTCTTGAATTCGTTGAAGCTCAACAATTTTATGCCAGGGTGACGCAATGGATTTAGAGAAAATGAGGGCAAAAATGATTGATATCAACGAAACAGAAAAGGCACTAACAATGTAGCCAATCATGACGCTAATAGATCTCTGAAACAGCTGTGATGCGTAATCAAGTGATAAATCACTAATATACATCTCCACAAGTCTCATGTTGTTAATATGCTGTGTCATGTTACCAAACCAATCAGATCCAGAATATTGAGTCAAATTGTTAGTATTTGTGACGATATATGCCTCCATTTCTAGAGATGTTGCAAATTCGTTAGTACTCAGTACAGTTTTGTTGAATGTATCCCAAATATGAAACACATCTTTGAGATGTAAATAGTGTTGAAGCAGTGTGGTTTTCGCCTGGTTTTGGACAAAGAGAAGAAAGTTATCTAATGGCATTTGGTGAGAAGCGAGTGCAGCACTTCCGATCGCTCGTTTTTGACCTGTGAAAATATAACTTGTGATTCAACATTGCTCTGAACACTTACCTGTAAACTCCTTCATTGAAGACAATGTATTGAAAGCAGACTGAATGGTAATAAAAGTCGACTCTGAGCTCAAACTCGATACAACAGTAACTGTATCAATCATGGCCAAATTCCAGTTGGAATAGAAGTTAATAGCTTCAATTGGTTGACGGAACTGCAACTTCAAAATCTTCTCCCTTAAAGAGCTGAGAGATTGGATAAACGTATCCACTGTTTCAAAACTTTTAAGCACTTGTATATACAATGGAGATGAGGTTTTGAGCTCTTTGATTAATCTTTCACGTTCAGAACTGAATTGAAGTAAAGCCTGATCTGTATTGCTTCTTCGTTCCAATACAAGGCTCCAATAATCAGTACCGTTGGAACCTAAATACAATGACGAGGCTGCTCTTTCAATCTGGCTGCTATGAACCAAATTGGCCATCAATGTAGTCAACGTGGAGACATTTGTGATGACAAGAGAAGCTTGCAGGTCTAGCACAGAGTTATACACCAAAATACAAGCAAATACAATGAGAGAGAGGAAGGCAAATATGACAATAAGGAACAATTTCAACGAGATGGGAAGCTTTTCAAGTCGGTCATTGATGGGATTTGGTTTAGTTTTGCTCTTTCGTTTAGTGGAGGACAATGAGGCATTGGTTTGCTGCTGAGACTTGTGTTTGTTCTTAAAGGATGGTTTGCTGCTGTTGGTTGTGGCAGACAGTGTATGGTGTTCTGGGTGAATTTTCGTCATTTTCTTGTAGTTGTTCCGTTTCCAATGATGGGTGGGCGATTGGCGAATATAACAATAAGGAGGACTAATGATGGGTGATTCCAAGGACAAAATAAGGCGAGATTTGTCAACTTTTTATCCTTGCAAAAGTCGATAGGCGCCAATCGCTTTGATTTCTCCTGAAAAACGATTTCAAAGATAATGGTCAGTATTCCGTTTAGAGACGGATAAATGTGGTTTTTTGTTGGAGATGTCTTATTGCTCAAGTATGTTAGTGTTTGAACTTTATAAATAAGCATGTTGATGGACTCTCTCTGCACAAACTTGTCAAGAGAGAGCTGTCACAAAACATCTCACACAAAAAACTTGCTGTTGTTCCGATGTTGCTGTGTATTAATTCACTTTTAATCGTGTAAAACAATAAGAAAGCCTTTTGGTTTAATAATTAATTAATAAAACGAGATAGATTCAATAGAATTATCTACAATGCTTTCAATCATTCACTGTTGTTCGTTGTTGGTTGTTTTTGTGGTGATAATTGTTAGTTGAGCCAACAGAAACATCAAAAAAATACAACCACTGCCCTGTGTGAAGTTATTTGTTCTTTTTAGCAGAGGTATAGTTCTCTTTTACGTTTGTTCGTAGTATTCTGATGGCAATAATAATTATCATTCCAACGTTAATCAAACACTTACCGTAGAAGGTGTATTCATTGAAAATTCAAAACAATTTTGTTGGAATTGGCTTTGCGCTCCGATTCGGTTTTGTTGTGGGTTCCTTGGATATGGTTCTACACGATTGTGAGTTGATGACAAACGGGATAGGCTTGTGGCAATACGATTGATGTTACAACTCTTTGATGAATGTTGTGCATTTTCCGAAATTTCATGGCTTGAGTGTAATGTTGTTCTCGGATTACTGCCCATTAGCTGAGATGATTGATTTTCTATTGACTGAGAGAGAGTTTGTAGTGTCGTTTCACTGCTGAATGTACACTCTAGAAGTTGCATTGAATATGATGCACATTCTGTAATTCCACTGAATGGATGTAATATTCCAGGGCTGACAAATTGTTGACAATTACTTTCTTCGAATGGATAGTAAGATTTTTTAACTGTTTGTGGTTGGAGCAGCTATGGTGACACTTGACCCAATAGTAATTGAGATGAGAATTGATTTCTTGTTGGTTGAGAGTACAATTGAGTTATTGAATTCTCACCTTGTCTTGTCATTCCAGTATTGAATTGTTTGAGTGTGTTGGATCTTGAATTATTTACAATTCTTTTCGAGGTTGTAATATTGTCAAAGGACTGACATGGAATTGCAATTAGTTGTGTTATGTCCGAGCTACATCCTTGTCCCATTATTGTGGTATAAGGTGGATTAGATAGAGAATATTGTGATGATGGTCTTGAACTATCAATTCTCTCCGATATTACTGATTCTCCATTTCTAATTATTTGTTGAGATGATTGATCCTCTACTTGTTGAGAGAATGATCGAGTTATTGGGTTGACATTCTGTGTTCCAATATTGTACACTGATGTTTGTGTAAGAGAGTCTTTTGGTTGTTGATTATCTAGTCTTTGATTTTGTGTGAAGTGAGCAATTTTTGATGGAGGATTAATTCTGGCCATTGGATTTGTTGTCGAATTATTGATATTATTACCATATTCTGGCACCCATGTCAAAGTAGTACCTGTTGGGAGGTAGTGTTGGTTATTCCTTTCAACTGTTGCATTTATGAATTGAACCTCCCCAAACACAGGTCGTACTATATTTTTCGATCCTTGTGGAGCTTTAGATTTTACAGCTGTTTTTCTCTGAGGATTTTGAGTGTCAATATTTAGATTTGCATTCTTAGAGTACAATTTGCTCTTCTTATAGTAAGTGCAAATATGTGCATCCTTAACACATCCATTACGAACACAACATGATACACACATATGAATAACACATGAAGCAGCTTTCATATTGGAACAGCCATCATTGGAACAAGATTTTGAGGAAGAATCTTGTTCCATTCGAGAGCACCATGGTGTAACATTATTCAGGTAAATTTCAGGCTTGGCAGAGAATTTAAATAGAGTTCATCCTCTCTAATTACAACTATATCAGAGATGGATTTTTCTCCAAGGAACTTTGTTGTTGGAAATACCTGATATAGCTCTTTCAATTTAGCTTCAAAGCTCTTCTTATGAATATCAGATGATACTATTAACTCTTTTGGTATGAAAATATTTTTCAGTTCAAAAGTTTCCAGTCACTCTGAAATTTTGGAATTATTGTTACTTTTTACAAATTGTGGAAGCAATAATCCAAGCTGAGATTGACCATTTCGTTTGATAGTAACATGACGATCAGCCTCATCTTTTCTATGACACCCTTTTTGGTATTGCTTTTTCAATGGTGCGAAAAACCCTTCAAATTTATCAGTTCCGGAAAGAGTTAGCCTACGTTTTTCTAATTGCTTTGTAAGATGATACATTAATTCATGCAAATATAGAGTGTGCATTTCAGGCCCAAACCTTTCAACACATAACATGCCTAACAAAAAGGTGCATATATGAAATGCAATTTGGTAATCAGTTTTCTTTTTTGAAGGTATTCTCTGATATTACAGATATTGCTGTTATTATTTGCAGCATTGTCAACATCCATAACAGATTACCAATTGATTGTTTTACAACTCTATTATTGGAATTGTCTTCCACAGCTGGAACCTTTGAGGTAATTCCACTACTGATTAAGTGTGAAAAACGGTGCTCATAGGTTACATTAACATGACCATCTAAAATACTTAGTTTGTTCATATCAAATGGATGAGAATTGGAGATATCATTCCCACAAGAAGTATCTTGAGACAAATTTTGTCCATAATCTTTAGGCAACATTTTTCCAAACAAATCACATCCATGCAGCAACAGGAACTTCTAATCACTATGTGATATCATACCCAAAGAAACATTATGACCCAGAATTTTTTTAGCATTATTAACGAAAATGTCAAGCTTGAACCCTTTTTCATCTGAAAGTTTTTGTTTGAGCCTATCAAAAATTCCTGGAATGACATGACTTGCATCAGAGCATATTTCTACATCCTTCAAAGCTAGATCTTCCAAAGTGATATTTTTTCTATTATAATGCAACAATATGTGTACAAAACAAGCATGCTCACAAATTGTATCACATTTTTGTTGTTGATTATTTGTGCAAGAGCATTTCTTGAAATTAGTGACAAGATTGTTTGACCCATCAATGTTGAACCAACATTCAGCTATTGGAGTAGCAACATGCAATATGTTGTGGTTATCTATTTGAGTATTAATTGTAACTTGGGAGAGTTCTTCATACAAACACAAGGCTCTTTGATATTTGGTGACAGATGACTGAGCAATGCAATGGGACCTGGTATGTTGATTGAAATATTTGTGAAACAACCCAACATCCACTTTTTGCCTTTCAGAGAAGTATGCTAAAACACAACCTGAAACTCTCTTCAACCCCAATTTTTGCTGATTTTGTTCTTTTCTTCCCAACTGTGCTCGATCCAATACTTCTTGAAATGTTATTTGAGTAAGTCTATCAGGATTGTAACATGCTAATTCAACACTGTCAAAATTTTCATCACATTGATTGCAACGTTTATGCCCTCCAATAGAGTTGCCAATTGTTGCTTGTTTAGCTTTGTTATCAGCACAAAAGAACTGGCGTCAATTAGTTTTTTCAAAAATAATTGGAGTATATATTTCAGTACTACAACCCTAATATCAAAATAACGATAGATCACTTCATTTGCATCAATTGTGCAAGATATAATTTCACTGATGAATGTTTTCCCAAAACTTGTAGCAAGATCATTCACCATCACAATCTTTTCACACTCTATTTGAAGATCATTATTTCTTTTAGTAATTCTTAGGTTGACTAATTTGTCATACGAATCAGCAGTCACCTTAGTGCCTGCTAGAAACACAGGTGCAACATTTGCAAAATGATTTACCATTTTGTCAAGGCCTTCTCGCACTCCACGTTTAAAGCTGTCATGATCCCTAGCTTCTATTTCCTTCTTAATTGGACCATATTTCATCAATATTGCTACAAATACTTTCACTGATGATTTTTCAGTTGCAATATACAAATACAGGACATCTAAACAATGGTGAAGCATTTTATCCCTCTCTGTAGTATTATTGCCACCAAGCCAATCATTTTTCTTCCATTGTACAATTCACTTGAGTTAATCCATTATTGCTTCCAATATATAGATAATCATCGCCTTTAGCATCAGCTTTATCATTAGAAAATTGGAACTCTTTCCTGCCCTTGCCTTTGATGTTCTTGTCACTACATTTATGACTTCTAATTGAATTCACATCAATAATTTCGCCACAGCCACAGAGAAACTGATATCCACCTTGGCACCCTTGTTCTCTACAACTTTTTGAATTAACTAGTTCATGACAACAATCACAAACAAACGGCAAGTCCATATCAACAACAAATTCGGATTGTGACAATGCACCAATTTTTTAATTCAGTTGTATGGAAGTGTGGTTCTTCATTGTATTCAAGATGTGTTGTATGAACCTGCATTGATTTTGTTGTGTGCTTCTGAATTATATTAGTTTGTTGAAAATACATACAGAGACACACCACAAGAAATCAACACATATTTAGATGGAAGTCAAAACACATCAGACAAATATATTTTTCGTTAATTATTTTGCAAAAACACTAACAGACTTGAGTGGCGTTGAAATGGGCAATCTCTACTATTGCAAGATCATGGAGCTTGTTTTTGAAGTTCTTAAAAATTTTCAGCCGATTTTACGAACTTCAAAAACAAGCTCCATGATCTTGCAATAGTAGAGATTGCATTTAGGGGAATGTGGAGTTGACAAAGCCATGCATGGAAACCTAGATGAATCTCTACTGAAAATCTGATGACATGGAACGTGCTGATACGATTGTTAAAATATCTGTTCTAACAGTATTGTTTATCTGCACCTTAAATAGGTGATACAGCTTCTTACATGTTATCTTCTTCAAGCCACATATAATTCTTTTCCTTTTCTTTTTCCATGAGCTGTATCATTTCAGCACTACTAATTCTTGAATTATTGTCACCATAAGCTCCACTCTTTCTGTACATTTCCAAATCGATTAAATAACACTGAAGAACTGTGTCAATAACTGTCTGGAAAATAGTAATAAACAAGGAGCTCACGAATAAACTTAATGAAAATACAAAGATAAGCAATAAAAAGCTACGATTAACGTCCAGCCATTCTTTTCCTCCAAATACCATCTCAAAAAGACCATACTGGCCCTGTTCGTTGTATGCAGAGGAGAGTTTTCCAACAATTTGGCTTAATTCTCCAATAGATGCGTCTTGAGAATGAATAACTGTATAGGCCACACATACACTGATCACTGCGATTACCATTTTCATGCAAAACATGATCCAATCTGTAATCCATTCCAATACAGCAATCACAGTAATATTTTTCCTCATTAATTTGGTTGCACTCAAACTTGAATGGAAGAATGATGTACCGAAAATAGCACAATGAATTAAGGCATTTCTAGCAAAGAACTCCATAAATTTTTCAAGCATGCGAAGCAAGGAAAAGAGAATTCGCTGAACAAATCGTGTGAGAAAATTGTTTCTCACGTAATTAATGATCCTCAATACTGCGAATTGATTTTGAACTTGATCAGAGATTGAAGCTTTCTCCTGTTGATACCCCATGACAGATAGAGTGGTCTTAATTACTAGAATTAAATATTTCACCAACCCAACAAATAATGACGCAAGAGCCACGCTTCCAGCATTGTAAAACATAACGAATAAACTGGCTTGGGATACAGGTAGTTTTAAGCACATGAGTGTTTTTTCAAAATTATCCAGAACAGCCGATGACTCGCCTCTACGTGCTCGTGTTATGGTTCCTGAAACATTTCCAAATTTAAAATAAAATTGAGATGTCACTCTTGCTACAACAATGGTGACAAAACTCAAAAGGAATTGAGAAACCCAAAAAAATCCAAACACAAAGTATGCAAACCAGCCTTTCAGTAGGTGTGACTGAAGCGTGAGAATAAAGGTTGTTGGATTAGATAGAGATTGAATTTTCTCTGAAACAGTGGCTCCATCATTTGCAGTAACCACAGTCTTGGTCAATTTCGAAGCCAAGGATGATGCGTCAACAATACCAGCGCTTGTTAACTCATTAGTAAACAAGAGTGCTACAACAAAGAACCACCAAACGCAAAATACCAGTCCAATAATGAATATCACAATGGGGAATAGGGAGAACATTTGTGGTACTGTAGTGATAATCATAGCGCTCTCACTGATGATTGAAACTGCTCTAGACAGAGTTTTTCTCCAATTTGTCCAAAATAAAAACGTAAATAATAGGTTCGTTAATAAAAGTAATACTCCAGTGGCAATATAGAGGCTTTTCTCCCACGATAGGTCAGAAAGATATGAAACAAGCTGTTCTGTCTTGGAACCAGAAGTTGATTGGAAGTGTAGATCAGAAGCACCTTCCACCAAAAGTGTGATTGAAAGTGAAAACCATCCAATCATTAATAGGCCTACCGTTCCATAAATTAAAGGTTTCGCTAAAACTCGTAACAGCACAACACATATAAAGGATATACCAGCAGTGATTGCAATGGCTATAAGGACAATTTTCCAACTGTTATAAAGTGTCATGATACTTTGTACCATAAATTTTTCTAAAAAAGAAGGCACCAATCCAGACACTTGCTTGATATCAATAGTTTTTTCAATCGTTGATAGAGTTGGTAAATTTTCAAGATATGGCGAGATAGTATTACTGAAATATGATACTGGAGAGAGCGAAGAAATGTGTTGCATTAAACTAGCTATTGTCTCTTTTTGCTGGGCATATAATTGTTGAATGTCAGCTGGTGTTGTGTCAGCTGGTACCTTATTCGTTTTCAACAATGGAATGCAACGTCCCATTAGAGATAAATGTTCTCGTTCTGTAGTCACCTCAAAAAACTTGGCTTCTGGTTTTCCGTCATTTGAAAAGAAATATCTTTTCGATGCACATATTTCTTTCTTGACAAATACAACCTTTTCTGTTGTTGTATTACCTGCTTGGACTTGTTGTGTCACCTTTTCTACAGTTGTTTGCCTAAGAGAAGGAGGACATTGATCAGAAATGAGGGAAGCGCTTTCTGATGATTGTCCTGAAAATTCGTCTTGGATTTCGGTAGGTTCATTATTGTTGTTCTTGTGATATCTCACGTTATTGAGAGTGGTCACTCCACTCGGACAGCTCTCAACACAAACACCCCCAAATTTAATCCAATTTTCGAATAATTCTGTGCTTGCATTAAATGAGTGAAAATTGGCACTTTCGAGAGAAGAGAACAGCTCCTTCTCGTTGACAACCCACAAATATCTTCTAGAAGATAAGTCTTCTTTCCAATAATCTCTGTTTATCAATGAATCTGCAAACAGTGTTGCTCTATTTTCAATTTCTAATGACTCAACCGAGTGATCTTGAGAAGAATAATCAACTCCACACACTCGCCCAAGAAAATCTGTAGGATAGAAAAGTCTTGTCATTTCTCGCCATGATGGCGCAAAGTAGCTGCCCAAGCCATTGATATTGTTTGGGGTGTCTTGTTGGGTAATAATATCAAATATGCTTGCTTTGTATCCAGCTGTAGAATCTCTTTTCATCTCACCATCTGAACCGTTGGTTAAAGAATTGATATATTCACGTCGCTTTGCAACCGCTTGAAAAGCAATAATGATCATGCCCAAGCAAAAAGCAATAAATAAGAGAAGAAACAGGAAATCTCTACACGGTCTATGCTGATGAAATTCATAGATGTATTGCTTTGTTAGAGTAACTCGTTCTCCACCAGAAGATGAAGTTTTTTTGCTTCCTCCGATCAATGATTCTTCATCGGAGTCAGAATCAAAGTCATGTTGGTGTGGTTTGGTATTTTTGTTGTTATTATTCTTATTATTATTAATTGGTGGTTTTGATGCTGGTAACGATGATGGCTTGCCTTGGTTGTTCAACAAAGAAGGTGGTTTAGACTCAACCAATTCAATGATTCCTTCTCGGATGTTGGGATATATTCCTGACGATGGTGGTTGAGCACTGTTGCTGTTGCTGGACGGCGCTGATGGTGTTGGTTTGGTCATTATTATATAGGTTACTATTTACAAATTTACAATTGGTTTTACAAATCGAACAATTTTTTTTAGAATTGAAAACGAAGGAGTCTTCTTGACGAGGGAGGTGATGAGTTGCAAATGGCCTTAATTATGTTAAGGCAAACCCTCTATCGTTGTAGGTGTTGAATCCTGAAACTCTCTCTGTCAAATGTCAATGATTCAAGTTCCAATTTCAAGAAAAATGAACAAAGAACTCGTTCCACCAACCTAGGGTTTAAAGTCACAAGATGCTTTACTGAAAACAAAACAAAAGTAACAACCATCATTCAAAGAATGCAAGAATACGCAGACACAAAATCACTGAAGCTTGTTTGTATTGGAGACGGAGGCATTGGCAAGACCATGATGTTAATTTCCTTTGCCTTTGGTAAGGTAGCCGACGACAGCTACGTTCCCACAGTGTTTGACAACTACAGTGCACATGTAAAGTATGGAAACGAAACGGTGCTATTGAATTTATGGGACACTGCTGGTCAAGAAGAGTAAGTATGAAAATCGAGTTGATGTTCCAAATTAAATTACCTTGTCAATGACGAAAAATTAGTTACGATCGAATTCGACCTCTCTCGTACCCTGAAACTGATGTGTTCATCCTCGCATACAGCGTTGTAAACCCAGATTCCTATCACAACGTTCGAGTGAAATGGTTTAGAGAATTGAAACATCACTGTCCTAACTCACCATTCATTTTGGTTGGAACCAAAACTGATTTAAGAGACAATGTCGAATTTCTTCAAATTCTCAAATCTCGAGATTTGATGCCACTTACCTATAACCAAGGAGTCGAGCTTGCTCAGGAGTTACAAGCAGAAGATTATCGAGAATGTAGTGCTGCTACAAGAGGAGGTATTCATGATGTTTTCATAAGAGCCATAAAGGCTTATTTTGATCATGAAGAGAAACAAAAGAACAGCAAACCACAACATAGGAAGTCCAAACAATGCATGGTATTGTAAAGAAAAAAATCATTTGAGGTTTAGTATCCTGTAATATCCATGAATGATCTGCTCCATTAGTTAATTGAAAGGGCTCATTATTTGCCGTGATCTATTAGTTATTTGTTCCTATGTAAATTTCTCAAAAGCTTGTCTGTAACTGCACATGACGATAAAAAATGTTGAATGCCCTTGTAAACAAAAATCTGTTTTTTGAACTTGTTATGAACTCCATCTCGAATTTTCACTGAATCAATCCTCCTTGAAGTTGAACTGCATGCAGTTTCATTCATCATACTCAACAAACAAAAAATGCCTTGTTTTAGTGGTTATGAGGGCTGGCGATCAGTTCGCAGAAGAAGCAGCAACATAATGACCTTAGAAACCAATCTTCGGGAATGGCTTTTTAGAAAATTCATTAAAAATCAGAAAGAAAGTCCTGCAAAAAAAGATTGTCAAGTAGAGCCTCCTTCCGATGATGAATTCATCATGTTGATGGGAATTGGTTCGGATGATTCATCACCTCAGTTTGAAAAATTATATATTACTTTTAGGAGAAATTCTTTGATGTGGGATACAGATTTTTTGAAAAACGATTTAACCAAGTGGTTGAACGACGGTATTTCTCCAAGCACTGTTGACGAATGCATGGGTGAAATTGAGCTAGATCAATCGCTTGTTGGCCGTAGACGAAGAGTTGTACTTGGAAATGTGAAAAGGTTATTTAACAAAATGACAAGAAACGAAAGCAGAATGAAAAGATCAGTGAGAATGAATGAAAACAATGACGATATAGAAAAAGGATATTGTAATGATCGGGGTGAAAAATCTCAATTGTTTGAAAATTTTGTTAGAAATCATGTGATTGCAAGTGTTTTTGAATATGTTGACACACAGTCGTTGATACAAAACTGTTCAAACGTATGTCCTGAATGGCATCAACTAATTCTTTACGACGAGAGCGCTTCACATCAAATTTTTGCCACAAGGATTGTGAATGTTCTCAAGAGAGTTGCTCGTCAAAGTGATAGCTCAAATTTAATATCTCTCTTTCAATTAGAGAATATCAACCAAAATCTTTCTCATTTTAAGGATTTGTACAGCAATATGAGATGGATAGACATTTATCTTCTTTGTGGAATGTTTCATTTTGAAATGTACCAAGATTATTTTATTACTAAATTCGACTCATTACTTAGCGGTCATGATAACGATAGTGACAATGAAGAGTGGTTCAACAGCATTTTTCAGTTTAATCCATTTCAACAATTAACTCTTCCAAAAGAGCATGTGCTGTCAAGAAGTCTAAGTCGCCATAGCAACAAGCTAGTATTTGTTCACAAGAGTGACAATGCAGCTAAAAACACTTTATACAACATAATTGAAGCACACCCTATGTTTACGGGTGTATGTAAATTGGACTCGTCCAAGAGAGGAATTATTTCATTAATGGAGGCTGTGATTACTCAGCCGTGTGTCACTCCTCTTTCACAATATCACAACTTTAGTATTGATTTTGATGAAGGTTTGAAATTATATTTACACTTTTTGAAGGATGTTGCCAATCTATTTCAACCATTCTCGCTTTTAAAAGCTGACAAGCAAGATATTGCGCCAGTCCGAATTCTTGCCAAATGTTTGATCAAAATGCAAGAAAAAGCAAGATATTTTGCATTTGAAATTTTAGAAAAGAACCTCTTACACCCAACTGTCATGTTCGTTGGAGATGATGTCTTGATTGGGTTGCACCTCTTGTTACTCGACAACTTTTACAAGACGGGTCAAAATTTGAATAATCTTCCTCACATACATTTTACAAAGCTGCTCTTGCAAAGAAAACGGACATTGCAGAATACCCATCAAGTTGCCATGTTTCCACCACAACTTCAGGAAGATTTCTTGCAATTCGCCCTTTCTCAAACCAAAAATCCAGAAAATACTACAATTACAAGTCCTCCTTTTCCAAGAGCATACTCTGCTGTGGAATTTATTACGGAACACATTATTGAGCTGAGTAAGATGTGTCCCATCGAAGACATTTCTAACACAAAGGACAGCTTTTCTAGATGGGTGGATGAACAACTCATTTCCTATCTCCAGCTCATCAAATCCACTAATCCAAGAGTAGTACCTTCAAAGAGTCAAGATTTACTGTTTCATTTCCACATGCTTCATCCTCACCATTTCGTTCAAGATTGCCAAAGACTCACACAAAATATTCTCTCTCACCACTTTAATTTCAGCAAGGAAAATAGAAAGTAATATAGTATATTGTTGGGTGTCAGAAATATGATCGCGGAGCAACAAACAGTATCATCTCCGAACACTACACCTCAAAAACGTGTTTCGGGTGGTCATGTGAATTGGCGGCTTGGACGCAGTCACGTGTTTCAGTGTTCGAATCGAGCGTGCGCCATCTCGCCCGTGATTGGAATGGCAGTAAGAGCATCTTCCTCATGAATCAACACCAATTGGTGGAGGAGCAAGAGCCGCAAAAGAAACACGAACGAGAAGATTCGATGAGTCGGAGCGTGACGACATGGAAACGTACGTGTGTAGGGTAGGCAAGGAATTTTATAAACTTTCGTTCACTACCCTCCATAGCCCCAAGTTGAGGGAGTTAGTCATTCAACGTCAACAATTTGGATATCAATTACGAGGCAGTTACACAAACACGAGAACAAAATTGGCCTGCCTTACTACATTGTTCCCTTGAGAACAGCCCTGTCAACAAGGGCGAGAATTATGGAAAATCAATGAATTTACACGCGTCACCCAGTGCGTGATTGCTTAACAAGTTTCGAATTTATTGTTTTTGTGTGAAATAAATTATTGTGTGTGTATTATAACATACATGGAAAGTGGATGGAGAATTTTACACGTGCTGTAGGGCAAAGGTGAAAGTGAGGAAGTTTGTTAAATAGTGTAGTCGACTACGAGTATAATATGCACATTACATCATGTTCAATTGTTTCATGTGGTCAATCAGGATAGTATTTTTCACATCGTCAAGAACTTTCTTCATGTTCCCTGTATCTGTGGCGCAGGTGACATGATTGTACACTTGCCTTCCTTGTTTGGAAGTGGCGCTCTTAGCAGCACCAGACCGACTCATAAATTGGTTGATGATAAATTGTCTTGCTTTCTCAACATCTCGGCCTCCTGTATATTCACTGAAGCAAGCGCTCAAATCTTTCACTTTGATTTTCTCTTCAAACAAGTCATTCTTGTTGAAAAAGATAATAATTGGAGTTGTTTTAAAATAACGAGAGGTACAAATTTCAGAAAATAAGGTCAAAGATTCTTGCATTCTATTCATTTCCTTATCCTCAAATAATTGTTGATCATATTCGCTAAGAGCAGTAACGAAAACGATACAGGTCACCTCGTCAAAGCTGTATGATGTAACATTATATCATTTGGATGTAGAAACGTGTCACAATTATTCCTAAGCACAAATCGTGCGTCCAACATTAATACTTACACGTGAATCCACTTTCTTCTTTCGTTACGTTGACCACCTACGTCAATCATCTTGAATTTATATCCGTCGATTGTGAAATCAGCCTCCACAATACCGACGGTTTTAACTCTGGAACGAAGGACGTCTTGTTGTGTTGGTTGATAGTTTGGGCTTGTCAATCGTTCAATATCATTCAAGTAACTGTTGAAAAATGATACAATTTTGTTCGCAATATTTGCATAAAGGTTGATCATTAGCCAACAGCCATATTGGAAATACTTACTATGCTGCTGAGTCATTCAATTGGAATTCACTTCGTCTGCTATATGCCTGCTGAATACCAGCGTCTGACCACAGCATTTTAATATCTTTTCCAACCTCTGGTGAGATTATACTTGCTGCATTAAGAATAATTTGTTGTTCAGGAATTCGTGTGAACTTTTCTGCACGCTCAATATTTGAAGAATTTGCAAATTGAACTGGTGGATTCAGAGTTGTCATGGCTTCAATCAATACTCTAATGGATTGTAATGTATTGCCATAAATAACATCCTTGAATCTGAGGCATTCTTCAGGAGTGTAACCTTTGTGGTGAATAATTTTCATTTGTTTGAAGATGGTTGACTTCCCAGACTCTCCTACATTGTGTGAAACGAAAGAAGTGAACATTCAAAGAGAGAGTTGTGTTGAAGTGTCAAACGAGGTCAGAGAGTATACATAGGTCCGTTAGATGTCGTGTGAGACAAGGAGTAACGGAAGAGAGAACATTGTGTGATGGTCATCAGTCAGATGTGAGAAGTGTGTCGAAAGTGTTGTCCAATCATCCATCAAATTGGTGTTAAAGGTGGAGGCGATCATCATATCCACAACAATGTTAACATGATGATCATCATCATCGTCATAAAACAAAGTTAAGTCGTGATGGACAATATATCATCATCGTGAGAGAGCAGTAGTAGTAAACAACACCAAGAGGCAAAGACCCAAAAATATAAATTTGAATAATTATAAATTTGAATAAATCCATATCGAGAACAACGTGATGATGATGGCATCAATAAATATCAAGTTTTGACCATTCAAAAGAAGGATGAATTTCAAAAAGAACTCCTGAGGTCTTCCACTTACCTGCTCCCAACAACAACAATTTAATTTCTGATTTTTGCTTCTCATGATCTTTGGCCAACTGTTTGTTGATATTTTGATTGGCAGATTGTTCTGGTGTTGATTCTTTGAAACAAGGCATGATGATGATGATGAATGTGTGAGCCTGATGTTAACGAGTTCCCTATTTGATGATGAAGCCGAAGACTACAATAAATATATTTGAATATTCAATCCTTGATATTCAAAGCCTAGTGATGTTATCCAAAAGTGATATACTTGGTGTGTTGATGAAATTGAGAAATACAGACACTACTCGTTCTCTGTCCCTACTACAATTTTAATTGAAAGCAGTGCAAACAAATGGGAGGGTCAACCGACTTGTGTTTTTTTAAAAAGAAGGATGATGCTTGTCCGATGTCTCTTGCCAATTTTCAAAAACCTCTTCAACTCGTTGCAAGGAGTTTTTCTTCTTGCCTGAACATTTGGAGGAAGTAAACATTGTGTGTGAGATTCGACGAAATAATATAATTAATCAAGTCTGGAAGCTGTGGCTGTGCACCCAAATAAATTTCCAAACTTCCGTAGATTCATTTGTTGGGATGCAAATTTGTTTCTTGAATAAGGAAGACAATGTGTTCTTCAAGTATTGGTATATGGAGGTAATAGTATCCATTCAACAGTGGCTGCACTATTCCTCACACAACAATAAATAATAAATTGAAACGAAAAAGACCTATCACATCAATCAAGTGACACTCACAAAAATCTGATGAAAACCAAATCCTTTAAAAAAAAATTATGAGCAGTCAAGACAAGCTTCAAACCTACTCCAACGAATTGGAAAGTGTGGAAGGAAGAATTGATGAGAGCATTACAACGCTCCGCAGACTCAACATTACAAGTCAATCCGATCCTAATTTTATTCAAAAACAAATTGAAACTCAATCACAAAGTATCGAAGAACAATTAGAAAAAGCAAAAAAACTCTACAACAAAATTAATAATTTAACCAAGAATGATCCGACCATTGAAAACGCTGTGAATGAAACAAAAAAGAAGCATAAAGAAATTTTATCGAAATTGAGATCTCAGTTTAAACAAGCAAAAAGTTTTATTGAAACCAAAGCCAAAGGTCTCACTGAAAATCTTCCAAACAAGTCCAATAGTAGTAGTAGTAGTAGTACTAGTGGTAGCAACAATGCTATGGATACATCAGCACCATCCACTCAAACATCATTCAAAGAATCGACCAAGGAGGGAGTGATGGGATTTTTCGGTTTTGGTGGAAATAAGAATAGTACTAACAACTCGGAAACCAAACAATTGTTGGACAATGATGAAGAGGATGTGGTTGAAGTGAAGGTCAATGAAACGGAATATTACAAGGGAAATGCAAATCTCACAAAAGAACAACGTCAAAAACATGATGATATTGAGAGAGAACTTTTTGCAGAAGTATTCTCGACACAGAAGGATTGTCTCGACATTATCGATCGATTAAACAAGAAGGCCGAAGAGACCATTGCAATTGCAACAGACAGTGCAGAGTTATTGAAACAACAACGTGAACAGTTACATAGAATTGATGAAGAAATGGATGCATTAGGAAGTAATATTAAACGAGCTCAAAAAGAAGTGACATCGTTCATGAGGAGAATTCACACAGATAAGTGTTGTGCCGTAATGTGCTTGTTGGTTGCATTGGCAATTTTGGGAGGTTGTATATTCGCCATTGTCATGAAATTTATTCCAATTAACATCAACAATGGAGGTGGAAACAATAACAACCATCAACGTAATTCGACCTCCATGGGGCAAAAGAAGCAATTGTAAAGCCATATAACTAGTTGACGACTATAATCTTGCGCTTGAAAATGAGTGACTCTTTCCTTTGATTGCTTGAATGTCCAATTTCCATCAATGTATGTCCTATCACAAATGTTTTCATAAAATTCTGTTCCAATATTCTCAATAAGTTTCAAGAAAATATATATGCATTTCAACCAAGAAATATTCAACACAGATGGCTCAAAGACAAGAATATTCATGATCTGTATTCAAATTCATCTAAAATCCTTAACAGAGCAAACGTAAATTTAGCCATTTTCTTTTTGTGGCCACTTTTAAAAAGGTTAATTTTTCACTCTTGATCAACAACTCCAAAGCCATTGTCATCTTCAAAGAAAAACTCAACAGAATTGCTTTCTATCCTCATTGAAACCCTTCGATTCGATAGCAACAACAAAAGAAACGTGTAATAGAATATCATACCATCATGACTCCAGAAGATTCTTTATCAAGATCCAAAGCATTCTTCTATGCCTTTCTGAGTGGATCCATCCTCACTTGTCTCTCCACTCTATGCCTTCTCATCTTTGGAATTGTAACCATCGCCAACACGACTCGTTCTGCTGTAATTTACAACAATGGAGCAGCCATGATTGTTTTCGCATGTGGTTCGTTCCTTGTTTGGTTGGGTATGATGGGAGGTTTAGTAGCCACGGCCTTCTTGATTCGAAGATATAGTGAGCGTACTACAGCTAGAACCACTATGAAGCCAACCATCTATGGAGGACAAGAACCACACATTGCTACCACTCTTCCTTAATGTGTTGGGTGTTGTGATTCTTTTATATATAATTACCAATTGGAATTTATATTACATAACCAATAAAATTAAAATACCACTAGTATATCTTCTTCTATGATAAAATGACCCTTCGATTTGCGCTCGAACCTTCCCTCTGTTCCAAGCCTTTGCTGATGGTTGGGATAGCCGTTGTCTTTAAAAGGCTCAATCAACAATTTATAAAAATTTTAAATCAAAAAAAAATTTTGAGTGTGAAATCACCGAAGAGGTAGGTAACGGACCAAGTTCGAAAACAGCATCAACCTCTCATCATCATCCATGTCATCTCACTATCGCACTCTATGGAGTGTAAATTTCTAATAATATTGATTATAAATCCATTTTGTATATTTGGAATATTGAAATACACATCTCCGTCATTTGTTATCCAAAATTTCTTTGGAATTGACAACCACACTTGCTGTGGTTACCACTACAACATGACCAAATGAAATGATGGCTCAACACCCTCCGAATCACAACAATAGTTTTTATACTAAAACCTTCAAATGTCCCAATACAAGATGAGAACGGGATGTGCCATTGTGCTCCTCCTTCTTGCTTTTACCACATTGATCTCGTATTCCTTGGCTGAAACACTTCAATCAGGAGTTATTTGTATTAGTAATGATGCTTCTTGGTGGCACGCCACTCTTCGTACAGGTAGACCAGATCTTCATGTTGACCTCTATTTGAAACTACAAGGCTACAGTGATGTTTCTCACAATTTTGTTGGTGGTATTCAATTTAAAGTGATTGAAAAGACAGGACCTCCCTTTGGAGTGCAAACATCTATTGTCGGTGTGGAATTACACGGAGGATATACTGTTGATGAAGAAGTGGGTAACATGACTATTTCATCTCTTGCTTGTACTACATTGGTGAATAGCAACTCCGGAATGGATAATGCTGCCATTTGTAACAAGTTCAGCAATTTATTTGCTGCTCACAATTTGTTATTTACTGCAATTGGAGATTGTGATGGAGTTTCTCTCAACGGATTTAGTTCTTCTTTTTATAAGAAGGCTATTTCATTTATGACATCATCTGATCCAGCAACAAGTTGTGATTTCCGTGGATCTAGTGCTGGTAAAGTTGATAACTGGTGGTATACCAGCAATAAGAGAATCTATGACTCGAAGTATTCAGTGAGAGAAGATATTTTCTTCAAAGTTGAAAGTGATAATAAGAAGTTTACCATGTCACAAGTTGCATATTTGAAGGAGGGTGGTGTTGTTGATTGTAATGTGAACACACTCATTGCAACATTCAAAGGAAACTTCTATTTCAATCCACAACTTTCTGTTATTGTCGCAAATCACACAGAATGTCAAGTAATCCAAGGTTCAGATTATCCTGGATGCAATTTGTGCTCAAATGGTCACAATTTCTTCATGAATGGTCCAGTCCATTGGCTCTCCAATTCCACTTGCTCAAATTGGATTTATGAAAGCGGTGCTCCAGATAGCGGTGTTGATGTTTTGGACTTTTCTTTCAAAGTCACTACTCTTCAACCACCTACTTCTGAGTCTGAAATTACCATGCTCATTATTGCTATTGCAATTATTGCCTGTATTCTCGTCATTTCAGTTCCTTTCTTTTTCATTGTTGTCAGAGATTGCAGAAGATACAGAGAAGAAAAACTCAGAGGAGGCGCCCAACAAATTTGAGAGGTTTTGCAAACTGTTTTGAGAATATTCAGACACAAGAACATCTAGATTGTTTTAGATGCCCTACACAATAAATTCTAAGTTTATCGAACCGTGTTGTTTTGTGTAATTCAAAAATGTATTTTCAACTGTTGTCCCATTAACACTTTTCTTTGCCCGCCAAATTTTTTACAAACAATTCTTCAAAAAAAAGAGCTTTTTGATTCCTTCAGCCTTCTTTGTGGTTGTTGCGAACACTGTCCCTTAACGCTGACATTTTGTTTTAATATTGTTTGCCGGAGTGATTTGAGAGAAAAAATTAATCTATAATCATCAAGAATAATGAGCAATCAAAAGGAAAGCAATACCGGATCTACGTCGGGATCGGCCCCTGCCAAGTTTCAATTCGATGATCTGATTCAAATGCTCAAAAAGAGTTTCTTAGAAGAAACTAAAGAACTACGAGATGAAGTGATGGAGTGGAAAGTGAAATGTAAAGAGTTGGAAAAGCAAAATAGTATCTTGGACTATAGAGTTAAGGGCTCAAATAACAAAATTGTTGAATTAGAAAAGAAAGTTGAAGAGTTAGAGGAGCAGAAAAACGCATCTCTTCGGAAGTATTATGACCTGAAAAAAGAGTATGAAGACCTCACTCAATTTAAAGCTTCTATCACCAGTATGGTTAGTCCAACCAAAGAAAAACCAAAAGCTCCGATACTTTCAAGCTCTTCAACATATACCTCCTCTATAGCAAGCGTAGCCACAAATCTAACAAGCAAATTCTCTTCTCCAGAAGTGAGAAAAACAGGTAGCACTGGAGTAGGTGATTTCTCAAGTTTAAGCAGTGACAGTGTTTTAGAGACACCTCATCACCAGAAAGACAATGTTCCAGTTCTCACAACTTCACAGCAGAGAAGCAGATACGGCTCGGATTCACCAATAGTTATCCATTCAAAGAGCCCAACCTCTTACCATCGAGATCAACCCTACCGAAGCAGGAGTGCAACGCTATCTTCACAACGAAAGAGGTCGTCCATCCTCAAAGATTCGAGTTCTTTTTCAAGAGAAAAGAATGTTAAATTCTCTCCAAATACGAAAGGAAGTGACGACTTGATGTCAAATAATTCTTCTTTTGTAGCTCCTCCAACACCTCACTCTTCTTTTGGCGTGCAATATTCAAAACGAGCGGACACGACGAAATCATCTGAGACGACCTCGTCTAACACAGAGAATTCAAGGAGTAACAGTGAGCGGTTAACATCCACTCCGTCAAGAAGATTTGCTTCTGACTCAGGTGATTTAAAATTGGACAACTCGACACGAAGACAGAATTCGCTTGACATTGACATGCTCAACGAAGATACTGAAGACGGAGGAGCTCAAGAACTTTATTTGAAAGTTAAAAAAGCACTAACTCCAGAAGAGTTTAAAGCATTCAGCTCGAACATTAGAAAGTTAAATATGGGAGAGCAATCTATAACAACCACGCTAGTTAATCTAAGAGAGGTGATTGGAGAGGACAGGCAACATTTATATGCACAACTGAAACGTGCCATCTCCTCTGGAGAAATGTAATTTTAAGCAACCACTCAATCATAAATCTAGGAATCACGTCATTTTAAATGTCGTTGCACTTGTCGATTTGACTGTTGTGCGATCAGAATTCACACTCAAGAAAAAATGTCCAACTTGCTCACGATACCCTGCCAATATATTTTTCAAGGAAAGTCAGCAGACATGAAATTAAGCTTTAAATCTGATTCGGAACGAAAAAGAACTATGGAAATTCTATTACCCCGATATGGAATGATTCCTATTGAATTGTCAGAAGTGATCGATCATAAATTTACCAAAATCAATTCAGAAGGAATGTTACTGTTGCGAGTACAAATGAATATTATTAGTTTATCAAATGAGAATAATGAATTCACAACCATTCCTCCTTCATCATCAAGTACAACGAATCAATCGTTGAAACCTCTCGTAAACTATTTGTACAATTTAATGCAAAACAAAACCAAAGGCCATGTGGTCAAGAATGCCCTAGAAAGAATTTCCAAAATTGTGAATCAACCAATTTTCACTGGTGACCAAGTAGAATTTGATTTAATTGTCACAGTGAGCGGAAATTGGGAAACCTATTCCAAAAAGTTTCTTGACATCATTGGATCGTTTTCAAAAGTGGAAAACAAACCAGTGTTGTATAGTATTGGACGAGAGTTCTTCTTCGACAAAAGAGACGCCACAGCTAGCTTGAACGGATATTTGTATCAGGTGGATTTAACTGTAAATTATTGGCTCGATACATTGGACGAGGAGCATAGTGACAAGTGTGTCATGACTGAATTTGGAGAGGACATTGCTGTATTACCAGTACAGTTTGTTTTGGATATTGAAAGATTTTCTGGTAATGGCTCCATACCAGCGAGTTCCAAAACTGATAGCACTCCAACCATCCCACTCTTGATATTTGAACAGGCCAAGTTGTACAAAAAGCCAATACCTTTTAACTCGGACAGCATTTGTGACATTTTATTTAATTATTACACAACAATGTCGAGAGCTGCACGCATTCCCGCAAACATTGTTTATCGATTAACTACAAGTACTCAGGTGGAAGGGTTAGAAAAATGGAAAGCATGCAACAACGATTCTTCCGAAATGTTGAAACAATTAATTACTCTTCAAGACGAGAAACGAAAGAACAACAAGGCGAAAGCACGATATATGAGGGAGAAACAAGAATGGGAAAATTTCAAAAACTTCTGTGAACAAGATTGGTCTACGGCAACAGCATTTCTTTCACGAGTTGAGTTTATCGAGAACATGACTTGTGAAAAAGTGAGCCAAGAAATTGAGAGAAAACTTTCCAAACACTACGTATGCAGAAATTTCAAAACTCTTAGCAATTGTTTGTATGGTTTTGTTAAATCTCAGTTGTTGGAACAAAGTACTGCAAACGGAAAGCTTTCCAGGTCCATGATGTTGGATCAACACAAGTTGAAACAGGTGATCGACTCGATTGTCACTGACTTTGCTTCACTGTCGATGAGGTAAAGCTTTTATGCTTTTCGACAACAAGGAGTTTAATAATGTTTACAATATTAATTTAACAAAATTTGTCTATTTAGATTGACTGGTAGCTGCATTCTTGTTCTTTTTCAAAGTAGTGATCTTGAAAGTAGTCAGTGCTTCCTTTCTCAATTGTTTTTGGAATTGAACAGATTGAACAAATCTAGCATGAGTATCTAGCATGAGAATACAAATTTCGTTTTCGACGCCATCAAAAATACCATCAGCCAAATGTTCATTTTGACCAGTGGCAAAGAAATCTAAATGTTCCTTCACACGATCGATCATTTGCTTATTGAGGTTGACTGAGTGTTCACCGTTCACTTCTAAAAAGTCACTATAAATCTCAAAAGCAATTTCATACTTCTTCTTTTCAATGTTAATGAGATCCTTTTCTGTGAAACCCTTCTTCTTCTTTTTAGGTTGTTCGACGCTTAGCCCTCCTTCTGATGTAGCATCTGACGTTGTTTGATCATTGTCATAGAGATAGACTTGAATCTCAAAACTTCTTTCACACAACTTTTTGTAATCAGTAATCTTATCCAAAAGTAAAAAGTTCTCCAAACTCATTTCTTGCTTGCAGTGTGCCTTGAATAATTCTCTGAGTTTGTTATCCTTCATGGTATCCATCAACAAGTGTGCCTTGACCTTTTGTAATTTCTTGGTATTCACCGAGTCCTTTCTCAAACTCAAACCAATAGAGGCCACCACTGTTGGTATGACCACTAGTAGTGACACACAAATGACAATCAATGAAATCGTAGTCACAAGCAATGAGTAATTAGATCCTTCATCTCTCTTTGATTTCACATAATTCACCATGGGTTGAAACTCAACGGCATAACCTTCTAAAAATCCTTTATAGGCAGCCGAGTCAATCATACTCATGGCTGTTGAAAAATTGCCAGCAGCAGCTTGTCCCAATGCAGCAAATTCAGTACCTACAGCTTTGGAAGTTCTCAATTCCAAAACAGAAATGTTATGGGAGACTGTGTATTGAAGACTTGGAGGAACTCTTTTTTGAACACTTTGAGCATTGGCCGTAAACTTTTTCTGCCAATCATAATATCTTGCTGTATAATTAGCAGTAGTGACAGGATTAAAGTTGGAAAACACTGCAGCTCTACAACTGGCAATCATCATTTCTCTATAATAGGAAGTATCGGTATCGAGACCAAACCAATTGGCACTATAATCTGATTGTGTGAGATATCCAGCCAAAATTAAACCACCCAACACGAGGAATGCCACCAAATTGACAATGAGTGACATTAAACTCAATACTTTCAACCAACTCAATTCAAAAGTTCCACATCGTGTGTGAATTCGAATCGCATCTGAACCAGTTGCAGAACCAGATCTTCCACTCGAACCAGAACGTTTGGTTTTTGATGAAGTAGCAGCACTCTTGTTACTTTTTGTTTCGATATCTTTCACATTGACCGTGACTGAGTGATGATGATCATGAGCGTGATGATGATTCATACCACCACCAGGTGATTGAACATCATCAGAAGCATCATCACTGGATAATACATCAGAATTATCACGAATCGTGGTGACCTTGTTTTGAGTCGATGAATTGGTTCGATTCGAAACAGTATTATTATTTTGAAGGAACGAGGAATGGGCACCAAGAAATGAACCACTACCACCATTGGGTTGAGAGGATGAAGGTAATGGATGTTGAAATTGTTGAGAAGTTTGTTGTTGGTGTTGCTGACCACTCAACAAGTGCACTTGAGAAGTAGTCGAAGTATTCGAATCAGAAACAGTTCCAGGACTCACATCACCCGTTAAAGAAGTGGTTGAGGAGGAAGCACCATTGGGATTCACTTGTAAATACGAAAGAGAAGATTTGTGGTTTAATTCAATATCATTGGGGTCTGTCATTTTGTATGTTGAGTGTTTCAAGAGTTGTGGTGCGGGGAGGTGTGTGTTTTGGGACAAGGATGGGAAGAGGTGTGTGTGTGTCTGGTTGTTGTTGTTGTTTTGTTTTTTTAATATGAAAATGTGAAGAGATTCATGACATCCAAGATGATGCATGAATCTGCGTGTTTGAACAAGAGAGTGCTGCATACACCTCGATTTGCATTGCTTTTGGTGTGGACGGTTGGAAATTGGCAAATGACAGCCAAAACCATTCGCATCCATTTGAGTATTTTTTAGAAATTAATGGATATAAAAGGAGCATACTATACCGAAATAGATCTTTTGTCTCTGGAACAGTAACGTAAAGTGTTGACAGTGAGTGTGTTGGAAGAGGAAATTGGCAGACTGTTTGTGTGATTTTTTCATTCCTAATTATCAATAGAGTGACAATTTCACACAATAGTGCTAACAAATGTTCCGAGGTTCGGTTTGATTTGTCATTTTCAAATCAAATATATGGTACGGATGATGATGATGACCATTCAAAATGGCTTTGATTTACAGTTGTTGTTGAGGAGTAGTTTTCAGAGAGAGAAAACAAGAAACCTTTCAGGAAAAATTCAAAAACCTTCTGCATGTCCATCTTTCCATACAAAACCTTATTTAATTTAAATAATATATAGGTGTAACGTTTGAAAATTATTCCAATCCCAAATTGTGTCTAGTCAACCCAGTACAGGATGCATCATGAACGACGTTTTGAGAGGATGAAATTGCGATTTTGGATGTTGATCTCCACATGCTCAAAACTGAAATAGGTCAATCTATTTAGAAGATAACGAGTGATGCTTTTGAATGCCTTTTTGAGTTCTCGAGAATACAACAGGAGCGGTTAATTATTTCTGTATTCTCGAACCATTTGTCAAGTCATGATCATTCTGAGATCAATTCTCTAGAATTAAACCCTTTGGTGAGGAGACATTCTTGTCTGGGGCATGGATAAAAGAGTCTTCAATGAACAATAATGATGTTTGGACGATGATCGTGTATTGAATAGTCCATGCAAAGAATGAATTCGTTCTTTAATAACTGAACCAAATCAAAGCTTTGATCTCATGAGTTTGTGTTACCCATCATCCATGGAGGTCCTTACATCAACCTAATGAGGAAAGGTTAAAACGGTCCGAACACAAGTTCACACCTTGGTTGATCTCAATAACTAGCGTGATTTTGAAATCAGAATTGTTCTTTTCATCATTTACTGTTCTTCTTGTTCATGGATGAGTGAGTAGTCTACTCATTGTCTATGCTCAATACTTGAAGCCAATTCTTGGATAAGAATGATTTTTTCGTTAAAACGCAAGAACTGTTTTCAAGTTTGTGCATTCACAGTATTTGAAATATTGAAAATTGTTATTGTTTTCATTTCTCACTAAGTGCTTATTCAAAAGCCATTAAATGTAGTTTTGTGACATGTGCACGACACATAAAATGTCAAAAATTTTTGTGATCGAACCGTTCTGTAAAGTCGTTTGGTACCATTTGGTAAGGAAAGAATTGGTTCAATAACATGTTATTCAAAGATCACACACACACGTTACATGTTTGTGTCCTTCTTTTGTTCATCGGATGTTAAAGTCGTCGTGGTTGTCTTTTGTTGGCCATTATTGGTAGCATTATCTCCACTGTAGTATTGTTTGATGAGATCTTGTTGATTATCTGTTTGTGAGAATGCAAATCCACGATAATCCACTTTGGCAATTGATGTAAATATTTTCTTAATTTCTTGCAATTCGATAGGATTGAATTTCTTCTTCTTCTTAAGCTTAACTGGAAGACCTTCTTCAAATGGGAAGAATTCCATAATGTCTTCACGTGACTTCTTCTTGTGATGCTTTTGAATGTCATAATAGAGTTTTCGTGATTGAGCTCGAAGCCACAATTTCCAGAAAATGTCACGAATGCAACAAATAAATGTCACAGCCAATAAAACAAACCAAAATTGAGGAGCAAAGAAAAGTCTAAATCGTTGCATAATTTCATAAAATTCCTTAACAACAGGAACTGGGTGTGGATAAATGTAATAAATTGAGCCATAAATAAAGATAAACGCTGGCCAAAGAGCAAGAGTTCCAGCATACATGAGAACAGTGACCCATGTCCAAGAGGAGGTTTCAATACTGAGTTTCACAGTAATGACCACAAGCACGCAAGAATAAACGGCAATACCAATCGTTTGAGTGTCAATTTCTTGACCATCCAGGAATGAGGTTCCTACCAAAGCAAAGTAAGGAACAAAGAAGCAAACCACTGATTGGAAAATAGAGTTGATGACCCAATAAATAAAAACTCTTGGATTGAACTATGTATGAACGAATGATATGATGAATATTGATGTGTATGAACGATTATTGATTCATAATAATGTGAAATAATGAGTCACACAAGATGCATCTTGTGCACAACTAGGATACTTACAAATCGATTCTTTTGACCTTGGAAATATAATTCTGGGAATTTTTCAGCGGCTGGTGCAGGTACATCTCTATCAATAACTGCAAGAGTAATAATTGGAATTCCTGAAAATACTAAATTGTAAAGTGCAATGGTCCACTTGTCGTGCAATGTCGTTCCACTGAAACCATTAAAGAAAATAAACCACAATTGCGTCAAAAAGAAGACAGTGTTCTTGTAAAAGCAATAGAGAACTAATTTGGAGACTCTTCTATAGGACCATCTTCCATGCACAAGAAGTAATCGCTTCAAAAATCTAAATTGGCCAATCGCATAATCTGAAGCATTCACTGCTTGCAGGCCTTCAACTCCGCTGATTCCAATACCAACGTGAGCACTTTGAATCATGGCCACATCGTTAGCACCATCTCCAATAGCCAAAGTATTACCAGAGACATTTTGCTTAATTAACAATACAACGTCTGATTTTTGCTTTGGCGAAACTCTGCAACAAATGACGCTCTTACATTTGATAGAAAGCAAGAGGAATAGATTTTTGAGAGCTGGATCTTCTAAAATGTGAATTAAACGTTCTCCATCCACAACCAAACCAAGAGCATCGTGTGAGATGTTATTCATGTTGGCAGTGTTGATACTTTTTTCTATAAAGTCCTTAATGGCCTCATTGGTGTGACCTTCGACAACCAACAACGTCATACTAGAGTTCAACAAGTCACAAGCGAATCCAATGTTAATTGCTGTTTCAAGTTTGTCGCCTGTGAGCACCCAAATGTTAATACCTGCTTTTCTCAATTCATAAATAGTATCTCCAACTCCTTCTTGAAGCTTATCTTCAATACCTGTACTGCCGACGAGAAGCAAATTTTTCTCAATTCTCGCTGCTACCTCTTCCACTTTTCGAGTTCTATCTTCGAGTGAAGTTTTTGCTTCCTCGTAATCTCTGTGCCATTGTGCATATTCTTCTTCGTCGAGATATGCTTTGGCACAACAAAGAGTTCTAAGGCCTTCGTCTCCAAATTGATCCAAGTGCTTTAAAGTCACATCCATGTACTCTTGGTTTGGAGCCAATAAGGGATAAATGACAGAGTCTGCTCCCTTTGTTAAAATTAATAATTGACCTTCTGTGTTTCGCACAATGACAGATTGTCTCTTTCTGTCACTAGAAAATTCAATAATGTCCAAAATTTGGTATTGTTTTTCCTCTCCTAATATTGAAAACGTCACGTCATTTGGTGATCTAGCAATGAATTCAACGCCCAAATATTTAGCTGCCTTAACAAGTGCTGCTTCATCAGGGCTACTAGCTTGGTAAACAATTTCTCCATTTGCTCCAGACCTTTCAGGAATGACAGTGTGACACACAGCCAGCAAGATTAAGAAGTCTAAAATTTCATTTTTCTGAGGACTATCTTTCCATGCTCCATCCATCAATCTCTCGTCATAAAATTGGAAGTTTGGATTGTTCTTTGCACTGAGAGGTCTAGTATCTTCGAGTATTTTGCCTTCTCTTTTTGCAGCAGCTTTTGCAATCTCTGTAATACCAGAACCATAGACTTCTCCTGCAATGGAACATTTCAAAACTATAAGTTCAGAAGAATTATCAAAAAATGATTTGACCAACAATGCAAAGAAAACTTACAGTCCATCTTATTTTGTGTAAGAGTTCCAGTCTTATCACTGAAAATATATTGAATGGCTCCTAAATCTTCGTTCAGTGCCGAGGATCTGACCATGGCTGGAGTATCTGTATCTTCATGATACATGGCCAAATCCTTACTAATCATGATACCTTGAACTAACTTGGCAGCTTCAATAGAGACATACAAAGAAATTGGAATTAAATTACTTAATAGCACCAGAATGGTGAAAAATCCTTTGAATCCTGACCAAGCCAAATAATCTGCATCAATGACCACTCCAGCAAATAAATACCATGCCGATTTGTTTCGTGCAGTCCAAATAATGAGACCAATGTCACAAATAATGACCAACAAAATTTCAATAGCGAGCATGATAAAAACTAGTTGATTGGTCATTCTTTCAATCTTACTAGTCTTGTGTGGAGTCTCCTTGGTGTTCATCATGAGCTTGGTATCGTGACCTGTAAAAACAGCAACACCAATCACAAAGTCTGTATTTCTGAGAGAAGATCCTCGAAGACAGATTTGTTCGGGATCCACGGCCAATTTCTTTCCAGTGCTTAATACTAACGTTCCTTCAAATTTGTACAATCTGTTGTTTGGTTTTTCACACTCCAAAATTGCTTTCACAGTTTTTAAAGCTTCTGGTGCAGATAAGTACGTAGTTTCATGCTTACATCTCTTAATTTTCAAATTTGTTTCACTATTACAATGTATAAACATTGAGTGATTACCAACAATGAAACATGTTAAGATCATTCAAGAGACCACAAGCTACGTACCCATCCAAGCTTGATGTTTCCACATAACAAATACCTTGATGTTCACTCGATGATAGTAAAACAATGTCACAAGGGAATGGTTCCTTATTATAAACTTGTAAGATATCTCCCGTTTTCACATCCTTCCAAAATACTTCAACAAATTGTCCATCTCTGAACACTCGTGTGAGTTTGTTATTGGTCACCTTGTCAGAAACTCTTCGTTTGATATCTTCATAAGCGTCCTTACACATGGTACAAATCAGCACTAATTATGTGTTAACGTCTGAACATTTACAAACAAAATGACCTACCAAAACAGAGAGGAATAAAAGCAGTGAATTGTCCAGTGGGTGATAATCCAGGAATAGTCTGCAGTAAGGCCATAAATAAAAAGTCTATTTCAATATAATTTTTAAAATATTGTAAAATTTAACAACAAGTAATCTTACTTCAACACACTTACAGCAATTTGCAAATCGGTGAAACTGTTGATATAAATTCTTAAACAAAAAATTATAAAATGTATATTTTGTAGTCTTGATCGAATTGTCACAAAATCCATACTTGACATTTGCCATTTCATCGTTCACAAATACAAGTCTCGTCTTTTCGGGATCATGTTGCTGTTGAACGTCAAAAACATTGAATGCGCCTCTTGTAGCATCATTGTATAGATTTGAGACGCTTCCAGATGCCACATTGGTATTCACGGAGATTCCAGTGTCCATTAGTGATGTATTTTCATCAGGAGCCTGAGGATGATTATATTATTTGGTATTCGGAATATTTACAAAGGTTAACGACCGGCAAGGTACGTTGGAGCAGAGGGTTCCAAGTATTTTTGTTTGATGCATGTCAGGTGTCCAGACAACAAATGCAAGCATTCAAAACGGGTAGCATGGACAAAAATGGTAAGAAGGAACACAAATCCCGAAGCATTGAAATCATTTAAATAAATAATAACAATATTCAATCACCAATTTGTACTAATTAGAATCGTCCTCCATACCTTTCTTCGAAATAATTTCTTAAACCACATGTTGTTCATAAACATTTTGAAATAGTGTTTTCAACAAGTTTGATTGAAAATACTTCAACTCGAGAAGTGTATCGGATGTGTATGATGTACACTCTCACACGTGTTCAACAATGTATCAGAAATCTCCTCGTGTTATCGGAATAGAAATTTGTTATCCAAAAACTTGCTCACACGCAACCACAATGAATATCGAATCTCTTTCAAGAGTATTGTTCCAATAATTTTGTGAAGTAAATGATGAAATGCAGTATTGTTGTGAATCTGTGGTAAACGAAACAACGATGTTGGACACGATTCGAAAGAGTGTGTCGACGGGTCAAATTTGACTCTTCGTGTTATTAATTTTTTTGTGTGTTGTGTGAATCCGTAATTTCTCTTCGACTTGACAGCTTTAAGATTTATTTGTTCGAAGGATAATAAAAGACTCTATTTAATCATCGATTAACATTCTAACATTAGTACGAGCAGGAAATACAGTCTATTAAGAATTTACATTGAGTTTCCAATAAGGATTTATGTGAAAATTTGAAGGTCGCTTGATCGAATATGGACATGGGTTGTCAACGCTCGAAAAAGTCAAATGTCGATCATTCGCTTTCACCAAAATCAATTTCAAAAAAAATGTCTCAAGTAGATCTTCTCGGAGCATCACAATCTGTGTCTACAACTGGTGCAGCTGCTGCTACAGCTGTTCAATCACCTCTCGGTGGTCGTGTGAAAAAGAGTGGCAAACTCGTCATGGAAAATCCAAAAAAGAAATTCTTTCAAAAGTCAAATTATAAGAGATTTGTCGTGTTGACTTCTAAAAAGATACTATGTTTTAAAGACAGTGAGGTAAGTATGAACGAGATTTGATTTTTCAACAAATATTATTTGAACCAAAAATCATGAAACATGACAACTTTTTAGAAAGTCGAAAAGAAACCCGAAGATAAGATTCCATTGAGCAGATTTTCTGCTATTGTAGATATTGATAATCACAAGGGAATGCGTAAGTATATTAAACTATTACAACCTCACTTGAATGATTGATTCCAATTGTTGATACTTTTTATACTTTTTCATCCATTGACGATCCTTGATTCATTATTGCAACCATGATGACCATGATGTTGTTGTTTCCATAAATTATTTACAATGATGTTCATGGTCCTTGATTCATACATGACGATCATCTCTCTCTCATCACTTTTCACACAACAGAAAATTCCTTTGGTATTCGGACTGCCCTTCCTTCGAACAGTCCCTATCTTGATCAAGACAGCAGCACCATGAACAATGATGACTCACCAACCTCTCCTTCAAGTTCAAACAAAACATTTTGGTTCTTTGCTGAGAATCCCGAAGAACGTAAATCATGGATTGATACCATTACCAATGTCATTGAAGAATTGAAAGAGTCACAAACTCATCTCCATCTTAAAGTTGTGAAATTGATCGAACAACAAAATTATAATGATGTTCGACAATTGATTCTCAATGGAGAATACTCCAAGAATGCCTTTTTGCATTTCACAAAAGACGAAAAGAGAAAGAGTACTGATAGAGGAAATAGAAGTGCTTCCATTGCACCTGGTTTGCGAGAAGATGATTTGAGTGATGATGAAGACGACGAACAAGTATTAACCACTGAAGAAATTCGTCAATTAACTCAAATGGGTTATGGTGACAGAGATACCATTTTGCACATTGCTGTGAAAAATCAAGACTTAAAGCTTGTGAAATTCTTGCTGGAGAGAGACGTCGATTTTAATAAGAAGAATAAGCTCGATCAAACAGCATTGCATTTCATTCCAATCTCGAATGGACCTGGAGTGTTTGATCCTTCGACAGCAAATCGAAGTGGAAATTTGGAAAATTCAAGCGAAATTCCTCAATTGTCCCTTACTGGAAGCAGTGATAACAGCAGTGCTTCAAATTCGTCACCAAGAAGTGGAGGAGTTTCTCCACGTGGCATTTCTCCTCGTTCTGGTGGTATTTTGAGACCTCGTGACGAGTTGCTTCAAATGATTCTCGAAAAGAAGGAACAAAGAAAGATTAATATTAATCAATTTGACAAAAATGGTGGTTTCACAGCTCTTAATTTAGCTGCTAGAGAAAATGAAATGGATCTTGTCACCAAGTTGGTCTATGAAAATGCAGATCCAAATTTGGAAAATGATGTGGGTTGGACACCAATGCATTATGCCGTCTACAATCAAAACTTGAGAATGCTTGAAGTTTTGACCAAGAGAGGAGGTGGTAAACTATTGGCATGTTCCAAGAGATTTGTCGAACCTCATGACGAAGACCTTGCTAAATATGGAAATGTCAAATTAGAAGAATTGAGAAAGTACGGCAAAATGAGTCCATTAGATATGATTTTGAGCATGTTAGCTACTGCAACAAGAAAGTTGATGAATGCCTCTTTGTTAAACTCGTTCAACGATCGATTGGCCACTCCCGGATACAAATCCACACCCGTCATTCCAGGATTACAAACTCAACCCACTCAATCCGTTCTTCAAACTATTAACAGTAATCCAAGCTTGTCCAAAATATTGAGCTTGGCCAAAACCGTTCTCACTGAAACCACAACTTCAAGTATTTCTCCAGAAGATCTCGAAAATCACTTGAAACAATTGTCCTCCGATGAAAATCTTGACTTGTTTATGGACCATTTGTTTGTAGCTATTCAATTTGCAGAAGAACTTTCCATGGACAAGTGCAATTTAATCCTCAAAACACTCACTGCCAAAGTTCCAAAAATCGTCTTGACTCGTTTCGATGTTGGAAGCACAATTTCTGGAATGCACTCTTCCACAACCTTTATTCACATTGCTATTCGTGCCAAGAATGCACAAGCTCTCGCCATTCTCCTCAATAATCCAACATTGAACAGTGATGAGATGAAAAATATTGTCAATGATTGTGAAAAGCGTGCTGCTGATGGTGCTGAATATACTCCTCTTCATAATGCCATGTTGCATGCTCCTGCATTGACTGGAATTTTACTTGACCACGGAGCTGATTGTCACAAACGTTCTGGAAAGGATTTACCAATCTTTTTGGCTGTACAATGTAAAGAATTACCTGGAGACGTTGGTGCTCGAATTGTTCAAGCTGCTTTAGATGAAGAAGGAAAAACACAAGATGATATTCTCAATTTTAGCAATAGTTTGGGACAATCATTATTGTTCTTTGCTTGCCAAAATTCACAACTGGAACTTGTGAAAAAGTTGGTAGAGAGAGGTGCAAATAGTGGAGCCATCACTAATGGAAATGAAACAGTCTTGTCTGCAGCTGCCTATGGTGGTAACTTGCAAGTCATGGAATATTTGATTGATGAATTGAAATTAGATCCAAGTGGTAGCTATGAAGAATTGTACACTGAAAATTCATATCCTCCAATTCATGCCGCAACAAAGAATGGTCATTTGGAAGCTGTGAAATTGTTAGTTGAAAAGTATGGTGTTTCAGTGAATCAATCACGACACGATTTACAAATGAGACCCATTCATTTGTGTTCGATTAGTGGAAAATTAGATGTTGCTCAATATTTGGTTGAGAAGGGATGTGATTGTTCAGTAACCATCAACACTAGAGAGGATAAATTACTCACTCCACTCCACTTGGCTGCTGGTTATGGACATCCTGAAATTGTCAAGTTATTGGTTGAACAAGGAAACTACAATGGACAATTCAAACCAGAAAAAGAAGATTCATCATTGAAGGTTGACCTGAATTTAATCAAGACACAAAATGGTGTCACTCCTCTTGAATTGGCCATGAAACGTGTTCAACTCAATGTTGTTAAATATTTGTGTGAATTGGGAACCGTTTCTGATGAACACACATTGCAACTTGCCATTCAAAGTAACAATTCTGAAATTATTGGATGGGTAGAAAAACGACTTGGAGGCAGTAATGAAGAAAAGAATAGACATTTGAAACTTGGATCATTTGACACGCTTGGATTGAGCGTGACGTCAGCTACTCCAAAGAGTCCTCAACAATAAGAATTCTTTTTTTTACATTTACTTGTTTATTTACATATTTACAAACGTGTCCATAATATATAATAATTTGGACAGACTATTCCTCTCTTTCGCCATCATCTTTTTCATCGTCATCATTCTCTGTTCTTGGTGAAGAAATAGTCGATGAAGTGGAATCGTTATTGGAATTTGCAGCTGAAGGTTTTGGAGCATTTTCCAAAAAACTCTCAAACTCCTTACTTGCTTCCAAGACTTGAGAAAAACTTTTTCTACATCTTAAAAAGAAAGCTTGGAGTTGTGACATGCAGAAGGTGTGATCTTTCAATTGTGTCCACAATAATTCTCCCTTCTCTTCTGTGTATTCATTAGGAAAGAAATTTCGAGCCAGTTTCTTGCATTGATAACAAGTGGCATGTCCGAAATAGATTCTTCGATCCACTCGTCCATTTCTGATTAAGGATGGAGGCAATTTTTCTTTGTAATTGGTGGTCATGAAGACAATTCTCGACTCTTGACTCGTAATTCCATCTAAACAATTCAACAAACAAGAGAAGGTAATTTTTGATGATTCAGAAAAATCACTATTTTCACCTTTGGCCTTCTTTTCCACTTTAGGAAATGCAGAGTCAATATCTTCCAACACAATCATGGAGTTTGCAGGAGCATTGGTAAATAACGAAACTAAATAATCATCAGTTAAATTTTTCGCTCCCAAATTTAACACACAAATATCCAAATTCAAACAAGCAGCAATCGCCATAATGGTGCTCGTTTTGCCACTTCCTGGCTCACCATATAACAAGTAACCTCTTCGATAGGGAATTCCTCTTTCCTTATACCATTGTCTTCCATTTAAAAATTCACAAATATCTGAATGTAAATCTTCGAAAACACCTTCATCCAAAATCACTGTGTTCACTTCACGTTTCTCCTTAACGGAAGCAAGTGCCCATGATTGATAGAAGGGTGTGAAAAGTTTTGTCTTTTCACGAGTCAATAAGGTATGCACATAGAAACAATCTCGAAGTAACTCTGTGAACATGGAGAATGCAGTGGTGTTCGAGTTTGGAGTTTTCACACTGATCTTCTTTTGTTCAGTGGAGGTATGGAAAGTATTGGAATGATCATTGGAGTTGTCATTATTCAAAGCTTTGGTTTCAACAGGAACTTCCTTTTGAGAACTCGACGCCAAATTATTCCATGTTAAAAACTCCTTTTTAAACCCAGCTCTTTCTAACATGTCATTGACATGATGTGAATTAGTGACATTCTCAACACATGGATACAAGAATCTAATAAACACATTCATCCATGAATATCTTGGTTTCCAAATAGTAATAAACTCCTTTTCTCTAATTTCATTCACTGTATTTTGCACAGTCATTTGTAAATGAATAATATAAGGTTGTGAATTGACATAGATCACATGAAAGCCATACGCTGGAACAAAATTCACCTTCTTTTCAAAATTCTGTAAAGTTTCATTCAAATTTTGTAATGAATTGGAGTCATCATTGCGATCATTGGTCGAACGATTTCCAAAAGAGACAATTCCACTAATTTTCAATGATTGCTTGTAAGGTTTGATTTGAGAGCTACCACTCAGTGTATAAGGGTGAAACGAAAACCAAGAATTAAACCACATAAATTCTTCATCCTTATCTGACAAGGAGAGTTGAAAAAAAAGAATTCTTGTCAATACCGTTTCCAAGCTTAATTTCAAGTAATAGAGAACGAATGAGCCAAGAGCTCCAACCACAAGGACCATTATGCTCATATTTCCAAAGAGGAGAGATGAGTTTGTATTGGAAGTATCGAACGGTTGAACAGTAGTCGTAGTTGCCGAACAACACATTTTGGTAGAGTCTTGGATTTCAGCAAGAATTGGAGCTACTCTCATGCTTATAAAACATGAAAGAAGGAATAAGAACACTCTTGCATTACTGGTGGTGTACATCTTTTTTTTAGCTTGAAAATCACATGATGGTGTGTTTCTTCTTGACTATTAATAGGGTTTTACGATTGTTGAAATATGTAACATTGTAAAATCACGGGTGAATTAGGAACACCTTCAAAATATTGTAATAATGAATTCATTGAACCCGTTGTTGTTGTTGTTGGAAATCTAACGGATTTTAGTCTATGAAAAGAAGGCTCTCTATATCGGGGTACTGTATTCAGTGTAACATGAATTTTTTGATAATTTAATAATTAATTATTAAATTATTATATTATTTTTTGATTATTATTATCATCAGAATATTGTTATCATAAGATCAATTCATCAAACTGGAGTCATCATGATCATCTTCGGATGATTATTAAATCATCGCAACCTGCAGCCAAAAAAATGTCCTCATCGTCTGCTGAATTTTATTCTTTCACCGTTCCCGATGCACAAGGCAATGATATTTCCATGTCCGATTACAAGGGCAAGGTAGTGATGATTGTGAATGTTGCATCGTCTTGTGGACTAACTCCCCAATATCAAGAATTGCAACAACTTTATGAGCAATACAAGGATGAAGGGTTTGAAATTTTGGCATTTCCTTGCAATCAATTCGCATTTCAGGAGCGAGGAAGTAATGAAGAGATTTGTCAATTCGCACGAACAAAGTTTAACGTAACATTCAAGATTTTCGCCAAGGTATGTAGAGTTTTCACTGTGAAATAATGAGGGATAATTAACACAACTGATTAGACGACCGTCAACGGTAGTGACACTATTCCCTTGTATAAATATTTAAAGAAGGAAGGAGAAGGTTCCATGTTTAACGCTATCAAGTGGAATTTTACCAAATTCTTAATTACTAGGGATGGCAAAGTACTGCAAAGATATTCACCCTACACAAAACCTTTGGAGATTGAAGAGGATATCAAAAAATTATTGGCAGAAAAGCCATCTGAGTAATAATAGCTGTGTTTGTAACACATAAACGAGTTTGTTTGAAATTTTCCAATAATCTCGAAGCGTTGCTATTGCAAGTCTTCCACAATTTTCTTTCCTTATGATGGGATAGCTGTTACATGATAATGAATGTGTCATGTTCTTTCCATCTTTCAAGAGGATCCTTGACATTGTCATAGCTCACAATTTTCAAACACCACCTCAACCGTTTGAACATGTCTGAAATTACCTGTTGATTTGTAATGCT